CCCGAACCCGAACCCGAACCGAAACCCGAACCCGAATCCCGAATCCCGAAGTCATATACCGAGTTTCATTTTTATGTTTACAGTTCATCACTCACTCAAGGTGGGTTAAGAGGTCATATACCAAGTTTCATTTTCATGTTTACAGCCTACTACTCACACTTAGATGATGACCACATATGGCAAGAGGAACATACCATATATGGTGCAGGGTGACTACCATATATGGCACAGGGTGACTACCATATATAGTGTAGGGTGGCCATTCAATGGAGCAGGGTGCGTAGTAGTGTTATCACCCTACAGTCACCCTACACCATCTTATAACCATTTTTGAGTAGTTTCTCTCAAGAAATTCTCAAGTTGACTGGACTAGTCTCGCACCAGCTCTGGGCAAGTCTGATACATTGCACAAGCCCCGGAGTGCTTCTTATATGTTAGTCCTAGTCCTGGCAATGATTTCTGCAGCCTTTATGGTTTCTCATGTCTCTTATACAGTCCTCTGACTCTTGCGTTGTCACTCATTACCACTCTCTTAGGTGCTCAACTGCCATCGAGCTAACTGTTGACACTGACAAACCTGTTGTCGACTTTGCCACTGTCAAAATTTGCCTGGTCACGGAGTGTGGAGAAGAGGTTCATTGTGGGGTAAACACTGGTGTCAAGAGCATTGACCGACTGGCAATAGACATTGTACGCAATTGAGTAGGCGTCATGCTGCTCTCAGAAAATAGCTTTTCTGATGAAATCTCGCTTTCACCATCTAGGATGCTTGGGATGACAGAGGATGTAGGAGTTCCATGAACCAACAACAATGGTGAGTTGCAGAAGACGTTGGGGGATGACTGGACACTAGGCAAAGGCTGCTGGGCGACAGAGATCGGTCATGAAGACATTGGAGATGATGACTTGGACTTTGGATGGCGTAACCAGTGCCCTATACTACAGACAAGGTGGCTCAGTGGTAAAAGCTCCAAACTAGGGTATGGGAGGTCCCGGATTCGATCCCAGTCAAGTTATTTTAGACTACTTTAGTAATGATCATCTTTAGATGGTTTAGACAGCTTGATAGAATAAAATTCACACCTTAATAGGTTGATGTAAATGAAGAATCCTGCATCCACAGAAGTCAAGTGTGTTCTTAGGTCTTGAATGGATTCAAAACATGTAATCCAGTAGTATAAAATCGAAAATGATTGACTATATCCCTGGTATGCATCCTTCCTGTACACGGGTCCACTCATTTCCATATACAAATGTGGACAACTCAAGCCGGACTCGAGGGCATTGACCAATAATGACAACGCCATCGCGCACAAGCCCAGTTCGAAAGATTTCTGGTACCCAAATCAGATGCTTGTCATTGGGTCCCACTAACCAGCCATCATGATCAAGACGGTGCTGCTGATATGTAATGCGAAGCTATACATATATGAGTACATTCATCAGGAAGCTAACACTACTCACCGAGCCACCTGCTGCACTATTTGAAATCTGCAATTTTCTGTCAATGTCACCAGAAACAATCCTGTGACTGTCTGGCGAGAAGGCGACAGACAAGACCGCATTGGTATGTCCCTCGAGCGCGGGTCCAAGCGGTTCGCCCGTCTCTGCATTCCATACCCGCACCGTCTTGTCCAAGGATCCAGAAACGATCTTGTGACCGTCTGGCGAGAAGGCGACAGACCAGACCGCATCGGTATGTCCCTCGAGCGCGGGTCCAAGCGGTTCGCCCGTCTCTGCATTCCATACCCGCACCGTCTTGTCCTCAGATCCAGAAACGATCTTGTGACCGTCTGGCGAGAAGGCGACAGAGGAGACCGCATTGGTATGTCCCTCGAGCGCGGGTCCAAGCGGTTCGCCCGTCTCTGCATTCCATACCCGCACCGTCTTGTCCGAGGATCCAGAAACGATCTTGTGACCGTCTGGCGAGAAGGCGACAGACCAGACCGCATCGGTATGTCCCTCGAGCGCGGGTCCAAGCGGTTCGCCCGTCTCTGCATTCCATACCCGCACCGTCTTGTCCAAGGATCCAGAAACGATCTTGTGACCGTCTGGCGAGAAGGCGACAGACCAGACCGCATCGGTATGTCCCTCGAGCGCGGGTCCAAGTGGTTCGCCCGTCTCTGCATTCCATACCCGCACCGTCTTGTCCAAGGATCCAGAAACGATCTTGTGACCGTCTGGCGAGAAGGCGACAGACCAGACCGCATCGGTATGTCCCTCGAGCGCGGGTCCAAGCGGTTCGCCCGTCTCTGTATTCCATACCCGCACCGTCTTGTCCAAGGATCCAGAAACGATCTTGTGACCGTCTGGCGAGAAGGCGACAGACCAGACCGCATCGGTATGTCCCTCGAGCGCGGGTCCAAGCGGTTCGCCCGTCTCTGCATTCCATACCCGCACCGTCTTGTCCAAGGATCCAGAAACGATCTTGTGACCATCTGGCGAGAAGGCGACAGAGGAGACCGCATTGGTATGTCCCTCGAGCGCGGGTCCAAGCGGTTCGCCCGTCTCTGCATTCCATACCCGCACCGTCTTGTCCAAGGATCCAGAAACGATCTTGTGACCGTCTGGCGAGAAGGCGACAGAGGAGACCGCATTGGTATGTCCCTCGAGCGCGGGTCCAAGCGGTTCGCCCGTCTCTGCATTCCATACCCGCACCGTCTTGTCCAAGGATCCAGAAACGATCTTGTGACCGTCTGGCGAGAAGGCGACAGACCAGACCGCATCGGTATGTCCCTCGAGCGCGGGTCCAAGCGGTTCGCCCGTCTCTGCATTCCATACCCGCACCGTCTTGTCCCAGGATCCAGAAACGATCTTGTGACCGTCTGGCGAGAAGGCAACAGAGGAGACCCCATCGGTATGTCCCTCGAGCGCAGGTCCAAGCGGTTCGCCCGTCTCTGCATTACATACCCGCACCGTCTTGTCCCAGGATCCAGAAACGATCTTGTGACCGTCTGGTGAGAAGGCGACAGAGGAGACCCCATCGGTATGTCCCTCGAGCGCGGGTCCAAGCGGTTCGCCCGTCTCTGCATTCCATACCCGCACCGTCTTGTCCCAGGATCCAGAAACGATCTTGTGACCGTCTGGCGAGAAGGCGACAGAGTAGACCCCATCGGTATGTCCCTCGAGCGCGGGTCCAAGCGGTTCGCCCGTCTCTGCATTCCATACCCGCACCGTCTTGTCCTCAGATCCAGAAACGATCTTGTGACCGTCTGGCGAGAAGGCGACAGAGTAGACCGCATCGGTATGTCCCTCGAGCGCGGGTCCAAGCAGTTCGCCCGTCTCTGCATTCCATACCCACACCGTCTTGTCCCAGGATCCAGAAACGATCTTGTGACCGTCTGGCGAGAAGGCGACAGAGGAGACCCCATCGGTATGTCCCTTGAGCGCGGGTCCAAGCGGTTCGCCCGTCTCTGCATTCCATACCCGCACCGTTTTGTCCCAGGATCCAGAAACGATCTTGTGACCGTCTGGCGAGAAGGCGACAGAGGAGACCCCATCGGTATGTCCCTTGAGCGCGGGTCCAAGCGGTTCGCCCGTCTCTGCATTCCATACCCGCACCGTCTTGTCCAAGGATCCAGAAACGATCTTGTGACCGTCTGGCGAGAAGGCGACAGAGGAGACCGCATCGGTATGTCCCTCGAGCGCGGGTCCAAGCGGTTCGCCCGTCTCTGCATTCCATACCCGCACCGTCTTGTCCGAGGATCCAGAAACGATCTTGTGACCGTCTGGCGAGAAGGCGACAGAGGAGACCGCATTGGTATGTCCCTCGAGCGCGGGTCCAAGCGGTTCGCCCGTCTCTGCATTCCATACCCGCACCGTCTTGTCCGAGGATCCAGAAACGATCTTGTGACCGTCTGGCGAGAAGGCGACAGAGGAGACCGCATTGGTATGTCCCTCGAGCGCGGGTCCAAGCGGTTCGCCCGTCTCTGCATTCCATACCCGCACCGTCTTGTCCAAGGATCCAGAAACGATCTTGTGACCGTCTGGCGAGAAGGCGACAGAAAGGACCTTATCAGTATGTCCATAAAGTGAACCAAGCAATGGAGACCATGTTTGATACCCCCCATCAAGAATGGCCAGTGTGGATGGATATTGAGGGTGGTAATGTCTTCTCACTTCAGAGCAATTTGGAGAGAAAGGCAATGCTGAAATGTAAATATGAGGAGCGCTCATGGATATCACGTGGCCGAAGTGAGCCACAAATTGACACATATCCTCTCCTAAAGCTACTAGCTCTTCCTCATTGGTTCTCTTTGACCTGTCAGCAAGAAACAAAAATATACGCAATAAAACTTACCTTCAGCCATCTGGTCAGGTTGCAGAGAATAGACTGTAATGCATCTGTAAATTCACATAGGCTGGCAACCTCGAGCCAGGCTAGAAATTGCGATGTGAGAAAGTGTCGGACAAGAGCCATTGTCTCATCATTGAGAGGCGTGAGAACCAAATGATCGGCCCAGTACCGAGATACATATTTCAAATGTGACGGAATGCAATCTTCAATGGATGTGATTGCTCTCAAACTCTCGACATTGAGTTGGTCGGACGATGGGATGCCGCCAATGTTGAACTTTAGATTGTTCTTCATCACCTGCAGGCACTGGTTGGCAATGCTTTGCTCACAGATAGACGTCGTTAAACTGAATTCTGGTGCATCTTGCTTGTTCTCGAGCAGGAAGTCGACAAACGATTGATGTCGGAATCGAAGTGGGCCTTCTTGATCCAATACTGAGCGAAGTCCGTTGCAAAAGTTCTCCAATATCGACTGCTTCAATGAAAGGAGTTTAGCCAATGTCGGGAGAGATAATGGTTCCTTTGCCACAATAATCGCGCCAAGCATGGCGAGCAAACGATCCCGCTCCTTCTCGCCATGTCCTCGAGACGCAATATGCAGTACTTGCGCATAGAGTTGGCCGAGATGATTCTTCCCTTCACCCGTCAGGACTTCCTCAAGTCGATCCTCCGGAGGGCCAGCTTCGATCAAGTCCACCACTGTTGTAGCCCAGATGAACAGACCACTCGCCTTCTCCGTCAACTGATCCAGCTGTTTGGGTCCGGGCCACTCTGGTCCCAATGACGGATACTCAGTCGCAATTGACTGCAGCTTTAGACTCAAGACGGCTCGTATATCGGTTTGTACTCCCTGGTCTGCTTCTTTGCCTACTTTTAGCTCAATGGCTAGTGGCTTATTCCCGTCGATCCTACCGAGGACGTTTACGATGTCCGTCTCTTCACGACTGGTGACGATGAGCTTGAAGCTAGATGGAAGCTTGGACCAACAGATCAACGTCTGCATCAGGCTCCTACGATCGACAGACGACCGACCCTCAATCCCACCGCACTCGTCGAGTGCATCGACGACGACCACTGGAGAAATTTCCAAGGGGGGGCTACTAATTTTCGATAGCGGTTCCGTAATTAATTGCAGAAATAGATCGGTGATACTGGATGTTGACAAGTCGATTTGCTCCTTTTTCATTGCGCTGCAAAGATGCTTTCGGACGGTTGGGTGACGTGCCAAGTCGTATGCAACGTTACGCCAGAGTGCATCTGTCGTACGAGTAGTACTTTCTTGACGACGAAAGAAGAAGCTTGAGCCGAGTCGCTTCTTCTTGATCTCAAGTAGGTCTACAAGACTGGATGCAATGGCCGTTTTCCCCGCTCCAGGTGCGGCTTTGATCCAGAGGATGTTGGGTGCTTCACGGTTTGCCACCCATTCCTGGCATGCGTGGAGTACGTCAATACGCGTTCCTGGTTGACATCCTGAGGGCCGTTTGTATTCGGGTCCTCGCAGTCTGCCCAACACGGCGGCATCCGCAAACTCTGTCACGGCGACAGAAACATAGAACGTAAGAGAGCGCTATCAAGGCCTAAATACTGTGCAAAGAAGAAAGTGGGAATCAGACTTACGAGTATTGCTGATTCCGCAGTCTTCAAACGCTTTTCGTAGGTGCTGATTATATCCGTTTCCAGCTTGCTTGTGCCACTGCGCTTCACAAACATCTTCAAGAGCCCCTCTTTATTCTCGAAATTGGTCTTGTTGATGTCAGCGTCTTCGCACACGTCGGCGAGCAGTTCCTTGAGCGTACTAAGGCGGGTGAGATGCATTCGTGCCGGGTTCGTCTACGTACGCAATGTAGTTTGCAATCGGGCCTTTGACCGAGTCATCGACCACGTCGTTGATTCCAGGCTGGTTTAGTTGGGCATTGAATGCACCGATTTGCATCTGAATGGTTTTGGCGAGTTCATTCCAAGCAGATCTGCCGTTATTGAAAGCCTGAATTGAGTGAGGAACGATCACATACTCATAGTGGTAGCTACATACCTGGATGACCTCAAGGACGGTCACTGCGCCCTCACAAGCGCCTTTGAGCGGTGCAAGACCAGCCGCATCGGCAGCACTCTTGGTCAGATTGAGAATGAGCGCAGCTTGAGCGAGCCACTTTTCCGTATTTGATCTACGAACCCGCTCATGGACCCGCGGCTCGCTCCCTGGTCCCGCTTCACCAGTGACATCGTTTTTACTTTCGCTTTTGATAACATTGGTATTCGTCTCGGCGATGTTTGGGGCGCCGATGTTGCTGGATTGACCACCAGAGGTGGTTACGGTGGTCGGGATCGAATCCAAAGGTCTTTCTGGTGCATCTGAAGTGCCTTTCTTCTTCTCTTTCTTACGAAACAGTTTAGGCATTATCTTCATTTTGTGCGAGATATCAGCCTGAAAAGATGGAGAACAAGGACCAGGCACCGGCCAGTCTCTAGTGCCTCTGCGGGTTGGAACCTGACTGCCAGTCTGTGAACCATCAGCTCGGTTCCAGGGTTCATGAACTTAGTTTCACACGTAGTAGGCGTACGATGGTTATTTAGGGACTGCTCAAGTGAACGTGGGATGACCTCGAACCCGAATCCAAGAGCCTTTCTCACTCGACAAAGAGATAGCTCGTCCCCACGGGTCTCTGCGCAACCCATAAACGCCTCTGTATACGGCAACGGATAGCGCAAACGCGTATGCAGCGCCCTGAGCCCGACCTCGGTCACGGGTCCTCACCCGGGTGTAATCGTCCCGTTGCACAACCATTAGGCATCTACCTGTAGGCTCATACTGCGCATGGAACTCGAGCGTGTTGAACAACCCTGTGCCGAAATCCCATTTGTCCGCGTACAGCTCATCGCCCTGGATCCGCGTCGTCTCGAGCATGCGTCCGAATCGAGCGATACCTGCCGACACCAGACTTTTATATGTGAGCTGTTGAGATTGGATCAGAATAGAACAACGTACCAACAAGGTGGTGATTTCGTACTTGGTCCTTTCCATCGCTCGGCCAAATCCCTGGGCAGCAACCTACCTGGTTGCGTTGACGAGCGGGTTCAACGTGGATAATTGGTGTTCGGGACGACGTTGCCGGGACATAGACTGGCCGACAACTCGCTGCGGACAACATGAGTCGCAAATTCAAGCGCCGAGGCGCAGCTTGAGGGGAGGGATGAGGATTGGAGACCAAAATAGCAGCCATTTTACATGCAATTCACGTCCATATTTCCCATCAAACGCGTCATACGCGAACCAAGTCTACCTGTGGCTCGCTACCAAAGGTTTGTCCCCGTCGTGCGTGATGAGACGGACCAAGAAAAGCTGATGTCGTCGAATTTTTCTCACGGTATGGTGCAACTACCCTTTTCCTGGCAGGTCCAAGGTCTGGTCCATTGAAGGAGCCGCCAATTTACGACTATACTGATACTCTGCACCATGGCTCTACAGATTCAAGATCATGTCCAAGCACTAGTCGTCCGGCGCGATGATCTGGCGCACGAGATTTGCGTCGACCTCGACCAGTTGATCCGGACTCGCTTTCCTGGGTGCTATGGACAACTAATCCCAGGAACATTCAAACGCTCTTTCTCAGTCTGGCTATGGCATCTCGCGAATAGCAACGAAGCTCACGACATCGGCCGCTTTCGAGCGTTTGATGTTGAGGACAGTCCTGGTGGAATCAGGCGTGATTCTTGCTCCATCTGGAGAGAGTTAATATCAAATGGTTGCAGCGCCAAACCACTGACCGGAATATCGTGACCGGCTGCACGACCACAAGATTGGGAGCACGACATCATGCCTTGTGCTTCTCTGGGTAGACGAGGCACCAATCGTGTTTCGGCATCACGTGGAAGACATGACCGACAAGAAGTCTATCAGTTTCCTGTCAACGACACTCAGAAGTACGAAGGTTGTTGGGCCATCTTGCGAAGGTCAGACGATTGATAACTTTCAGAGAGTGCATCTGACACTCGGACAAACAGCTTACAATATGCGCCATGCACACTGTAAGCCCGCAAGATTCCGAAGATACCGACCTGCCGTGGTGGGGACTCACCTATAGCGGCCATCTTTACATGATCATTGCCATTGCGTACACACAGGATGGGCAGGTTCGTCTTTGCCCGAACTTCGATTATTTTCCGACGATCAACATGTACGACGAAGTGCTGCCTGTGTGGACCCCAATACTCTACATGCTCCTGGACAATCTGAGCATGCAACATGAATAAAGAGTCTCCGTGACGCGCTCACGGTGCAAAGTTCACCTCTTCACTACAAAGAGCGTCACGCGCAGCGATAATTGGCAACTGCGCCCAAGACGTTTCAAAGGTATATGTTTTCCCAACTTGGCTACTCTCTTTTCTAACACGGGACTGAGAACTAGGCTGATGAGGTCACTGGCGACGCTCCTGGCGCGCCCTCCTTGTGCATGTAGCTTATCCAGGATCAGTCACAGCTGGGTTCGGATCTGCTGGTGCTCTAGATCGCTTCATCTCGATATACTCGTCCAGGTGTGCCGCAATGTCGTGGACTCTTCCAGGCCAAGACGGTATATGGCCCATTTTGGATGATTGTGGTACCACGCTCCAAACGCTTGACGGTCTTGCTCTCAAGGATAGGTCAGAGCCGCCGCTCTTTTCAACTCATCAACCGCACCTCTAATCTACGTGTCTAGGCTGCAACTCTATCACGTGCAAACGCCATGTCTGATTGGAGACTTCGTCTGGAGATGGCTGGATGGGGGCGACAAGTGGAAGGAACTCATACAGATGGAAAAGGAGATGGATGCCCACATCCAGCCTTGCCTCTGCTTTGTCCTTTTCGCCCTCGTCGTCGTTGCGCTGGAGCACCAGCGCACACACAGCGTCCTATGATCTCGCTTGCAGCTCATCTACTTTATTCGTGTAGTGGATTTCCTTGGAGTCGAGCATGTAGCTTGTGTTTATCTTGTAATATTGTAGGCCGTGCTTAATCCATTTCCTCGGACCAATAATAGTTTGTGAAAGATATTACAAAACCCAAGGGTTGGTAGCTCAAGGACCAGTTCCCAACCAGCGGAGACCGGCCGGCATCTAATCCTTCCATCCCCGTCTTTTCACATCGATATCTCTGAAATATGAAGGAAGTCTTCAAATGGACTCGGAAAGGAGAGGAGAAAAAGAAACAATATTCAGATTTACACAGTGCCTCGTTGGGTTCAACCCCGACTACCGTAACCACCGTCGCTGGTGAATCTAACAGCGCCGCTGCTTCAAGCATCACCGATACAAACTCTGGTCTCTCTCAAAGTGAAATTCGAAATGGATAGCCCACGAAGGTGTGCCAGCAAGTGAGCCGACAAGGGTGCACAAGCGCATTCGTGGGTTGAAGACGGAGAATGATCTCAGGTTCTTAGAACTTGCAATTGGGACGGATGATCCTATTGTCGAGTATGTGACCCAAGTCACAATATCTGCTGATCTTGCTAATCGGCTGACATCCTTATTCAGTATCGTTGCAATTCATGGCTCGGATGGGCACAGAGAGACAGTATGGACTGCAGAAGATGGCTCCGAGACTTCCTGCCAGCCAACATACCCAAGGCGCGAGTTCTCACCTATGGGTACAACGCTGCTACTCACAGTCAGAATTTTGTATCAACCAAGACCATCTACCAATACACTAACGACTTTATTCCAGCATTCACAAGAGTATGCAAAGGCGCTCCACGGGTGAGTGCTTGACATACCGTGCATCAGAATGTTTAATCTGCTTCTAGAAACCCATCATTTTCGTCGCCCATAGCGTGGGATGCATCATCATCAAGCAGATTTTCATAGTTTTGAGTTTATGTTGGGGTGCCCTGCTAATCGCTCCAAGGCTATGGTCTACCGTCATACCCAGAGTCTGAACTTGTTATGCAATCATCGTGGCATCCTCGACTCCACACACTCTATTCTCTTCCTCGGAACTCCCTACTCGGGAGCCAAAGGCGCCGCTCTCCTGCAGATGATGAACCGAATCTTGTCCGTGTTCATGGGGACATCTGATGCCATTCTGCAACATCTCAAGGAGAACTTGCCTGAGCTCAAGAATATCCAGAAACTAGATGTCTCAGCGAGCGAGGGGATTTATGCTGTGGTCTTCTATGAAGTATACGAGACTCCAATCATGGGTGGTAGATGAGAGATAGCAAGTATCCACTATATTCTCGTACTTGTATATAACCTCTACATAGATTGTGCCGTGCCAGGTTGCTACAATTACCGGGGCCACAGAAGGGCTCCCTGCTGACCATTGCCAAATAGTCCAGTTCTCCAATGAAACGCGGTCAACCTACAAGACGGTTCTCGTCTATCTCGGTGACAGGATAGAGGAAGCGACTGCTACTGTGGAGAAAATGTGGAAGTTGAAAGATTCACATTGAGATCCGCTGCTACCAGCGATCATCCTTCCTGTCTGAGGGTCACCTAGGTGTCACTCAAGGAATTATCCTGTAGTGGACGTTGCTCAGCGTGAAGGTGCGATGACATTAGTGCAAATGACGCCTGGTGTAAGGTTTCGAGGATTTCTCCTCGTCACACATGTCATAACCGCACCGGCGACACTTGTTATCCCTTCCCCATCATACTCCTCACCCTTCTCTTCATGGCCTCTATTGCATATACCCTCATAGCGACGGCCTTAGCACATGCTTAGCTTCCCATTGCTCTTTCCTGGTTCCAATGTTTACCCTTGCTATATAAGACTCTATGTACATGTCTTAACTAGCAGAGACTTTCCTGTATCCTCCCACGTTGATACCCTCTGTCAGTAAACGGGTTTAGACTGGTGAACTCGCTTGTCCCGGCTAAGTATTACTCACTTGGTGTCAGGAACGGCATAACATAACAAGCATGTCCGAAAGGCAGATCTTGCAGATCCGGCACAGCCATCGGAGCGACCGACAGCCACCAACCCGAGGCACCGACTCACGTCACTAATGCCCTTGCCCCACATCTTCCATCTTCTACACACTTCCGCATGGCTCCGATAATTTAAAACCTTCCGACCGCCTTCAGAAGCAGACAGCTTTGACCTCTTGTCTGCCTTCTGAAGGTATGCTCCTATTTTCATGCGACTATGTACAGTAACTAACTAAATATACTTGTCTGCCTTCTGCAGGTTGAGACCTGACGTAATTGCTCTGGCCTCCGAGAGTCAAGGCTCAGGCTCACGCGTATACCACTCGTGACACTTGGCCTCGCATAGCCCTCGTACTGGTGAGTTCTCTCTGTGAACCTCACAACAAAGAAAGACAGCACGCACCGTTCGTCATGAGGTTGCTTGATTCGCAGTCTTGATTGTCAGTGGTGAATTCTCCGATTTATTTGGATTTAAATGACACGAGCGATACAAGAGACAATAGGAATGAGCCTTTCAATTTGTTACTCTCCCCAGCGCGTCATTTTCATTGCCCAGTTGATGGGCGAACTCTCCAAACCTTGAAGTCAACAAGATACTTGCCTTTGTATGTATTGCTGTTTGCACCAAAGTTGTCACAGTCACTTTTTCGACCGCGCCAAACTTTGAACCCTCCCCAAGCCTCACGACGCTGGCCTGTTATATAGATAGCTACATTTTTGGGATCTTCATGTTTGGGGCAATCCTTTTGGAATATAGAACACCGCTCTTCTGGAGATTTTGCACAGGCCTAAATACTAAAAAAGTCTATCTGATTACATGAGGCAGCGAGCAGGACTCTGGGTGCTTGCAGCACCTCAATACATGCTTACGAGCATGATTGGGGCCTATAAAAGTAGCAATCACAGGCCCCCAACATTCTTGTCAAAACGACCTCTGTGCAAGACGTTGCCTAAACCATGCCCAAGCGTGTCAAAAATACTGGTATGTCTAGATAGTATGCAAAATGATTCGAATTATGGCTGCTAAGCGTATCCAGATGCATATGCACCATCAAATCGTCGTGCTTCAAAATCTTCCCAGTTTCTGACTGGGCCTGCCTCGAATCCAACTACGAGGTCAAAGACCAGGGATAAATTATCAGTATCCTTCGTTGAGACGGCTGGAGAAACCAATCCCTCACTCAATCCTGCTCCTCGTCTGGCCACCTCGACTTGACAAGCAGCATCTGCTGGTCAAAGCATCTGGAGAGCCGTGCATCCAGTTTCTGTGCAAGCTCCTCATCATACTAGCGCAATACCTCCAATTTTGGCTCTTTCAACCGTAGATGGTGACGAACAACGCCCTATAGGACACTACCAGGCCAGCCCTGGTGTTCCTGACGTGGTTACAGACTTGTATGGTTATCCTGGCGAGCCAAATATGATTGACGAGGCCTCTGTATCAGATGCTCTGTTGACTTTTGATCATCTCTCCGCAGCCAAGGAGGACAATTCTTTCATTGATCAAGATACTCATATCTACCCGGAGAGCTATTCACTGGATAAGCTGGCATATAATAATGATCTAGCCGAGATCCTTGACAAACCATTCCCACCTTCGAGAGCTGGAAAGCGGAAGTCGACAAGGACAACTCCAAAGACTGTTGGAAAGTTCGATAATGCTGAAGGTACTGTTCATTTACCTTCTGACCATGCTTTGACAATTGATAGTCTTCAGTGTCAACAGCTGACTTTGCATGGGTGGATCCAAGATTGGGAAGAGTTTTGTCACCAAGAGCAATGTTTCCTTTGCGCAGTTCAAGTCTGGCATTACCAGGGAACTTGGGATACTTGAGACGGTAGTATCCCTTTGCTACAAGCTGAGCTTTGCCAAATCGGCACATTCTCTTGAGCTTCTCAAGAACGAGGATTGGGCCAGGCTCATTGGAGATGCGCGATCATATCGTAACAAGCCAAATACGCAGCCTAATGGAACACAGGACGCATGGACTCTAGAGCTCAGAGAGATTGCGACTGTTGATGACAAGCCTCAGGGCTCTAAACTAAGTGTAAGCAGTACAAACCTGGTAACCTAAACTGATTCATTCCATAGAAGAAAATTGCAATGAGCCTACACAATCAGACCCCTCCTGCCGAGGTGTCATCTGCTGCGTTGGAGAAGAAAATGGCAATCAATGCAAAGTTCCAGAAGCTCAATGCAGAATATTTTTGTCAGGCACATAGAGGAACCTACTGTCTCATCCCTGACAATGGGATGGCTGCGACATTCCACAAATATGACCTGAAATTGGAGCATCTGAAGATGTCGGAGACAGATAGGAATAAGTGGGCAACTGCAATTGTGAGTAGAGAGGTTTCTTATAACTGCAAGCTAAGATTTCCAGGCAAATGGCACTGCAACTCTCACGACACCAAGTCGGACTGTCCTTGATGGCATCTGTGCTCATGCTGCTGGAGCACTTGCAACCCGGAACTTGCTTCGAGAGGCAGCCATTCACAATATACCACCTGTTCAGTCGCCTTCAAAATATGCCTATACATCTCAACGGCAGTGCGATATGTCAGTTCCACTCAGTAGCAGACAGGCATCCCCAGTGCCAGTCATTCCTAGTACAGTGCCACCAACACTGCATGGTACCAGTTCTGGGGATGGTGAAAGTCCTCTCTGCTCACTAGCGGTTCAAGAATGGCTGAGGAAGCTCGACAACAATCCAAAGCGCCGCCGTAGTACAAAGCTCTGGATTGAGCTGAATTTGATCTTCACCAATGAGGAGATCGAAACTGTTGGGGATCTACTGCACCAAACGATTGAGATCCTCCGCACTATTGGCATCAAGGCTGGTGCTGCTGGAAATCTTCTCAGTTATGCGCAGGAGGACGTCAGAAAGTCGATCTAGTTATCACATGTTCGCTGTCTAGCGCTTTCATGGTCAAATATGCGCTCTATTCTCATCTCTTCGAAGGTTCTTGTGCAAGGTTCTGGCATTGCAGAGAGTCGAGTACAACCCATGGACTCACTCCAGTGATGGTGAAACTGTGAACGCTTTTTTGAGGCGTAGAGAAGTAATCAGGGACTGAGAGAAGGAAATGGAGGCGAGCGGGGAAACAGGGCGCTAACAAGCATCAAACTTAGAATGGCAAGGAAATGGCTGAAATTTGAACTCTGGTGGTTTTTCGTGTAAAGGGTAGGTAGATTACGCAGGTTTATACACGTGCGAGAGCGCCAAATGGAACGCGGAAGGATGGGAACAGAGAGTAGGAACTGAAAATGAGACAGTGCAGATCTACTGCAACACGTAGAGAGTTTAAGGGACTAGCTAACCAATCCCGAGAGTTCCTGCTGAGCTTGTCCCCAAAGGCGCGAGGGCGTTACAATGGCTGGAGTCAGAGTACTCCAGCACGCAGAAACCACCCAAGTGCATGTAGCCGACTAACCTGCTGACACATATCCACAAGCAGCTCTGGCGCAGCTTGTTGATTAGACCATGCATTGTAGACCTCGTCAGCGTGGTTCTTGCACCAGGCCTTCATCGCTGAAAAACACAGTTCGATTGGATTGAAATCTGGTGAATAAGGTGAAAGATATTCAATTCGAACTCCTCTACAAACGCGTGGTGAATATATTGAATGAATTCAGGAGAACTGCACACCTTTCTCAAGCTCGATTGAGCCTTTCAGGATCCTTGTGGATTCTACAGTTGTCCATGATGATTACCGAATGCTTAGGATGTGTTTATGCAACGCATGGGTTCATATGTTCCAGGACTTCAAAAATGAACTCATTGAACGTCTCCATATTGAAGACATTTTCAACGATTTTCACGTGAAGAATGCCTTCTAAGCTCAATGCCGGAAGGACCGAATAACTGTCTGGAAATTTAGAGAGAATTGCGCGTTCAATGGGGCTAACCTTCTCCCTCGTAGAAAGCACACCTTTGCTAGAGCCTTCTCACCCTGGCATGCCCATGCCCGAGTCTTTGATGCAGTTCTTTGATCAAATCTTGACTCATCGACATAAACACGCTCCCATGGCTTGTACTGCGCAATGCGAGCAGTAAATTCAGCGCGCATTTTGTCATTCCTCTCTTTAGCAGCTTTAGTGATCTGCTCAAGGTGATTAAATCTAGAAAGAGCATTGGAATTTTCCTACTGTTTTGCGCGAGAATTCAACCTAGACGAGCGTGCGATAAATTGTACTCTTGGAGACCTCGATATCCAAGCCAGAGCTCAATTTCTCCTTTATTTCACCCAGATAAATGCAAGGATTTCGCTGAATGAGCCGTATCATATACTAGTGGAATTATCAGCATCTCAAATGATCGATGAGAGATGCAGTACCTGAATAGCATGCTCTTTGAGCTTCTTAGAGATACATAAAGCTCGTTCTTTACGCTCGAATTGAAGTCCATTAATCCCTTGTTTGATAATTCGATGGACAGTGCGAGTTGAAACATAGAATTGAGCAGCTACCTCTTCAACAGGGCGCTCAAACGACGCTTTGACGATTAGATGTCGAATATCTGCTGAAAGTCGTCTCGCCATGGTAAGATCCTGAATGTTGCTGACGCGTGTTCGCGGTGCTGCCGCTGCAAGTTCAGCCTAAAAACTAAATATCATATCAAGGCATTGTATAAGGAATATAATATACACACTTTGGGGCGATTAAATGACCTTTTGCACAGGTCGCCGAAATGACCTGTGCAAAACATTGCTTTTCCTGCACGATAGAGACATTTTGAGATTTCCCAAACATGAAGATTCCAAAAATGTAGCTATTTATACGACAGGCCAACGTTGTGAGGCTTGGGGAGGGTTCAAAGTTTGACGCGGTCGAAAAAGTGGCTGTGACAACTTTGGTGCAAACAGCACTAAGTAGCAGAGACTCTCCTGTACCCTCCCACGTCGATACCCTCCGTCAATAAACGGGTTTAGACTGGTGAACATGCTCGCCCCAGCTAAGTATTACTCACTTGGCCTCGCATAGCCCTCGTACTGGTGAGTTCTCCCTGGGAACCTCACAACCTGAGCCGCCTAATTTCTGTACACCGCAAGCCGTGAACTTCACTGTCTGAGAGTAAGTTGCACGGGCAACGGCTTACAAGGATAGAGAGAAAACAGAGAAAGAGGCGAGGTTGGCAGGGGTCACAGAAGACAAGGGAGCAAAAAAGAGCGGAGGACTAGGTCGATTTTCTACCTGTCGTCTCTAGCAAGATGTACAAGGGGTTTATATAGCTAGAGAATCCAGTCACAAGCCAAGCATTAGAGTGTCACAGCAACTGGTGAGACGCTGCGCAGAGATATGAAACCTAATGAGAGTGACAAGAAACGTGTAGCAGTAGAAATAAGCGAGATGAGGCATGATTAACTAGCAAAAGACGGGGGTTGAAAATGCGGGAGTCAAAAGAATGTATAGCTGATATGTCAACTCCAGGTTCAGAGTGGGTGCAGGTGGAGGCACTATTTGTAACAGATTGACTCTATGTGCGGAGTCGTAACTGAGTCATACCGTAACACCTGTGATCTTTTGGCTGGAAAGTCCGACCTGAAGCTAAAGGATAGAGAGCTGCTATTATCAAGCAACACCCAACAAAAACAGTCCCCTCGGCGTATATGTCATTTTTTCATTCTAATTCGACGGAAGGCACGCCTTAAATTAAAGCATTAGCCATCATATGTTTCGAATCAAAGCGGTCAGGTGATCGACAAACTTCAGGTGCGATATCTGTCGCTTTTGGCGGCATATTTGCTGGTATTTTGCACCTCTGATCCAGACTGACCATTCCCAATGAGGTGGTCCAACGCGCGGTCCAAGTCCTAATAATTATCGTCATACTGCCATTACATGGTCTTCCTCCAGGAAATATCAAGTTTAGTCTTGGTTAGAGATTGTTAACATGAAATACGTAACCATAGCAAGCCGTTGGAGGACGTGAACGGCTTCCTATATATTCTTGCACCGTTTCTTGCATCGTACCCAATATTATGCTTCATGCTGTGCAACCCACGATCCTCGGGTGAATATTTTATGAGAGTAGTGGCACGAAGCACAGCGTATCTCTCCTTGCTTCCCATCAGCATTCCTTTTGAGCCTCCCTCCGATGCCATCAAGAGAAATGAATTGTTATAAAAACACACATAGTAAGTACTAGATAGGTTTTAGTGCTCCAGCGCACGGTCCACGGTCGTGGTCAAGTCCAAGTTGTTGACAAACCAAACCATGTAGATAACGAGGCGCAAGAAGGCGCTTCGATCAGTAATACATGCATTTGATAACTAACTTGAGCTCCGACGGCGGGGCTGCGGACTGGCGGCGGCCTGACGCGGAGTCGGCCAGCCTTCTAGCCCGCCAGGTAGGAAAAGGTTTTGTCGGAAGAGTACTTAGCTGTACCAGCTAACTGAATTCCAAAATAAACGCCTGATGCGATCGAGTTTGAGCCACCGGTGTCGTCGGGGGCCCTGAAAGGTTGGACCCGACTACAGTCTCCTTGGCGGATATGTCAATTTGTATTCTAATTCGACGCAAGATATTTCGGAGATACGATAGGCACCCGCTGTATATTTCAAATCAAAGTGATCAGCTGAGTGACAGTCTTCAACCGCTCAATCTCTTGCTTTTCGCAACACAATCATTACTCTCTGACAATTTCCAGGGTACAGATTCACTTTTGGGATCAAAACATGTCCCATTATGTAGAGCGGAGGTGAACAATGGCGAATCGATGGAGACGCAGATAGCCGTGAACAGAAACACAGGCTGGGAAATGACATTTTAGACTGGCTGCGGCCCCACATTACCCAAATGTTCCTTACGTCGCAACTTTGATTAGCTGCTTCTCCACCTCAGGAACTCCAGGGCCGCTCCGAGGCCACGCACGGGTACAACACTCAGGCAACTTATAACTAACCACACGACGCCACAGAGGCGGCCTGGTCGAGTGCATCGCAACGACGGCTTCTTGTGCCGACCTGACACAGGCTACTCGTGGGTTGATCGTTTTGCAGTCTACATCTACTTTCCCCGAATACTCTAGTCTGTCGTCCCCATGCTCATCCACAGCACGCGGTGTCGACTTCGAGAAGAGATAAGAGGAGCGACCCTCCGCCCTCGACAATCCCCACGTATCTCAAGTGGTAAAGTTCGTCAATAACAAAGTTGAAAATATATATTCAGAATAAAACAAGTGGGTACTCTATACTCCTTGTTCAAGTATTGCACACTTGATATCAAACAATGTCGGATTCTCAAGCTGAATCGGGTGCGCAAGATCTGTGCTATTCCGAAAAATGTCCACAAGCGTCTTTGTACCATAGCCTTGATACTTTTTCCAACCTATGGATAATAATCCGTCATTGGGTTTGACGATGAACGCACTCCAGGCCTCTTGCATGTATTCAACGGCCAACAAAGGAAGGCCTGCCGTATTATTGAACAGGACAATCTGGTCGGACCCGTGCCACGAACGAAGAGGTGGTGGTGAGAGGACCGGAAAGACGCCCATGTACCGATAGCGATAGGTGGAAACCTTTTTAGATGAGTAGCTGTGGGACCCGTGAATTCATTTACGACCGAGCTCTGCACACCTACTTCGCTTGCTGCGCATCCAAGCATCTAAATGCGGCAAGGGTGAGCAAATCCGAACGTGTCTCGTTGAGCGTGTTTGTTGTACGGTTAATGACGAAGAAGTCCCCTTCGTTCTCCGTTGTTCCGGTTAACAATGGCTGTGTGAACATCAATATATTATCGCGGGAAGTGACGACGGTACCTACGACGCTGGCAAACCTTCCAGCCGCCCCTCTTGCCCTGTATTCAGTAGATGGATACAAAGTTTGGTTGTCCACAAAGGGAGATATTCTTGATATATTATTTGTGCTTATGGCCTGCCTAATATCAGCCGCCGTCTTGGTCCTGACGCAGTCGAGCTGAGCGGCATAGTTGTCTTCGATCAAGGGGCATCCAAGCGAGGTTGCAATGACTGGGAAAGGATTCTCGTCTGACGCGGATAAGTTGGGGACCTCCACTTGAGACAGAATATTTGCAAGATCTGCCTGACCACTCATTGTAATCGCACCACGGAGGAGCGGTTGATCCGGGTATGCATACAGATACTCGGCTACACTCGCTGAGCCCGCTGACTGACCACCCAGAACGATATGCGCAGGATCACCACCAAATGCTGCTATGTTTGCGGCCACCCATTCGACGGCTGCTCGTTGATCGCGTAGACCAGCATTAGTATCGTTGTAAGAGAGAGCAGGTGATTCGGCATAACCGTAAAAATTGAGCCGATAGTTTATCGACACAAAGACAATATCCGGTCGCGCCTTTGCCCACTTTGTGAGATCATTGACTAAGAGTGGTTGATATTCAGCCATCTAAAGGGTAACAATTTTTTACATACAGTAGCCACTGGCAGTGCCAGAAGTCCATGCGCCACCATAAAGCCACATAAATACAGGCCGGAGCTTGTTCGCCGCAGGTGGAGACGTCCATACGTTGAGATAAAGACAATCTTCACTCTCGACGCTATAGATTGGCGTTGAGACTGGATTTTGGATGCACGAATTGCCAAATCTCGTCCCATTGCGCTCGGTTTCAGGGGTGAGAATCGGCCGAGGTGCAAGGAATCGGAGCGGTCCAACGGGCGGTTGAGCGTACGGGACGTTGAGATACGCATATGTCGTGTCCGAGAGGGCTTTCCCTACAATCTTTCCTGCTGTGGTTTGAACCACCGGGACTTGTTGTGCAAAGCCGACAATGGCCAAGCACACCGACACTGCAAACGTTTCAAGGGTGAGTCGAACCATGATATTTACGTTGCTACTGGGACTCTCCCTTATCTTTTATAAGTTACTGCGGGCTGCGGAAGACGTCAGCGGGCATTTCTTTGAAACTCCGAAGGGAAGACGTCCATCAGAGAAGTATATTCAAATTTCTCCCCTTTGTTGGGAGATATTCGCCTTTACTCTCTCTGCTCATGTACACTGAGCATTGGCAATTGGCTCTGTACTGTGCTATTAATTGCGCTGCTCTATGGGTCACGACGACGCCCAGATTGCTCGACAGGTTAGGCCGCTACAGGATGACAAGGAGATCCGCTGCTACAGAATCGGAGGATCGTTGCATTACTGATTATATATTCTATTCGATTATACATGCATTATTTATCTTACCACTTCCATTCATCTACTCATTTGAGAGAAAGGATCCACTAGACACTCATATGAACTCGCAGTTCATTGAGCACGGCACGTTTTAAATGTGTATAATCGGTCCTGGAACTATGAGTTGGAGAAAAACTGCGTCTTGGGAACGGTTTCTTTCTTGTACGCAAGTAGCTGAATTAGTTGCGAACCTCAAACAAAGTACCATGACAACAAGATATTGGCTGAGAATAACATCAGGTAGGAGATCGAGAGTAATTCCGAGTTGGTAATCAAGAATAGTGATGTGGGAGTGATTCGGTGGATACATAGTCATGATGCTCGCCAGAGAAAATTCAACATTTATGAGCTCTGTGCTAGGCTTTCATATAACTAGATCACAGAGAAAGTCTATCATCATCAACGTAGCGCAGGATGCAAGCCTGCGAGGAGGTCTATCAGATATACTTGCTTTCTTTGGCGTCAACGAGGCATCTTCATCATTATAGAGTGCTTCTGCACAAGTATAGAGCAATTTTCCATACACCTCACGAGTCTGGTGCCTTGGGTTAGGAAAGTTCGTACTCTGTCTTGGTTTGTACAAGATGTGATGCTCGATCAGTGGACCATGCGGTCGTGTTTGTCATCCCTCCGAGGATCATTCGATTAGTGTAGTCCAGTGGATCTCAAGGCAGTGCTGTGAAACGAGTAAACGCCGAGACCCTCAGGGAAGTGAATAATGAGAAGCCGTGCACAGTAGATCCACTGCGTCGATTACATATACATTGAAAACTTGGACTAGAGAGGGTTCTCATTGAACAGCTCATCGGACCAAATTCAACAAACGGTAGACTTTCATAGAGATAATAGACCCTATCAAGTTTTCTACTTCCTTTCACCACGTCTCTGTCATTACTATGGTCCTATTCGCATTCTTAAGGGATTGTGGCAATGATACCAGCTCGGCGGCAGTCACCTCGGGGATAGATCGAGTTATTGGGGTCAACATCGTAGAAGATATCACCACGGAAGGTAGGAGCAAATGTTGGAATGAGGTTGTCGCAGAGGTAGAACTTGTTGGTTGCACCATTGACCGAAAGCAGCCCCCTTTTTGCGTTCTTGGAGGGTGCCTAATCAAATCAAGAGATAATATACACGGAGCGGAAGCAAGCGTAAGTATCGGCAACCTGGCGGGAATAGGCGACGTACATCAATACAATAGATAGGGTACTTATACACTGGGTTGCCGACTAGCACTCGCTGGAACGAAGGAGAGGTGTTGGCGGGCACCGGATTATCCGTCATGGTGTAGATTCGAACTTGGGCAAGCGACGGGATCAGTACCTTGTCCTTGAGATACCAGCTGTTGATGGGAATGGCACCGCAGTTCTCGTTGCAAGTCTAGCATATCAAGTTAGATTCATCTTTAACCCGAAATCGTAATCATACGAGCATAGTATACGTGTCGGCCCCATCCGAGATGAGCTTGACTGGGCGAGTATCGGTCGCATTTGCTAAAGGGAATACGGAAAGAGTGATGCTATCAGCCGTGCTGATGCAGACAGCCTTGACGGTAACGGCGGCGCTTGAGAGAATGAAAGTAGCAAAAGCGGCGCGCTTCATGTTTTGACGGAGAGACTACAGGAGATGCGTCAGAGTCCTGAGAGAGACTAGAGATTTCTCCCACTTTTATGCTGGGCAGAAATGCATTCAAAGTCAAGCAGACCAGTGAGGGGCGAGAAAACCCGTACTCTCGCCGACATCAATTGCCGTCAGGAGCCTGAAGCCACACGCCAAGTCAATTGAATGACCAATGGTAGTAGAAGGGGCAATTATCCGGAGTGCTGTGACTGATACATGAGTAGTAGAACGCGGAATAGGGACTGCTCGAATGTACGACGGGCTTTGATCACCCTGCCCGAGTGAAAGTACAAAGGCTATGTTGAATTGAACATACTTTCCTGCGCAAATCGACTTTCGAGGCGCCCACTCAGACTCGGCGCGCAGAGGTCATCGACGGCGGAGGTCAAGTTGGCCGGGCCACTTATCCAGCCCGAGCCCAGAATTCAATACATTTACTTCGTATTCCGCAGGACCATAAAACGTCCATTTATCTCGGGAGCAGGGACGGGAACACCAGGATCTGTAGAATGTTTAGAGTTCGCTTGAGGCCCAAAAGGCATTCCATCAAGTCTTGGTAGTCGCCATGCATCCGTAAGATGCGATAGGTAAGTTGATACGGCTGCATTTACCTTTCAGAGGGAACGAGGGCGTGCCGGTCCGGTGAGGCTTGATCAAGGCTTTGACAGGCAACGAACGCATCTAAACGCCCATTCGCGGCGAGAATTCTGGCCGTAGTGCTACCCTGGTCAAGCTATAGAAAAGGAAGACGGTATCAGGGACAGGTAACTCTCGCGCGGAGACTATTCTCATTATCACAGTAGCTTGGACATATCACACCGGTTGATATCTCGCCTGCCTCTCAGAGGATCAGGGGCTTGTTTGGCCGCCAAACTGTAAGTGTTACGGGGAGAGCTCACTGATACGAGGCTTTTGCGGGCAAAGTATGAGATCTAAGCGGGCCGAGAGGAATTCACCAGTCAAACGATCCGTAGATTGAAGCGATGTCAACTAGGGAGGGGTACAGGAGACTCTGTAGATAATGCTTGTACATAGGGATCCTATATAGCGTTCCAGTGACCATGTGGTAGAGAATAAGCGATGGGAAAGAGGGGTGGCTACTTGTGGACGATGACTGCGGCTACAAGGGCCGAAATAAAGGAGGCGGTGACGAAGGGGACGAATTGATGGTAGTCTTGACGAGGGTAAGGATGAAACTCGTACCCAGAGAAGAGTGAGCGACGAGGCCGATGCCTCGGAACCTTACACAAACTAACGCATTACCAGAGCTAACAGGAGTGCTTTTGTCATCACGCTGTATCAAAACTCACTCCTATAGAGGCTTTTCTGATCATCTACCTATTTAATTGGCTCATGAACAGATGCGAGGTTAGAATTTACGGCTATTTATGTAAAGGCAGAGATACATTCTGGTATAGCGCCTTAGCAGCTGCCCACATTCGAGTAAATGCAGGATGACGAATCAGCACCGCTGAAGACTAGTGAGCAGTAATTATAATTAGAGAAGACACGCACCAACCAATCTTTGTTGGCTCATTTCCAGGTGTCGTGCTTTGATACTTGGAGCACATATCTTTGAACAGTCAACCAGTTGAATAATACAAGAGAATAAGACTGACTAGGGACGGACGGCTTCCAGTTGAGCAGACGTTGGTGAATCTGGCAGTGTCGCCCCAGTTGGTGTTGATTCCGACACGCGAGCTACCGCCTTCGAGTCTCGCATTGTTCACAATGACATTACGCCGGTACGACTGAGAGCAGTTTCCACATCCACGATATAACTTGCCAAAGTCGCTAGCATAAAAGTTGGAGATAGAAACTGTGCCCCCTCCGTTGTGTTGAAAGCTGCTCAGGGTCAGCTTGGTCGGAAACGCAAGTCAAGTCACTCACATTTTGTCGCTTGCATGGAATGCGCCACCACCAATGACATAGGACACGTCTCCAGAGCCAGTTTACTTAAAGGTTACTATATCTTCGCAAACGTCTTGCCACCAAATATTGACAAGTCGGCACGTTCCTTTGCGGCATTAATGTCAATGCTATCTCATTGAGCTGATTATGTACCTCTACAGTGCTGCAAAGTGCGTTAGCAGAAGTTCTGCGTGCCGCGCCGTAGAGACTCACGATTCCTTCCGCTTGATCGGCACCAATGATGACATTGGAGATCGTTGCACCTGGCTGAAGAATAAACACTGCATCTGACTCTCCCCTCTCGGTCTGTCCTTGGCATGTTCCCGACGAGCCAGCCCGGTCGTATCGTTTCATTCCGCCATCAAAGGACCCCGAAATGACGGATGCGGTGGGCAGTGCAACCTACCCAGAGGATACCGGAAGCTTTTTAGTGATCCCAGTCGGCGTTGTTGGTGTCGTAGCCGTACTTCCCTTTGTCGTCTATGTTGTCTTTGTAGAGGTTGCCGCACCCGGGAGGCCTAAGATAGGCTCAGGGATATAACGTAGTCGAAGCATGAGCGCAAACATTGAGAGTACCATTCATCTACTCAGAATCAGTAGGGCTTGAGGAGTTGAAATCTGCTTACTTGAGTAAACGCACGTTGCACCAGAAACACCTGTTCTCTGTTAATAGCTAGACAAGATGGATAGAATAAAGCTGCACATGTTTTCTCGCCTGAAATGTGTTAGCTGCGGTATGTCAAGAAAAGTCAACAAATTACCAGTGTAACGACTTCCCCCACAATGACCTGGGAAACGGTCAAACGATTGCTCTCACCGAGCTAAGGAACCTACCATGAAGTGGCTGAAAGCAGATTTGAGTTCAGAGAGTCAACCGGATAATCGGTACACAGACCACGGCCGCTTGAGCAAGCAAAGGAGCGAGGAGAGTAACCAAAGCCAACGAGATCATATTGATGAAAAGCTTTGACCGATGGCTGTAGGTTCGATGGTATCGTCTTATATGCCCCACAGCACTTGAATAGAACGGCCCGCTCACTGTGTTGTTGTGCTTGTCAATATTTGCCGAGATGGGTCCCGCTATGTGGAAACTCCGCGATATTGATGCGGAATCAAGATTTTTTGGTAACATGTTCATCTCGGGACGCCTTCGTCGGCCTTGGCAAAGCCATTAGGGTGACCCGCCGAGATTGCTACCTCCATCTACGCCGGCCTCTGATCTTCCTGAATGGCGGAGGGCACAGAGTACTCTACGGGCCGTTTCATCTTGGCAAGAGAAGGCAGGATATTCGTCGCGGGTTTTTACCGTATGTACCTGCCAATGTCTTGGGAGATGCGATGGTAGTCACGTCTAATATCGCAAATAGAGAGCTTTAGAGGGCTAAATCGGACTCCATGAACTCGCAGTGGCAGCATTGACTACCTTGCTTTCCGCCACGACCGGCCTGTTTCATTCGACGCGTGTAAGACGCTCGCTGACCAGCGTGCTTCGCTTCCTTCAACGCTCTGCCACGAACGTGTTCTTTATTTTCCACTCGCGTCAACTTTGTCGCGCCAATTTGCTGTTCCTCATGTGGTTTCCAACGATACGAGCGTCTACTCCATCTGTACACCAATACCCATCTAATCATGTACATACTCTACTTTATTCTCTATCCTTCGCTTGTTCGTTCCGCGACGCTCGCTCTCCTTCGTCCATCGCAAGACCAACGTCCTCTGATTGTGCGTCCTTATTCTCCCTATTCCTGGAGCTTTGCTTCGTCATCATTCGGTTTTCTACACGACGTGGTCGCGGATTCGTCGTCCATCTTATACGCCGCGACTGGCCTCCCGTCTTGGCTCACACTACATCAAGACACTCTCTCGTTTGTCGGCAATGTGCCCTCGACCGCCGGTTCTTCGAGCTCTACAATCGTTGTCACCGCCTCGGCTGCTGGCCAATCCGTCAACGACACACTTCAACTACTGTGTAAGGATTGGCTCACCTTACAGGTCAGAGGCCGGCCGACCAGGTTAGGAATACCTGAGTAACGGGGTTCATAGGAACTGTGACGCTTTAGAGGGAAAAGAGGGATACTATAGTCTAGTGGTCTGACGGCTAAGTCGGTGCAAATCCGGCTTGTTCCATTTTCCCACGGCTAAACGTTACATGCTGGTATCGTCCGAGCTGGAGCCGCAAATCGCCATCCCGATTGCCCTACAGATTCTGTCCGACAATGCAGCACTATCCTCTGCGTTTGTTGTTGGACCGGGTTCAGCTCTCGCACCTTACTTCTGTACATCGACTCCCCGCGACGGAAAGGCTGGTGTTTGAGTACCTCCAGGATGGAGCTTCTCGATTGGTCTAGGAGGTACCTTTATGCCATGGCCACTTCTTTATCAACCATATCTCGCAGACAGGAGACCTTTGCCCGATTGGATTCGCTACGAGGCACTCTCCTTCACCCTCAATGGACTTGCGCCCTCGACAGACCTTCTTCAAGTAGAAGTGCTGATCATGGCAACCGATGTCGCGGGCTACTCAACTAATGCTGCCGACTCGTTTTGGATCACTATTGCCCCTGGCGACTGTGATTCAAGAAACGCAACTGCTGGGGTATCAACCAATGTCACCGTTGGTGAATATATCGATGTTCGAGTTTCAGAGGAACTACTGGGACAGGTCGCTCTCGCGGGTGGCACGGCAACTCCCTTAGGCGTTGATATTGTAAGTCCATCGTGTCGGATCCGATATCTACATACTTATCTGTCGCAGGGGCCTTCTGATGGCGTGACATTCAACCAGATGTCCCGCAGACTCACTGGCCCAATCATGAGCGACAGCGCATTCGATATCCCAATCAACATCGCCAGCGGACGAAACACGACGCTAAATACCGTGCTTCATCTTCTCCCTGTCCCGTCGCTCTTTATGACTTCGAACCAGTCGCTGTCCCCAATTATCACTGCGAGTTCCAATACAGATGCTGAATGGAGCGTCCCCCTTAAGTCGTTCCTCAGCGAAAGCGGCGTAACGCAGATGTCAAACCGCCAAGTGAGCCTCTCTGCTCGACTCGATCGGCCCTCGAATGCGTCTTTGCATCTCGATCAAGAGTTATTCGATCTGCTCATTCGTCATGTTGGCTCGGATAAGAGCGGACGAAGTATGTCAATACAGCTCCTCGGTCTCGCGGCTCGAAACGTCAATCCTCAGACTTTGTTACTCAGTAATGCAACTGCGAAGCTACCACCAATCGGTATCGTCGTAGCCGCTTTCTCGTCTGTTTCTACTACCAACTCGACTCTGCCTCGAGGTCAACCCCACCATTCATACCGGCTGCCAAATGCCCGATGAGAGATGCTCTCCGACAGTTTCTCCGCCAGACACTCCCGAGTCGCCACCTTCTCAACGAAGGAAGAATCGTTGGGTGGACGTTCTGGTCGTGACGCTCGTCGCCGTAATCACTACGGCTCTGGCCGTTATTTGCCTCTGTATGCGAAGCGGATGTCTTACCGGGGCACTTTACGGCTCACAACATATGCGAAAGAAATCTCCCACCGATAAAGTTAGTAGAAACGCAGTGGATATGGGCAGTAAACCGGGGAGCATGGACAAGGTTTAGAGAAGAAAAATGGACAACCTCCCTGTACGCCAAGCTTCGATGATTACTATGACGAAAAGGCGACACAAAGCGAGATGCAGAGCAATCATCTTAGGTCATCGCGGGCCGTCCACGATATAAGTACCCCTTGTACCGGCATAGCAATTGGCAACATCCGTTGGCGAGGTGAGTATTGATTAAATGAGTAACGGCGGCTGCTAAGTTAGCCAACAGTGGAAACTCCAGACGGTGATCACGATTCGCCCATTCCCTCGGTAGAAAGCGAAGCAAACCATCGGATCGGCAGAACCGTTCCGAAACACGCTTTCTTTGCTGGTGTTCGCAGCCCATTATCCAGTCCTGTCGATGGTAATCTACCGTCTGTCTCAGGCTCGCCACCAAAAGCGGGCTTATTCAATAGCATTGTGCCGATGCTTAAAGTGTCGTCCTTGGGATCTCTCCTTGGCTTAGGTAAACCTTCGTCTTCCAGTAGCTCTTCAAACTCGCTCGGAGTACCGAATCACTCTAAGTCAATAGAACCGCGCGATGCTTTAAAAGCCACCATTAGCAAGCCTCACCTTGAAGAGCTACTTAGCCCACTCAGGGGCGAGTCCCAACTCGAAGCATCTCTGCATCCGGGCCCAGTCGCACGACAAACCAGCGACGATGGTGGTGTCGATTTTCAAGCGGGCACAGCTATCGTCTATCCAAAGGAGACACGCAAAATAGAGACGACCTCGCAAGCAACCTGCCCCATAAAAGACCCGCTTCCGGATACAGCTGTTCCCTTGTTCATACTCGGGTCACCTGCACTCTCTCAGGAAATTCCAGCCTTGCTTCGAAAGCGATTAAACGAATCCGAGGCGGCTGGGTACGTGAACGAGGACTTCGGCACCTCTTCTCAGAGTACGATCAATGGTGGTGGCGACGACGTTGCGGACGGGTACGAAAGCTCAAATGAGTCACATTTTCAACCAGGTTCGAAATCTCCTCGACTGATCCACTTGAATTGCTACCAGGACAGCTGCTCCGAAAGGCCGTATACATCAGCAAATCGGTCCAGTCTGGCTCGGTTGTGCTTGCCACTGTCACTCTCGCCGTCCGATCTCCAGACGTTGCAGGCGTCAAGCTCGTTCCTTCACCGAAGCCGATTCAAAAATCTCCGCTAGGCGACTTTGTACCACCATCCTCTCCTCTCACCGAGCTCGCATTCTCGGATGAATCCCCGCGAAAAAATCCTGGTAGCAAGTCACGTCTCGTGGAATTCGCCAACGAGGTACAGTATGACGCTGGGTCCTCCAGCGACGGTGGCTATCACTATAGATCCTACGAAGGGTCGCGAGAATACAGTCAGAAGGCAGTAGTGGGTGGACTTTACGGCACTCCTCCAAGTTCGTGGATTAGATCGATCAATCCGGTCATACAATCTCGTATAGCCGTCATCTCACCGGCCGCAAATACAAGGCTGGTGGATCGAGTTTTGTACCTTCGTGAACCGCCCCGCCATAACCGGGCGATTCATCAGGTCTCCATGGAGCCCACGGCTATTAGTCGGATGCCATCTCAGCACCCACCTGATCTTCCATCTAGCGATGGCTCTTTCCGAGGCCCAAGGAACCAAGTGATACCTGAATATACCCTCTCTCTGGCGTCGGACGGAGAGAGCCCAACGAGTGGTTATCATCCGAGCCCAATGCCGCCTCCAGTTAACACCCAGCTCACTGAAAAATTGCTGAGCGTGACCAATGGAGAAGGTTCTGAGAAGTAGGTTTCGATTTAGCTTCTAACTACCACTGACTGACGACTCGAGCTCACAACCTGCGGCCATCTTGAGAGAGCCTCCCCAGATCCCACTCCCCGCATTGCCGCCTCATAGCTCCAATTACTTCGACGTAAGTGAATCTTCCTCAGCATCTTCCAGCGATTCAGCGATTCTTCGACACACAGGCGGCATGGATCGTATTCTAGTTTGCGCCAGGGGCCATTTCACTTCCTTGCCCCTCTCCGACTCGGGCAGTTATCTGTTCTTCTCCGAGTAATGCCATAGCGCTTGACGACGTTTTATCAGGAAAAACTAGTTTGATCCTTTGTAATCAAAGTGGCGAATATTATGAGGTCTGTGAGCTATTCTGATATGATTCAAACACTAAAATATGTAGCCATTCTTTCCTGCACGCCGGCGGCCAGTCGTGTACAATTCAGAATTTAATGGCAAGAAAATCGAACTCGATACTGTCCCTCGTAGGGCACTCGGACAGCTAAGGAAATCGGCAATAGCGCCGCGGGTAGGAAGTCTAAATCTATGAAATTGTGATTTGTTATAGAAAATATATAGTCCTACTATTGTACGAGGTTTCAGACATTTAGCATCACTGGCTGTGGCGCAGTGGTCAATACATTTCGGCCACTTTTCCGGTAGGGTAGTCGGACAAACAATTCTCAATTAGAGCCTTGCGCGCGCCAACGACGCCTCTTTGGATTATTCTAAGACGTAAAATTATCGATTATAAATACTCTCTGTATGAAACTATTAATGTATCCTATCAGTATGCAGCGTTTTGTCTGACCAGCTTGAGGAACTCCTCGCTTTACAGCTCGCCTGCCGTTTCAGTGCCATTTCCCAAATTACTGATAGCACTAGGGGGTAAAATAGACATAGATTGTCTCCGTGTGCTCTCTTGGGTGCGGAGCGCTCTTGCGGTAGCTTGCTGAGGGACCGTTGGAGGTGAGCCTGATGTATTTGTCAAACAATAATGAAAAATATGATATTTTGACAAGCAGAAATCTCACCTGCAAGCTGTCGAGACTGTTCGGCCACCAAGGCAGCAGAGTGTGGCTTTAATGAGTCTCTGTCTGCTTGTACTGACGTTTTTAGTGCTGATTCTGGGATTTGGAGTGTGGAAATGCTGTTTTGTGCTGCATTGAAGGCTCCTTGATGCCGAGCGCTGCGGCGAAGAGGAGCTGTGGTTCCTACATCTGTTGTGATGGATGGTAGATAGTCTTCTTCGCCGTTTCCCAAGTTCAATTCTGAATCTTCTGAATCATCGTACAGATGCAGATAGGCAGCCTCTTCCGCGTCAGAGCCACTCTCTGCATGCCTGACTGCGTCAGGGTTCTCTTGTGCAGCGGTCTGCTTCCGTTTTCTGCCGTTTCTGCCTCCTTTCCCGACCTTCTTTGCTTTAGCTGCCTCCTCCTTTGCTCTAATGAGGGCAAGTTGGTCGTCTTTTGTGAGCACTCGAGCTGTACTTGGAAGCCAGTGATCTTTTGACTTGTTCTGGGCGTGCTGATGAATCTGATTGTTCAGAAATTGGACCTCCTGCGCCAATATTGACACCCTTTCATCGTTTGCCTCGATCCACCTTGCCATCTTGATTGCCAACTTGCGCATGGACTCATACGCCTCCCAGAGGTCCGAAACCTCTGACGCCGGGCTTGGAATGTCTGGGAATGTCTGGGAATGCTCTGATTCTGAATTCTGGAGGCGAGTGAATTCCATTTCCTTCGTACATAGCTGTTATTGACGTTGGCTGCTCTATCCTGGATGTAAGCTACTTTTTACTCGAAGAACAGGCTTACCTGAGCTCATAATGTTGTTATTGGATGAATTATTTCTTGCTTCGTCATATGCAATTGATTTCATATTGTGATCCTCAGCTGCTGGTCCCACTCCAAGAGACCCCGCCACATTTAGATGGATGGACGTCGCACGAGATAGGCCAAAAGCTTCATCAGGTATTGCCTCGGGATTAATTTGCCATATTCCCGTCTTTACAAAGGCTGTCCGTATGGTTGATTGGGTGAAAGTGGCCTGTCTTGCCCTTGCGTACGTTGAAATGAGGGTGTAACGTGACACTGGAATGCCTTTTTCCCAGCTAGCATCAACTTCTTGCTTCCAGCGTAGGTCTAGAGGGCCAAATATGCCAACATCACATGGCTGTAGCCAGTGAGTGGTGTGTGAGGGAAGACACAACACCTCTATATTGTGCTCCTTGGAAAATTCAAGGAAAGAGACGGTTTTATGGGAGTTATGGCCATCCAAAATTAATAGTAGAGGGGCATTTGGATCAGTAGTCTTCCAAGTTTTTGGCTCAAAGACACGCCGGAGCCAATCAAGGCCTAGCTCTTGATCTGTCCATCCATTGTAGGATGTTGCAATTCTATGCAGGTGAGATTCATATATAAATTGAAAATATGACTCACACCGCATCCATCCCATAATTCTCCTCCACATACCACTTTGATGACTGACGGGCGCCTTTGAAAATAATCACGGGTGATATGTATGTGCCATCAGCACATACAAATTCAATGATAGTTGTTGTATCACGCTCATTTTGGCCAATATTTGTTGCCTGCTTCTGCCCACGGCTCACAAAGACCTTTGTTTGCTCTCTTCCACCACACACAATCATTTTTTCGTCCATATTAAAGATTTTCTGTTGTGGCATCTTCCTTTCAGTGACTATCCTTGACAGCTTTGCATGGAAGTCCTTCACAATTGTTGGATTCATTTGGTGGGCACGCTTTGGATTGAGCTTGGAGGCACGCTTTGCTTCAATCTTGTCACTATGCGGTATGACGAAGTTTTATGCCCACTTTTGGCCAACTTTCCGTCCGGCTATGGCATTTGCTTTGGTTGAAATTGCTTGTCGGGTCAATGGCACACCACGGGCCCCCCAGAACTGAACCCACTCTAGAAGGACCAGTTCCTGCTCCGATGTGAGTGCCTGTTGTGACTCATGTACAAATATTGGCGCGACACGCCCTCTATAGGCATCATACACAGTTGACTTGGGGAGTTCAAATAATCTTGACGCTTCCTCAAAAGTGGCCTTTCTTCCTTTTGATGTCTCCATCTTTATCCAGTCGATACACTTGGATATTGCCTTAGAGCGGTCTAGGAGCTTTGCTCTACGCACTTGAGGAGTGAAGGGCTGAGGTGCTCTCCTTTTAGTTGGCTTGTGAATGGCCATTTGGGGATATTAGGGGGTAGAGAGGAGCAGAAATATGCATAAACATATATTTGTTACCTTAGAACACCGCTGTTTCACTTGTTGCTCCGAGTGTCACACTAGTCTGCGGGCGCCTACCACGCCCTCACAGTAATCCAGCCCTGGAGTATCATTCACCGCTTTGAATCATTTATACATGGGCCAAAGACTATTTTGAATTCAATGCGGAGCGGAGCTATGCACTTATTTACATTCAAATGCCATTGTCCGGAGGTGAGAGTGGCGACGGCTCTGCCGAGCACAGGCGCTCGTTTCAAGTCCTGAGCTCGTGATATACAACTCTCAAATTGTCAATATAGATATAAAGAGTACTTACATAGGTTCATGTCGGGATATGGGCTGTAGAGAAGTCAATTTTTACCAAAATGTCCCTTTCTGCCTCTCCGGGGGTCGAGGCAATACATCCCAGGACCCGTTCTCTCGTCCTTAGGTAGATAATATGCTTAAATATATTTGATATAATTTACAAGCCCCCTGGATTTAAATTGCATTTAGAGGATCACTTATCCGAGTACCATTCCTATCCGACATCCCTACTAGGGACAGTATGTGGGATATCCCCCCACAAGACGATTATACTCGTCTAAGGTCATCATACTATCCAGACACCGACATTTTCGCCTTCTGCTTTGCTGTGGACCGCCCGGAAAGCCTTCAAAGCGTTTGTGACAAATGGGTTCCCGAGATACTCTACTTTGGTATGAATAATGAATCATTGTTCATTCTTGTTGGTTGCCAGGCTGACCTTCATACATCCATGGCACGGGTTAGCTTACAGAGAGTACAGTCAATTCAAACGTCCATTCATTCGATCAGCTATATAGAATGCTCAGCAAAAATAAACAGGGCATCAAGGAGCTCGTTGAACCCATCGCGAGATCATCGCTGGAGATTCCCGTGGTGAAGGAAAGGCGGCGAGAATGTGCGATTCTATAAATATAAAAAGGGCCTTCCATATTTTGACATTATCCTGGATCCGACCTTGATCAGACAGGTTCCGTGCCGTGATGCTTGCCCCATGATTCGTTGATGACATCAAATTTTTGACGCAGCTTGGTCCCAACGACAATGTCTCAGTACGAAAACGAGTCAAAGCCTGATCCAGCTGGCACAACTAGCGCCATGTTGGAATTAACCGCAGGTGCTACCCAGGATTTTACACCTGTCAAGAGTATTTGCGCGTTTCTGAATGCATATCATGTATATGCAGACGATACGACGCGTCCTCCAGTAGAGGCATGTCACTACTGTGCTCATGTAGAGCCAGAGATGCGCCAATGCATCGTGAGCCACGAAACATGAGCGTGACCCTTGCTAATGACTAGATCTATGATTCTCCTCGCGTAAACGCACGACTGATTGGAAGTATGTATATTCATCTTTCAACATGAGTCGATTTAATTCTACTATAGTCGAGTATTTAATCTCTCCGAAGCTCTATCAAACACTTCCTCAGGAGGAGAAGAAGTTGTGGCACTCTCATGCATACGAGGTCAATCAGAACTTGCGGGTTTTATCGATACTCATTAGATATAGGTCAAATCTGGGATGTTGATCATGCCCAAGCCGGGTGCCGTGCCCGGTCCCGTCTGGCGAGCAGCGGAAAATAAAGAAATGGAAATGCTTGTGGATTGGTATGGAAAGACGTCAGTGGCAACAATTGATCACATATACTCTTCTGAGACTGGCTAGGTATCACCTCTGGCAGATTGATCGAGGAGATCCCGTTCCGCTGGGCCAGCCGATGCTCATGGGATCCTTCACATCTGACGAGCAGCTTGACGTCGAAAACCTCGTCAAGGACCGCGACGAACGGTACTCAACCAGCACCAGCCAAAATCGTGCGGCACGAGCATATATCCCGACGCCCGAAATCGATCCGAGTACGTATTCCTCGGGCTTGTGTTTTATATCTGATATCCGTTGATAGACGCTGATAACTGGTGGAATGCCCGTTAGTCCACTCAAGTAGAGCAGTTTTACATCCATAATAGAAGAATTTACCACTTGATCCACTATTTGACACGAGTTTTATCTAACATGAATAGTTGTGAAGCGTAAATCGGATCGCCCAGTCTGGGCAAATTTGACGAACGCCGCTTTTGCAGGGCGTCAGTTCAATAATATAATGCCTCTTTTGCATCTTTGTAAAAGGCGAGCTCCCGATATTATTGGCTCCTGGGAAGTAATAGTGGTACCTCAATCGTCCACCGTCCACCCGAGAGACTTTGATATTGATGGCTAGTCAACATTCCAGGATTTGCACAATTGTTCTACAGCTTTTGTCAACATTTATGATTATAACTCAATTGCCGGGATGCTAGGTCCAAGGATCCGAACTGCACTGCAGGCTGCGTAGAGGGTTCAAAGTGTTCATCAAGTGTCTCCTTTTACCTTCATAAATGCCCACATGTTATTACCTCACCCAATTTTTTTTTTTTTTTTTGGTGTGTATTACAGGGCAGTGGCGTTGACAGGAAGTCTTGTGAACAGGGTGCGTGGAGTAACTAACTGCAAGACATCGTTAGAAGACGCTTACGTGTGTAATCCCAAGGTACTACTCGGCCTTTCGCCTGAGTGGAATCCTCTCGGTAAGGAGAAATGGGCCGGGGGCTATTCCCATTTGGTAGGCCAATAAAAGACCAAAGGAAGCAAATAAATAACCTCGAGCATAAACATCAGCGACCGTCGAGGTGGTTTGGAAATCAAGCCCCCACTTCGAGGTTGCCTTGATTGCTCGCGCCCGTGAGACGGAGGAAGCAGGCTCAATCAACGTGAACGTAAAGATCGCTCTTGTTACTATAGGCTCACGTCGTATTAGCTCCTCAAGTGCGCGTGTGATTACAACGCCTAGTGTAACTGGATCAATTGGTCGAGTGGAGTTTGTGGCGACGACAAATATGGATACGTTGAAGGACACGTATTCCAAATGTGTAGCGATATCAGTGTCTGCGACTACTGCATTTGCAACTCCTGCCAACAGTGGGAGGGACTCTCGCTCCTGCTCAACAAATCGATTGTCTTTGCTGCTCAATGCATCATAATTAACTCAGAGGCGGACTCAAAAAATGATGATCGTGTTGGTGCCTATTTCTACTATGCATATCACAAAAGTCGGGCCCGTTCAGCAGCATGAAGCACCTTTATCCCCTTCCGCAGCAACCTGGTTGACCGTGTCCCGTGAGAAGACAAAGTGGCCAAAAGTACCGCCCAGTATGATGGCAAAGATTATGTAGCCACTATACATTGTCAGGTAACCTTACAGAAGGAGACGGCGGGAACTAACTTGTAGTACATCGCAAGGAGCATGAGAATATAAGCTGCTCCAAACTGAACGCCAAAGATGGTGGCCCTCGTCGCTTGCTGAGGCCATGTGAGGGCGAATGGGACTCTACATTTCGGCCACCGAGTGAGTGCAAGGTGGTCAAAGAGGATCATGCATACCCCGATCCAGGCTCAGCCTTTGCCTGGTGAACTTTTATGAGGCGGCGGTCATATTCACGACCGAACCGACGGACTCCCTCGACTAATGCGACGAGGATGAAGATGCAGATGACCGTAAAGGCAAAGGCAACTTTATCAATGTCAGCAAGTATGCAGGCTTTGAGAAGAGTCGCATTCACCTTCAGAGCGAATGTGCCATTGTGTACTGATGAAGCACGCATCGACTCTGTACCAGTTCCAGAGCATTGAAATCTTTGAGGAAAGAGTAGTGAGCAAACAATGCCAGAGCAAGCTGCGGTTACACACCTTGCACACATGTGCCGGCATATCACCTCCCATATCCATATTGAGCTATCCTTTGTCTGGCGAAAGAAACGAGACGGAAGAGGTTTGGAGGGGCAAGCCTGAGCAAGAGAACGAGCAAGCACCCGGGCCTTATATGGGAGGGCAAGAAACGAAGGCCAGATGTGCCGAGAGCGGCTAAAATGGCTCTTCGAGCGGATTTCGCTGGGGCTAGTCTTGCACACATGAATGGAGGTATACAGATAAAAGGTTCAGGGCGCATGTGTGCTAGACCCGGCCGTCTGCTGGCGATACGCGTATATGACTCTTGTACTTGGACACATGCTGGATTTCAAGCGCCCCGTCCATAAGACCAGTCCGTGTCAGGTGAGAGATGGCCCTGATCGCCTCTTTGCCCGTCCCGACGTCCGACATGCGGTGGCGAAATTGACTCAGGTCGAGCTTCGGTCGACAGCTAGCATCTTTAATGTTATTTCAAGCGGATATCGCGGTATGAATATCGCTTGCCCTCCGATAGTTGCCTTAAGCAGATCTCACGAAGCGCTATCAATCCTAGATGAATCGTACGAAGATAAGAACAGCTATACCGCCGAAAAGATTTTCAAAAAAACAACAGGAGAGCAGAGGTAAAGATGAGGGATTTATGCCATCGGCGTTTAGCATCTGCTCAAAACCGGTTCTCTCGTCAAATGGCTTCTTCTTGATTAATATTGCTTCTCCGATTGGTTTCCAGACATCTGGATCATCTGGTTTTGGGACTTCCACTAACCTACGCCCTAGTGCAAACGAGGCACTTTCGCCTTTATAACCAACTGCTCCCATTTCGCGCCAACTGGCCATCGCCCTCTCCTTACAATGACAGGCATTATTCGTCGCATGCACACCGGAGGCACTATCGTCAACGGACACTATGTTCCTACGATGGACGAAATGATGGCATATCAAGCAGCTCGCGGCGCAAGGTGGGAAGACAGCGTTACCTATGGCTACGGCACTGTCTGGTTCTGTCTGGCAATTCTCGCCATCTTCTTTATCGCGCGCTGGCTTGAGATGATCACATCATGGACAAGGTCAGCATCCTTGAACACTCGTCATGTGATCAATTCGCTGAGCGTCTATTATAGGGTCAATCAAACTCCACATATCGTCCCAGAAAAGCTTGTTGCCCTTCTTCGCGTATGCTCCTATCCGCGTCTACCCTACTCGATTGCCCGCATCGTCAATGTCGTATGGACCATTGGGCCGTTGGGACCCAATATTATGCTGTTCATCGCACTCTTGTTCACGAGTCTTTACTGCTGGGTCGCCAGGCACTATTACAGTACACCATTCTGTACGTGTACTGCGCATGTGTACACATGGTCTTCCTTTATTGACAAGAGATAGATGGCAGCCCTCCATTGGCACTGCGCTCGGAGTGGATTGCGACTGCCTTGATACCTTTCGTCTTGTGCGTGTTGAATTCGCTGAAATAACAGAGAGGCTGAATGTTAAGCACAGCGTCCTTGGAGCGAAACGAAATCTCATCTCCTGGGTCGTCGGTACGCCACGGTGCATCTCGCTCTCCACCGTCGATTGACCAGTTGATAGGCGTCTCTCACGAAAAGCTTCAAGTGTTTCATCAAGGAGTCGCGTTCCTGATTGGTACGCTTGGCAAGCCCCAATGCCATCCCGCTGACACCTTACCCAGTGTACATGTCTCTTGTTCACACAATCTCGATGGTCGTTCAAGCGTGCTCGTAAGTCCCTCTCTCCCCTCATCAATAGGGGGAAATAACCGAGTTTCTGAAGCGAACGCCCGTTCCGTGATGCATACGTTTCCGATGTGAGTCCTGAGCAGAATCGCTCGTGACGTTGTTGACACTCGGCAGTATGTTTGGTGGAGTGGATTCGCGGCGCTGGGTGCACTCCTTTGGTTGTGGTTAGGAAGCCTGCCAGTGCTTCGCCATCGTCTCTACGAAGGCGCCTATCTCTTGCATATCGCAGCGGCCATCAGTCAGTTTCAATTAAAATGCGTCCATAAAATTACTCATATCTCTTCTTAGTGTTCATTGGATTCTTATACTATCATGGATTTAGCCTGCTTGATACCGAGTGAGCTCTTCGTGCTATCGAGTTTGCGGTTATGCTTACCTTGCGATTACTAGCTTGTACATGAAGATTACTCTGGGGCTCTTCGGCTTTGGATTCCTCGCCCACTTTGTATACATGGTGATCACCAACGTTCTCTTCAAGCATCGTGCCCAACTCTCCCTCCAAAACGGCTTCGTACGTGTGACGATACCGACCAACCTCAATTGGCGACCTGGGATGCACATCTTTGTGCGATTTCTCCATATTCGCCCGTTCGAGTCGCATCCATTCACGATTTCATCGCTGCCCGGTGCCGACGCGAAAGACGGCTCCAAGAACAACGAACTGGTATTCCTGGTAAAGATTGAGTCCGGATTTACCCACTCTCTGGGTGACTGCGCGGCGCAAGAAGCTCTTACACGCCAGTTCCCCGTCATTCTCGATGGTCCATATGGAGAGTCAGGCGCCAACACTCTTCGCTCCTACGACAGCGTGCTCCTTCTTGCTGGTGGGATGGGACTGACGTTTATTACGCCTATCCTGTCGGATCTTGCGCGCTCTATGAAGCAGAAGACGGGCATTTGCAAGACGGTGGACGTCGTCCTTTCTGCAAAGCATCGTGGTAAGTATAAAAATGTCCAGTAATAGTACGGAGCTCACAGATTATCTATAGACGTCGTCAGGGCCTGCGAGGCACAGCTGCTTGGAGCCCAGAGTGTGATTCGCGCGGCGGGAGGTACCATCGAGTTCTACGTCCACATTACTGGAGACTCTACCGGCGAAGAGGGACGAGTCGAAAGTCGAGAATCGGAGAAAGAGGTGGCATTGGACGACGGCTCTCTCGGCCAAATCATTATCGGACGCCCTGATATTGCTGGACTCGTCTCCTCAAGAGCCATGACCTGGAATGGGTATACTGCAGTCGCTGGTGAGCATTCAATATCAAATTCTCTGTCGAGGTGCTCACAAGAGATAGTATGCGGGCCGCTGTCTTTCCTGACGAGCGCGTCAAACGCGGTCGCAAGGGCTCAGTGGGACATTCTTCGAGGGCGGGCGACATGCAAGGAGATGTTTCTTCGGTCAGAGACATTTGGGTGGTAAATTGAACGAAGAAACACTTTGAATTTTACGAAATACAAGCCGCACGTACATAAAAATTAAATGAGTCTGACCAACCTTCGCGCTCGAGACAAAGCGACTCATGTCCACATCCCCGACTGGCGATACATGTCGTGTTCATTCCCTCGGATCTCTTTATCCGAGTAAGTAAGCGTCCTCGAATTGCGGTGGACTCATGTGAGCGAGACTGTCCTGATTGCCTTTGTCCGGGGCAAACTTCTAGCAATCGTTGGTGGCAAAACTGACTCACAGTCGAGATTAAGAGTTTGGTACCTGAGCCAAGAAAGGCTAGCTCAAAGTTGTAATATCCATACACCACGAGCATAAGAATAACTTTAACCCAATTATTCTGCCGAGGAGCCGACACGTGATGGTCCATATACATGAGGAATTATTTTATGCGGGGATTGGCAGTCATCGGCGTAGAAATATGATAAAGGGCCAATGAGGGATTTATGCCATCGGCGTTCAGCATCTTCCCAAACACCGTCGGCTCCGAAGTGACGGGGCCACAGCACTTCTCGTTAATTTCCTTTCTACTATTGGCTTCCAGATGTCTGGAGAGCCCACTTTGGTGCCTGCCGCGCCATCTGACTTGAGACCTCATATCTATCTCGGTGGCATCCGAACTCCGAGGCATTTTCGCGTGTATTCACGACATAAAATGGCCAATGGTGCTCAACCTCACTATCCACTTGTTGTCCCTTTCCTTCGCCATGAAGACCATCGCTCGTCGTATGTTCCTCGGGGGTTATATGCTCAACGGACACTATGTTCCTACAATGGAAGAGCTCATAGAGTATCAAGCAATGCGTGGTGATCGCTATGCAGATAGCGTCAAGTATGGCTATGGCACCGTCTGGTTTTGCCTTGCGACTCTCGCCGTCTTCTTTGTGGCACGCTGGCTCAAAGTAATCACTTTGTGGGCGAGGTAAAATTCTTATAATTTCAATCACACGAGCAACCTGCTGAACGTTCGCCCTAGGGTCAATCGGACTCCACAGGTCGTGCCAAAGAAGCTCCTTGCCCTTCTGCGTCTATTCTCCTATCCGCGTCTACCGTACTCGGTTTCCCGCATCGTGAATACTGTATGGACCATTGGGTCTTTGGGACCCAACATTATGCTGTTCATCGCACTCTTGTTCACGAGTCTCTACTGCTGGGTCGCCAGGTACTATTACAGCGCGCCATTCTGTACGTACATATTGTATATGCGGTGTCCCTGTATTGACGAGCGGCAGATGGTAGTCCTCCATTGGCGCTGCGTTCGGAGTGGATTGCGACTGCCTTGATCCCGTTCGTCTTGTGGGTAGCCATTCTGATTGAATGACGACGGCGCTGAATACAATGTACAGCGTCCTCGGAGCCAAGCGAAATCTCATCTCCTGGGTCGTCGGTACGCCATGGTGCCTTTCGCTCTCCGTCGTCGGTTGAACAGTTGACAGGCGTCTCTCACGAGAAGCTCCAAGTGTTTCACCAAGGGGTCGCGTTCTTGATCGGTAAGCTTGCCAAGTTCCAATGCCACTGCGCTGACGTTCACCTAGTGTACATGTCTCTTGTCCACACCATCTCGATGATCGTTCAAGCATGCTCGTGAGTCACTTTTGGCTCATTAAGAGATGAGCATACCTGACATTAAAATAGCGAGCTCCCGTTCCGTCAACACTACGTTTCCGATGTGAGTCCTGAGCAGTCGCTCGTGATGTTGTTGATACTCGGCAGTATATTTGGTGGAGCGGATTCGCGGCGCTGGGTGCACTCCTCTGGCTGTGGTTGGGAAGCTTGCCAATGATTCGGCATCATCTCTACGAAGGCTTCTATCTCTTGCACATAGCGGCCTCTATCAGTAGGTTTCCGGCAAAATGGATTGGCAAAACCGCTCACTGCTGCTCGTAGTGTTCATTGGATTCCTGTACTACCATGGATTCGGCCTGCTTGACACCGAGTAAGCCATTTGGAGGAAAGTCGCGCGGTTAGGCTCACCCTGAGATCACTAGCTTGTATATGAAGATTACTCTGGGGCTCTTCGGCTTGGATTCCTCGCCCGCTTTGTATACATGGTGATCACCAACGTTCTCTTCAAGCATCGTGCCCAACTCTCCCTCCAAAACGGGTTCGTACGTGTGACGATACCGACCAACATCAAGTGGCGACCTGGGATGCACATCTTTGTGCGATTTCTCCATATTCGCCCGTTCGAGTCGCATCCATTTACGATTTCATCGCTGCCCGGTGCCGACGCGAAAGACGGCTCCAAGAACAACGAACTGGTATTCCTGGTAAAGATTGAGTCCGGATTTACCCACTCTCTGGGTGACTGCGCGGCGCAAGAAGCTCCTACACGCCAGTTCCCCGTCATTCTCGATGGTCCATATGGAGAGTCAGGCGCCAACACTCTTCGCTCCTACGACAGCGTGCTCCTTCTTGCTGGTGGGATGGGACTGACGTTTATTACGCCCATCCTGTCGGATCTTGCGCGCTCTATGAAGCAGAAGACGGGCATTTGCAAGACGGTGGACGTCGTCCTTTCTGCAAAGCATCGTGGTAAGTATAAAAATGTCCAGTAATAGTACGGAGCTCACAGATTATCTATAGACGTCGTCAAGGCCTGCGAGGCACAGCTGCTTGGAGCCCAGAGTGTGATTCGCGCGGCGGGAGGTACCATCGAGTTCTACGTCCACATTACTGGAGACTCTACCGGCGAAGAGGGACGAGTCGAAAGTCGAGAATCGGAGAAAGAGGCGACATTGGACGACGGCTCTCTCGGTCAAGTCATTATCGGACGCCCTGATATTGCTGGACTCGTCTCCTCAAGAGCTACAAGCTGGACTGGGTATACCGCGGTCGCTGGTGAGCATTCAATACCAAGGTCGTGATTGTGGTCCTAACCACGGTTAGTATGCGGGCCGCTGTCTTTCCTGACGAGCGCGTCAAACGCGGTCGCAAGGGTTCAGTGGGACATTCTTCGAGGTTCGGCGACGTGCAAGGAGATGCATCTCCGGTCAGAGACATTTGGATGGTAAATTGAACGAGTAGAAGCAAGAGTATCGGTCTACAATGAATAAATGTCCATGCTACGTACAATCGACCGACTGGATAGCAGAGTGTAGAGTAAGACGGCCGACACGGCGTCGCCCCGATCGTCTGAAATTGTTGAAAATAAATGCTCGTGACTTTGAATCACATGACGTGTTCAATGCGCAACCCGTGATTTGACGCCCAAGCAAAGGATCCATGGCCAACCGGCAATGGATGACCGGGTCCGGGACGATAAACTGGGCAGAATCCGCTGCCAATCACACATTATAAAGCTGTCTACTCCGGTTAGAATCACCCCGCACAAACATCCTCTCCATCTTGGACTCCACCTCTCCCGTCGCTGCTTCAACGTCACAAAGCGCGGCATACAAGTCCACGTTATCTCTTCTGGTATGCATTCCTTGCCACCTGCGTGACTTTGTTGTTGATCCCTATCGCGTTAGCCACTCATCCCGTCCAAATTTCAGCAACCATGAGCTCAAACAGAGTCATCGTCGTCGGTGGAGGTCTTGCTGGTCTCTCTGCCGCTCACACGCTGCTCGAACGCGGCGCCTCTGTCCTTCTACTGGACAAGCAAGGGTCCGTTCTGCTGCACAGTCGTATACGCGCGTTGGCTAACACATCGTTGCTCTGTTTAGATTCATGGGTGGAAACTCTACAAAGGCTACCAGGTTTGTTGTCTATGGCACCAGTTCAACCCGCTGACACTGGCGCTTCAGTGGTATCAACGGTGCTGGAACAAACTCTCAGCACACCCTTGGTGTTCAAGACTCTGCTCAAATCTTCTTTGACGATACCAAAAAGTCGGCAAAGGACTTGGCCAGAGACGACCTCATCCGCGTCCTTACCGGCAACTCTGCCTCTGCCGTTCACTGGCTCCAGAACAAGTTTTCACTCGACTTGTCAAAAGTCTCTCGTCTCGGTGGTCACTCCCAGCCCCGAACGCACAGAGGTGGTGCCCAGTTCCCTGGAATGGTCATCACCTATGCCCAGCTTGAGCGTCTCGAAGACTTGGCAATTGAGATTCCAGACCGCGTCCAGATTCTCAAAAAGGCAACAGTCACAAAGCTCATCAAGGATGGAGACGTTGTCGTCGGTGTCGAATTTGACTACGAAGGTCAGACCCGCAAAGAATATGGTCCCGTCATTCTCGCAACAGGAGGATATGCCGCCGACTTTACCTCGTCGAGTCTGCTTAAAAAGTACCGACCCGAGCTTTGGGAGCTCCCGACGACCAATGGCGAGCACTCGACAGGAGACGGCCACAAGATGGCAATCGAAGTCGGAGCCGCGGCAATTGACATGGAAAAGGTCCAAGTCCACCCTACCGGTCTCGTAGATCCCAAGGACCCCGAGGTGAGACTTTCCCATTCTCTCTAAACCTTGTTCTGACAATCCTTTCTAGGCAAAGGTCAAGTTCCTGGCCGCGGAAGCACTCCGTGGAGTCGGTGGTCTCCTTCTCGACGCAGAGGGTCAACGCTTTGCCGACGAACTGGGAACGCGTGACTATGTGACTGGCAAGATTTGGGATCTCGCCAAGGCCCCAGGAGGCGCAAAGAAAAAGTATCCCGTCCGACTTTTGCTCAACGGCGAGGCGAGCAAGGAGATTGAATGGCACTGCAAGCACTACGTCGGCCGTGGCCTGATGAAGAGGTTTGAGTCTGGCGAAGAGGTTGCAAAAGAAATGGGCCTCGATCCCAAGGTCCTCAAGGCTACATTCGACAAGTACAACGAGGGAGCGCGAGCGAAAAACGACCCATTCGGAAAGAGGGTGAGTCTCAGCCTTTCATCTAGACACTGTCTCACCGTCTATTAGTTCTTCCACGGCGGCGAATGGAAAATGAACGATTTCTTCCATGTGGCTCTCATGACCCCCGTTTTGCACTACACCATGGGTGGTCTCGAGATTGATCCCGAGTCGCGCGTCATCGGCACAGACGGTACTCCAATCCCCGGTCTCTTTGCGGCCGGTGAGGTCGGTGGTGGTGTCCACGGTGCCAACCGGCTAGGAGGATCGAGTTTGTTGGGTTGCGTCGTCTTTGGTCGCGTCGCTGGCGACTCTGCTGCCGCCTATCTCCTTCAAAACTCTGGCTCTTCTTCTTCCAAGGCCGCATCGCGTCTTGGTGCCGTCGCAGGACACCTCTTGGAGACCAAGATTATCGTCGACCCACAGGGCTCCAAAGTCAACCTCGAGTTTTCGTGGAAAGGCGAAGAGGGCTCGTCAAAGCCCGCTGCTGCTCCTACATCGCAAAAGCCTGCTGCTGCTGCTCCAAGCAAGAGCGGTGCAGGTGATGCATCCGGCCACAACCCAGAAGCCAAGGGTGCTGCACCACCAGCGGCCAAAGCCGAGGAGAAGAAGGAGAGTGCTGGCGGAGCTCAAGGTGGTGAATATACGCTCGAGGAAGTTGCCAAGCACAATACAAAGGATGACTGCTGGGTAATTGTGGATGGCAAGGTGCTCGACGTGACAAAGTTCTTGCCCGACCACCCTGGAGGAGAAAAGGCGATCCTCCTCTATGCTGGTCGTGATGCCACTGAAGAGTTCAACATGCTCCATGACCCCAAGGTTATCCCCCGCTATGCGCCCGAGGCGACGATTGGTGTCCTGAAGAAGTAGACACGGTTGGTTTGTGTTTTCATCTCTCTCTTTCATTATTCGCTGCATGTGTTCTACATAATGTTGTGTCCAATCCAAGCGTCGTTTACACGATATATCCACCCGTCCATCAGCGCCGTTTCGACGCGTGAGTAAATGTATATTCAAGCTTATTTCTCGACGTTCGACGCCGTTCTTTTGGCGGCATGCGCACCCGCAGGGCTGCGAGTGGTCGAAGAAACCATTGACCGCACCAAGTTTCTGGCGCCATCGCGGGCGACGACAAGGACATTTTGACGGACTCTAACGGCATCTGGTGCGCTTGTAAGGGTTCTCCTTGCCTTTACAACGTAGTTAGAGAATCCCGTACGTCTCCTTTGGATGTTTTTGCAACAATGACTTGCTGCTAACACTTGAGTTTGGTCCTGTAGATTGTCCTACGTCTTCTAGAGCTCCGGGATTCGGAATTTCTCGATTTGAACGAGCCTTCATCGTCCAAGGTTGCCCGGTTCTTCTCGCAAGGTGCGCAGTGGGATCCTTAAACCATCTTCAACCTGTCATCAAATGCTGATTTATACCTGCATTCTTCTGCTTCAAATTATCTCTGATAACGCGCCTGACATACCACGCCTAACTTGACCCAACACGGCACGCTCTCCAAAAATACAAACGAAACTTGCTGTCTGCACCTATAAACGCACAACACCCGAAATATTACATCTCCGTCGTCTGCATTCGCCGCCTTTGGTCGTCTACCAAACGCCGCTTTCAGTCGGACAAGGCATTGGCCACAGCAAAGGCACGCGCAGAGACCCGGGAGGAAGACTGTGAGCATTGTCTCTTGGCCGTCGAGGATCGATCTCCGGATGCTAACCAATCCCAGTCTGCCACCAGCTCCGCGGCCCCTCAAAAGTACAGGTCTCCCACCCCTCTCGTCCCCGTCTCGACATCCCTATTCAAGTATTAATTGTGTGAATCTTTTGTGACATTATTTACAATGGCATCTGTCGCCACCGCCGCCCTCAATTCGCCACCCACGTCTCCAAATCCGACTCGCATTCCCAAGCCAAAAGGAAACAGACTCGTCAAATCTCCTGAACAAGGAAAACGCGGAAAGAGCCCAGCTAGAGGGAAAAGCCCAGAAAGGAGAGTCAGCCTCCAGTCATCGCCCAGTCCAGGTGAGCCTGTCTCGTCGTTATGCTGTGCTGTCAACTAACATCACCCAGTCGCAGGAAGCTTTCGAGAACCAGTTGTACGACGTTCGAGTCTGAATGGGGGCATTCCAGCCACACCGCCAGGTCTCGAAACGTGGAGTGCTGGTCAAACACGATCAGCTATCCCTCGACCGCCTGGTATTCTTCGACAAAACACCGATCCTTATAGTATCTCTGGTTCCAGCCCGCAAAGCTCACCTCGCGCATCCTCAACATTTGCTTCCAGTGCAAGCTGGGTCCCCGGCGTAACATATGTGCCAGCCTCACAGGTGGCAAACTTGTCCACAATCACGCCGACGCGGGAAGAGTTTTCTTCATCGGTCTCCGACTCGCATATTCCTCTTATCAATGGACTTATCCCGCCAGAAGGATTATTTGGCCCACTCCAGCAGCGCGAAAGTATTTTACGGGCGAGGGAGGCGGAACGAGCCGTGTCCATGGGATTAGACACGTCAAACCCGTCGTCTGCCGGTGATCTCAATGCCTCTTGGAAGCAACCGGTCTCCTACATCCACCTCACTCTGCTGGTGTGGAGAGAGCCATCAACTCTTCTGCAAGTGCTTCTTCATGGAGTCCCTCCGTCAGCACCGTACCCCTGAGCCGCAATCCCAGTCTTAGTGCCGCGAGTAGGCTCAACGAGAGTGTTTCGAACCACAGCTTGGCGCTTGGGACGGCTACTGAGTCAACCTATGCAGGCAGTGGACATTTCCGTGCGGGTAGCGAAGCACTCCAGTCTCGTTCGACTCATTCGCTGAGCCAGCAGGCCGATACCTCGATTTCGGAATCATTGCCGTCTCAAGGTCATGTCAGCTCGACAGACCTTGCTGCAGCCCGGTCAAAAGAGCCACCACCACGTCCAAGAAAGTCGTCGTTTAGGAGCACCTTGCCCTCGCTCAAGGGATTCAAGAACCCATTTTCGTTTTCGCGCTCGACCTCTGGATCCACTTCAAAGGACGAGGAAAAGAGTCAGCGGTCCAAGTCGCGGGAACGAGAACCATCGATGGCTACTTCTGCCTCGGTTTCCACAGACGAGCTCACCGAAACACCCACATCGTCTCTTCAACGTAGCGCCACTACACCCAGCAGGCCCATGAACACCACTCGCGCGTCCGTCGACACGATCATGCCGAACGTTCCGGCCTACCAGGTCTATTCAAATATTCACTCCCAGGGCCCGTCGTCGGCTATTCTGCAACAAACGCCCGGCAGCGCGTCCCGGTTTGGGTACAACCCACGAGTCGCTCGGCACTCTATTGATACGCCTTCGAGCTACACTAGGCTGGGACAGGTGTTCGGAACCCCGATGAGCGGTAGTCGAGAAGCGATTCAGTCTGGGTATGCAAACGGCAGTCGCGAACACGTTGTAGCGGAGGGTGAACTGGCGCCACCATACTATCCGACCCATGGGCGTGCCAGTCCGTCTCTTCCATCTGCCGTCGCGATGGGTCGGCATAGTCCCTCTGTCAATCACGCAGGGTATCTTACTGGTGTCACTGGGCTCATGCGACCTCCGGGTCTCGACCCTCACATCGAAGTGGACGAACGAAGTTTGCGCACGGCCAGTGTCCGAACCGAAAGTGGCTACGGATTTGGAGGTATACGAGTCGGCAGTGATGGTATCATCCTCAGCCCAATTGAGGATACCAGTCCCGATCATACCATTGAGGAGGAGAGTGAGGACCGAAGCGTCCTCGACGAAAACCTCTTCGAAGGAGAATACGAGAGTACGATTGGTCATGAATCGAATCACACTGCGTCTCACCACGCCACTGTAACTCATCACAACGTCGATCAGTCACACCTAGTCGGAGACGCAGATGTTTCGCTTCAACGACACAATTCGGAGAGAGCGTACTCGGAGCGTGCCGCAATGAGCGACGAAAATGTCCATCAACAGGGAGTGGAGGCCCCACCCTTGCCAACCAGTCCAGCCAGGTCTCCTCCACAAAAGTCTACAGAGACAAAGCCCTCGACTCTCACAGTCCCTCAACGCACTCTCGATGCAAGCGGCCAGTCGTCTCCGCTGTCTGCGGTCACCTCCGACGCAGAGATATCAAACATTGAGCGTGGTCTGTTGGGCGACCTGGCTCGCCAGCTACAAAAACTCGTAGAGCAGCAAAGTACGATGAATCTCGTACGCACTCACAGCACGGCGTCATTCCCGGCCAACGCTTCGGTTACGCCGGGTAGCGTTTTGCGTTTGGAAAGTGGTGTCAACACTCCATCAAAAGGAGGATACGGTCCTGCCGACGAGTGGGGACGGTGGAATCTCAGTGATCTCAAGGGAGCTGTGGACAGGATGAAAGAATTGATCGAGGAGCAGGAACGGAGGACGCCTGCACAAAGTCAAAATGGCTCAATGCTATCGAAAGCTAGCCCCGCTGCCGAGCCTCCAACGGGTAACGGGGATGCAAACCGAAGTTCCGATGTTTTCACGGCGACACCCCAGCAATATACAACTAGACTAGAAGAGTCTGATGCTCCGACTTCGACAAAAGGAAGCAATCGCAGTCCACGTCCTCTGCCACCGCGACATCGACGACTGTGGTCACTCCAGTCTCTACAGACGATGGACAGACATTCCCGTTCCCGTCGCTCGTTGTCGACCCTCCAGTATCGGGAGAATCTGTCGTACAGGCAACGAAGGAGAGAACACGCCCTAGCTTGGATCTGGAGAACCTCGACCCTGATCTACTTGCGATGCTCAGTCCCAATCACCTCACACCTTCTGCGGCCAACCCACGTGCGTCCGATATCTACTTGACGAGACCGTTGCTAACCTCCTCTAGCTAATGCGACACAACTTAGTGATACCACTAGTGTGCCTATGGGTCCAGATGTTACGATTGCTACTGTCGCCTCTGACGGATTTGGATCGATGCGCAGCGACCGTTCTGTTGAAGAAATCCTGCTTCACCCACGTTTGGACAATGGAAGCAAGGTCAAGTCGAAGGAGGACCCGTTGGGTGAAATGGATTTGGAACCAGTTGCAACCTCGTCTCCTCCAAAACGGGCGCTGCAAGCTTCTTCCATTCCTACTCCCAGCGCGGCGAAGCTGCGCCAACAGGATGTCCCTATTCAACAGAGACTCCGTGCGCTGACCGAGTCTGCAAGTACAAAGCTTGAATCCACCGATTCACCATTTGGTGTTTCCCCAGTTTCTAACTCACCTCATTCCCGAGCTCCCAAAGAACGGGGAGCGCTCCCTCAGTTCGACGCAGAAAAGGAGCGGAGTGATGGAGATAGTAGCAGCAAGACGTCTCTCCGTAAACTCTTCTCTGGGCGTGCTGCCGGAGCCAAGACATCGGACACGGAATCTCCACGCTCCTCAAGAAGTGCTCCACTGGCACAGCTTGGACACGCCCGGCGACCGTCATCACGCCTATCCAGTGTATACGAAGGCTCGCGGATGGCACGACTACAACGCTCTGTCACTGTTGGGAACGAGGGTGGCCGTGGACCTAGTTTTGACGATCCTGGATATCGAACAACCTCGATGCATCGCATCTCGGAGGGCAGGCCGTCGTTCGAGTCAAGCGCTCGACCAGACTCGCGCACGAGCCTTGAGCTTCAACTTGGCCCACGGACTGCTCGAGCTTTCGCGGCGGCTGGAGTACTCCATGAAGATGGAGCTGGGGTGCACCGGCAAGCAGCATGGAGAAGTGCGAGCGTCCTCGGATATCGACGTGATGGCATGGAGCGAGATTTTGGTGGGTTCAGCGGCACACGCTCGCTTGCATCGTCACCTATACCCCCCACCGTTGGGATGCCATACGGCGCTTCAAGTCGAAGGCTAAACCATCTACTCGGTGATCATCGCGATTGGGAAGAAAGGAGCGGACGAAGCACCGACTCGTGGAAACAGTTTTCTGGTGGCCGTCCCTATGACTCTGCCCTAAAGAGACTGGATACGCAAGGGTTCAAGTCTGACCCATCGTCTGCTCCTTCTCCGACATCGACTACCCCCGGACGCACAAATGGCTCGTCTAGCTCGCTGCTTCAGGGCTCGGAACCCAAGTCCAACCGATCCCCCGTGGATGCAAACCAAGCGGCACATCAAGCCACCCTTCAACAGCTCAAAGACCGCCATGAGCTCGAGAAAGAGGCTCTCCTATTTGCACTGGCCGAGTCCAAGAAGGAAGCAAAGGTGACAAAGCAGAGCAACGACGAGTTGAAGGTGGAACTCATCGAGACCAACCGATATGTCGAAGAACTGGAGGAAAAGCTCGGCGAAGCAATGGCCCGATTGAGATGGATGGAAAAAGAGATTTCGATTCTCAAATCCGCAGTCGGCGTACGAAATGTATGTTCTCTCTCACGACTTCTTTGGTCCTCGCTGAACGACTTTTAGTCTACACCCCAAAGGCGCTCGCAGAAAGACTCGGATGGTTTGGATGACATTTCATATCCGACAATCGTCGATGATTATGGTGGAGGTCGACCGTCATTCGATTTCCATCCCGGTCGTGCCTCTGCGGAAACACCACCCAATCGCTCCAAAATCTACATCACCCATCAAGAAGCAACGCCAATTGAAGATGAATCATCTCACGTATCGCAGCTTCAACGGAATGGGTCGCTAAACAGCCGACATCACCGTGGATCTAGCGTGGCCTCGTCGGTCGCGGTACCCAAAACCAATCAATCGATGACGATGCTGTTACAGGAGACCGGGTACGGGGATGGTCTGGATGGCATGTCGCTGTACGACGCTCACGATGGATCGCCTCCACCGTCGCCCACGCTCGTTCTTGGCAAAGTGGCTGCCCGAAATGCAGGACGTGACATCGCATCTGTTCAAGATAGTAGCCAACTGTTATCTGTCAACTCTCGCAATTCGGGGCCACAGACTCCGTCTCGAAATCGACGCCAGGGCCGCTCTTCCATGCCCATGGAGATGTCGCCAACGACGACGACGGCGGACTACTCGATCGCACCTGGATCGCCTGGTAGTCTCGTACTCCGTCCAGAAGATGAGCACCATTTGGGTGACCTTCTCAGCTTCACCAGTAACGACGACCATCTATAGCCGGCGGATATCTTTATAGGGAACGTTAGAGGCCTCGAGGCTGGACTTTTACGAAACAGCATGTAGTATACGGATTGGGAATCAATCTCGGAAGGTGCACGTATCATGTCTCCTAGTCTTTCTTGTTATGTATCCTCCTTTCGTTCTCTGCGTCTTTGCCAGTCGAAGTCACTCTGTACATAAGATTCGAACTAAGACATTTCAATGACAATCTCTGGAAGAGTCAGGTGGATGCTCGACGGCCGGACCTTGTTCCCGGCTCGACTTGCATCTTAAACCCCACCAGATCCAACGACCACAACTACCAAACCATAGGAGGTTCTATGCTTCGTGGTTGCCTCAAGTCCACTCCATACGTCCGCGCATCATCGCTAGCGCGACCAACCAGTTTCAATTGCGCAAGAAACAGAGTCTCAAATGTGAAGAGATGGATAAGTGCATCGCCTCGATCTCTTGAAGACTCCTTTGGAGGTTTCTACAACATGCCGGTAGCCGGTTTGACGGACGAACAACAGGAAGTGAGCACGCATGATATTCATTGGCAATCACTGACGACGTGATGCAGTTCCGTAGCTCTATAGAAACGTTTGCGCAACGTAGCTTGCTGCCACGAGCGGACGAGATTGACAAGACGAACCAGTTTCCAATGGACATGTGGAAGCAATTTGGCGAAATGGGGCTGCTGGGAATCACGTGTTCGAGCGAGTATGGTGGTCTAGAAATGGGTTACTTTATGCACGTCATCGCTATGGAGGGCAAGTGTACCGGGTAGGGACGCTTCATCGGACTGACCGAGGTTTGGTACAGAGCTATCTCGCGCGTCGGCTTCCGTCGCACTATCATATGGCGCACATTCCAATCTTTGTGTCAACCAGATTCACAGACACGGCACGAAAGAGCAAAAGAGCAAGTATCTGCCACCGCTGATTTCAGGCGAAAAGGCAAGTTTGGTCTCGGTAATCCGTGAAATAGGGGAGTTTATGTGACTACTTAGGTTGGAGCTCTTGCAATGTCCGAGCACAATGCTGGGTCGGACGTGGTTTCAATGAAGTTGAAAGCAGTGAAGAAGGGCGATAGATATATACTGGATGGGACCAAGTTCTGGTGCGTTATCTCCCTTTAGCCATTCATCATTCTATAACCGCCTTAGGATTACGAACGGACCCATTGCTGACACGCTAGTTGTGTACGCGAAGACGTCACCAGAGAAAAAGTCCAGAGGCATCACGGCGTTCATCATAGAAAAAGGAATGAAGGGCTTCCGTACGGGCACCAAACTCGACAAGGTTGGAATGAGAGGGAGTGATACAGCAGAACTCATTTTTGAAGGCTGCGAGGTCCCCGAAGGTATGCTTTGGCCAGTCTACAAAACAAACACTATATCTAGCTTCCAGAGAATGTGCTCGGGAAAGTGGATGGTGGTGCCGCCGTCCTGATGTCTGGCCTCGACCTCGAGCGACTCGTACTGAGTGGTGGTCCGCTTGGGTGCGTTATTCTTGCGTCTGTGCCCTTTTGTGTCTCATTTGGTTAGAATCGCCCAAGCGGCTTTCTCGACGGCTCTTCTTTACTCTCATGAGAGGTCGCAATTTGGCAAGCCCGTCGCGACGTTCCAACTAATGCAGGTACGCGGAACGTGGCCACTCGTTTGGCAAATGCTCATATTTGACTCAGGGTAAAATAGCGGATATGTACGTCAAGTTGAATTCAGCACGCAGCTATGTCTACGCTGTCGCTCGGGCGTGTGATAAAGGGGAAATCAGCCGACGAGTGAGCTCGCTTTCACTAGCTTTCTACTGGAGTCCTTAGTGTCTTGTTAGGATTGTGCTGGTGCGATTCTCTACTCGACCGAGAAGGCCATCGAGATTGCCTTGGAGGCGATGCAATGTCTAGGCGGGAATGGATATATCAATGGTATGTATCATCCCTAACTCCTTTGAAGCTACATGTTGATTCCCATAGAATATCCTACTGGACGCTACCTGAGGGATGCGCGGTTATACGCTGTCGGGGCTGGAACCCAAGAAGTTCGCCGAATGCTGATCGGAAGGGAGTTCAATGAAGAGATACTGGGTAAAGGCAGCGTATAGATGTTTATCCATAACTTCTCCGTGCCATCAACTATGAGATGCGTCGAATGTGAAACTGAAATCTATCTCCATCATGTAGTCCTCAGATCCATTCCTTCCCTGTATCAACACAACAACACGCACCACAGCAGAAAAGGTTTACTAAAGACCAGCCTCAGGCTCTCATTTGCGAGTTGCGTATTTGCTAGATCAGGTGCAACGTGTTCAAACAGCTCTGGTCGGGAATACTTCTACCCTCACCTCTCTTGATTCACGAGTATTCAAAAATGGGATGATCTACTATGCCCAACTACTGGTCATTTTATCGTATCCCCAGCTATTTTGCCAGACACTTGGAATCGCGGGGATTGTTGCCAAGGACGTAGAGGGACGACCCTTAAATTTCTATTCAATGAGTTTGCATACTATTGCAGACTGACATAGGAAATTTTCGATAACTTTTCGATAATGAAAGCAATATTCCCCCAATATATTCTGACCCTGAGAGAAATGACAGTTTAACTTCATCTAGAAATGTCCTGGAGGATCCAACTTGGAGCAGACCACGACAAGGCAGTCATTCAATCATGCCAAGCATCGCATCGCCAGCGCATAGAGTACCATTGGAAATATGGAGAACTATCTTTCGAATCTGCCTGGGTTCCGAACTCGCAGATACGGAACCGGAAGGAGTACTGGCCGAATACCAGCGTCTCCTTGCCTCGTTCGTTTTCATCACCGGTGATTATCGAAAGAAAGAGAGTATCAGAGGGAGATTGAGTCTCGTCTGCCGCTTTTGGAGGGACGCATTGGTAGACATGGATGATATGATTGTTGTGACGGGGCGGCAGCGCTGGATCTGGCCACCTGGCCGCAATATAGACCGCGCCAATCGTGTCATATACGTCACGGAAACCCTCTCAATATTATTTATAGACGACTACTACAGGGCTCCGCGCAGCAAAAAGCCGTATACGATAGACCCATCGCAGCTCCACGGATCCATCGTTCAACTGGATGGGGTGATGCTGGGGAGCAAGAAAGTGGCGGAACCCTCACAATCCAATGACGTGGCAATAAAGGCATTAAGTTCAGACAGCTGCGAGCGATTCAACTTGCAGGCCCTCTGGCATACGAGGTTTCAGAACCTGGTCGCGTTGAAAATATCTAGTGGATACCCTTTTCATGCACCAGACCACCTTTCTCCACTCTCTTTACCCTCTCTTCGGTGCCTGCTCTTATGCGTCGCATCCAATCAAAGCGAAGGAAACCAAAACGGCAGGCTCTGCAAATGGACATTTCCAGGTTTGGTCGCATTCCAGCTCGGGACTTTGGATGTCATTCCACGACTGAAGGATGACTTGATACACTTCCTTCGTGTCCATGCGGAAACCATCGAGGAGTTGGTGTTTACGGATCGGGTTTCCCTTCCTCCTGACATGGATAAAACCCTCCCTCGACTGAGGTTATATGAATACCATGACACACGGCGGCGTACGAGTGTCAACCCATTGGTGACCAGAGCCAGGCAGAGAGGAGCTGACCGGGCATAACTTGAAATTTGCACAACTATTCGAGGCCAAGAGCGGATTGAGCGTATATAGCAGAGTTTGTGGGGATGGTCAAAAGAAGCTAGAGAATTCAAGTGTCTTTCACTTGCTATGTATTTACTGAAGTATTTTCAAGGACTTAGGACTCCGGGATCATAGGAGAATTGATATATTAAATTACCTCAGAGTCAACCGGCAGCAAAGGAGTCTTGAATGCAATATCTTCCTGCATTCTCATTCAAACTCGCCGCGGTTGCTAAACGGAACGGATAAGTGCGTCGTCCAGGTCCGACTTGGCGCCGACCACAAACCATTGCACATTCCGTTATGTCGAGTCTCGCATTGGTCGTGCACAGGATGCCTGTGGAGATGTGGAGAGATATTTTTCATCTCTGCTTAGGGCTTGCCCAGGTAGATACCCAGGGCTGGTTGCTCGCATACGACTTCCTCCGTGTCGAAACTACCCAGATCACACGCGCATATCAGATCAAAGAGCAGATTCGGGCCAAGCTGAGTCTCGTCTGCCGTCTCTGGAGAGATATACTCGCAGAGATGGATGATGGCATCGTCGTGTCAGGACCTGATGGACCTGTATGGCCACCAAATAGGAGTATAGAGCAAGCTAAACATGTTATTTATTCGGACAATTTTTCCTATTACCTGATGAGACTTGGAAAGCAGCCATGGGCATTTGGTGGAACACGGACGCGCTTTACTGTCACCGTCGATCAACTCAATGGAGCTATCGTCCAATTAGAGGGGGTAGAAATAGCCACTGCGGACTTATCACCATTCCCACACGCTCCGACTGTGAATATCAAGGCGTTGTATTTACCAAACATGGAAAACAGCGTGCAGGTACTCTTGCATCCAAGATTTCAGCATCTTGTTGCGCTGAATTTCCACGCTCGATACCCCTTTAACGTATCTGACCCATTATCCCTACCATCTCTTCGTTGCCTCGTTTTAAAACTTTGGACCAATTACAAAGCGGACCTAAGGGGTACTTTCTCAAATTGGACTTTTCCCAACTTATCTGCATTCGAGCTCAATCCAGGGGCCGCATACACTGAACGGATGCGGGCCGACGTAGAAGGGTTTCTACTCGTACACGCAGAAACTCTCGAAGAGGTGGTCTTCAAGGACGGCTTCCAAGTTTCGGACGCGTTTGACGTGCATAAATCACTCGGTCGGTTGAGGATGTATACAATTCACCCTCGTTTGGAAATTTACCGCGGTTATGGTGGAATCCTCGCTGCCGTAGAAGACTGGCCTCCGCCGGACTCGTACTAGCTATGTAAATAGATCGCCACCTATTGTTCTTTGATGCTGTCAATAAAGTAGCATCCACCCCCCTTTTCCCGCCCCACTGAGAATCTGATTGTGGCAGATGTGCAATGAAGCGCAAAGCGACTCGGGATGTCCATTTGCCGTTTGAACCAGTGCGTGAATTCCTGGAGAATGGCCTACTTTTCTTAGATTTGCTTTACATAGAGGCAGTCCACAGTGGGTAGATATACGGGCTCATAAGAGATATGCCGGTTGACGCACCTCTTTGATTTTCTGCTTATGTCATTTCAATTTATTCAGCATATTTGCTCCATAGAACTGGTGATCTGCTGCTCGAGTGGGCACACGTAATTTGGCGCCGACTACTTACCACGTTAATTATGGCAAACACTGCATCGGCCGTATCGAAGATGCCGGTAGATATGTGGAGAGAGATTTTCCACCTCTGCTTGGGCACCGAATATGTGGATATTCAAGGCTGGCTATGCACATACGAGTTTCTCCGTGGCAAAGTCACTGAGATTACAGACGCTAATCAGATTAGAGCGGGAATTCGGGTCACGTTGAGTCTCGTCTGCCGTCGCTGGAGGGACGTGCTGGCAGATATGGACGACAATATGGTTGTCGCAGGACCAGACGGCGCTGCAATCTGGCCACCTGGACGGCGCATGGAGCATGCTAAACATGCCGTTTATGTTTCGAACACCTCCTATTATCTATGGAAGCACGGAGAACCATGGTGGGGAGTCAACGGGGGAAATCTGGGCTCGTCGTATACCATGAACATTGATCAACTCGACGCGCCAATCATTCAGTTGATCGGGGTGAATTTGGAGGCAACTGCTGTAGAACGATGCTTGGACCCTCGAGGAGGGAATATCAAGGCATTGTCAGTAATGTTCGGCATCGATAGGAGCACTGCGTTCAGCTTTCGTGCCCTCACACATCCGAGGCTCCAACATCTTGTTGCGTTGAGTTTCGAGACAAGATACCCGTTGAAGATATCTGAACCATTTTCCCTACCCTCACTGCGTTGTCTGTTTGTGAAACTTCGGTGGTACTATGGTCTGGACCGGGAACAGGATACACTCTCAAAGCTGACTTTTCCCAAATTGTCGGCGTTTGAGCTTACCCCAAAGGGTGTAGAAATGGAGGGGCTGAAGACCGATGTGGAGGGCTTTTTACTTACACATGCAGAAACCATAGAAGAAGTGGTCCTTAGAGAAGGTTTCTGCCTTTCGGAGACGTTTGACGTGGACAAGTCACTCGGTCGACTGTGGAGATATGAACGCCACCCGAGTACCAGTAATATATTCCGCGATTGGGATTGGCTCGACCTCTATTGTGAACCACTATGGCCTCTAGAAGAATGGTTCCCGTGGGGACCTCCAGATTTCCCGTGGGAGGATGTTCATTACTATTTTACAGCAGAAGATTTCGCACGTTTCGATGTAGAGGAAGATGGGCTTCTAGAGACGGTGTAATAACTCGGAATCAGAGTCTTGTTGTCAGGGATTATCCAATGCTCCACCTCGCCGTTGGGCGGAGAATCAACAAAGACCCGGATGACAAGTGGCGTTTGGTTACCGTTTCACAGACGGACGGTTGAGCGCTCTCCGGGGGTTCGGGGGGTCGGGCACTGAGCGCAGTAGGGCCTGAAACTGGACGGGAATAAAAGAAGCACCACAAGGCTGTTCAAGAATGAATTTTTTGTGAATTCTGGAAGGCGCGTTTAGGGCGAGGCAGAGACCGGAAACTGAATGGGATTGGAAAAGGGCGTGGGATATAAAAAGGGTGGAAAATGAGATGCAAACAGAATTCAACTTGTTTGCCTGCTACCATATTCCCCCGCCAAGCCGTTTCTTTTGCTAAAAATAATGCAGCTGATTGCGCTCGTTTCTCTCGTCGTCTCTGCCGCTGGGATTTGCCAGGCTGGTGCTGTTCGTGTCCCATCGACGCTCATGAAGCGCACGGGGGCCATTGTCAAGTCTGGACTCGTCGCCCGTCAAGATTCTGGAACATGCACGACGGACCAGATTGCATGGTGAGTGTACTAGACTATGTAGTATAATTATTCATTCCTATCAGTGACAATGGTGGCTGCTGCCCCACTGGATCCGTATGTGACCCCAATGGAGGTCGTGCGTGCTGCGCCGACGGTACAACCTGCACGGGCAAGTCTTTATATTGATGAACGAAACTGTACTAAATATTCTCTAGGCAGCGCAAGTGGATGCGCAGACCCCACGACGGTCGAATGCGATGGCTTTGATTTCTGCTGCCCACCCGGCCTCACGTGCTCTCTCGACACGAACAACGAGCCTTTGTGTGGTGGAGACGCTGAACCATCGGGTTCTGACTCTGCTAGTGAATCGGCCACTGATTCCGTAGGGACTTCGACAACTCCTCGTGCAACCACCCCGCGTGCTTCTACCTCGACTGCTCCCCGTGCAACGAGCTCTTCGACACGCTCTACGACGATCAGCACGTCTAGTACCACCACTCCAAATGGCGCTAACAAGATGGGAGCTCATGCATTTGTGGTTGCGGGAGCATTTGTTGCTGGCTATGCACTCTTCTAAATAGACGAGTGATGGACTTTGTTATGGACTATTTGTTACCTAGTTATTGTCGCTCTTTTATCGTCATTAGCTATACACATTTTGATTCTCCGACTCGCCGGCCGTTTGCTTACGCACCTCTTTGACCATGGCCACGGCGTCGGTCGACCATCTCGCTGTCCCTCCCTCGAGGAAACAGTCTAAACATGACTCGAATTCCGCTCCGTCAACACCTCTTCCTGCCACGCCGGGCACAGCGCGCTCGTTTAGCAGCTTCATGTCCACGGCGACGACGGCGAAACGAGGACGGGGTTACAAGCCAGATCAAGACTTGGATTCAGATATAGACGAGTGTAGATATGCACTTCAACTCTTTCTAGAGTCACGTATGCTCGAGTCGGAGATGCTCCTCAAAAACGGCGACCCAAAACTCGAGAGATTATATATTGCCACGGGCTATGGACTCATCCAGAGCGTAAAGGCATTCATGTCTTATGAAGACAAGGTGAGATCACCGCAAGCATCTCGCCCAAATGGATTGCTGACCCCCCCCCGTCCTCGATTCGTAGGACTTGGGCGCCGCGCTCGAGATGATGAAGACGGGCTCAAATATCGCGTCAAAACATCGTAAACAACTCTCCCTCGCCTCTCGCGTCACCGGTCTCGTCATCGGCACAAACCCCGTCCCATTTTACAAGTCACTCTCTCCAGTCCAACGACACGCAGAGCTCGTCTATGCTGAATGTCTCGCTCAAAAGGCAATCCTAGGCATTGTCTATTCCGGAGATTGGCTCGCGTTTATTAAAGAGGCCATTAATATGCGCACTTGTATCGGCATGTACAAGAGTATGCTCCAATATCTCGAAGCCATTGATGCCGAGGCTGTCGAGCAAGGAAACGGTCCCATCGACACGTCCGTCGACGCGCATTTCCGCTCGGGTGTCTATCTTGGCATGGGCGTCACTCATCTCATTCTCAGTCTTCTCCCCGGTCGTATCATCCCCATTCTCGAACTCTTTGGCTACAAGGGCGATCGAAAGACGGCACTGGACCTATTAGGACGTGTTGGGGGTTGGAAAAAGGGTCAGCTCGAACCAGACGTTTCCAGAGAACAAGAAGGGCTACGGCGTAGTCTATGTACTGAGCCCTCTATTCTTTGTTCCCTTGGCCATCTACTGACATTTTCTAGGCGACATGGTTCTCCTCATTTTCCACCTCGTCTTCTCTGGCATCACTTACAATGGCATCGACATTGACTTTGCCGAACAGATCCTCGAGTGGAACGCCAAGCGGTACCCATCCGGCGTCTTTTTCCTCTTTGGCCAAGGCCGTCTCGCCCTCTTCCGTGCGGACCCCGAACGCGCCATTGAGCACTATACGGCCGGGATGGAGGTTGTGCAAGAGCAATTCAAAAGTTTGCAGGGAATTTCTCTCTGGGAGCTTGCATTTGCGCATCTTGCCATGTGGAAAGTCCCCGAAGGTATCCAATACTGGCGACGGCTCAAGCTAGAGGCCGGGTGGAGTAAGGCTATTTACACCTATGGTCTCGCAGTGTCGTTGTACGAGAGTGGAAACCCAGAACAGAGGGAAGAGGCGAACAAGATGATGGAAGAGGTTCCGGGCTTGTTACAAAAGATTGCGGGCAAGAGTATCCCTCTCGAGGTGCGCTTACTCTTCATCACCCGTACTTTTATTCACCTTTCTGTAGAAATTCGTCTCTCGAAAGGCGCGCAAGTTCAAGTCTCAAGGGAGTCGTCTACTTTTACCCGCGCTCGAGTTGGCCTATGTCTTGATTGCACTGGCACGGTCGCCGCGGAGCGTCTTGACGGACAAGATGCTCCCGCTCATCAACAATGCTATTGGCGTCTTACGGTTGCACGAGGATAGTCCAGAGACGTATTGCGCCACGGCCGAGCCATCTGGAAAGGACGAGGATGCCAAATCGCGGATTTCGGTAAACGAAAAGCAGAAAGAGACTGCTGTGGCCAAGAATGGGTTTTGGGATGATTATTGCCTTGCCCATTTCTTACGCGGTGTGTGTTTACGGTTCATCGAGTATCCGGTACGTACTTGCTCTTGTCTACGACTTTGTATTCATCTCTGGTATAGGATCCATATGCGACGACAAAGGAGGTGAACACGGTACCTAATGCGCCCGAGTTGGCCAAAGAGTCGTTTGAGTTTGTGCTCGAGCATGGGCCACAGATTGTATACGATCATCATTTGGTCTACTGGACGCGTATGTTCTCCTTGTCTGGTTTTCGTCTGATGCTGATGGGTTGTAGATTACGAGCTTGGGCGACTCGAGGCGCGGAATGGAAACAAGGAAGAGGCCAAGCGGCATTTAGAGCTCGTGCTCTCTGGCAAGGTTCTCGAGGTGAACTGGAGTGGACGGAGCGGTCAGTTCGGGTTGCATGTTTGGAGAATCAACTGACGAGTACGATACAGGCAAGTACAGTCTGGAGAATGCACTTCACGTGCGGACGAATGCGGCGCTCGAAGGACTTGAGAATGATAGGCCTCTCTGATGAGGGATGGATATAAGTTACTCACGTATAATCTTTCGTTTGTTGTGCGACCTGTAATGTGGACATTTTGTGACTTATAGACACGATTAACGCGGTTGTTTGGTTCTGTTTGGCGATACCTTTGCCTCGACCACCTTTGGCGAAATGACGTTGTGGGCCAAGATGGCTGAAGGAACAACCTTTGCAACGATGTTTAGTGATCATCCAACCGCAACTGAGTTATCCTTGTTGTGTGCTGCGACCAAGCGGCGAGGGTGAAGATAGGGCCCTCGGAAAGGGGCGTTTTCAATTCGCAAAATGCAATCCATAGACGAGGTTAATGCAAATAGGAATGTCATCTACTCTCCCCGGTCATTTCGCCGTCCATCACTATTGATTCAAGGCGATTGATATCGCGAGGCCGGCACGCGGCGTACTCATTCTTGGTGTATAAGCATGATTAAAGTCCGTCATGAACCTCTCCACCCATGTTTGCCATCGTTTGGGAGATGCTCGCCTCGTAAATATGGCCAATCCTGGTGCGGGTATTTGGCCTCTGGTTGCTTGGACGACTGACGATTTGACAGAGTATATGACGACATTACTACATATTATTGATAGGGGGACCTGATTCTAGTCGACGGACGCGGTCACGGTCGTGCACCCTCGCAATCCCCGGCCAAAGTCTTGCGATTGCTCACTGTGGGACAGGTTCCCAGAGGAATAAACGCATAAATAGATGCCGAGGCAGTGTCTTGCGGGCCACCTGGACCCAGCTCCCAAGCGCAAAGAGCCGAGATATAAGCTCGCGGGTTATTTGGAAGAAATCGTGGAATTCCCCCAGACGGTGCATATCGTTGGGTTGCTCATTGTTTCTTCCTCACGTATGTCGATAGTCTCTAGCGGTTGTCGCGTCCAATTTTATGAGCAACTGCGGCTTGACATTGGGAACCGCGTTTCCGCTCCGAATATCCGCGTGTTGTGGCTTTGGGTGGTCGCCTGAGCGCCAAAAGTGCTTTTCCAAGTATGAAATAAACCACATGTACGCGTTTGAGCCATATTTCCAGTACACATTCAGCACAGAGGGGGGGATTCTGCACGGCTCTGAGGACGAGCGGTGTGCTTACCCATGCTGGGCGCCGATGAGGGACGAATACACGCGTCTTGTCCGTGAATTAACGCGTATTTTTGCAGCCCGAATGGGGACATGTACGTCTCTGGACGTCCAACGCGTCGTGTGCGCATCTCAGCGACTACCACTTGCGAGTAGCACTCTCTTCTTCCTATCGGCAACACCAAATGGCGTCTGGAAATGATTATTCGGGTCAAAATTGGGGACGTGGTGCGTCTTTTGGCCTCTTGAGTGTTGCACATGCTGACGGGCTCCGTTTTCAACAGTCGTGATGACGGGCGGCACTGACTGGTAACGACGACAGTGTGTTTAATGATAGTTTCTGACCGGTGAAAACACTTTCTTAGGCCCAAACTCGGCAGAAAGACGGACAAGATTAGTCCAGGCGACCAGTACGTCCCTCTGCCAGTTGCTGGCCTCTGCTGACAATAAATTCAACTTTAATGCATCTTTTTCACTGTTTTTAATACGAATATAGCCCAGATCTCATGTCTCCGCACCTTCTCCGCTCTCTGCGCACCGTCAAAGTCGTCTCCATCCACACATCGTCACACTCGAGCCACGCCGTCGCCATCGATGTCAACGGTGTCGCCTATCTCTGGGGTCGTGCGAGCTACTCTGCGCTCGGCTTGCCCATGACCGCCGCCGTCTGGGAGGAAAGCCCGCTCAAGATTCGTCCCACCGATCTCGGCGCTCAACCTGGTGTCAAGTTTGTCCATGCTGCCACGGGCCGTGCGCATACATTGCTCGTCGCGAGTGATGGTCAGGTCTGGAGTGCAGGTATCAATACCAGCGGACAGGTGAGGGTGGCCCATGACTCGTTTCTTATGGTTGTACTCATGCGACTAGTGCGGTCATGAACCCTCGGCAGAGGTCTCTCCCTTCAAGGCTATCGAGGGCGACTGGAAGGCACAGGGCGACAAGGTCATCCAAGCCTCGGCTGGCAACACGTTCAGCTTGGTCCTGACGGCCTCTGGAAAAGGTTTGTCATCTGTCCATATGTCTACACTATCTAATCCTGTTTCAGTCTACGCCTTTGGAAGTGGCGAAAAGGGTCAACTTGGCAATGGCCGCACCGGCGAACACATTATCACCAGCGGTCGCGCCGTCTTTGATACCGAGCATGAACCTCGTACGCCGACCATCTCCCCCCCTTTACCATCTAACTCTCTACAGTCCTCGTCAAGGGTCTTGCCGACAGAAAGATTGTCCAGATTGCCTCTGGTCTCCAACACAGTCTTGTTCTCGACAGCGATGGGTATGTTCTGACGCTCATTTAGAGGCAACCACTCACTCTCCCAGATTCGTCTTTGTCTTTGGTTGCGCTGGATATTGCCGCCTCGGTCTCGGTACGCTCCCCTTGCTGCATCCCTACCCGAAGCTAATCTCTCCTTAGGCGACCAAAAGGATACTCTCATTCCAAAGATGGTTCCGACCTTTTCTAGCGAGCGTGATGTTCAACGCGCTGCTGCAGTCTTTTGCGGACCCACGTGCTCTGCAGTCGTCGACCGAAGTGGCATGTTCTGGTTGGCCGGCAAGGTGCGTTTGTGGTATAGGCCCCCCTGTGAGATGCTAAACTCGTGATTAGTGGAAGATTTCTGGTGACGGTGAGCATCCGCACAACTCGTAGGTCCGTTTCTTATCTCGCTATAGGCTCTGCTGGTCAACCATGGACGACGTTCCGCTATGTCCACGACATCTCGTGAGTACCCCTCATCCCTTTATATTCATGTCCTAATCCGTCTGTAGCGGTATGGAGTGCACAGATGCCTCTCTCGGTGGAGTGACACTTTGGGCTGTGGGCACCAACGAGGGAAAGCACACAACTGCTGGATGGTATGTTTAATCCTCTTCTCTTTTTATCCTGCTCACCCAATAACAGGGGTCAAAACGCTGTCAACGGTGAGCTTGGTCAAGGTGAAGACAAGCCAAAGAGCGCGACCAAGCCGACACCCATCGAAACCCTTGCCGACCTCGACATCTTTAGGTGCGTGGCTAGCTATAACCAAACCTGGTACTAAAATCACAATAGCGTTGCCGCTGGTGCCCACACCGTCTATTTCCTCGCCCGTCCCAATGATGGCCTCAGCGACCTCCCAGCTTACCCAGACGTCCACGACCAACCAGAAACTTGCGTCATCTGCAACACTGAAAAGGGAGAAGAGGATTCGCCTTTGGAATGTGAAAAGGTATGCTTGTTGGATTCACTCAAGATTTGCTAATAGCTCCGTAGTGCGAGAAGCTCTATCACCTCGGATGTTTGAACCCTCCTCTTGCGGAGATTCCCTTGGGCGAGTGGTTCTGCGACGAGTGCCTGTCGCATGCTTCGCCAGACTACCTCCCTGCTCCCGCCGTCTACGCCGAGCCGGCCAACCCAGACGGCACGACAGGTGCCAAGAGAGGCAGAGGGCGTCCACGAAAGTATGCCGATCAACAGAGCCAGATCATGTTCATGAGCGAAGGCGCGGGAACGCCCATTAGCTCTGGTGTGCCCATGGACCTCGGTACGCCTATGGCGGGTGAGAAGAGGGACCGCAGCCCCGACTACGACGACGACGATGATGGAAGTGACTATGACGGTGAGTCGAGTGCGTCGATTTTTCTTTGATGGTTTTGTCGGGTTTACTGATTTGGTACTTTCTTCAGCTTCTCGTGCTGCTCCCACAAAGCGTCGTCGTGGCGAGTAAGTCCATCTAATCGATAAAACCAATGACGAGGGTCAGCCTCGTGGAGAAGTGGAGGAGTAGGAGGCGCGACAAACACACACACATTTAGCGACTGTATCCAATCCCAAAAGCATTCTTGAATAAAGCTTCGTCTCGAGTCTTTGAGCTCCTTCTGTCAAAGTACAAGAACAGCTGTTTGTTCACCACTTACTTGGAGCCTAAATGGACCCACCGCTGAACCCGCCTCTTCGAATCGACGTGCAAAGCGTCGAACCCGCGTCGTCTTGGAGCGTCGAACGGACTGTAGATGCGTTTTTGAGCGAGTATCGTGCTCGAGATGGAGACGCTGCGGTCACTGCGCAGATGGAAAAGTTTATCAAGGCGCTGGCAGAAGAGAATAGAGCGAGAAAGAAGTGATTCAAAGTGAGCAGGACATCTGTGTCGGATACAAAGTTCTCTGAACTGAGCGTACTCCAGAACCACGAGTCTCATCAAAAGGGTGCGTTCGAATCCACCACTATAATCTTGACCGACCAAAATATCTACATCAGGTATACTGCTAGTACAATTTGACGGCATCGTTTACTACATAGGTGTAAGCGGGGAGCAAAGCTAGTATGACAACCGCGACAACTCTTTATCAACTCTGTATCCAGGACGGAAACATGGCTCGAAGGGCACGCATAGTATTTCCTTCTACGTCTCTCCACTGTTCTCTACCACCCAAAAGAAACGGTTTAGACGATATATCTGACTTGCATTGTCTTCGTTTATCTTGGCCCTTATCCCGGCTCTCCACGTCCATTGGCAATACACATGTATATGCGCAAGTATCTGCCTATAACCCGAGTTCCCCCACGAACTTCGCTCCAAATTTGGAATCCATATAGAGTATATCCATATAAAGGCGCAAAGGAGTGATTGGAGTCACACCGAGGTCGCCATTGGAGCGGCACTCTCGCTCACGGCTGGAAAGGAGAGCGAAAAGGTGAGCCTACTCGTGAAGATGAAACGACTCGAGTCGAGGAAACGACATTGAGGCAAGACAGCTCGAGAACGTTCGCCAGTAGCCGAGCTGCAGGTCTAATTCTTGAATCGCCTGAGCGTGCTTCGTTTATTGCGAGCAAGGATCATGCTAAGGTGGCGACGAAATGAGGTTTACTCCCGCGATGGAAAATAAGTAATCGTACAGAACGCGCTTCTCCTATGAAATGCAGTGGAATGAATAGCCTTCTATGTCAGAGACCGCCAAGTGGGTCTGCTGCATCAGGCCAAAGAAGGTGCCGCGACTCGAGAGGAGTGATTCACCGATCCGGATCTCGAGGTCCTTCCACGTCGTCGCAATTGAGCCATCGAGCCGAGCGACGGTCGTAGGGTATTGGCGAAAGGAGGCAGCTATGGTGGTGATACTGCCCTTTGCTATGAAAATATCGTCGAATACCACACGGATGCGGGGGAGAATAGAAAGACTATTATGTCCCTTCGCCCAACGGCTCTCCAAGTCGGGTAATTCTGCCGCCAAATCCTCGATGCTATGAAAGTGATATTCGGCCAACCTGGGCAGCGTCCTCCACCTCTCTCCCATCGAGATCCTCTCTGGTCCTCTGACTGATATCTCCTCCAATGTAGCTGCATGCGCGTCGATAAAGGCGGCAGCGTCTTCGAGGGCAAAGCCCTGCTGGTCCCCTTGATACCTCGAGGTCGCAGTAATCTCAAGAATGGCGAGCTTTGGGAATCTCCAGGTAGAAAGAGAGTCGCCCCCCTTGACTGGCGCTGATACGAGTAAGTCGAGGAAAAGGCAGCGTATGTCTGGTAAGTAGACGGGTCCATTCGAAGATGGTAAGGGATAACGTAAGCCGAGTCTCAAAAAGGTAAGATGTCGGAAAGCTGGATGGTGTATACCGTACAATGCGGTGTCTCGCGTAGATGTTGTCCAGTTCAGGACTCGTAGTGGAGGATCCTGAAACATCTCCATATCCGCGGGTAAGGGCATAGTCACATCAAGTCCGTGAATATCGATAATGCGTGATGTGATTGGCTGCCTGAAGCGAATCCCCTTACGACTATCATAAGGCCCGCGAGCATCCATAAAACTCCGCCAACTAGTTCCACTCAGATACAATGTACGCAATGGTAATTGAGTCGAGGAACTTGGGGGCCAAGAAGTGCCTGCGGGTCCGGTGGCGTTGATCCGATCGGCCATCTCTTCTGCAACGGCGCACCAGTAGCGACAGACGAGGCGAAGACGTGTTCTGCGTATCTCCAACCTCTTATAGTCCTGGATAACGTCTACTACATCCGCCAATAGAACTCGGGATTCCAGTAAACCGCGAGGCGCTGGATTCGACAGTGACGGGCCAAGGTAGAGTCGAAAGATACTCCTCCAGAGCTCAACTGGTACTCTCTCTATCAGTTCAACCTGCTGGATCATGAGCCGGGCAATTTATATATCTGGCGACTGGCGTGAGGATGTTGTTACCACATTGTAAGAGGAAAGCCGAGAAATTGTATTGAATCCGACAAGTGTTACAAATATGCATTATAATCGTCTAGATAATCGACCACATCCATTCGTGCGGTTATGGCTACGTTGCTACGAAGCGAGTGTCCATTGGAGTCGACGACATTAAGACCAAACTCTTCTACCAAGTCAAAAAAGTCCCGCACCCCGATAAGGAATATGGGAACAGGATGGCTTATCCGGTCCATGATTCCTCCCCACTCGTAGCAGAGCACGATTTTGGCATGCTTGAGCATCCAGTGGTATTTCTCAAGAGATTCCGCCGCAGCCCCCCGCTCCATTCTAATGGCCACATGTGTTAGTTCCACTTCGACAAGACGGCCAACGGGATATCCAGACGCGTCCGCTGAGTCTGACTTCCAGAACTGCTCCATGCGCGGGAGAAGTAGGATGAGCCAACCAAGGTTTGGCATCCGAATCGTCTTGAGCCGATGGAATCGCGACCAGTCTGCAGAATCTATAAACGGAATTGAGGCTGGTCCTACAACGGCAAGCTCTTCCAGCGACTGTGAATGCTTGTTGACAAAGGCGACCAGGTCGTCAGCCGGCATTGAACCCCAGTTGAATGTCCCAAACTCGAACATTTTCAATAGAGGAAATGTCCAAGGGGCAAGACACGAAGACTCTGTGCTGTGGGCCGTTGCATCTACGCTTGCGTAGAGGAACAGACAGCGTAACTGTGGTAGCGTGAGCTCCTGGGCAGAGTTCACCGGTTGGAAAGGGTAGTAGGTCCACAGCCTGAGAACTTTCAGGTTTCTGAAAGTTGGATGTAGCAGCGTGTTAATGTCGGCAAATGGGCCCCAGTTAAGAACACGAATAGCCGCCTCCATGTCGACGTCAAAAGGAGGCATTTGAAGTGTCGAGATACCCAACATCGTAACTGGTGCCAGCGGTGCCGTCACGTTCACGATCATTGGGGCATCACCGGAGTGATATTCCACGCCTAGCCGTTCCCGGTACGCACAGGCAGGATCGTTAGGCTTATGTCGAGTGAAGCGGGAGTAGTATATCACCATAGCTGACTGTCTTGATCGAAACGGTGGCCAATCGTATTCGTCGAGGTGACTAACGACAATTTTATCGCCCATCTTGTCCGCCAGAGCTTTCCAAGTTTGACAGACGAGCCTCAGGCGACTCCTTATCCGCTCCTTGCTCATGTAACGCATTAGAAGCTCGCTCTCTGAAGAGAATAGCAAACGATAGGCGCGCAGAGACGGCTGGTCTGCCTCTGCCAGCGGCAGACCCAGACAGAAACCCATGATATGATCCCATATTTCCACGGGAATCCTTGAAGCAGCGGTGATGTCGATGGGCATTTCAGGTCTGCTTCAAGAGAAGTGACCACACGTCACCCTATCATACAAAGCAGAATACGAAACAGCTTGTCCATTATGCGAAATAGTCTACTCGACGTCAATTATGCATATAATACCATTGCGAAAGCGTGTTACGACACTTCTTCGACTTGATGGTTGGCCAGATGTCCAGTGGAGTGAGCCCGATAGACCGTATCGACACGCCTGCACTTGTGACATGTCGCGAGATAAATTTCGGGCTGAGATGACTGATTTTGATTTACGACTCAATTTCCTCGGGTGAGAATGAGCCTAGTGTCACCCACCTCGTCGTTGTTGGGATAGTAACTGGCAGGAGAAGAGGGCAATGGCAGAGGAAGATGGGAATGCCATGGGAAGACGGTGTCGCTGGGCATCTGATATTTTTGGCATAGGCTACCAAGACTTGCTGGAGAATTCTGATAATTTCAGATGTAGATGGAATAATGAGATCAAAATTAACTATACTCTGCATTTTTGCCGAGAGCAACCCAGCTTCAAGAAACTGGCCATGGTTCCTTTTGCACCCCTGTTGGCGGACGGTATAGCGTCGTCCGATCTCGGCGTCTATCGATTTGGTCTCCGAACTATATAGTACGCGCAACTCGTAGTTCAAACTTCTTCCCACCCAGACAACATGCGCGTCCTTGTCGTTCTCATTGTTTGTACGCTGGCGCAAGCCTCGCTCGTCCGTATTCCGTCAACACTTCTTGGACGAAAAATGGCTCTTGCTTCTGAGTTTCACGAGTCCGGGGTGCTGCGCGAGCGGCAGACTACGTGCGGGGGCCTTCACTCATGCAGTAGCGGCGGGTGCTGCAGTGGACAATGCTGGTAAGCTACTCAGTCTCCGCTCTTTATATCATCTTAGAGTCTACAGTCTAAGCGGCTGCTGTCCTGTGGGGTACTACTGTGATCCTGATGGTAATACCCCTGCATGTTGTCCCACTGGTCGCATATGTAGCGGTACGTTTGCGCTTACTCGCATATCTCGAGTTTAATCTACCACGTTGTTGACAATCTGCTTTGTCACATGCCTAGGTCCTCCGATTGGTTGCGCGAATCCCGGTACCGTTGAGTGTGCCAACTACGATTTTTGCTGCCCACCAGGCCAAACATGCTCGCTTGATGCTGCTACTGGCGCAGCGCAGTGCAACGGTGTCACTGTCGGACAGGCCCCTCCGCCTCCAATAAGTAGTTCCTATGGTGGTTCACCCAGCGATTCACCCAATGATTCATCGGTCATTTCATCCGTGGTCCCAACATCTGTTATAGTTAGCAGCAGCAGCGCAGTAACATCTAGTGGACTAAATACAATTGCCGGGGCCTCAACGACCGCGCGCACGACGAGCAATCTTCTTGGCCTCACACTGTCTAGCTCCACACCTCAAATCGTTGCACAAACCTCAAGCGAGATCACTGGAAGCCTGAGTGGCACCCAAAATCTGAGAAGCCCGACCACGTCGTTCCTTGGCATGGCTGGAGCTCTTACAATGGCTATTCTCCTTGGCATAGCGGTTTGAAAGCGACCCGTACATCTACCCGTACGAATATTCACATGTTGAGATATATATCCTGCGAATGAATTACTTTATTCTCTTGAAACATCGTTTGGTGTCCCTTCTGGGCTTCCTTCCTCGTTGCAAGGAAATATAACCCGTGCTATAGATAGATTCGCCACTGTAATGATGTCTTCTTACATCGCTTAGAGCCAATTTTAACCAGAGATTAGGCGATACGGGAGCTAGCACGCGAAGAAGGGGTGCGTCTTGACAGGTCATGAGTCATTCTTTTCGATCTGTTCAATACATTCTCGGAGCACCGCATGCCTTTCGGACCCGCCTGGAGCAGTTTCCTCCTGTGCCATTGCGGGCTCATATTGTGACAACTAGTTCTCGCAGCCGCTGCGCCTCGGGGGTAAGTATTGACCTCTCGTCCCAGTCGAATACACCAAAGCCCAGCGTTTCGGCCACAGAGAAGAAATCTGCCACCTTTCTTTTCTTGGATTCATCCTTCATGTTGGCCATAACCCAGGACCAGCTACACATAAAGACAAGATCCAGCTTCTTCAGAATATCCTTATATGCTATAGCCTTTGTAATTAGGTCTTCGACTGGAGCGTGTTCAAGGGTGGCTGTGAGTCTTATACATAGTCTTCGCGACGATTCAGGACCATGCACGGGCTCCCAGAGACTCTTCATATATGGGAGGGAGCCTATCAGCGAGTCTAATGTAGTCAAATGATATGACCTGAGCGCTGTAAGTCGCCTTCAATTCTCCGCAACATGGCTATGAGCTTGGTTGTTGGGGTGAATCTCTAGCTCTCTCAAATTCTGGGCGTTATTGTTTATAAACGCGACTATCCCACACTGAGGTTTCCTTCCGGCTACATACTTGAATATGCCCAAGTGTGGACAATGCCAGTCCTCGAAGGCATCGTCTGGTATGGACACGTTTAAGGTGGCAAAGAATGTAATGCACGGACTACTGGGAAAGACTGCCGAGGCTGGACGAGCTTCAGAGTGAAGCCGGCAAGTTGAAGGGCTTGACCGCAAGTGCGAGATATGTCAAAGATTTGAAACAGGGATGGCATAGAAATTCCACGTCAATAGTCTCACGTGGTATGGACCATTCTAATGCACGGAGTGGCGCTGGGAGAGATGGTCCAAGGGTATACTCGAAGATGAGTCTCTATATCTCTGCGGGAGTCCTGTAGACAGCCGAGATACATCCACTCGTCGCCATCTTTGCTGTGGGGAGTCGGGCCAACTTTGTGTGCGGCGTTTATCCACCGGGCATGGCGTCTACTGGCATATAAACAGACAAAGAGAACCTACCATTAGGCGGACTAGTTTCGGCTTTTTGCTGGAGACTAAACACTAGCTGGCGATATCAGTATAGCTCAAAGTATAGGAGTAAAGCGAATTGTTATATAGAAAGCCCAAAGACATTTTGTGTCATCGGTTTTTTAAACAGAATCTAATACTCTTTTGCCTTCGCATTAGCCTCCGCCTTGGCAAGTTGTCCGTGCAGCCTCTGCGCGTCAGGACTACTGAACGGCTGGTTCCTCCCATCGGAGATGTCGAGCTCCAACTCTTCGACAGCGGCGAAGAAATTTGCGTATTCTGGTTTGACCTGTCGATATGTTTCACCTGAAAGCTGAAGCCAGGTAGTCGAGAGGAAGATGTCCATATTAGCAAGTAGTTGCCTGTATTGTGCGCCTTGTTGAAGCAATTCTTTAGGCAGAGGGTCACGTAAGCCCACCGAGAGGCGAACGCGCAGCCGCCTTCGCGGCAGAGGCAATATTTCCCCAGGCGTTGGATACCAAAGGTACTGCATGAAAGGGAGTGCCTTCAACAAGGATTCGAGCGAGTCAAACGCATATGACTTGAGCGCCATAAGCCGCCTCCAGTTCTCGGCCACGTGCCAGTGGGCCGTGCCATTCCCATGAATTTCTAGCTCGTTCAACTTTTGAGCATGACCATTGATGAAACAAAGTGGACCGGGCCCTAAGTATACTCGTCGGAACATGTACTTGAACATCGTCAAGTTTGGGCAACGCCATTTCTCCATCGCATTCTCCGGCAAGTGAATGTCACTTGCCTGAAGGACGAGGGCGCGTAGAGCTGGGAAAGCCCATACTTGTTGGACGAAGGATTTGAAACTCTGGCCATGACCGGAATCGCAGAGACCCAGATATGTGAGATTATCCAAGATATCTACACGAAATATGTCTATATATCTGTTGGTGGACATTTGTAGATGTAGCGCACGAACATTCCTCGTGAATGTCGTCAATGGGCCGTCTACTGGATCGGAGACGGTGATATTCATCCTTTCAATTAGAGTGACCGGTGCGAGAGGTTTCTCTGAATTTATCTTGAATGTTTTTGGTCCACGAACTGAGGCAGTCCGAAAAGGTGCTCCGCTCCAGGGGAACTGGAATGATACGTACTGCTCTGGTCTCCCATCGAGATAGCGGATATATTTGGCTTCGTGTCTCTTTTTTTTTGGGGGCCAGTCTGGCTCGTAACCGTCTGGCCCACCGACTAGCATTATCTTGTCGTCCATGTCCGAAACGATATCTTTCCAGAGTTTACAGACGAGCATAAGGGAGGCTCTGATACGTTCTTTGTGAACATAAAGTCCTGGGCGGGATGAATAATACCGAAATAGCATCTTATACTCAGCGAGACTGTCCTGCTCTGGATTTGAGAGCAAGGGACCAAGGGTAAATCCAAGAATTTCTCTCCAGAGTTCGACTGGTACTCTGTGCACCGCCGAAATACAACAGTATGTTGCAGTCATCGCGAGAGTCGGGTCCAAGTATTCAAGTGGACGGCAAGCAAAGGAACAAAGTCCAGGATTTCTGCTTGATTATAATCTATTATATCACCTCTTTTCCTTGAAGGTAAGAGCCGGACTGCGTGGTTACTCTGCCTTGAACCCTCCCTCGTCCATCGGAGCATAGCACTCCCGTGACAACTCGATAGCCACAGCACGTAGCTCAGCATTCCAACGCTTTTCTAGTGCCATATCTGTACCAGTTTCCGTTCCGCCATGTCTTCTTCGTCCACATTCGCCCCTTGGTCAGCAGAAATCATCGAAAACTCTAGCCAGAAGCCAGAAACTCATCGTCCAGTCATCGCAAGCATGGCTCAAGACGATCAACTGGCCGAGTCCCCGCGTGAAATCACCACAGGACCGAGCAATGAAAACTCTACGTCGCCGTGGTACGTTCCGACCTCGTCGACCATTTTTCCAAAGAAAAAGGGAGACCTTCTTGTTGCTGCAAAGCGGACGCTTGCAGGGAAAATCAACCACAATGCGAATGGGAATCTGGACAAGAGTCCCGATGTCGAGCAGGCTGCCCGCCATTACGTAAACGATGAAGAGCTCTCAAGAGAGGAGGAAGTGCGGCAATCTATCACAAATCTTCCCGAGGACTTTGCGCCGCTTCGTAGGCGTGCCTCGATCCAGTCCTTGGTTGCAGCAATCGGAGACGAAGAGAGTCGACGTCTCACGGCTTTGGCATATCTCTCATAACCTCCGTTACGACCACTTTGCATTATTTCTCTTTCTTCGGTAGACCATCTGACGGATATATCTGTATACATGCTATCGCTCGCTTATTAATCGCTTTCTATCTGTAGACTATTCGTAGCTCACAAGCGCTGGAATTCATTATCGCTTTCATTGCAGCAGGTCTGGCAAACAAGGTATATATGACAAGTGCGGGCTTTTGCACAGCAGGTGCGGAACAAGGATACAAATGGTGAGAGTCAAGAAAGTGGGGTCATCAGATGCAAGAACGGAGATGAGACAACATGCAACTCTGGTCGATGACCAACACGCCGGGCGCATCGCACTGGCCCCGGGAGGTGCTGGTACCAAGAGGGAGATGGGAGTGGGGGTTTAGATGATGTATAGATGAACAAACGTGCGTCTAGCACGCTAAAATGCTACTTTTGTCGGGTGCTATCACGCAGTCGGCTCGTGATTGCACACCAGTGTCCTTGTCGAGTATCTACATTGAAGAGTGAATAAAGGCGCTTAGATTTGCATATGGGCATAGATTCAACTAGAATGGGCGAGATTGCTGACAAGAGACGTTAGGAAGTGCCTGTCGAGTCTGCGGAAAAGCTCACAGGGTACGGGGCATACGGATACTGTTGTTGTTGGTAGTGCTGCGCTGTATAATTATGCGGCTGGGGATGCTGCCCGTGTAGATTTTGGTGACCGTGGCCAGTATACGCAGGGTTTGCTGGCGCTGGATATCCGGGTGTCTGCATCGGCATTCTTGGAGGCTGCATCGAGTGAGCTTGCACTCCGGCAATTCCATAGGGAGGCGGGCCCGATGGATAAGGCACGACCGGGGGAGTTTGGGTCTGGTGGGAACCACTGGCCGCGCCCTGCTGGGCCGCAACAATCAACGCTTGTAGGTATTCTTGAGGTACCGACACCTGGGGGCTCTCTGCTACTGTCGAGTGCATCGAAGAGGATGCCGACGATGCTCTTCGCGCGTCTGATCCGGAATGGGAACGCGAGTGAGAGTAAACGGGTGTATGTTGTCTCTGCTGAGGAAGCGGAAACTGAGCAGCCCCGTAATGTCCATGCGGAGATGGTGTGGACTGATAAGATTGAACCTGGTTGTAATGGAGCTGGCTAACCGGGGAGTATGACGGAGGCGGTTGCATTGGTGAATATGTCTGCCGTTCGACTCGTTGAATGTCGCGAGTCGGACGCGGTTTCGAACGCGGGTCGATGGTCGCTGGCGGGGCAGCTTGCATTGACGGACCCGGTTGGCGATCCTGAGAGACCTTCCAGATGGATTCGTCGTCTGGCACATTAGTAGTGGCTGGTAGAGGGCGCTGTTCACTGTCTTCATCACTTTGATGGCTGGTACGGGATATGTGCGCTCTCAGCTGCTCAGCCGTGATTCGCTGATCTGCCTTCTTCTGTTCAGCATACTTGGCGCGGTCCGAAGACGGATTCCTGGTGCGCATCGACGTCATATCGTACAGAATCTCCCCGTCGGCCATGACCTTGGCCATGGGCTGCTGTGAGTCAAACATCCTGGGCGTGATACCGACGCTCCGCAGAATCTTGTTTGCTTTGTCCTCGTCCTCCATCATGCGACCCTGTGCAGCAGCGAGTGTGGCCGCCGGGGCAGTTCGCGGATGAGCGATTTCCATTGGCGAAGCAACCGTGTACGGAACAGGTGGTTGATGCGCCAGTGGTACACCCGGAATATGATGCATTTGTGGAAAGATGTTGGATAACTGATAGCCTGGAGGACAAACTGGCATCATATCCGGTTGTTCGGTATTCGGAGGGTGTGTCGAAGGATCCGAGCGCAGAATCGGACGATATCGTGTGACTGCCGCCTGGCCTGGCTTCTTCACATTTGGCTCGATATCATGGGAGTAGCGGCATCTGGCACCAAACCTACAGTGGCCAGTCGTACGGAAATCGCCACAGTACTCCACAGGTCCGCCTTTTTGACCAGCAACAGACACTTTGGGAGGGGGAAGCTGTACAGATGTGGATGGAAGGAGACCTCCGGTAAAGCTCACTGGGGTAGGTGGATATGGGAGAGGTTGAGAGGTTGACGCTGGACTCGTGACCACCCCTGGGGCCGTTGACGTTGAATAAACTTGAAGAGGCATCGCGGGGTCTAGAGGAGCTTGCGTAGGTTGCACTAGGAGCGTTGTCGGTGCAACAATGGGCGGGAGGGTCTCTCCGGTTTCGAACTCATCCATGGCCTCTGGAATGTCCTCGTCTTCCTCCACGATGGTTCCATTAGCGCCTCTTGGCAAGACGCTACCTATCTTGATACCTCCGCTCATCACGCGAGCCGTTGCGTAATTGATCACGTTCCCAACCTCGTCAATCGTATTCGCTGAGCGCGTGACAATATGATACGGCGAACTGAAAGACGGGTGTTGGGAGTCTTCTTGGTTCTCGTACCGAGATGAAGTCCCGCCTTGATGCAGCAGCGGAGGATCCGCAATTGAGGGAAAGCGTGCGAGCGTTGGGCTAGGACTCCGCTCAATATTGCGAGGTTCCGAGTCGCGGCCTTTGTGGGCAGTCAAGTCAGGAGAATGTCGCATGCAGGTATCTGGCGTACCTGTCAGACCTTCAGATGTCTCCCCTTTCTTCAGTCGGTCTGGTGTGGAGAAGATGTCGCCGGTGGATCCTGTCGTATCGCCTTGTTGGCGGGTTGATGGAAGATCCGTTAAGGTCGTTGAGCGCTTCCGCTGAAGGATTGGCCGCTGAGGCGTCAATTCTTTCAACTGCGAGCTTGCCTCCTTGCCAGGATTGTCCTGTGAGTACTCTCCATCCCTGTCATCATTTAGATACTCTTCTGCGCTGACATAGTCTCGGCTATCATCGGCATCTCCCGCATCGTCACTACTGTCGAATGCGAGATGTTGCATCGTCTGCATACTCGCTTCTTCTCCGGGTAGCGCCGTTGACATGCTAACACGTCGTCGTTGTCGAGACTTTGGAGATGGTACCTCTGTCAAACCTTCCTTGGGGGGCGTTGGCACGGTTGCAATCGCGGACAACGGACGCTTGAGTGTAGAAGCGATATCACTCGGAGCAGGAATATCGTGAATTCTCTGGACATCAGCTTGAACTGGGTCGGGAAGGGGAGCGACCATGACGGGTATGGGAGGAGCGAGGTCAAACTGTGAGATGTCAGACTCCGCCCGGGTTGCGCGAAAGAGGCATACTACAGCTGGAGCCATCTCTGAATCTGTCTTCTTGTCCATGACGGCTTCTTCGATCGATTGAACATTCTGGAAAGATGTTAGAAGCTGTCTACCGATTATCCAGGACGAGTACCTTTGCCTTTTCCCGCTGCCCAAACAAGGCGAATGAATCGAGTTGTTGGGAGGATTTGGGCTCCTGCTCATGAGTTGGTGATTCTGCTTCCTTGTAGATGGATGTACGAATACATACCTTGCCCTTTGATTGCTTTGGTCGTTCGCCAAGGAGCAGATCTAGATCCGTACCGAACCCCTTCGCCTTACGCTTGATGACAAACGTCTCAACACTGGAGGATGCCGCATCCTTGGGCGACGACTCGGGCACCGGAGTGATCTTGGGCAAAAGATCCTGGCGTATGCCTTTGATAGAAGACAAAAGAGAAGACGTGTGGACAGGAGGTGGACCAAAATCAAATTCTGCCATTCGAGCCGCCCTGGAGGAGGATTTTGAGGCCTTGCCGTCAACCTTTTTAGGCTTTTTGGGCTTGACGGTCTCCATTGCTAGCGGCGTCTTGTCGAAAAGACGTGCCATAGCACCACCGTGCGTCTCGTCGAGAATCGGAGGGTCGTGTCCCTTTGCACTCGACGCCCTGTCCGCCTCTTCATTCGCCGCTGGCGCGGAGGCGGAGGGTTCAGGTAGTACCAAGGATGAAGGGTCGACTGCCTCGTACAGCTGCGGCTTCTTCACCCGCGTATCTCGCACACTCGGCGCCTCCTTGCCGACATCCCACTTGATGACCACATGCGTCGGCCTAGGGACCCCTTGATACTCGGACCGGTACTCCCAGGGCTCCTTTTTCTTGACCGATAATGCCTCAGATGTGCGGCACTCTTTCCAGTCGATATGCGAGCCAACGATGCCACCGAATTGAGCAATCTCCCATCGAACGACTTCGAGCGTCCGCTCCGCGAGATCAATCTCGTCCTCCAAAACAACGCGGTTTTGCTCGCCAGTGAGCGGCAAGTCACCAAGTCGTGCAAACTCGGGGCCGTCGTGCACAGAGAGGGGCTCCGCCGAGAGCAACTTCCGAATGAGCGTTTCGCGCTTGATCTCGAGCGATTTCTGGAACGCAAGGATTTGTTTAATCTCCATGGTACGTTGTCGAAGGAGCTCGTCATTGTCCAGCGACTCCATATGTTCACGCGTCAACCTTCCTTTTTCGTTGAGAATAGGTTCACCAGTGCTCGCAGATTCTACTGGAACAGCGCTGGATGTGGACGAGGTACTATGCGTGGACTTGTGAATAGCAGGTGGATTCGACGGATTCATGACAGAAATAGGCGAAGGAGTTGTTTCGGTCATTTGCGACGGCGGCGCTTGGGCTTGAATCATGTCGAGGACTGATATAGTCGAAGTTACGCCATTGAACACGGTCACTGGTTCTGCTTGCTTCTCCGTCGACTTGAGAACCTGCTGCTCGACTGCCGGAGCCACGTCTACTGCTGGCTTCTCCATGTCCTTTGTGACCAGGTCCACAGCATCTATAGCGCTAGTTTGGTCTCGTACTGGAGGACCAGTGCCTAATGCATACCCAAGGGCATGGCCAAAGAGCGAGCGCCTCGGAGGCAACGCGTGCCCAGTTTGGGCTTTTGGACCACTGCGTTGAGGCTTTGATTTCCGGTCTGATGACTTTTCACGCGTTCGATCTCGCTTTGGCACAGGCGCAGGTACCGATGCAGCACCAATGAGTTGTTCCAGGATATTGCTCGACGACCTCTTCTCCAGCTTGTCCTTGGGCTGTTCTCGCGGCTGAGCAGGTTCCACGGGCCGGCTCTTGACGACTGAAGCCGGTTTCTCCTCCAGGGATTTGGATTCTGAGCCATGGACACCGGCATTCGGCGTAACACTTCTCGTATTCCTAAAAGGCGGAATACTTGAAACGGCATACTTGCCCGCCAAACTCCCTCTTCGCTTCTTGGCCTTTTCGCTCCCGAGCACAATCGACTCGACGCTCACATCGGATGACTCGGATCCACGCGAACGGTGGCCCGCACGTGAATATCTCCCCGTCTTTCGCGTCACCAAATGGTCAATGTTCGGGATGAGTGGATGCGAGGAGAGTTGGAGTAACTCGGGCGGCTGAAGGGGGACAGTTGGCTTTGGCTTGGGTACATCCGTGGGTTGTAGCGTAGAAACACCAACTATTTCACTGATTTGGGGTGATGGCAAGGTGTGCTTGGCGCGAGAGGAGTAGATTGTCGACGGGCTCCTCCTAGCGTTGCTCACCGGAATCCAATCCGACTCGTTGGCGTTTGTAGACGACTTCCATCCATCTTCCCCGGCTCGCAATCCCAACGCAGGCAATGGCCGAGGTGCCTGTATCTCCGGCATCTGCGAGGCCTCGCGTCGATCTTCACTCGTCTCCATTTCGTTCATAGTCTTAGACTCTGCACCCCCTAGAATAGGACTCGTCGAAAACGGATGAATAGCCTCGTCAAAGCTATTGATATTCGCAAGTCGGGCTGATAGCTTCGGTGGCGGTGGACGTGCAGCGAGAAAGAGGTCTTCGGCTTGTGGCGGTCCTCGTAGACGACGGGTAGCGTATGCAATTCGTTTCGCTGCTGAGTCTGACTTTTTGAGAGTCTTGGAGGGTGCAGGTGCAAGTATAGGTGGAGGGGTGAGACGGGCATAGGGACAGCGCTGACCGTGCGGGCAGACGCGAGGAGCTTTCGGGGTGTTCGTCGGCGTCTCCGAGACTGATGTGGAGCAATGAGCAAGACATGCGAGATCTAGAAAGAAGACGGTCAGTGAATTGCTTGAGAGCGAACAAGTCACTCACGCAGCGGAGCTGTCAGACCCTTGGTGACTTTTGGTCGATTTGGGCTGGTTGGTAGTGAAGAGGAGACTATCTGAAGAGGACGAATTCGAGTACGTCCTCGTGGCGATGCCGTTTCGTCGTCTTCAACTATCCGCACTTCCTCGCGTTCCTCGCTCGCATCCTCTAACCGCAAGGTATCTAGACTAGAGTCTCCCACATCCTCTCCACTCTCGCTATCGGATCTATTCCCATCCCCATCGATTAGCAGCACTGGCTCGTCGTCCTTGATGTCCGTCGTAATCGACACGTTGCCACTCGTCACAGGAAAGTCTACGTGAACCGTATTCCGTCGACGAGCATTTTTCCTGTGCTCCAGCTCGAGAGCTGACGCGAACAAGACAATCTCACCGTCTGATCTCCTATGTCGTGAAGCAAACGAAAACGAGTCGTCAAAAAAGAGCGGACTGTACGCGTCCATGACCAAGCTTGGTTCGCTCTGACTCAGATACCACGCTGCCGCCGCGGCTGTCGCCAGTTTGGACGAATCAGACGAGTAGGGCGCCGACAGGGATGCCTGTAGCGTCGGGGCCGAACGCGACGACATCGTTCGCAAGGTAGCTGACCCGGTTTGTTCTTCCTCCTCGGGGACCGCATACGTGATGGGGGCGGCGGGTTGAGATTCCGATTCTGTGAGGGCTGTGGCCGCTTTGCTCTGATCTGACGCGACACGACGTGCCATGTCGGCGTAAGATGTAAAGCTAAGTGCTGTACTAGCGCTGGCGAGCAAGAGCGCGTCGTTTGTTGGGTCCCATGGTGGCAATTGTGGCGAGGGCGGTTGCTGCATGCGGATAAACCGCTTTGCCAGAGATGATTACTCGAGCTGAGAGAATGATATACGCCAGATTATCGGTGCTAGTGTGTTTCGTGACGCGTCGTGACTATGGAAATGGTATGAGACAGTCTGTCTGAATCGCAGTAACGACTGTACTGACGATGGGAATAGATTTGCAAGATTGTATAGTTATCTGTAGCCTCTTCTGTCTCGCTCAAAGGTATCGCCGAGAGACAAGAGTTGCTAAGTGAAACGTCAGTACTTGCTCCGGTACTCCTTTGCCCTCTACCAAAAGAAAGAAGCAGTGGATAATATGGTCCAGAGGGTGGATTGCAATGAATTTACGAAATGGAAGTGGCAAAGAGCTAGTATAGCAAACGGACTCGGAGAAAGTCGCTGTCAGACATGAGAATTGGACAGATTGGCATTGCAAAATGAGAGTATTATCGAAATCCATTCGGTAGGTATACTTACTGGATGTGTATGGATTGGTGAGGCGGGAGCCAAGACGTGAAATGGTGTCTGTATGCTGGCTCCTGGTCGGGACCAGTTGCAATTCTGCAAAGATGAATAAAGAATAGAATCATTAGCGAATATAGCGCGTGTATACCTTGTAAACGGCGCACCAGGCGAGATGAGCGTGAAGCAAATCCTTTGAGCGAGTTGGTTGACTGCTCCGAGGCTATCTGCCGATGTTTCTACGTGACTAGTCGTCTGTATAGAGTACCTTTGAGACGAATAGAGAGTAGATAAACGCAGATTATAGACGTTTGGACGCTCAACGAGATGAGCCCTAAGACGCCAGGTTTTGTGCACCACTCGGGGGTAACATGAACAGCGAAATGTGGATAGAGTATGATGTTTTACATTGTATTAATAGCTCATAGACAGTCTGACGCCTTGTCTCTGCAATGTCGAAACCCCCGCCGTATGATCACATTTACTCGGGGGGATAGACTGGCTGTACATTTCCCCCGATAACAATACTATTCGGTATAACAATATAACAATATAACAATGCCAATAGCAAATATGACCCGACCGGACGTAACGCTAAAGTCGAACCATTTTCAAACGTTGGACCCTCCCACATTCGCCATGGGCAAGCTCCAGTCTCTCCAGCTCCTCTTTACCCATCCAACCGAGTTTATTGTCCTCGCTCAGTACTGGCTCTTTCATGAACCCAGCCGCGACATTACAAACCCAAAAGAGTTCAAGACGAGCGGCTATGACCGCGACTCGATGAAAAAATGCTGGGAATTCCTCGACAAGACCTCTCGCTCCTTTTCAGCTGTCATTAAAGAGCTCGACGGTGACCTTGCCCGCGTGGTATGTTCGACATTGCCAGCATTTTCCCCGTGCTATCCCCGCTTGCTGCCTTTCTCTCCACACTCCTCTCGCTAACGAGCATGTCAATCTAGATTTGTCTATTTTATCTTGTTCTACGTGGTCTCGATACGATTGAAGACGACATGACACTTTCGGACGAAATTAAGCAACCCATCCTCCGGACATTCCACTCCAAACTCAGCGTCGAGGGATGGACATTTGACGGCTGTGGACCCTTTGAAAAGGACCGACAACTTCTTGTCGAATTTGACAATGTCATCACCGAAATGGGCCACCTGGACCCTCTGTACGTGCACACCGCACGCTCGTAATCTGTATTAACGACGTTTACAGATGCCGGGAAGTCATCACCGACATTACCCTCAAGATGGAGACGGGTATGGCCGACTTTGCCCACCGTGCCGCCACCTCGAAGACTGTCCCTTACCTCACCACCATTGCCGAATACGACCTCTACTGCCACTACGTCGCCGGTCTCGTCGGTGAGGGTCTCTCTCGTCTCTTCGCCGCAACAGGCAAAGAGCGCGAATGGATCGCCGACCAACTCGTGCTGTCCAACTCGATGGGTCTCCTCCTCCAAAAGACCAACATCCTGCGCGACTTCCGCGAAGATGCCGACGAGCGAAGATATTTTTGGCCACAGGAGATATGGGGCGCCTATGGGTTTAAACGACCAGAGGAAATGTATGCCCCCGAGGCCGGCGACAAGGCCCTTTGGGCACTCAGCCATATGACGCTAAACGCTCTCAGCCACTGCGTCGACGCACTCGATTACCTCGTCCTCCTTCGCAACCAGACCGTCTTCAACTTTTGCGCCATCCCGGCCGTCATGGCCATTGCCACGCTCGAGCTGTGCTTTATGAACCCGGCCGTCTTCCAACGAAATGTCAAGATTCGCAAGGGTGAAGCCGTCCGAGTGCGTTCTTCTCAGCTTCTTGGCGCCGTTTTGTACTAACACCCGACCAGCTGATCATGACCTCGACCAACCCTATGGCCGTCTCCTATGCCTTCCGAGACTATGCACGCAAAATCCACCGCAAAGCCGTCGTTGCGGACCCAAATTACCTCGCCCTCTGCGTCATGTGCGGCAAAATCGAAACCTGGGTCGAACACCACTACCCGACCTTTGTCTCCTTTACAAAAGAGTCCAAGACGATTGAATACAACGCCGCGGACCCACGATCGCAAATCGTCAAACGGTACCAAGAGCTCGAAAGGGAAAAGGTTCGTCGTGAGCGAGGCGAAGAGGCTGTTCGGGCTATCCCTGATCCGCATGTGGATAACGTCGTACCATGGCAGTTGTACGCCTTTGTCATTGGCGCAACGATTGCATTGTTCGCGGTGACGGGTATGATTATCCTCTTTGCGCTCTGGTGGTTCTATGGCGAGGAGTGGAACTGGGTAGACATCGGTTCGCTTGCGCCGCGCGTTGACCTTTAGAGATGAGCCGTTCGTCCCCGTCGCGTTGCGGGGGAGGGACCAAAATGGGTATCTATACGACGGCACTTTGTCGTCATGCTATAGATGGTTTGCTGTTTGCTTCGTTTTGAGGTAATCGTATCGATATGTACATCCATACATCGCTAGCTTAGTCGAAGAATCCAATCTCGTTTTCGATATAGCGTGTAGGGGATGGCAATGTGAACACAAAGCTTTTGTATTTCATTCGTAAAGGACATCGATCAAGGGGGTACCAAAGACCAAGGATCGAAGTGCGTTTGCTTCGTCGCAGTTGGCTGGTTTCCCATCACAATCAAACGCTAGAAGCGGTACATTATCTATAACCCTAAGGAAGAACCTCACATCTTTGCGAGCTTCCAACTCTTCCAGCAACTCCCACGGGTTGTCGTTGTTTTCAATAAGTTCTAATTGCAAGGCTTCAGCCCATGATCCGTACCAAAGCACCTTGATATGCTGCAATACGCTGTGGTATGGTTGCAGGCGTGCGACCATTTCCGCCGCGGTTCCCTGACTCGTGGATTCACATAAGATGACAGTGAATAAAGGTGGACCCAGCCCATTCGTGTCACCTTTATGCTCTTTGCGTTCCAATCCAATCGCAAGGGAGGGGAGGATGTCGACGAGCTCAGGCAGATCAGGGACCATGAGCAATTTGAGACGAGGAAAGTGCGACCAATTGACCTGTTCAGCAGCAGTTGGAAACGCTCCGGCAGGAACTCCAATTTCTTCCAACGTCGCAGCGTGATTGGAAAGAAACTCGCATAGGTCCTCTGATGCTGTAACTCGGAGGTCATCCGCGGTGCGAACACCAAACATAGTGAGTTTGGGGAAGCGCAAATTTGATAGACGTTTTATGAGGGGGCCTTGTACGTCTCTGGTATCTCGCACCATCTTCCCAATCGTGAAGCATTGAAGATTGGGCAATGTACAAGTCCCCTGCTCAGCTGGATGCTGATAGGGATAGTAACGGTGCAGATGGAGCACGCGAATGTTATAGAATAAGGGGTATGTTATGCAATGCGGTCCCGTTGGCACGGATAAATTGAGATAGTAGACGTTTTTTGGTTTGGTGATGTCTTGGAGTGCTGATACATCCAGTTCCTCGCTGAGGAATGATGTCATAGGTGCAAGCACGAGGGAGCCGTCCACTTTAAGCGGACCGGATGGCACAATGTATCTCCTACGGCCAAGAACTGTGCTCACTACTCTGTGATAGGAAAGGTATTTCGCACTCTCTTTAGAACGATAAGGTGGCCAGTCGTGCTCGTCAAGGTGACTGATCACAACCTTATCGCCCAACGTATCAGCCAAATCCTTCCAAGAGTGGCATACCAGGCGCAGAGTGCCTCTTTCTCTCTCTTCTGGGTATATTTTTGCCGAAAATGTGGCATCTTCAGATAAAAGTTCTGGTACCCTCTCAGGCTCTGTTCTTCCGGCTCCAGAAGAGACGGTCCGAGATATAACTCGAATATTCTTTCCCATATCTCAAGAGGAGCCCGGTCAGTCGCGCCAGAACTCATCTTCGTGTCGTAGTTGCAGTAATTGAGTCAGTGTAACCACCACCTTTGCATTAGAGGTGTCAGTATCACAATCGCACGTACAAGTTATTCCTAAGGCACATATATGTAATATTATGTGATGCCTGTATTGCTCGCAGACGCGCATGATCGTCCTCTTTCGCTCGAGTGATTTCACGACGAAGAATGGAATTTTGGTCAATTACGCTGGATGTTAATCTTTTGAGATGTCGAGGCTGGCTCGCACACGGTCGTTGGGATATGGAGAAAAGGCAAAGCACATCTCTATTCGGGAGTTGCATGGTGGTCTGCTGAGAGGCCTTTCCTTTGTGCTGGTACGTTTCAAAGTAATTATTTTGGTATACATTACATCTACTCATACATCCTTAGCATGGTCGAAGAATACAGTCGGATGTCGAAAACTCGTTGTTTCCCGCTCAATTTTATCCCTGAAATAGGTGTCAAAGGGTTTCGCTTTGACTCTTGGCGCTCACAAATAGACTTAGCCAACGATATCGCTTCCCTTTGTAACTAAATGTATTTAGGGACGCATGACGCAATGGCTGGACCTTACTGGTCTTACCTCTCGCCTCGCGTGTCCTAGGTTCGTTACACTACACACTGGTCTTACCTCTCGCCTCACGTGTCCTAGTATCAACAGTAAGAGCACACTATGGAGAAAAAACATGATATCTTTGTATTTTACGGTGTGTTTAACTCTACCAAGAGATATCCGAGGTCAAGACTCGAAGCTCCTTTGCTTCATTACAGCTCGCTGGCTTTCCATCGCTATCAAAAACCACCAGGGGTACCTTATCTATAACATCGAAGAAGATGTTTGCATTTGAGCGAAGGCGCCGGCGGAGATTCTGCAATGGGTCACTGGCATCTCGATTATCGGCATCACGTATACCACGTAGAAGACGCTCGGAGGTATAATTCCATGACTCAAGAGTATAGATGTGTGAGATTACCCAGCGGTAAGGCTCGATTCGTGCGACTAGTTCTGCGGTGTCGCTAGTTGCGTTCAGACTCAGGGTGATTGCAACTCGTGGGATATCAAAGGTATCTTTACCATCATTAGGGCGCTTGGACTCCCACCGCTGCGCGAGGGAAGGCAAAGCGTCTGCGAGGTACGACAGACTAGGGAGTGTCAGTGACCTGAGACGAACAAAGGGTGACCAGTCTACTCCCTGTGCGGCCATAGTAGCCAACCGGAAATGTAGTTCGATTTCTTCAAATGTCTTGGCGCCGTTGGAGAGAAAGTCGAAAATATCCGTGGACACTGAGTTCCAGTGGCGTGAGCTTAAAAGACCGAACATGATGAGTTTGGGGAAATAACATGAGGATAAACTTTTCACATGCGGTTCCCTCTCGTTATTAGCCATAATCGTTCCGAGTATAAGACAGCGAAGATTGGGCAACATCACCTCTTTGGCCAAATACCTCTGGGGGAAGTAGTGCGAAAGATAGAGTATGCGGACGTTGGCAAATAAAGGGTACATCATGAAGCGTAAATCAGCAGGCGCCTCCAGAATCCTGAGAAAGTAAACGTTTGCTGTTTCTGTGATATCCTGAATCGACGATACATCAAGAGAGTTGGCGATGAGTGAAGTTATGGGTGCGAAGATCAAAGACCTGTTAACCTGGATAGGTACAAGGCTTGTGGCAGCGAGTCTTCGATTGCGAAAGAGCCGCTTGTAATCGTGGATGGGATCCACCCACTGAATAGGCGTTAAATTGCGGTACGAAATGTATTTCGCACCTTCTCGACTGCCATGCGGTGGCCAGTCGGCCTCACCTAAGAGACTGACCACGATTTTATCGCCCAACATATCAGCTAGTTCTTTCCAAGAACGACATACAAGTCTTAAAATTCCTCTGCACTGCTCTTGCGCGCGGAAGCTTAGTGGCAGCGAAGCTTCGTCGGCGAGGAGCCTTCGATACCCTCTCATTGTCGGCTCTTCTGGGTCCAGGAGAGAAATTCCAAGAAAGAATTCGAAAACGTTTCTCCAGACTTCAAAGGGAGTCCTATCGACGGCGTCAGAACTCATCTCCGCTGTCGTACTTGTGGTCAAGTGTCAGTGTAACCACCATAGTTGCGTTAGATGCAGAATCAGTCGTACGAACCCAAAATAAACCCTCGCATACGTTAACCTAGCTTGCCTAAAGGGACAAACGCCGTCACCCAGGTTGAAAACGTGCAGCCATTCTGAAGCCATATGTGAGCGATCTCATACCGTTATGGTCTTACTTATGCACGATGATGAATTCTTCGTAGTGACGAGTATGATAAGCCTCTTTTCGTCCTAGTGGTTTCATCGCGAAGGTATTCCCAGTCGAGCTGAAGCGTGAAACTACCAATACAAACTACTACTGAGGCGGAACGCGACGTTCAATGTTTTGTTTGTAAAGGAGGCTATTGATCCTACCAAGAAGTATCCGAGGCCAAGACCCAGAGCTCTCTCGCCTCGTCGCAGCTCGCCGGTTTCCCACCACAGTCGAACGCTAAGAACCGCATCTCGTCTACAGTATCCAAGAAACTCTTGGCGCCATCACGGGCATTTCGGCAATAGTCCTGCGTAGAGGTATTATATGTTCTCTTACCGTCTCGGACAGTCTTCAATAACTCAGCCCATGACTCGAATGTATGGATTCTAATATATCGAACCGCCCACCGGTATGTCTGAAGGTGTGCGACCGATTCCTTCGAGATATATCCGGATCCGTCGACCGTCAACTTGACAATAAGTGCTGTCATTCCAGATGCATCGGTAAGATCCTGAGGCCTGTTTGATGTGCACATACGTGAAGATGAGGTAGAGCATCTGCGAGAGCAGATAGCGTATGGAGCCTCAGATATTTGAGATGAAGAAAGCCCGACCAATCCACCCGTTGGCTGCCTCACAAGCCAAGTGAGGACCTAGTTCGATTTCTTCGAATAACCTAGCATGATTAGAGAAGGAGTCAATTATGTCCTTGGATACTGAAGTCGAGTGACCCGAAAGGAGGCGGAACATGGTGAGCTTGGGGAAGTAACATAGAGATAAGAACTCCGCGTGGGATCCAGCCACGCTATTCACAGTCCCCCCAATAATGAGACAGCGGACGTTTGGAATCGTCTCGCCTAGCGTATCTACCAGATCCCTCCATGGGCGACTAACAAAGACAAGCACTCCTCTAATATTCTCTAGCACGATAAGTTTCTTGAGTGTCATCCTCGTCTATGAGGAAACGTTGGTATTCTCTCAAGGTTGGTCTAGTAGAGATGCTCCACGGTAACACTCGAATATCCGGTTCCAGACCTCGACGGAAGCGCGCTCGACTGCACTCGGAGCTAAGGCCATATGTGGGACACTTTAAAAGCAACAGTCACTCGGGGCCACAGTTGAAATCGCATGGACTGTGCATAGGGCTTATCGTGTAGGAATATAGTTTAGTCTCCACGGTAAATATAGGTAGTCTTCATCTTGAAAGCTGAATCACGAAAGCGAATTTATTTCGAAAATTATTTCGACTCTTTTACATCCTAGGACATCTATGATTGTAAGAAACTTATTAGCGCTCTTGCCTCGGAGGAGCTTGCTGTTTTTCCATCCCGATCAACGACAGGCAGCCGTGCTCGCTCTACGACGGCAAATAGTCCGAGCATCTCGCCTCTATACGAAATAAGCGCATCTGTTAACTCCTCGGATGGATACTCGTGACAATTGTAAACGAGCTCCTGAGCGTTCCTCAGCTCAGTAGCCCAGAACCAGGGCAACCTGAATGTGATATGGCTGAATGCTTCGTGAAATACTTCAAGTCGCTCAACCAGATATACCACTATATTTGCCGCTGGCCGCATATCCAACTCAATGGTGAGCCCCAACATATCAGCAGAATCTCGGCGATGGAATAACGTGCCAGAATTCCATCTACGAGATATAGAGGTCAGTGCATCAGGAAGAGTGTCAAGATCTAATCCAACCAGCCCCTTGAGATACGAAAAGCGTGACCAGTCAATATATCTTACCACCTCTCTGGCACATAAGGGTCCTATATCAATTTCCTGGAGTGTCGATGCATGTCTCTGGAGGAATTCGACTATGTCCGAGGTTGGGCATATGCCATCGGAGGAGCTTATATCAAAGTTGAACATGGACAGCTTCGGGAAGCGCCATCCAGATAGAGACGTATTACGAGAAGATGGAATTGGTTCGTCCTCTAATCTCATTTCGAGCATCAGGCAGCATAGGTTTGGCAGCGTACGATCAACTTTATGATCAATTTCGTAGAGCGGATACTTTGCGTAGATGCGCAGAACACGAAGATTGACGAACCGCGCGATTGCGAGGCATTGAAGATATCCGTTGTACCCAATAGAAAGATACCATACGTTTTCGGAGCCTTGAGTGAGGTCTGAAGGTAATAATTCAGTATTATGGGTAGTGATACGAGTAATTCTGCGTAATGGTGCACTCTGATAGAAATTTGAATACTCCGGGGAGTCGCTCCTCCATACCCACTCTATGTCACCTCTGTATAAGCCCACAGGGTCGTCCAATGAGACTACAGAGCCAAAGCTTTCGCATTGAATATAATAAGAGATATAATCTGCCTCTTCTCTACTGCGACCGGGCGGCCAATCATACTCGTCGCAGTGACTGATCACGATCTTGTCGGCCAACGTATCTACCAATTCTCTCCATGAGTGACACACCAAGCGAAGAATCCTTATCTTTTTCTCTGTAGCGATAAATTTATTAAGCATCTCGCCCTCGTCTGCGAGAAAGCGTTGATAACCTCTCAAGGTCGGTTCCTCTGGCGATAGCAGAGATTGTCCGAGGTAGAGTTCAAATATTCTTTTCCAGATTTCGACGGGAGTGCGCTCGACTGCGCTTGAAGCCATCTGTGGTATACTCCAAGAAGTGACAGTCGCTCGGCGCCACGTAGGTGACCTCATACGGACTTTTCATACCTTATATTGTAATAGTCTAATTTTCCGCGGAATATAGATAGATTGCGCTCTTGGTCTTTGGACTTGGAAGCCAAGTCGTCCAAGCTTATGGCCTTGGTCTGAGCATAGCTAACTACGGTAATCATCTAAAATTCACCGTTATCTTAGCAAGCTTTCCATAATAGCCTTATGGTGCGATCCTAGGCCGAGTTGCGCCATTTACCCTAAACTCACGCAATATCAAGCGATACGGATATGGAAGGTTGAGATTAGCAGTGGCGTAGATACGTAGATAGCTGTTATCTAATCTTTATGGGTCGAAGGTAGAAGCGTCGGTGGTCGTCGAAGTGGCCGGATTGAGAGTCCTTGGGCACGACGCTGGTGCCCTTCTGAGTAGCGAAGAATATATGTGAAGCGGGTTGAGCTTGATCTCATAAACGTTTCATGATCGAAAAGGGCATCAGCTCGTTGTCCCAAGGCCAAGGTCCAGTGCCAGGACGTCGCCCAAATCACCCAGCGGACAACATGCGTTGTTGCGTACCTAGTATGAGGAGTCGTAATGTTATTCCGTGCCGGTACTCGCCCTGGACGTGTGGACAGTGGCTTTGGATTGAACCTGGACGGCCTCCTCGTTGCTTCCGAGATTTCGTACAAGGCCCGCCAGTCCGTCACATGGACCGCCTAAACGGCATCGAAAGCTCCCACAGTCAAGAATAATACTCTCAGGAGGCGGATGTCGATCGAAGGGAGGCGGGTAGCGATTCACACTGGCCACCTCCCTTACCCGTTGTGGATACGCGCTGGGCCTGGTTCGGGACTAGAGCGTCCGCATCCAGGGGTGTGTTACCCACGTGGAATAAGTGTCGCTAGGGACCGTACAATCGAGTGGCTATTTTCACCCAGCGAAATTTCCGCGGCGGGCGTGGCTGTAGGAGATAGTGGTAGAGAAAGGGCAAGGATAATGAGGTCCCTATCCTACTTGTGGGCACTCTGTAGCCCTCAGCATTGTCTCCGCTGAGATTCTCCGTCATACCAATCTATAGATCCGAGGCCACTGTCGGCATGATGCACCGGTTCAGGCATCGAATCAGGTTCGCAAGTATGCTCGAATGGGTATCCAAACGTTTGACTCGCGGTGCATTCCCGCCGCTTGCGGCAGAGGAGCTCGGATGGCATATCAATACTGAGACGCTAAAGACTAGCTGCAATCTCGGAACTCAACGCCATGGAACTAGAGCAAATATGGGCGGTCGCGGTTCATGAGACTCGGAGAGCTGTGACAGTTGGAAATACTATGTCGCTACTTTCGTAAGGAATCATTAACTATTTTGGTATACCAGAGGTGTGCTGCTTGCAAGACGAGGCTAATGGTCGAGTCTAGATTAGTAGCAAAATTGTCTCTACGTTGATTCACACAAATGAGAATGATGTAAACATGATCTTCCAGGTTCCGACGAAGGGTCCTCTTCGCGGAATCCGTCGAGAATAACCCAGTGAGTCGTGGTTCCGGCATGTACTCTTCTGGCCAAAAGCGCCGTGATGAGCTCGGATCGTGTTATGTGACGAGAGGCAAGGACGATAATACGACTTCTGAGGATCTTGCTGAACGGTAGAACCAGAGCGTCTCGCGTCTGGGGAGAATTGACGGCGAATGTGTAACTTGGACCCCGCTACGGCCGAGGGGTGGTTCTGAATATCCGGATATTCCACCGTAAATAAGAATGAAATTATGCAGACTAGCGACAAAGCAAACTACGGTTCCAGAAATTGACCGCGCGTGTCAGGATTCCTTGTTCACGCGACTTCCGACGAAGCGCAAGGAATCCCCGCGTTGTCGAGGACCAACGACGAGCCCCCGAAAATGGAGAAATCTGGGTGGACTTCTCGTGTCTTTCGCCGATAATGTTGAAACAACTTCGGGCCCTCCCGATTGGCTCGTTCGCTCCATCCACGGGTCCAAACGTGCTGCGTGATCTCAGTCTATACGCTCAGAAACGCATTCTACGAGCGTTGCGGCGTTTATATGACCGCCCCTGGATTATAACGGATTTTCTCCGACTGGCGCTGTGGGTTGCAGCAACCAACTCCATCGCCCGACGAGGTTCCTCTGCCTCCGTCCGCCTGTATATAACCCCCCTGGGTGAGGGCATTTTTGATTCTCCATCGAGTCTTACTCGTCCGTCCAGTCCTCTCACTAGCCAGCCTCCTCTCCTTTGACAAGGCTCACAGTCACTATGCTTCGCACTGCTCTCCTTACCTCGACGCTCCTTGCTGTCGCCTATGCTCAGCAAGTCGGCACCCAGTTGGCCGAGTCTCACCCCTCGCTCTCCTGGCAAAAGTGCACAAAGAGCGGTGGCTGCACCAACGTTGCCGGCTCCATCGTGCTCGACGCTAACTGGCGCTGGCTCCATACCACCTCGGGATATACCAACTGCTACACCGGTAACAGCTGGGACACCTCGCTCTGCCCCGACCCGACGACCTGCGCCAGCAACTGCGCTCTTGATGGTGCCAACTACTCTGGTACCTACGGTATCACCACCTCGGGCAATTCCTTGACCCTCAAGTTCAAGACTGGCTCCAACGTCGGATCTCGTGTCTACCTCATGGCGTCTGAGACCGCCTACCAGATGTTCAAGCCCCTCAACCAGGAGTTCACCTTTGACGTTGATGTCTCCGGTATCGGCTGCGGTATCAACGGTGCTCTCTACTTCTCCGAGATGGTTGCCGATGGTGGTCTCTCGGCCTACCCCGGCAACAAGGCTGGTGCCAAGTACGGAACTGGCTACTGCGATGCTCAGTGCCCACACGACCTCAAGTTCATCAACGGAGAGGTGAGCTAATAGGTCTTTTTGTTCAGGACCCGTACTCACTTCCTTCTCAGGCCAACGTTCTCGGCTGGACTGGCCAGTCTAACGATGCCAACTCGGGTGCCGGCAAGTACGGAGCTTGCTGCCCGGAGATGGACGTCTGGGAGGCCAACAACGTCTCTACCGCCTATACCCCTCATCCTTGCGACCACCTTGGTCCTTACCGCTGCTCTAGCTCTACTGAATGTGGTGATGGCAGCGACCGCTACAGCGGTAACTGCGACAAGGATGGATGCGACTGGAACGCGTACCGCATGGGTGACACCTCGTTCTATGGTGCAGGCAAGACCGTCAACACCAACTCGAAGTTCACAGTCGTTACCCAGTTCATCACCGACACTGGAACTTCGTCTGGCACGCTCAAGGAGATCCGCCGTCTCTACGTCCAGGGTGGCAAAGTGATCGCCAACTCGCACGCCAACATCTCTGGCATCGACCCCTCGTACGACTCGCTCACTGACCAGTTCTGCGAGGTCCAGAAGACCGTCTTCCAGGACAACAACCAATTCAAGGCCAAGGGCGGTATGGCCGCCATGGGCCAGTCGCTCGCCAACGGTGTCGTCCTCGTCATGTCCATCTGGGACGACCACTCAGCCAACATGCTCTGGCTCGACTCGACCTACCCCGTCGACTCGACCAAGCCCGGTGCGGCCCGTGGTACCTGCCCAACCACGTCTGGTGTTCCCGCCGACGTCGAGGCCAACCAGGCCAACTCCCAGGTCACCTTCTCCAACATCCGCTTCGGTGACCTCGACTCGACCTACTCTGGCACCGTCACCTCGACCTCCTCGACCAGCCGCAGCCAGTCGAGCTCGTCGACCTCGAGCCGTTCGACTTCGACTTCGAGCCGCTCGACTTCGACCTCTTCATCCTCGACCCGCTCGTCTTCTTCGAGCCGCTCATCGTCGACCTCAACCCGCACCAGCACGAGTGCTCAACCCGGCCAGACCCTCTGGGGTACGTTTCCACGTCTCAGGTTAGATAAAGTACTCACATTTTGCCAAAGGACAATGCGGTGGCCAGAACTGGACCGGTCCTACGACCTGCGCCCAGGGTACTTGCAAGTACTCGAACCCCTGGTACAGTGAGTCTTTCATCCCATATTCTATGCGAACTCTTGCTGATAATCTCCTCTCTAGGCCAGTGCCTCAACTAAAAACCCGGTATTTCGGTGTTTATTGCGTGCGCGGCGTGCTTCAGGCATGGTTCCTCGTCTTGCTGCCGCGTCTCGTTTCTGGATTCCGGTTCTCCTCTCTTTCTCTCAATCCGCTCGTTGCCTGCGCTCACAGATTCGATCGAAAAGCCGTTCGTTGTATCTATGCCGCGGCGTGTACTGAATACACTCTGCTCAACGACCCCATCGAGATTGTGACTCTGAGTGTTCGTTCTCTGGTGCAAAGCTGGAGATTGAGTTCAGTTCAACTGGCTGGTGATGACGACTCGAAAGTAAGCGAATCAAGGGATGGCACACTTCCAATTTACTCTGGAGCTCAAAGGCGGACTCGCAAGGTTGCCTCCAAGTTGCCGACCACCACGACCATAATTCAGAGACTGCAGTCCGGCTCGCTTCAGAATCAGAACTATACGGGTCTAGGAAGAACTATTAAACGCTATCATTTCACCAAAGTATCTCTGCGGGCCGGCGCCTTCCATCAGCTCTCCCTAGCCGCCGAATCACGATACAACCAACACATTCCTCTCGCTCGGATATCATATTTCAACTCAACCATGCAACAGGTATCTTCAGTTCCAGTCTTCGCGTCCAAAATCGCTCAGCCATTAATGTAGGCACCGAGCAGCACAAATGCGACCGCCTTGTCACTTCCCGTTGAACTGTGGAGAAAGATATTCCGCTTTTATCTCGGCCCATCTCTTTCCAAACCTGTTCAGCACTCCATTCTCGACTACCGGCGCTTTGTCTTCCTAGAGGTAGATAAGGCCGTTCACATGTATCGAGAAATGGAGGGCAAAAGGAGCGCTCTACGCCGAGTATGTCACACGTGGAAGGCGATAGCGGATCAGATGGACGACGTGTTGTTGGTCAGTCATGTGGACCAAGTTGAGTGGCCACGACGCAGTACACAGGTGGAAGCCAAGGTTGCATACTATGGAGAATACACACACCACCCGTGGTCGCAGTCGATTACGACGCTCCACTGGACCAATCGTTACCGTAAAAGGACAGTGCGTATTCTCCAAACCGGGCCCCAAATCGTCGAGGAGCCTCCACTAGCACCGATAACCCATTTCCACGACATTGGATTCCGCTGTCTACCCACTGATAGGGCTCCAAACAAGCCTGTCCTGTCGCTTGAATGGTGCCCGGAGAGGAACTTGGAGGAACTTAAGAAGCTGCATCATCCACAATTTACTCACCTTACGGCGCTCTCTTTGACACTCAGACTCCACCGGCCCGATCAGGATGTACCTAAAACCCTCACATTGCCAAACCTTCAGTTCCTCAGCATCTCGCTTTTGCAACGCGCTCTTGACGCTCTATCCGCCATAACAGGGAGCGTCTCTAATTGGAGATTCCCCAAACTCTCGCTCCTAGAGGTTTCCTCCGATCTCGATGCGGGGCAAAGAGAGCTTTGTGGGCTTGTACAGGCCCACATGCCTCAATTAGTAGAGCTCTCTACATCGGATCTTGGTGAAAGATTCCCAAGCCGGGAAGACTGGCGGTGCCTGAGGTTGTTGAGATGGTGGCAATTTGGCGGACTCAATCTTCTAGCTAGCGCGCTCGCCAATGCTGACGTTCTGTGGGAACCTGAATCCCTGTCTATGGGTTCGACACCTCCGATGATTCCACACCGATACATCACGATGGCGGTGGCTAGTCCTTCGGGTGGGAATAAAACACTTGTTCGAGAGATTTTCGAGAAGCAGCGACATATTATCCCATATATTCATTTCGCTATGTCAAAACCCTGGAGATCAATGCGAGACATCCTTATACCATACGAGGGTCATCGCTCCAGTCCCGGGCTTAACGACATTCGGGACGTGGTGGGAGTACTAGAGGAGTTGAATGTTGACTTTGTTGACCCTGACGGGTGCGGTACTAGCTCCGACGCATTTCTCTCTTTCAAAAAGGCTCTCTGGGAGCACTTGAATCAGCCAGAATCTACGCCTTTCTTTGATAATCAGACATCGGCGTGGCAATAAGGAATGGGACTGAAAGGATACTGAATCGGATACCGAATGTAATCATTGTTAGAGGAGAGTTTAAATATAATATTCTGACATGTTCCCCAACGGACTCTCGAACTTTCTCGTTGAGCACTTGAGTTTCTCGCACTAATTCCCCAAGTACCGAATCTAGACTCTTCCCACAAAATCAAATTTCGGCAATGCTTACCGCCAACGAGTCAAACATAACCTCTAAAGTACCTGTAGAGGTATGGTCCGCCATCTTTCAGCGCTACCTCGGTCCCTCACGATTCGATCCAAACCATAGCAGCGTATACGGTTACCCCTCCGTCTTTGAAGCGGATCCTGACCTCGCCATCAAAGCCTATATTGCTAGGGAGAGAAAAAGGGTCACTCTGCGTCTTGTCTGTCACGCTTGGCGGGCTATTGGGGACAGGCTCGACGACGCACTGGTGGTCTACTGGCTCGGAGAGAAGAATGGCCTCCGAACCACGGAAATGCCTCGCCAAGTGCATTTACTACATTGGCCCAGGAGAGGTCTTTCAGCTCCCAGAGGTCATGCGCCTAGGGAATGCAGTCGAGGTCACCGACCGTTCAACTGAGGCTAGGAAAAGATCCATCAAGTTCAACACTAATACTTCTATTACTCGTGTTGTCCATATACGCGGTCTACGTGTCGAGCTCCCAACTGTGGTCTCGGAAGAGCCACTTGAACCTCGCGTCCAAATTCTCGAATGGACGATGCGTGGTCTCATCAACACTATCTATGGACTCGCTCATCCAGTGTTCAGCCACCTTGTTGCGCTCAGAGTCACCGTCGACTTTCCTTTCCCTCGACAAGCCGCATTTGAAACTCTCCGGCTTCCTCTTCTTCGCTGCTTTTCACTCGTAGTCCGCGTATGTGAGATCAAGTGGCCGGAAGGCCGTTCTTTCTCCGCATGGGCCTTCCCGAAGCTTGCAATGTTTGAGCTGTGGGCAAACTCATCCTCGCGTTCCTTGTCTATAGAAACACGAGAATTTCTCCGCGGTCATGCAGAAACAGTCGAGGAAGTATCAACTATCAGCTATTCCAGGTTCATGAAAGAACAGCGCAGCCTCACTTTCTCCTTCATGCGCGAATTGTGGCCGGAGCTTCCCGCCGTTCGTCGTTATCGTTTCTTCGACTTGCACGAATTCGTTCAGGGATTACCAGCCATACCACAGTTATGGATAGAGGCTTCTACATGCTCGCATCCTGGATCGTCAAAAGTACGTAGACTCTCCCCCGTTGAATAGAGCTGACAATATCTTAGTTCTGTGCTATCATCGGCAATGCAGGGTTAGACGGAGACTCAGTTCCCGTCATTGCAGCGCGTCTAAAACAGGAGTCAAAGCTCATGGCCAACGTTAACGTTACGTTGGACACTTCTTGGGCCAACTTGTTGAATGCGAGAACTACTATCTGGTTCCAACGTGTCGAAGCCTTTTTCAAGGTCATAGACGACGTTGGTATCAAGGCGTTGGATGCAAATGGCGAGGACTCTTCATGTCTAATGGCCATGGAGGTTCGAGCGGCGGTCGAGGGTAACTGCGAGGGAAGGTGATAATAGTAGTTCAGTTTATGATTCGTATTGGTATAAGGAATAGCTCCGTCGACGTGAGATGGATGGCGGCGAGTGGTGAGCAACACTTGACCCTTTTGCTTTCATGACCACTCAATTAACATGGCGCCAACGAAAGCAACAATTACACAATCTTTTAGACCTTGCTGATGACGATGAGACAGCAGACGGAGTAGCTATTGACCGTCAGATTTTGCAACACGATTCCTCTCGGAACAAACGTTAGTCGTGAGCGAGCATGTCAAGCGTGTACGTGATCAACTGATTATCAAATATCAGAGCTTTATACTGAAATCAACAACCTCAGATTCAGCAATCGTGATCTTTCCAACTTTGGCGCACTCGCGCATGGACCGTTTGGATCGGTAAGGACAAACCTTGGCTCTTTTCGACATCTCTCACGAATGCTTACTCTAGGTAGACATGGTCAGATGCAGATTGGATAACAAGCTTTACGTGAGGAAGAGTGTTGAAAAGCGGATTGTTGCCAGGAACGCCAGCGTAAGTCTCTCTATATAAAGAGTGAAACCAAAGTCTAAACTGCTCTATAGCAATGTTATCCATTTCACGAAAGAGATCTACTTCTTGCCGCTACGAAAACACAGTGCGCATGGACACCTCACTTGCTCTGCACATTCCAGACTTCGGCAAATCTGTGTTATGTGATGCAATTTGCTGAGGGTGGTAGCCTTGGTGATCTTCTTGAAAGTAGTGGTCAGATATCCGAGTCGGATGTCAAGTGGTGGCTACCGCAAATGATCACGGCGATTCACTGGTGTCATTCCCAAGGCTTCTGTCACCGGTTTGTAATGTTTCCCTTTAAGGGCCTCTATTTGACAATTATCAGTGATGTCAAACCCTCCAACTTTGTCGTCACGGCTACAGGTCGCCTGCTTATCATTGACTTTGCCTCATCTGCTCGACTCCTACAACCAGACCAGAATGGCGTTCAACTTATACCGAAAGAGGCCTGTCTTGTTCTCTGTGGGACATGCGACTACATTTCGCCTGAAATTCTTGCCATCCAAGAAGAAGCCATGATCGCCCTCGACGAGGAGGAAGAGATATTCGTCCCGCGCGGTGAAGGAGGGTATGGGCGGGAGACTGATTGGTGGAGTCTCGGTGCCACCATTTACGAGCTCATATATGGAGTGGCGCCCTTCTTTGCCAAAGATATCCGGGGAACGTACAACCTTATCATGAACCATGAGGTACTATATTCACATTTATCTCATCTGGCTCTGATAGATAGCAGCGACACTTGCGCTTCCCTCCGAGGACGGATGTATCCTCGTCTTGCGTTAGTTTTCTTTCAGGGTGCGCGCATAATATTCATGCTATACTCGCTAAATCTCTTTCAGATTACTGCGAACAGCAACAGACCGACTTGGTCGACGCAATATATCGGAGATTACTAGCCACCGATTTCTAGCAGACGTGCCTTGGGCGCACTTACATAAAAGTACGTAAGGGTTGCATATAACTTTAGATTGAGACTCATTCTTCTAGGACCACGCCCTCCAAACCTTCAACTTCCGCAATTCGAATACAATTTACCAGAACATTCCATCGTCGACCCGTCCCTTGATGACGAAACGTACTCTAAAGGATATGCATTTTCTGCATTCTTCAACTCTTCGGTCTCCTCGACGAGCACCAATCCAAATGCGAATGCTACCAATCTCACTTTTATCCGTCCGCCTTCTCCGCTACAAGCTACTGAAAAAGATGTTGCAGACGACGTAAATGTACCTTCTCATCTCACGCAATACGTTGGGTTCACATGGGGTCCTACTATCGACGCTTTTGACGGACCCTTACAACCGCCTCGCAATCCACCTGTTCCCGCACAAGTGGAGATTGCTACGCCGCGACCGGTGTCAAAGTCTCGGGCAGAGGCCTTTCAGTCTGCCATGCGCCGTCTCGAGACGATTGGAAGTACCTCGTCCGCACCACCTGCGCTGTTGACGACTGGCCCTTCCCCTAGCGATAGGGTCAGCGTTCATATGCACGCAATGTCTACCCCCGTCAGACCATCTTCGTACGGAGAAGGTCTATTCGTTCCTCCGAGTACCATTAGGCGGACAGTCGGTGGATCGGCAAGGAAGGTTGGGTCAGTGCGTGGCATGTCCGAGCTTGAACAGCTCAAACAGCTCAGTGACTGTGTGCGCGCGAGTGCGCGGAAAAGATTAAATGAGCATGCTGGTCGAACACCAGGCCCGGCTGCTGGTGGTCAACGAGGGGCAGCTAGGTCAAATGGTACAGGTAAAGGAAGTGGGCCTCCTAGCAGCGGGCTTCGTCGGAGGGATAGCTGGGTACGGATGACGCTCGATTTTGAAGATGTACCGGCACCGACACAACACTTCCCTGGACTCAGGGACCCTGGGGAGCATGACGAAGGTGGCTTGCGAATATTTGTCAAGAATAGGACGAATCGCTCGGCCAACCACAGCCGACGAAGCAGTTATGCCCTAGAGCTCGGTGCCAGTGAGCCCGCGGAAGAAGATTTGGATGGAAATGAGTCGACTGGCGGAATTCTCTTTGGCTCACTTGGTCGCAAATCTGGCGTGGCCTTTAAACCACATCCACAAACAATCCCAAGCCCGAGCTTTTCCTACGGTCCAGGCGAGGGAGGGAGTAATCATCAGATAGAAGATGAGCCAGCTACGACAGATGATGATATGCCCAGCCCTAGCCCTTCACCGCGACCTGGATCTGCACATTCACGCTCACGCTCTGGGTCTGGTCTCGCACTCGCCAAAGAGCAGAGACAGCCGTTGACGTTGACCCATCGGTCATCGCTGGGGCCTACAGCGTCTGTACCAGCGTCCAAGCCCACACCTTTTCATCGCACCACGTCCAGCTTAGCGTCTGCACCTACATTGACTCCAAGTCTATTGGTTTTGCCTCAAAGACGACATGCCTCTGGAGAGGATGAACCTCGTGTCGCAAAAGAACGGGAGCTCCCGGTGATCGCGAACCCAGGAGAATCCATGGCGGTGGCTATTCCTCCAGACTCGAGCTCCACCCCGTATCCGAGCGCGAAGAAGGATAAACCACGTATCTTCTCTCCGCCGGTTGAAACTACCGCCAATCCGGTGGCGCGAAAGAGCAGTGGAGCTAGCAAAGGAAAAAGGGACGATTTGGATATGGATGCGACGCCTCGACCACGCAAAGTACCGTCATCGGTACCGACACAATTATCCCTCCCGAAGACGTCTATCTTCGATCGGCAATCGCAAACTGCGAAACAGGCCAGAGTTTCGAATGCAGCTAGTCCTCTCCAAGAGTCTACGGCTCCACGACCAATATTCTCCCGACAAGAGGAAGCCCCTCACGTGCAAGTCAGTGTTGTGCCCCTGGACGAGAAGAATTCACGAATAGCTGGGATGGAAATGCGATTACAGAAGATGATGAGAGACATTGAAGGCGCAGAGCGCAAATTATTACAAGTGAAATCTAGCCTAAATTGATCTCCCACTCGCATTTCATAGGCCGAGCCGGTGATTTAGTTTGTAGCTGACGGACTTGATGCATATCTCGACGATTTCTGAATCAAGTCTGATTTTCTCCTAATCGTTGGATGCTATGAATCCCATAATTCTTGAAATCCCATAATTCTTGACAAGGATGACAGGCGCTGGAGGACAGTCCGCCCTCGCCAGCCTATTAGGCAACAAGGAACCAAGTAATAAAGTTAATTTTTCTTCTCAAAGTCGATGAAGCTGAACATTTAGATGGAAGGTGATATATTGGATGCTATTTACCTGTCACAACGCGATTAGACGACCAATTTTACGCGCCATACCGTCAATCTAAGCATCCGCGGCTATTTCTAATCATTTTGCGAGGGTTCCGCGTAAGCGGGGTTTGGCATTCTCACGCACCTTGGACCTTTCCTCCGCTCTTGTTGGACATTCATGTCCCAAAATGAGTTTATAGACGATGCGAATTCTTCAATAATGTATGTCACTTGACAAACAGAGGGCGAATCCCGACTAATAACGGAGCGGCACGATGCCTTTCTCTTTATTACCACGTTTGATTACGGAATAGATACGCACCTTCGAATGTATGGGATTTAAACACAAACTTTGCATCATTTGGACCACGCAATGGGACTATCCACTCCAGTGCTCAGGAAAATGCAACAGCGACTTTTCGTTTCAAAGGTGCGGCCGTTTCCAGCATTGGTGTCGTCTTTATATTGAACCCTTGACATAGGAACGAGTATAAAAGTATATGGACTGCTGTACCCCACTGGATGCAATGTGAGCGCGACACTCGATGGCAGCTCCCTCGGAACGTATAACCTCGCCGTCGAGACGTCTTCGCTCGCAAATGTACAGGCCATATTCTCCAAGGATGGATTGGATGCGAGCAAGCAGCACGAGATTGTTCTGACGAAGATGGCGAATAATCCTGGCTGGACGAGTACTGTCAGTGGCGACCCGAACAGTCACCTAAATCTCGATGGATTTGAGTGAGTGTCCGCGACTCACTAATCTTCGCTGTACTAATCATGTGGTAGGGTTGGCGGGTCGGACGGTTCTAACGGAGGTCAAACCACCCCAAATGGCTCCACACCTCCTTCAACCAGTTCCTCTTCCTCATCTAATCCGCCCACCGGAGCAATTGCAGGCGGGGTTGTCGGTGGGGTACTTCTTCTCGTCGCATTAGGACTTGCCTTTTGGTTCATTCGCCGTCGCCGTCGAGCCAAACAACGCGAGGCCGAACTTGTCTTACCGAGTGGCGAAAAGATAGAACCCAGTAAACCGGATCCTGAACAGATGGTGATTCCCAATAAACTCGACGGGGAACGGAGGTCACCTCGTGGTCGTGACCTTGATGGGCTACGGAAAGCTGGGTTTGATGCAGGCTCTCCCGCGAGCATCGAGAATCATGCACGCACCTCGTTGTTCGAGTTGCCCGGCCATCGCGTAGTGCATCTCACTTCGGACGTCGATGTTGGTGCGTCAACGGCGGTGGATACAGCAAGCGACCGTTCAAGGGGACGGGCACCTTTTATCATTCCCACTGGGGAGAGGAGAATCGATGGTGCCCATAGATCTGGGATTGGGTCTGCCGGGGACCCTTCTGTCCCAGCATCCGTTACAACTGGGACGCTCATGTCCCAAAGTGTAGCACCAGAGTCGATCAATACTTTCCCACTCGATCATTCTTCGCAGGTCGAGTCGCTTTCCGGTGGAGGAAGAGCGGATTCATCCGTGCTTCCACTCTCGTCTACACTTGGCCCTACTCCAAGCTCGGCCCAAAACGATTTGTCACGAAAAGACGGCCCACGAAGACAAGGGACGCAACAGGGCCCCCACCAAAGTGATACAAAATCCCCAGTCCCGAGTGGCACAGGGTCAATTGGTGCGACCGACGCGAGTCCGACAAACTTTACAGTGATGACGAGCGGCTCTTCCGACCGCGTCACCTCTACAGCCAGATCTGACGCGACAAACACGAGTGCCTTGTTGCAAGAATTGGCAGGGTTGAGGGAGCAGGTGCGGCAATTAGCGCAGTTGCACGGTCGTAACGGACCATATGACCAACCACACCCGGATGACCCTCCACCCGAGTATGAGGGTCGAGATAGCGACGAGGAGACGGACCTTCAATCGCCTCTTCGACAGGGAGTAGCACCCCGGCCAAACCCAGCCTCCAACTCGTAGCGGGGCCTGGAATGACTAATTTTATCTATTCTTGTTTTTGTATATTGCATGTCTTGTCATGAACTCGAGCATTCTATTTTCTTTTTATTTTTGGGACGATGGTTAACGGTGGTCGATCGTGGCGGGCATGACGGCCTCGAATCTCGTCCCCGTCACCATTTGCACTTTCGGTTCAAACTCACTTTGTAAACCGTAGGGTTGTACTATTTGATTATCTATCAGTTGTACACGTCGTCGAAGCGCTGCTGGAATGCTCGACGGTCCAAATGGCATCAGTAACAATGGAAAATCCCAGGCGAACAGCAGCAGCGAGATGGAAACGAGGATGGAAAGCGGGATAGATGGATATATCATCGTCAATAGCGTATCCCATGCGCGTTATTTGCCCAAACCATCGACACATTCGTTCAACTATCCAACCATTTCCATCTTTGTTGACGTGTGCTCTCTTTACACTCCACCACCACCCTCTTCGGTCAAAGACAAGAGTACGAATATATCAAATGGGAACGCGAACGGAGAGCATCCAACAGCAAGGCGGTCAATAGGACTCGGTGGTCTCGTCTTCGGCACCGGGTCAAGCTCAAAGAGGCGGTTGATGAACCTGCGCCCGTCTGCGTATCTATTTGATGATGGTGACCAGACTACGACACTCGTGGAGCGATTCCAAGCGTTTATGAATCCCGCTGCTCGTCGAGGTGACAACACAGGAGCAGGCAAGATGGTTAGAGATGGCGATACTCTCACGGATCCAGTAGCAGAGCTGCGAGACGTGTGGCTGCTCACCTCTCCGAGCTACTGTGGTATCGAAGGAATCAATCCGCTAAGCGTTTGGTTCGCTTACGATCGAAAAAAGGCGCTGCGTGTCGTTCTCCTTGAAGTGCATAATACGTTTGGAGAGCGCCATGTGTACGTTCTTCGAGCCGGGCAAGACGAAGATGAAGATAAGCCGTCCAAGTAAGTCAGCTTAGTCTCACACTGGGGTTCTCACTAAATGCGACTAGAGCGGATCATCGATGGACAATACCACGCCAATTTCACGTATCCCCGTTCAACAATCGAGCAGGATACTACACATGCACACTCTGGAATACCACACACCCCCATCTTTCTCCCGATTCTCCTCGCCCTGTTGTCAGGATTGATCTCCTTACACCAAGCCGTAAACTCAAACTCACAGCGACGACGCGTGCAGTCTCGTCTGACCATCTATCCTCGCCTTCCATCCTCCGTACTGTCCTCCGATACCCATTCACACTCTTCCTCACAATGCTAAGAATTACGTATCAGGCGGGGATTTTACATTACTCCAAACGCTTAGATGTCTACCCGCGGCCAGAGCCACGACCCGCCAAAGCGGATGTAGAGGAGATGAAATGGAGTAGGAATCCAGTTCAAGTTGAGGGAGATGTTGGAATCGACAGGAAACTAGAGAGTGGACCTGTCGGATGGCAACCGATTGGGTGGATCGATCAACGCGCAAAGGAGCGCGTGTATACCTTTCTATCTCAAAGGGCGACGGAGTTGGGGGTCGTTATCCTCCTGCGACCAGCCAATTCGCACGAACAGCCACTCGACTTTCGACCTGCCTTGAAAGAAAGATCGATACACGCCAACGCTCAAACGCTCACTATACGATACCTGACTCCTCTCTTCTTTACTCACCTTCTCGTCCTCCCTTCTGCGACTCACGCACTCTTTTGTCGTCACGAACAGAGAAGATATTCTGGACTTCAAACGACGATCTGTTTTTGCAGGTTTTCGAGCCGTCTCCGAGGACGAAGAAGTCTTTTTCTCAGAGATTGCGGATATGGTATCTGCCTGACGTGGCTAGGAGGATTCCAGCACCTCCAGTCCACTCGACCGACTCTCAGCGAGGGATGAATATGGGTATGCTACTCATTATCGTGGCTTTTTATACACTGGAAAGGGTGGAGAGGATGCTTTATAGCCTATTTAAGGCGCGGTTTGTGCGAGGGGAGGAACCGTGGAATGGGTGGGAGAGGGAGAGAACCGAGGTAGAGATAAATGATAAGGATCTTGGGAGTGTCAGAAGAGGAGATAATGGTTTATAGAATCTGTCGCCATTGAGTGTGTTTTCCTATTCTTGGACTCAATGACCACTCAACTTCCGGTTAAGATGGTTACGAAGCAGCCCACTAAATCTACACTTCCTGTCGAAATATGGGAAGAGATCTTCCAGTTCTGCATCGTATCTATGTCGTTATCACAGGTATCACAATGCCGCCTGTTAGAGTACAAGGCCCTCCTCGACGCTTCCCTCAACAATACAGTCGCCGAATACTGTCACCTGTAGTATCCCGAACCCGGCTCACGACGTTTTCCGTGCCATGGAAGGACGAACAATTGGAGGACTCAGTTGGACCGGGCAAATCCCACCTTACAGATCTGGGTATTATCATCCCCTCTTGGCAACGTGCTTTCGGGAGCTATCCAGCCTGAGGCTTAGTATACGCCCATTTCCTTCACCCAGCAGCCACCTAGTCTCACACTACCGCACTCAATCTATTTTTCACTCAACTTCGGCCCAGTGGTCGAGTTCTTTGACACCTGGCACTTTCCTAAGCTTCGCCTGGTCCGCCTTCGCTCAGTGCCAGTTGGGTTTCGAGATTCGGACGATTCGGACGAGGAACCACCTTAGGATGATTATCAGAAATTCCTTACCCGACACGCGTCCACCATCAAGGAGTTGAAGGTTGATTTCAATCATCACCGGGCAATACCTCAACAGCCGATAAATTTTCCACATCCTAAGTTTTACCACGTTGAGAGCCTCCGAGCTCTCAATATGACACTATCAGCGCTTCAGTATCAAGGGACGAGGGGCAACTTGTCCAGCCAAGTGATCCCCGAGGCTTGAAAATCATGATTGGCTCGTTATCCGTAGCAGAATCTCATGTCACAACTTTTGTCACCTCTTTTCTTGCCTGCAAAAGATACTACGGTGCATTGTGCTCGAAATTGGCGGTACTTGATCTCAACACACCAGACTCCTAGAGCAGCTCGGCGATAATAGGGGCATTGAGAGTGTGGCAAACTTCTTCAAGGTTGCTACCTTGGCGCACCTGGAAATACGCGATGCTTGTTGTTTGCCACTCACAAGCGATGTAGCAAAGACGTTGATAAAGATCGCGGGGGAGCCTTCTAAACCAGACGGTGACAGGCGAATCACTACGATGCTTGGGCTATATCCCCCTCGAGTGATGCAACGACCTTGATGAAGCTCGCAGGAGATCCTGATTATAAAGTAATTGTAATCTAAGCAAAGCAAATGCGAAGATATCAATATATTCATCTCTGATAGTACTCGTTTAGTTGCCATCTCCTTTCCCTTAGCATAGGTGTAGCTTTCGCAATTCGACTAGAAGAATTGCGCCTAACCCCCACCAATCGCTCCACAGGAAGCTATGAAACGACCTGAAGAATGGTTAGTGTCCTGTAGTCGGACTTTTAAAGACGTACCTTCAGCCGAACCGCAGGCAGCACATCCGGAAGCGCATCCTCCGGGAACATCCTTGTACTTCATAGCACCAAAGAATCTTGAGCAGTGTATTAGAAAGAGGGAAAACGGCAACGGCAGCACGTACCCCGGAGAAGGCTCGACAGAAACGCCCCAATACGGGAAGTAGGCCCCATTCGCACCTTGGCGAATCGTAAACGCCTCTTTATGCTCCGTCCTCAACTCTTTCCGCTCTGCCTGCAGTTTTCGCCAGTCATCGACGCTCTCCTTTTCCTCCTTTGTGACAATCTCATTTGACACACGTGATTCTGCACGCTCGAGATCCTTCTTAATGAGGGCCATACGCTCCTTGGAAGCGAGCTCCCGTGAAACGAGATCTCGGTCGATACGTATCCCATCTGGGGCCAAGAGGCGCAGGTTGTGTTCGGATGGGTGAGACGAGTCCGCTTGGTCCATGTCGAGCGAGACGAGGTCTTTCGCCAGATCTGGGTTAAGAGTAGAGCCATTCGATACGGTGCTCGTCCTAGGGCTGCTAGCTGTTGCAACCGCTTTTCCTTTGCTCTTGAATAGTTTGAGTATTCCCGACTTGCTTGGCTTCTCAATTTGTCCTCCACTCGATTTGCTATCTGCTTGAGTTGCTTTGGTTTTCGACGCAGTTGGAAGATCCGGCATACATCCGCAGACGCTATAAGCCACGCCGAACCGTGCTTTCCACGCTGCTGCTGTATTGTCATATGCGGCGTGTAGATTGTTCGACTCAATCGCGTCGTCGTGATTTGGTATGCGCTTGACAAGTCGTAGCGTATCTGCGCGATATGCAGTTGCAGACAATTGGTGAGTATGCCACGCCAAATCCTTTCGGTATCAGTCGAGAGTAAGAGAGAAATTTCATGGCTTACGATATCCTGTTGAAGATCAGCAATATGTGTAGCAAGCGGGGGAGTGACTTGCCAAGGTCGGTACAAGAAGACTGAACGTGTCAGATTTAGAAGCCATAAGGTCTAGGAATGCGTGGTATCGAGCAATGGCTCGAAGAAGCGTTGTTTGCTCGGCAGCCGTCTTAAATCGATCCACTTCCAACCATCCAAGCTCTTGCAATTTAGTGATAAAGGACTCTTGGCGGAGGACAGCGGAGACGAGATCTAGCGAGGCGTAGCCAGGTAGACTGTACGCTGTCACTAGCCGCTTTACTCTATTTGAATCAGTCGATAAACGGGAGGGAGGATAGCACGCATACCGTGGAAGAGGCTCTTCGTAGACGCGATAGGTCTGCCTAGGTCGTAGGCCTTGGTGGATCTGCACCAGAAGCTCGGTCGAGCTCCAATCTAGAGATTTTGCCAGATTGATGGATTGCTGCGTGATTTCATCTTGCGGACATGGTCCTTTCAGTTTATTGACGGCGTTGATTCTCTGTCATTGAGTTAGTGCATTATTAACAGAAAAGGTGGATGTTCATTACCCGGACCATTCTTAGCATCAGCATCTCGCCGAGCATTTCGTCGGGTTTGCCAGTGAGCGGCTGGAGAAGAGTTTCGCTTAGAATACTGTGAGATATGAAGAACTCGTTAAGTATAAAGGGACTTACGCAAAGAAGACCATTCGCTGTGCCCTCCTCCTGGTAAACTCTTCGCAAAACTTGCGAACGCCCATCATCGATCGTGTGAATTTGCGCTTGCACCAGTCGCACTCGTGCTGGAACTCTGGCTCGGCAAATCCATGTCCTTTGCCGGGGGTTTCCCCCGTGGGTGTGATCCACAGAACAGTTGGATTGACAGTGTTGCAGCACGGACAGGTGAGAGTGAGCACATCGTCAAAAGTCGTCTTGATATTGTACATAAATGGGAGTTCTGCGGTCGTTTCGAAAAAGGCTTCCCGCTGAGAGGACGGCAATACGGGGTCCAGGGTCGTTGGGTCGACGAGCGATGCGATGAGAGTTAGCGGCATTGACCTGAGTATTGTTAGTGGTAGATCAAGAGGAGAGGTGTGTTTACTCCATAGCAGCCAGTCTGCGAGCAAATGGGGTCGTACGCCGGGCGCTATCCTCATAGTACACGAGGGGATTCTGAGTTGGTTAGACCCAGATTCAGGAAGGATAAGAATACACTCACCAGCAAATACGTATGCCAAACCATCACCACATCAAGGGGCGGTATGGCTTCCTCGCTCCATTGAGGAAAATCAGCGGTCCATTTCCCACTCATAAACTTGTCAAAGCGAAAGACGGCACGGTTGACAAACACGACCCAAGCACGGTCTGGATCTTGAGGATAGAGACGATCTTGGTCCTCGGAGAATCCCTTGGACGGTATATGCGCATCGCGGACATCTTTCTTCAGCTTTGCAAAGGCAGCGAGAAGGCGAAGATGAGCCTGGGCCTCAGTTATGGTGACAAGGGGCGAGACATTCTCGCTTCCTACACGAAACGTCGGTGGAAGTTGTGAAAAGTCAGTGTAGTGAGGTGGGAGGTCATCTAACAGTTGATTCGACGTCGACATTAGGTGCGTTAGATGACCATTGATAAATCCATCGAGTATTTATTGTTTTGGAGGCGACTGCGGGACCCAGCCTGTGCAGAGCCTACGGAGATTATGGGTTGAAGCCGGGCGTGCTGGAGGATTTTCGGAGAGTGTGAGACCTGAAGAAGACGTCTACATACTGCCACTTACATCAATTTTGATAGGTGAGGGCGATGCTAGCTTGACGTGGAAGCAAGAACGGTCCAATTGGGGGGACAGGCATACTTTCACAATGTGTGCTGCGGAGTAGTTTGTCGTTTGCGTCAAACGGAGTTTAGCACGTTGAGTGCTGAGTAGATACGTGTTCTCTAGTCTCCCAGATGTAGACCTTGATGTACCTTTGAGTATGACCCTGTCGAGTGGAAGTTCGTCGCCATATTCTGCAAAATACTCCTCCACATACTTGCTATCATTGAATCTGTCTGTTGCCTGTTAATCTGCCGTCGTGGTCGCGGCCAAAGGAGTGGCCACTCTTGCGCTCGACCAGGACCCGTCGTTTTAGCACGATTGGCCGTCCGTGCTCGTCGAAAAATCCGAGAGAAATCACGAACAGCCAAATGGGAGGGAATAATCATCGAAATCGCCGTGAACGAGGTGGAAATGGTTTGTCTGAGCTGCATCCAACGGGCACGCGCTGATTCAACACTCGCCATTAGTCCGTCCCAGAACCCGCGGCGCGCATCCAAAGGTCGGTATTCGATTTATTTATTCATTTTTCTCGAGGACCCTCGTGCTGGTGGCAGTGGCTCGACCGGTCGAAGCCTGTCTGTAAAAGGCGGGGTGCCCGTCTACGGCCCTCCCCAAGGAGAGCACACGGCTCTGTATTGGCTAGTAAAGTTCACTGTTCATCTTATTTCATTCCTACTAGTGGGCTATTTACGCCCAAGGAGCTGTTCCGAGCCAGAGTCTCCTCTGTTTGGTGTTGGCCACTAGACAATTTCATGTAGAGAACAGGCTAACATTTATATTTATAGCTCTCAGACCCCGTGACCAATACCAATCTGCTTAACGCCCGTCTCAAATCCCTCGGCTTGTATGCTGCCCCAACGCTCGGCGACGGCAATTGCCTCTTCAGAGCTCTCTCCGATCAACTCTACGGTTCCCATGCCAAGCATCTCGAGCTTCGTCAGGAGATTTGCGACTTTATCGAGAGCAGAAAGGAAGAATATGCCCCGTTTATCGACGACGAAAAGGGTATCGACGCCCATCTCAAGACGATGCGTCGTCCTGGTGAGCTCTCCTTTGACTCGCCTCTTATGTAGTTCATGCTCTCGCCAAAGGGGAATACGGTGGTCATGTCGAACTGTCCGTTTTTGCCCGTTTGAAAAGGCGAGATGTCAAGGTGATCCAGCCCGATGTCTGCTATGTGATTGAACACAAGCATTTGTTCACCGACGATGACGAACTCGAGCCATCCACTAGCAATGGACCGGCCCGTCGAAAGAATCCAGAGCCCACCAGCGTTTTTGCCATGACAGAGGGTACCATCTATGTTGCGTAAGTCCTAGGGAATGTAAATGGACCTATTCCTTATTGCGACTTGCTAGATACCATGACTGGGAGCACTTTTCTAGCGTTCGCAACATCAAGGGTCCTCACCACGGTCTTCCGAAAATCCAAGAGCAGCCAGCGGAGCCAGAGGAAGAAGTTGCCCAAGCATCGAAACAGGTCAAAGTCACCATTTCAAAGCATAAACTCAAAGCCATGCGGGGCAAAGTGCCTACCAAAGCGCTCCTATCAAAGACAACTCCACCGAAGAAGACAACATCAGCCAAGCCTGCTGCCAAAGAGGATTCACGTGATTCCTCTCCTTTGACGTCGCTCTCCGAGACGTCCGAGGTCTCGGGACCCCCTTCCGGTTCGGGTTCGTCTGCTCCTTCGTCACTCGCCCCCGTCACGCCCCCCGATGGCCATGACACGAGTGGCCAAGGGGGCATGGAAGCTCGTTTACGCTCACGATTAGGAGTTGACCCGGCTGCAGGAGCGCGCAGGAGTCCCAAGCGTTCGTTAGCAGAGTCAGACGCCGATGGTGGGAGTGAAGATCATGATGGATCCGTCGATGGTCGTCGGCTCCGTCGAAAGGGGGCCGCTTTCTCTCCATCGGAATACGTGATCCCAGCGACTAGTCCCAACGAAGCCGACGAGGATGACGAGGAGAACAAGTCGGTGCTAAAGCTGCTCGGGGAAGAAGACGACGATTCCGACTCTTCTCTTTCTCCTCCACCACCTGACCCACGCGAAGTGGAAGCCAGTCAAGACTCGACCTATCTCAAGCCATCTTCCCAAGCCTCGTACATCACTGGACCACCCAGTACCATTGCTCCCTCCTCTCGTCCATCTCCCTCGCCGTACGAGAGCTCGTCGCAAGATACGACGTACAGCGAGTCCGCTTCGACCATCGTCGTCGACTCGTCGAAACTCACGAGAAGACAACGGCGAACGCTTGGTCTGCCCAAGCACGGGAACGGAAGCGAGCGAGTGACCAAGGCGGGTAACGTTATCGTCATCCCGGGCGGGCGACACCCGTCACGGTTGGCGATGCGCGCTGCTCAAGAGAGGCAAAAGTTGGTCTTGAGCAATGATAAAGGAGATGAAGACAAGGACCAAGAGCTCAAAGAGTGGGAGAAGAATGGGAGCGGACGGAAAGACGCACGCGGGTTTGTCGTTCTCAACATCTAGCGGAACCGCGTCGGCGAATTTTGGACGAGAGCTTCTTGCGTCGCGAAGGGTGAGGGTGCCTTGGTGCACACTTTCTAGTCTCGCATACGCTACGACGTTCGACAGCTCGCTTTCTTGTCAAAATGACGACGGCCTCGAGGCCATCCAACTGCGGATACTCTATCAAGGAGTTCGTGACGTCCACTCCTATTCCGGCTGTTTGTCGTCATTTGGACGACTGCGCCTGGAGATTTCACTCGCCGCGTGGTTATCGCCCACGGCGGAGAATGCTGGCCTACTCGTCACGCATTGTCTTTCGCTCCTCTGCAAGCGTGCCTCTAGGGTGCGAGCTTGTTGTGTCCTCCAAATATCTTTTTTGGCATGATTTCTTTTCTTGGGTATCGGACTGCACGCATCATACTGCATCCAGTGTATCACTACGACCCGTTTCTGGCTCTGACGTTTCCCCATCTTGCGTTCATCCGTCTGTCCCGTCCAGCATTATCCCCTTTTTCTTGGTTTGGTGCGAGAGAGTGTATTCTTCTTCGTTTTCTCTATTCATGACTTCTTTCAAATTCCGATGTCTAGAAGTGATATTGCAAGCGGTACCGATATAAGATGCTGCTGCGGTGAGCCGGCCATGTGAGTGGCGATCGTTTGTTGGACCCTGAACATTTGCGCAGCAGCTTGTCTGTCAGACTTTGATGGGCATTGCTGTTCCCGTGTATCCTCTTCATCTACCGATAATTTTGGTGTCAAATCACTTTCATTCTATTCGCTCCTGCCTTCTCCGCAGCTAGTAGCTAGTTACGAGGCCGACAAGTTGAAACGACGACGACGGTACTTTTCAACGACCTTTATCCCCTAACTTTGCAATCTTTTGTGTTTGTAAAAAAACAAAGAGGTGAGCGCGGATGATGGATTTTGCAGCGCAGTCGGAGAATGGTTTTACCAGGGAGGAGCCAGCGCGATAGTTGGGCGCTCGGTTGGGAATTTTGTCTCAAATGACGAATACAGTCTTCGGCTGCCGACATTGTGCTGCGCTTTACGTGCACGGCTCCCGTACCCCTCGACCTCCCGGTTCCGAGTGAGAGGGTATAAAGAGGCTCAAAGATGGTAGATTCAAGACACATATCGGACTTTTCACTTTTTCTCATCTACTCGTACTCTACCGACACTCCTACTCTTGCATTCTTCGGTCATGAAGACGATTCTCCCCTCTCTGGCCCTTGCCCTCTTCTATGTGTCTGAAGTCCTCGGACACGGTGTCGAGCGTTCGATGCACCCACGCGAGATCGCGAGTCGACAGGTGAGCTCTTTTCTACTCCTATTTGCATCCTACTCACGACATGGTGACCATCAGCTAGCGGCCAACCGTCGACATGTCGTCGCGCGAAATTGTGCGCCTCAGATTGCCGCCTACCAACGCAAGCGCAAGCTAGCACGTCGCGCACTCATGGAGGAGAAACTCAAGAGGCGTGGGACAGAATTTAGTGCGACGACGAGTGCTCTCGAACCACACGAGACTACGATTCGCAATACCACTTGCGTTACCGGTACGCCCTCTTGACCATGAGTTGGACGAGCGAGGAAGCTGACTATGGAGCGATCAGCTCCCGAGGTGACAGAGGGTCCATACTATCTCAACAACGACCTCATCCGTCAAGACCTTCGCGAGATCAAGGCGGCATTCTCCTTGAACTGGATATCGGTGTCATTGATACTTCGACGTGCCAACCACTCCCAGACGCTCTCGTCGAGATTTGGCATTGCAATGCTACCGGACAATACTCGTGAGTATACCAGCCTTCCACTATCCCATCAACAGTCTCTGACAAGAATACAGTGGATTCAGCACGACCAACGCTGGCTCGACAGGTGGAACGGGTGGGGGAATGTCGATGAGCCTTGACCAGTCGATGACCGCCAGTGGTACAGATGGTGGCCCTGCCGCATCTGCATCCGGGAGTGCGGGCGCACCTGGCGCTGGTGGAGATGGGGCTGGCGGTGTCCAGAGTAGCAGCATGACCGACTCGTATAACTTTCTTCGTGGTGGATGGCCTACCAATGCGAATGGTATCGTCACGTTTAACACCATATATCCCGGGTTCTGTACGTGGTCTCGAAGCTCGCTGGTCTCATGCTCACTCACGGATTTACAGACACTGGACGTACGATTCACATTCACACAATGGTCCATACCAACATTACGTACAACTCAAACGGCACCTACACCTCGCGCTCGGGATCACTCGTGCACGTCGGGCAAATGTTCTTCGACGACGCTCTTTCTGATAAAGTCGTTGCGCTCTCGCCTTACACGTCAACCTCAATGACACGCCAACTCAACGCTGCGGACAGCATCCTCGCACAGGAAAACTCCAACGGCTATTCCGCGTATGTCGATGCGTCGCCTATCGACGAATCGGACATTAGCAAAGGGGTTCTCGGCTTCATTACCGTTGGAGTCGACTCGACGGCGCTACATGAAGTCACGAGCTACAACTATTATAGCGGCGGGGATGTATATGAGCCTGTGGATTACTCGAGTACGAGCATGACGACCATCAGGAGTGGCAGCGCAACGTCAACGGGTACAGGCATTGCGGCAGCGAGTAGTGGCGAGACTAGTGGTACAATGGGCAGGTATGCCTTTGGTATCCTCGCGCTGATTCGTGCTGCGAGAACATGGGTTGCGTAGAATCACGGCTGTTCGCTTTATGGACATTTTCAGAATGTATCAGTTTTTCTTTTTCTTTTTCTGAATCTACATTCCCAAATATCGCTTGGTAGGGCCAGAAGAGGCACCAAAGCTATAGACCTGCCTCTACCTTTATCAACGCCTGCCGGCAACGAAGAGCGGCCGGACTGTCCAAAGGTTCACCATTCTTGTCAAATATAGCAAGACTCGCCGTTTCCAATGAAGGAGAAAGGAGACATGTCATTCGTCCTGCTCGGTGCCAACTAAATGCGCGTGTGATATCGTCCCAGGCAAACTCGTCTAGCAAGAACGTCACTTGAGCAAACGCATGTAAGTGGGATCGAATAGCATGGTTGAACATGCCAACGACTTCATTCCCGATCCAGGCGGCAGCGAAGTGTATCACCAAAGGTCTGGACGATGCAGCGCTAGAGTCGCCATACAACGCGGGGATAAGATGATGAATTGTGCCGAGATTTAGGAGGTGGAGTTTCTTCAGCATCGTAAACCTCTTCCACTCGACCGCACGCGCTACTTCGTCTATTATAAAAAAATGACGGAGTTCGACCTCTTCGACGGTGGCTGCATGAGAAAATAATAGTGCTGCAATTTCAGCGTTTAGCTTTGGATTCTCCAGCGTTCCGGAGACCCCAAACATCTGTAATTTTGGGAATCTCCAGGTGAGCACCGATGCTTCTACCACCTGTTTAGACAGAGGCGATGCCCGTGTCAGTAAGTCGAGATGGAAATAACGTAGATTAGGAAGCATGAGATGAGAGAGAGGATGTGTCCAGTCGAAAGGAAATTCTACTTGCAGATGGAGAGCAGTAAGATGTACGAAAAGTGGATTCCAAAGTGCGCACAGAGACTTGGTATGCTGGCCACGATACCGATATAGGAGGGACCTGGGTAACTTCTCTGGAGGGATGGATGCGAGCGGAATATTGGTCGTGTCCAGTAAACAGTCCGTTACACTCATAACAGGCGCAATGTATAGCTCGGGATTGACTGGAGCGGGATACATATGCGAGGGCTTTACATCCATGTTGAATTTCCTGCCGCGTGTCTTTGCTCGCTGGATATCGACCACGCATGCCGAATCGCCACCTCTCCAAAAGTAGTATATTCTCTTGGCCTCATTTGGCTTTCGACCTGGTGGCCAGGTTATGCCATCGGGCCATACAACGACAAACTGGTCGTCCAGTGCATCTGCTATGCTCTTCCAGTACCGACATACCCTTCGGAGAGGAGCTCTCAGCTTCTCTCTATCTCGATGACGCTGGAATGTGTAACGGGTTGATGAGAATAGGGCGTCCTTGTAGGCCACGAGTGAGGGTTGATATGGGTCTGATAGAGAAGGGCCAAGAACGAGTTGAAAAATCTTGTACCATATCTCTACGGGAAGTTTTGAATCGGCTCTCTCGACAGAGAGAGGAGCGACCGTGTTCCCCATCGCGGCCAACCTTGGAGGATTTCACCACCTCGACCCCGTAGACCAGAGGTGTATATCAGTCTTACAGAGGGGTCGACTCGTATGTATAATATACTGGAAATAGAGTAGAACAAGTGCTTCTCCTGTATTAGCAAGGAGATAAGCGCAGAGCGAGTTGATGCTGGCTCACTATCCTGCGAATTCGAGATAAATTGAGTTTCATGGTACCTTGATCCTATATATTCATATTCTACACTTCTGCCTCCCTATCTGGCCACTTGTAGAGCACGGAGCCCTGCTGGACTATCCAAAGCCTGGCCTTCTATGTCGACCACATTGAGACTCTCCATTCGCAGTGATGGAGAGAGGATACAATCCCTGCCTTCTGTGCTTCCTCTGATTGTATCTGCCAATTCGTTCCACGTCACATCCAAACAAAACTTCACTCGCGCAAAAGCGTGCGGATAGTGCTGAAGGGCAAGTTCTAATTCAAGGAATTCCTGACGCCTGAGCCACGCCTCGGCGAAGTGAACCTCTAGCAGAGATTCGGATGAAGAGGGGTCCGAACCGGTGCAGTTGCCCAGCAAAGCTGGGATAATACGATGGACTAAATGAAGGCTTGAAATATGCAGTCTCTTCAGCACTGTGAATTTGCTCCATTCGACTGCCTCTGTCACGTCACCTTTCGTCGTCTGGAAAAGCTCGAGCTCCTCCAGGGTACCTGCATGAGCGGCAAGTAGTACCGAGATTTCACGCTCTATAACCCGGTATTCCAACCTTGGACAAAGTCCGAGGATTTGAAGTTTTGGAAATCTCCAAGTAAGTACTGACGTTCCTACATGATCGTGAGGCAGAGATGATAATCGCAGACATATGTCGAGGTAGAGATAGCGCAGTTCGGGGAGGGTTAGGTGATCGAGAGGATAGGTCCAATAAAACGGAAAGTCTACACGAAGATGGAGGGCGGTAAGATGTCGAAATAACGGGTGCCAAAGTCCACGTAGAGGGTTTTCATGATTGCCGTAGTACTGGTAGTAGAGCGACTTGGGCGATGTTTTGGAACAAATGGACAGTGGCGCGTCTTCCGGGATGTCCAGTAAGCAGTTAATGATATCCATAGCAGGTGCTATGTATGCCGTTGGGTCGATAGGAGAGGGAAATTGATATGTCGCCACTCCCCGTTCTTTTGGTTGCCAGTTGGCAGTCTTCATCCGGTCTGCATCAACAAGACAGGACGGATTATTGGATACCCAGAAGTAAAACACCCGCTTTGCGCCCTTTGGATCCTGGCCCCTTGGCCAGGTAAAGCCGTCAGGACAGATGACGACGAGACGATCGTCCAGCGCATCGGCAATGTTCTTCCAATATCGACAAACTCTCCTAAGTCGACCTCTTCTCTGCTCTCTACTCTTGTATAACTCAAATGTTCGAAACGCCGTAAAGAGTGCGATGGTGTATGCTTGGAGCGACGATTGATACGGATCAGACAAGGAGGGGCCGAGAACGAGTCTGAAAATAGAGATCCATATCTCTACTGGAATCTTAGCTATGGCACACGTGGCGGAAAAAGTGCTCAGTATATTGCCCATTGTACGAGTGGAGGGATGAAATATACAGACCACTTTCAACCAGTGGACTTTACGTGCAAAATCATACAAATTTTTCGATACAGTTAGTAGTACGATGGACGTCCCAAGTAGACTTAAAACGTTAACGTCCGAGATGTTCGTCCGAACTATGAGTCAAATACATTTACTAGAATCACAGTGTAAATACGAAATCATAGCTACTTTCTTGAGGCCCTAGTCACTAAATACGCTCAATGGCAGATCGGATTTTCATGGCTGTTGGACAGGTAGAGTACTCCCCGTTTAGATCCGATACCTTGAGGTCAACGTCGTCAATAACTCTGAAAAATACACCGACACATTGCAGCCAGTAGTGAGAGGTCTTGTCGGGGGGGTGCATAATACTTCCCCAAGTAGTCTCCAGCACCACGTCGATGCAACTTATGGTCTGACAATACTCCTTTAGACGAGCTGTGACCACTGGGGCTGAGTCAGCAAGCAAACCCGCATTTCCGAGAATGACACGGAACTAAAGGTGATCAGATCTATTCTTCAACCGTGAGATACGTACCTTTCTCGACCTCGATGATGATTTTATTGACTTGTTGAGCCAAATGTCCGGTATAGACGGCAAGGCATCGGCAAATTCATGCAAGTTAGAAAAGCCATATAGACGAATGGCATGAAACTCGGACCACAATTTGCGCAGAGGAGCAAAATTGGTGCTATTCTCATTGCGTGAGAGTCGACGAAGACCGGTCGTCGAAATTTCTTCAAGGGTTTGGGCATGAGCACGAAGAAAGTCTTGAGTTTCTTCCCACAACGGCCACGAGGCCGACTTGGCCCACAATTGGAACATCACGAGCATTGGAAACCTCCAAGATGAAAAGGAGCCTCCATGTGATGACTGGACATAACTTTTGTCAATTGTGAGGTAAAGATAACGGAGGCGAGGAAGCTGAAAGTGTTTAGTTGCAGCGAGTCGCGGGAATGGAAAGTCGATGGTGAGTTTGAGTGCCACAAGGCGACAGAATGCTGGATGGGCTAGTCCATGAACTGCCTCGGTACGGTGACAAATAGCCCAATCAAGGACTTCGACGGTCGGGCTAGCCGCTATCGACTTGTTCCCCCTTTCATCCGGGATCTCGACGCTCATACCGCTTATATGAAGGACCCGTGCTGTCGAAGCATTAACCCCGAATCGAATGAGGGTACTATTCATGGCAAATGGCAACTGATAACGAGCTCTCCAGCGTGCGATATGCGCAACATGCCGAAGATAATCTGAAGGCACGTAATAGACGCAACTTGCTGAATCTGTTCGGTGGCTTTGAGGCCAATCGTTCCCGTCAAGACAGCTGACGACGAGTCTCTCCTCTAGTATATCTGCAACTCTCCGCCAGGCGCGACATACGAGACGCAGCTTCAATCTTTTCCTCTCAGCGAGTGAAAATTCACGAAGAGCAGAGATAATGCTCGCTCTAAAGACCCGCGCATAGCTGCCGATTGTGTTGTAGTTGGAATCCGATTGAGATGGCCCAAGGTAGAAGCGGAAAATAACGAGCCATATCTCTACAGGAGTTCGAGAGGTAGCATTCTTCTGTGTTAACGTAGCCATTGCTGAACCCAAAGTCGTCGCCGGGACGAAGATAGCGGTCGGCGCCTGTTAGTTACACAGAAACGCAGCTGCCGGATAGATCCATGCTGATAAAGGCAAGTCGGTGCGAATCATCTCTGCTCATTTTCAATGTTACACAAAAACAACACTTGGTCCCCGCCTCAATAGTCGATCTTGCAGAAGAACGCCAGTTCGTTAAGATCGTCGTAGTGGACGGACTTGATGGTACTAATAGACTCTTAGGTGCTCTCTTCACTCTCATATCATCCCAGCATGCGTCTCCCAGCCGAGCTCTGGCAAAATATCCTCGAAAGGGCCATCTTTGTGCCCAAATTCTTTGATACAGACCCAATGGAGACATATGGACCAATCTATGACCTGCTACGCTCTGACCGGCTTGAGTATTGGGCGTCCGAACGCTTGCGCAACAGGTTGCGGCGTGTTTGCCAAGATTGGAACGTCTTCCTCAAGAGGTTTGATCACCGTTTCGTTGATATAGCCGATGTCATAAACGGAGTCATACCAACAGAAGCGTTGCCTTCCGCCCTCCGCATCTACCTTTCAGTAGGCCGTTGCAAGGATGAGCCCCATTCGCCTACGCCGTCTAGTATGTGCCTTTGTCGACTCCTGAACTACGACCCAATACTCAAGATACCGAATAATGGTGCTAATGCTACCCTAACACCATGGAAGCTGCGCATCATTGAATTCTCGCCAGTTCGATCGACAATAAGCGATTTCCTATGGGAGAGGTATCGAATCTCAAATCTCAAATCAATTATCTACCCGACACCGTCGTCCTTGATATCGGCATCCAATCTACAAGCCCAGCCGACGGTCATATGGAGTTCTATGGTCGATCTTCCTGAGACCGTTGCACGCTCTACCACATTTTTCTCAATGCTCACTACTCTAAGGCTCACTTTGGATGCCAAAACCTGCCCACTTCCTCTGCATTTACCCAGTCTCCGATACCTCTTCGTCAGTCTCCCGTTTCCCGGTCGTGTCGCAAGGCTGGTAGCGTGGTTAAAGGTCATCGGATATCAACTTACGGCACTTTTCTGTGAAGGGGACCTATCAGAGCGGTTCTCTCAGAGAATCTGGGAGGTCTGTCCATCGATAGAGGTTCTCCAACTTTCTTCCAGTGTTTTTTGGACACCTCCACCGCGTGGGCATCCAATTCATACTTTACAACTTGAGCCCCAACAAGATAACTTGCGAAAGCGCGTGTGCGACGAATGCGGACGAATACACGCCGTAATCTTGCAACTCAGTGCCTCGATGGGCGAGTATGCTGCATCTGGGATACACACTATAGCATGTTCTGGACCGTGGCCGACGGCCCGTGCCTCGTCTGGCTGGATGGGGTACACTGGATACATAGGGAATCTTTTCTGTCTGAAAAGACAGGCACAGCGACATGGTATTCGTTTCGTTGACCGTGATTGGATCTCCTTTGAGGATTACGTCGTGTCGCAGCTCGAGATGGGTCAACCGATTTAGAGAACTTAGCCAAGATGAACGTACTTGGATAGTGCTCACACTATGCTGTATACTTGCTAGATATAAGTGCAGAGATGAATGCATTGGATCAAACGAGGCCAAAACGTTTCCTTGTAAACACAGCCGCTCCGGGAGTATTGATGAATTCTTCACGCATTAGTCATGAAGCTGCTATTGCCACTCGGTCTCATTGACAATGGTCGCGACGACAGGGCAACGGAGATTTGGCGCCCACCGCATCCTTCAGTTTTAGGTAAAGAACACCAGTGAGTTGATATAATTGGATTTATTCAATGGGAAATCCGACACGTTTACATTTTAGATGCCGTCCTCTGCCGTATCACCCACGAGTATGCATCTCCCACCCGAAATCTGGCAAAATATTCTCGAAGAGGCCATCTACGTCCCTCAATTCCTCGATGTGGACTCAATGGAATCTTGTGGCCCATCATATCATTTACAATACTTTGATCGCGGGGCATACTGGGCATCGGAGCGGCTACGCAACAACCTGCGGTGTGTATGCCACTCTTGGGACGACTTTCTCAGACGACATAATCATCGCTTCATCGATACGTTAGACATCGTCCATGGATATGTACCGGTAGAAGCGTTGCCTTGCGCCCTTCGTATCTTCTTCTCGAACTGCCATTGCAAGGGCAGTTCAAACAGGTTGAAAATCTTCAGGACGCATTTTTCCCGACTCTTGGATCATGAACCAGCACGAGATGGAGAGAATTGTGCGTCGAGGCCGTGGAAGCTACGCATCGCAGAAATTTCGCCAAGTTACCCATCCATAGGCAACTTTCTCCTAGAAACGCACCAAATCTCGAACCTCAAATCTTTTATAAGCGCGCTAGCGTCGTTCATGACATCCGCGTCCCACTCCGAAGTCCAGCCAACGGTCTCATGGGCGTTGTACCGGCTTCCTGACAGCTTCGCGTTCTCTGCTTCAGCTCTATCGATGGTTACAAAACTGTGTCTTTCTTTCGACGCTGAAATCCACATCCTCCCTACACACCTTCCCGCGCTCCGATGCCTCATCATAACGCTTTCACCAGTATTTCGATTTGAAAGAGTGGTGACTTGGTTGAAGGTCATTGGTAAACCACTTCGAGCGTTTTATTGTATAGGGATAATACGAGAGCGGCAATTCTCTCCGACTATCTGGGAACTCTGTCCATCGATAGAGATCCTCCAACTTCCGCCCAGTATTTTTTGGGTGCCAGCGCCGCAAGGACACCCCGTCCACACTTTACGGCTCATTCCCCAAGTTGATATAAATAATTCAAATCTGGTATGCCCCGAATGTGGACAAATCCACGGTGCGATGTGGAGGCTGAGTGCCACAATGAAGGACTATGCTGGATCTGGAATACGCACTTTAACGTGCTTCCGACCGTGGTCCAATTTAGACACACCAATTGTGGGTCAAGAGCAGTTCAGAGGGAATATCGTCTGCCTATCAAGACATGCCAGGCGATTGGGAATAGTGTTAGTTGACTTTGACTGGGTCTCCTTTGAGGACTACGTTGTTTCACAGCTCGAGATAGGTCGAATGACCCGCAGAAAGAACCCCAGTTGAGCATTATGGGTTGTATTTGCAGGATAAATTTTATTCACTGTGTACGAGCGCGATTGAGATTATGACCCGAATTCCCTATCAAGGTCAGAAACATTTCGTGGGGACGGCCACACAGAGCCATGTTCTGTGAAGTCGAATGGCTAGTAAGCGTACGCTTTCAATCTCTAATGTGAGTGTCACCTTAACTGTCTCTAGAGGACGTGTTTACCGGTTCAAGGACGAGGGTCAATTCCAGCTCGTAAAACGTTGGTAGTGGTCAGTCTGACAGGCGTGTGGTCACGGCTTGGTCCCTGCCTCGTTGGTCTACTTGCCAGATATGAGTACAGAGATGAATGCATTGGATCAAACGAGGCCAAAACGTTTCCTTGTAAACACAGCCGCTCCGGGAGTATTGATGAATTCTTCACGCATTAGTCATGAAGCTGCTATTGCCACTCGGTCTCATTGACAATGGTCGCGACGACAGGGCAACGAAGATTTGGCGCCCACCGCATCCTTCAGTTTTAGGTAAAGAACACCAGTGAGTTGATATAATTGGACTTATCCAATGGGAAACCTGACGTGTTTACATTTTAGATGCCGTCCTCTGCCATATCACCCACGAGTATGCATCTTCCACCCGAAATCTGGCAAAATATTCTCGAAGAGGCCATCTACGTCCCTCAATTCCTCGATGTGGACCCAATGGAATCTTGTGGCCCACCATATCATTTACAATACTTTGACCGCGGAGCATACTGGGCATCGGAGCGGCTACGCAACAATCTGCGGTGTGTATGCCACCCTTGGGACGACTTTCTCAGACGATATAATCATCGCTTCATCGACACGGTAGACATCGCTCATGGAAATGTACCAGTAGAAGCGTTGCCTTGCGCCCTTCGTATCTACTTCTCGAACTGCCGATGCAAGGACAGTTCGAATGGGTCCAAACCATCCAGAAAGCATCTATCCCGACTTTTGGACCATGAATCAGCGCAAGATGATGCATTGACACCATGGAAGCTGCGCATCGTAGAATTTTCGCCAAGTTATCCACCAATAGGCGACTTTCTCCTAGAAATGCATCGAATCTCGAACCTCAAATCAGTTATAAACGTGCCAGCATCATTCATGACGTCCGCTTTCCACTTAAAAGTCCAGCCGAGCTTCTTGTGGTCGTTGTACCGGCTTCCTGAGACCTTCGTGTTTCCCGTTTCAGCTCTGTCGATGGTCACAACTCTAAGTCTTTCTTTCTACGCTGGAATCAACGCCCTCCCTACACACCTTCCAGCGCTCCGATACCTTCACGTAATGCTTTCACCATTCTTTCCATTTGAAAGAGTGGTGGATTGGTTGAAGGTCATTGGTAAACAACTTCGGACGTTTTATTGTCTAGGGAGAATACGAGAACGGCAACTCTCTCCAACTATCTGGGAGCTCTGTCCATCGATAGAGATCCTCCAACTTTCGCCCCGTATTTTTTGGGTACAAGTCCGCGAGGACATCCCATCCGCACTCTACGACTCAGCCCCGAATTTGATGAAAACGAGTCAAACATGGTATGCCCCGAATGTGGACTGGTCCATGGTGCAATGTTGAAGCTGAGTGCCCCAATGGAGGACTATGCGGCATCCGGAATACGCACGTTAGCGTGCTTCGGACCGTGGTCTAAACTACACACGCCAATGGTGGGCCGGGCTGACCTCAGAGGGAATATCGTCTGTCTATCAAGACAGGCAAGGCGATTGGGAATGCGGTTCGTAGACTTTAGCTGGGTCTCCTTTGAGGACTACGTTATTTCGCAACTCGAGATAGGTCAAATGACCCGCAGAAAGGACCTCAGCTGAGCATTATGGATAGTATTTGCAGGATAAACTGTATACACTTTGTCGGAGCGGAGCTGAGTTTATGACCCGAATTCCCTGTCAAGGTCAGGAACATTTCGTGTGGACGGCTGTTCAGTAATATACAAAGCCACACTGAGCCATGTTCTGTGACGTCGAATGGCTAGTAAGCGTACTCTTTCAATCTCCAATGTGAGTGTCAGCTTAACTATCTCTGGAGGACGTGTTTGCCGGTTCAAGGACGAAGGCCAATTCCAGCTCGTAAAACAACGTTGGTAGTGGTCAGTCTGACATAAGGCGAGCGGCCATGGCTTGGTCCCTGCCTCGTTGGTCAACTAACAGTGCGATGACATCATCGAATTAGGCTAGTCTGACAACCAAGTTTAGAATGTCGCTTTCTGTCGTATCATACTCGGGACGCCGTCTCCCAGCCGAACTCTGTGATATCATTCTTGAAGAGGCCATATGCATCCCCAAGTTCTTCGATGTAGACCCGATGGAGACTTACGGTCCGTGGAAGCATCTACAATACTTTGACCGAGGCGCCTACTGGGCGTCGGAGCGGCTGCGCAACAACCTGCGGCGCGTTTGTAAGTCTTGGAACAGCTTTCTCCAGCGTTTCAGCCATCGTTTTATCGATACAGTTGACGTTACCCATGGAGATGTACCGATCGACGCGTTACCCTTCGCACTTCGCATCTACGTTTCGGAATGCGGATGTCCGGCCAACTCTGGCCCCAAGCGCTTAGCGATGCGTCTTAGTCATCGTAGAAACTACGATACGACATTTAAAACATTATATAGCGCAGAAAGGGGCGTTCCAGTCCCGTGGAAGCTGCGCATCATCGAATTCTCTCCATTTGTGGCGGAGATCGGCAAATTTTTACTCGAGAGACATCGAGTTTATAATCTACAATCGGTAATCGGTGCGCCAGATTACTTGATGGCATACATTTACAGTCTTGGGATCCAGCCGACAGTTATATGGAGACTTGCTTACCGTGGTCTCATTTCTATGCTCACAGGTACATTTGTATCTCAACTTACAACTTTGAAATTCTCCCTCAATGCCGGCCACCCACTACCTACCAATCCTCCCGCTCTTCGATATCTCCATGTCGTGCTCTCGATATTCTCTGACGCCCGAGACCTGGTATCATTGCTCAAAGGTATCGGAAAACAACTTCGGGCACTATACTGCGCCGGGGAAACACAGGGGTGGCAACTCTCTCCGACAATCTGGGAGCTATGTCCTTCGATAGAGATACTCCAAATGTCGCCCAGTGTCCGTTGGGAATCCATACCTCGAGGACATCCCATCCACACTCTACAAATTGGCTCTGAATTCAATGGAAACGGGTCAAAACGCAGATGCCCCGAATGTGGGCTGGTGCATAGGGTGCTGTTGAATCTCAATGCCTCTATAGAAGAGTGCGCTGCCTCTGGAATACGGACTCTAGCATGTTACTCTCCGTGGACAAGCCTTCATGTGTCCATGATCACAGGAATGGGGGCCAATGGCAACCTGGTTTGTCTCGCAAGCCAGGCCCGACGACACGGCATCTCGTTCGTAGACTGTAACTGGCTTTCCTTCGATGAATATGCAGTGTCCCAGCTCGAAATTGGCCAGTGGAGGTCATACATCTGACTTGAGCTGGGTAACCGTGTACTTGAGCGCCGACAGGGTGAAGCGAGGAATAAACATTATTGACCAGATAAGAGCATAGAGGCGAGTTTACTGAACAAGGCTGGATTCACGCAAGTGTTAGTCCAGCAGTCTTGCTAGTAATAGGGGAATGAATTTAAGAACACGAATCGTATCGAATCGAAGTTAAGATCCTGTGGTTATTCTCTAATATCCATTTCTTTGCTCAGAGACATGTTCGTATGGAAAGCTCTGATTCATACTTGGCCTCCGCCTCGTGAAGCCATCCCTCACAAGATTACCAGTTCGTTGGCAAGGCCTTACTTCTATGGCATAGAGTCTCATAACCTGTGCTTAGATGTCTGAATTTACCTCATTTCCCTCGAGCGGGGTTCTCCCAGCCGAGCTTTGGCAGATAATCCTCGAGGAAGCCATATATGTTCCGATTTACTTCAACTTAAACCCGGAGACGACATACAGATCGACATATCACCCACTATGCTTCAGTCAGCAGCATTACTGGGCATCAGAGCGCCTGCGAAATACGCTACGGCGTGTTTGCCGCTCTTGGGACGCCTTTCTCAAGCGTTATAATCATAGATACGTCGATACAGCAGACATAATACTCGGACTGGTGCCAGTGACCGCCCTCCCGTCTGCTTTTCGTATCCGACTCTCAGATGCCTTCACAATGACGCCTGTTATCCGCCGGCTGTCACTTGACGGCTACGATTTGACACCTAAAATGATAGATAGCACAGAAGATGGCATACCAACAACATGGAATCTACGCATCCTCGAATTTTCATCTCTACCACCCGACAACGAATTCCTATTGGAGCAGAATCGAGTATACAATCTCCAATCCATCATCTGTGCACCAATGTCCTTCTTGAAATCTCTTTCCGACCTGCAAGTCCAGCCGACAGTCGTATGGAACTTTGCCGACGATTTCCCCAATGGCCCCTCGGCACTTTCGAACTCATTTCTTTCGAAAATCAACACCCTCTATCTCGAATTGGATACCGAATGGTTGCCCACAAACCTTCCCGCTCTTCGATATCTTCACGTTGATCTAGCAGACCTCTCTGTCGAAAGGCTGGTAGAGTGGCTGGAAATCATCGGAAAGCAACTCCAGGAGTTCTACTGCTCAGGGAGAAGACGAGAGAGCGAATTACCTCGATCAATCTGGGAGCTTTGTCCATCGATGAAGATCCACAAGGCGCCCTGGGGAATGATCCAGATGCCGGCGCCGCGAGAGCATCCCGTCCATACCTTGCAATTCGAGGTTGACTACCTCATCAACGACTCGATTCTCGTGTGTCTCGAATGCGGTCAGGTCCACGACGTATTAGTGTCCGTCGGTGCTTCGATAGAAGAGCATGCCGCGTCGGGAATTCGCACTTTGGCATATTGCCAAACGTGGAGCGTACTTCGCACCCCATCCTTCTCACACGGCGGCTTTACATCAAACGTGATCTGTCTCGTGAAGCAGGCCAACCGACACGGTATACAAGTGATGGACGCCACTTGGACCTCATTCGAGGACCATATCGTTTCGGAGATTGAGGGCTGTAGACGCGGGTGACACAGTTGCGCAATATATGTTTGTAGTGGATCGCATGAATGAAGTAAAAAGACAATCGTATTCACAAGATGATAACATAGAAGCGAGAATTATGGTCCCAGTAGCTCTTTAGACGCCAAGATTCTCCTCGTAAGTGCGGTCACGTTCGCGTCTGCAACGATGACCTCTGGCGCAAACTCGATATCGAGCACCTGAGTGATTGCATACGCAATCCTCTTCGCTTGCCTTTCTGACCAAAATTTGAAATCGTCGTCGTGAATGTCGTAAGATGCACCGGGCGTGCCTGCTGAGCTGCCGAGCGAGCTACCTGCAAGAGAGGCCTCTGCTGGAGTGGCAGTTGCAACCGATGTCGAGGAGGCATTGAGAGTACGTCCGAGCAAGGCCGGAAGACGATGCTGTACTGGGCTCTGGTTTGGCGCAGCGGTTTGAGACCGGGGGACGAGCGATGGATCAGAATCTAGCGCCAAGTGGACAATCTTCAGGAGCCAATTGCGGATGGATCGGAAATCCAATGCCTCTGGTCGGTCGACTGTAGCGATAGGTGAGATGAATGCCAATGCTCGAAATTGGACGCACGGTAAACCTGGATAGGACCAATGAGGGCGACGACATTGTACTTGCCGTCGTGGTGATATCGAAGCTGAAGGATATCAGTACGGGGTTTTCCTTCTACTGACAACTCACTTCATACTCTCCGGTTTGCCATGGAAGCGTCGAGTTTTTGAAAACTAGCTCTCCACATTCGGTATCCTCGCCTTCGCTTCGATCTGTAAGCGGTCGTGGAACATCACCCTCCCATTCTTCGTCATGAACGGGTACCCATAGTCCCAAACTCGACGTCTTGGTCATTACTTGTGACTGATTAGCGCCGTACTGCAGAGTTTGTGTGAGAAGCGAAAGCCATAGAAACAGTCTAACTTACTCGATAGATGCCGACCCAGTCTCGCCTCGAGTGTTTGAGTGGGCTCCTCCAAACCACATGAATGGGCTCTCCCCAGTGGAAGCGCAGTTGCCCGTCGGGATTAGTTGGGATCACATACATCTTGTATTTGGTCTGATCGTAGTCCGCAAGGTCCCTTGCGAGCATCCTAGGAGACATAAGCGATTCAAACTGTAGACCTCCATTTTACTCACGGAATGACAAATCTTTCTTTAGACTGCTGGATCAGAGTCTTTGTCTCTGCTACGACCTCGGAAATACGTGGGCGAGCTTTGCAAGCCACTGTCAGTGATGCCGGCGTCAAGCATTTCCAACTCACATCGTTTCCAAACTTCCTCGACCTTTTCTGTGCTCTCGCTATACACCTCGCCAATTTTGTCGCCGACCTCCTTGACCCCTTGAGCGACTTTACGAAGTTCTGCTGCATGCTTGCTAGTGAGACTGCTTTCTTCGAGGATGAGAGTGAGTTGTTGGCGAATACCCTCGAAGATTCGTGCGTTCCGTCTTGCGAGTTTCTTGAGCATCTTGGTAAGGCCCGCGTCCTTGCGCAGAGAGTCACCGTAAAGCTTTTGCATATGAGGTCTGCAAGTCTCCTAAGTACGAGAAACGGGATATTCACCGCGGCACATACCCTTCAACCCAGCTCAGGAAGCCCCAGTGCGCAAAATGGCCAATAAACGCAAGGGCAAATACGGCCTTGTTGCCTGTGATCAAAGCGAGACCGAGTAGAGCAGCACCGGACAAGGTTCTCTCTGGATTATTGAGGAACCTAAACCAGATGAGCAACGTGCAACGACATTGGGCGTTCGTACCGATAGATTCCAGTATAGTTGAGCGACGTTGGGAAATCGTCGATGAAAAAGTCACCAAAGAACCATCCAAATTTGCCAAGAACCTCGAATGTCTCCTTGGCCGCCCACATATGGAGTGCAATCAAGAGCTAGCCATCGTCAGGGTATAATCAAGGAGATGAAAAGCGCGACGTACAGCACCGACGGTGTGACGAAGCAAGACGTCACCCACCGTCCATTCGGTGGGCAAAGTGTACGTTTGCAAGGCGAATCCAATGAAGGAAACTTCAGGCGGTTTAGCGATTGTCGGGTAGAGAAATAGGACGGACCATAGCACATGACCATACCCATATTATACATTCCCTTCCAGTTATCAAATGCTTCCCGAACAGCACCTTCCTTGACACCTCGGTCACCACGCCCACGAGGAGAGTCTGTCAAGGAGAGCGGTGCATAGTGATAGTTCTTCAAAAAGTGTCGGACGAGAAATTTGGATTCCGACTGTGCCTTGAGAATGAGCCCGAGTATGAGAGAGTAGTACATTCGCCACGCGAATGCATGCAAGAAATGCAACTTGGTGATGGTACTTTGCGTGAGATTGAGCCGAGGCAATATCGATAGGATAAGAATATATGTTGTGAGGAAGACGAGCAGTTGATCGGACGAACTGGCAAATTGTGAGCAGAGACAATGCAAACGGACTGAGCGTACCGGAGAAGATCCAGACCACCGAGGATAATGACGTCTTTACGGAAAAACTTGTTTAACAGGTCATGCTGAGTGACTGCCTCTTGCATGACCTCGACAACTCCATTTGGAGGCGTAATACTGGCGACAATTTCCGCATCAGGAGATATAGCAGCGTGTGCCTCTCGTTCAGAGAGAAAGTCCTCATCATTGTCATCCGAGTCGATTGCTGTTGAATCTTCCGCTGTGCCTAAGGACACGGACCGAGAACGTGGGAGTGAGTGGTCGACTTGGCCGTTCCCTTCTACTCTGGCGTGGTCCATTAGGGTCGTGCTGGACGGATTTCTTGATCGGGTGGATGGAACGATCGGCACGCGCTCTGCTAATGCCCTACGCACACCGTAGCGGCGCTCGATATGCGGATTCTCGAAAAAGTTTAAGAACGCAAACTGAGCAGCGTGGGCAGCCAGTGAGACGAAGAGTACAGAATAGGACCCAGCAAGGAGGGACACGCCGTAGTACCCTGCGTACCCAACCGAGTACATGGGGTGCGGCGCCATCTCAAAGATTCCGTCAAAGACGAGATCAAAGTGGAGTTCCTGTGACTCTTTCTCTTCTCCGTGAAGGTCTAGTCCGGAAGCGTCGTGGATTTTGGTCGATTTGCGAAGGTGTCCACGGGAGAAGAAGCAATCACCCCAGTACCAGCCATAGTCCTTGACGACATCGTGGGCAGAAGTCTTGACCCAGAGATTGAATAAAAGTAATGCGACGCCTCCAAGGAGACGGAGGAAGACCATGCCAGGCGAGTTGATCGTGGACGAGTGGGATCTGGATGCTCCAGGGAAGAGAAAATCCAGATTGCAGATAGCAAAGAGGACGTAAGAGAGGAAATCGTTGAGGAGAATGATGTCGACAACCTGGCGGAAGAGGAGCCAGGTATTGTACTCTAGTGGAAGATCCTGTATAAAGATCAGCTGTGTTTGATCTACATCAAGAAGCTTACCTCAAAGTCGTAGTCGCTTCCCATCTTGACGACTAGCTGCCGCTTCAACCATGCGCGGGTGTGAGGATTCTTCTCCTTGTCAAACCATCCCGCTCGTTTGACGAGATTGACGATCCACTTCTTCTTGCTCTGCTTTGTCAAGACCCAGCCCAGGCCTGCGTCGTACATGGCTCTCCAGAACATAAAATAGACGAGGAAGAAGCCCTTTGCCGCCTTTTGCGCACCCCATTGGGGGTTTAGTCTGTGTAGGTGGAGGAACCAGCCACAGATGACGAGCTGAGAGCCCAGCAAAAAGAGGGAAAGGACATCGAAATGAGACTTCGGATAGTACGGGTTGAACAAGGTCATGACGTCGTGTGTTGTAGGCACCTTGAAGGCTAGAAATACGTCGAGATTCAGCATCCTACTCGTTCCGACGAAACATCAACGCCAAGGGCGGATTTCACGCACGCTTTCCGTCGTCGACTTTGCCCCAGACCGTGTCGTCACTCGCGTTTTCGCGTCGTGAATCATGCAATTGAGGCATTTCTGTCTCTTTCATGTCCATGTTTGCCAGTCTGCCCGCGATTTCGTCGTGTTCATCGCTCGCCGCGACGTGTCGCCTGCGAAGGCCGTTGCTAGACTCTTCCATTAATCGTTTACTATGCTAGAAGACCAGATATTAGCGTTTTATAGATTGTTTCCGGGAATCTACTGACTGCCGCCCTCCAAACCGTGTATTAAAACGTGTTCCACCAAGCCAGACGGGATAAATGAACTCCAAGCAAGGAATACTCGAGAATAGTCGTAGTCGAGCTGGCGCAGAAGACGAGCCAAGGTATAAAGGTCTAGCCTTGCAGACTCCAAGGTTTATTCGTCTTGTTTCTCTGGCCCTGCGAGGAGAGTGCCCGCCACGTTATCAACAATACAATAAAACATCAGCAATGACCAGGCTCATCCACATGTAATCTCGTAGGAATTCAATCGATAGTACCCGGTCTACAGGAAATTTAAATGATCCAGTTCTGTCGAAAACATTGGGGATTCTTATCAGGTGGGTGGAGGACAACGCGTGCCCAAAAGTCCCCAGAAAGTCCCGGTGCAACTGAGCCAGCAACTTCACCGCTTGAGCAAACCAATTTTGCGCACTTTGGCAACGTCCCGGCATGTAAGACTGACTCGAGTTCCCCGTTCAAGTACACCTCCACTTCGCACGACCTCCTTTTCCCTCTCTCCGGTAACCTGCTCCCAGTTGTCCATCCGATATCTGGGTGGAGGAGACCCGACGTCAAGAGAAGAATCCACTGCATTCGTACGGTTCTCCTCAGCGTCTGGTTGAGCAGTCTCGTCTGCGCCGGCAATGTGGTCGACGGCGACATCCTCAATCCAGTGTAAATGATCCTTGTACAATGTGCCGCTGGTTATAATGACGCTCCTCGGTTCGAGAAGGAGCGACAGCACAGGCGTTTTGTCGATGACCTTGCCTTTGCTCGTCTTCATGTCGGTGCTGTTATCGCGCACCTCTCCATCATCATCGATAGAGGCATCGTCTGGCTTGTATCGAAGGTAATGAAATACAGCATGACTTCCGAGCGAAATAGTCGCTACCACTGGATGGTACGCTGGACCGTCTTCGTGTGGCTAAGGACAAAACGTCAACCGCGGACTGATATGCGAAGCAAACCAACCATTATCCCTTCTCCTGGTTTATACTCGTTGATAATGACATGATTTGGTCCTTGATGAGCCGAGTCTTGAAAGGTTTTTGTAGCGGCAATGCGTTCCACAAGATTTGGGCTGAAACAGAGTCGATTTAGTGGTGTTTTCGAACCATTGAGTGGAATACTGACAAGGAATTGATAAAGGGTGGAAGTGGCTGGGCGAGCAGCGTGCCTCCTGGTCCCAGATCCCCGCCTAAAGCACCATGAGCATTCATAAGCGGATATAAATTCCTCTCTTACCCCAAATTTGTAATCTTTCTCGCCATGATATGGTAAGTCGTCAGAGCTTGGATCAGGTTAGAGATAAACTGACCTTCGACCAGTGACATTCTTCCATTTTGGCTGAGGAGTCTCCGATATCTACTTCACTAATGTGTCAACCGACCCGCTGATGAAAGCAAGAGACACGCTTGCGTGGCTTCTCACCTTGCGAAGGAGATATTCCTCTTCTTCCTGGGTTATAAAGTTTGGTATATACCTGTACGACAATCGTACATCTCTTTCTCCCGGATCAATACTCATTTGAAGAGCAAGTAGGGACGAGGTCGGCTCCAAGCTGGGGAGCCTTGAAGAGGGGATAAGATCATATAGAGTACTGTGCGCCGTTCTATTGTCATTTGTAGAGGCGTCGACTGTTCACCCGATTGGTTTCGCGGACGCCAGAGTTCATGGAGAAGAGTTCTCCTCGAGTATAACACCTGAGATACGGCAGAGTCCAAGGGGCATGAAGAAAATCACCACCCACGAACCGACCTTTGCGTAAGCTCGTCTTTTCCATGACTCTGAGATCCGGAGAGCGACGCTGGATTCACCTTTGCGAAAGCTCTCGACGAATAGAGAGTACATTTACTTCACGCAAAAAATATGTTTCAACGAGTGTAATTCAAAGCGAATGGACGTTGCCCAAAACTCGAACAACAAGTCGCAGCAGTGGAAACAAGAAAATGAGACAAAATACGCGTGGGAGAGTTGTGTGTGTGCAGCGACTCGCAGACAAAGTGAATGACAACAAGGTGGGTGGGGAGAGGAGGAGAGCTAAGGCGCACCGACGAGACGAGGCGACGGTGAGCACAAACTAGGAGGGGGAGTAGAAAGCATTGTAGGATGTCCGTAACATTAACAATGGTCGGCATCGATAAGTAGCTGGTGTAAAGATGTAACCAATTTGTTTTCCAAAAAAAAGGAGAGCAAGCGATTTCCGGGGTTCGGTTCTGCGCGTTTCAACTTTGTACCAATACGCTCAGGGGCGATCGGCACGAGGGGAAACGGTGTGCTTAGTTCCAGCCCCAAGGCCATGCCCAGCGGGGATAGCCAAGAAAGACCGACATGTAGACGGTAATCTTTCCGCTATCACCACCACAGATGTACTTGTTATCACCCTTGCAAGGCTTGCTGCATTGACTCGAGGGAGCCTGCGACGTAGGGCAGTTGTTACCGCAGTAGCAATCGGTACCCTTTTCGAGCGCGGCATACTTGAATCCCTTGCTGAAGCACTTGTCAGAGCACATGGATGGGGTCATCGAGTTGGAGCTAAACGAGTATTGGTTGATGGTACGCCACCATGGGTTCTCGTTGTAGCAACCCTGATGAATGTATCCGTCATGGTTGTTTGGGCGTCCGCATGTTGGCTGGGGCTTGGGAGGCGTCGACGTGGTAGTGGGGCGCGTCGAAGTTGTGCACGGCTTGGTAGAGGTCGTAGTCGGTTTAGGAGTGGTAGTCGGCTTAGGAGTGGTAGAAGTCGTGCAGGGCTTGGTCGTGGTCGGCTTAGGAGTAGATGTCGAGGTCGTGCAAGGCTTGGTCGTGCTCGAGCTGGTCGTCGTTGGGCGAGTAGTCGTGGGCTGCGTTGTCGTCGAGCTAGACGAGCTGGAAGAGCTGGACGAGCTAGACGAGCTAGACGAAGAGCTAGACGAGCTAGACGACGAGGAGCTAGAGGTCGAAGAGCTCGAGGACGAAGAGCTGGTGGTGCCACCGCAGCTGTTGGGGGCCGTGCTGGGCTGCTGGCCGTCGACAGTGTAGAACAAGATACGGTCCTGGTCACCACAAGCCTTGGTAGAATCTCCAGAGCAGGCCTGGTTGCATTCGCTGAGGGGTGCGAGCGTCGGGTTGTAGATGGTGTTACCGCAGTAGCACTCGCTATTTGAGCTATTAGTATCTCATCAAAGGAAGCAGCCAACGAGACGTACCGGCCCCATTCAATACCGGCAACAGCGTAGCCCTCGTCCTTGCAAGTCGCGGCGCAGAGCTCGGGCGTCATGTTGTCAGCGGCAAACATCCAGTCGGGGAGAGTGCGGCACGAGACTTGATCGACGTAGCATCCGAGGTTGACCCAGGTCTGACCACCAGTCGTGACCTGGCTGACAGGAGCAGGTGCAGGAATGTCATCGGTGGGCGACGTATAGTAAATGTCATAGTGCCAGACACCACCGCAGACCTCGAGAGGATTACCAGAGCAAGCAGAGTCGCATTGCTCGGCGTCGAGTTCTGGAGCGTCGGGGGACATGGCATTGTCGCAGAAGCACTGATTGCCGTTCATGACACCGGCGATGGAGTAGCCAGCGAGTTGGCAGCCTAAAACGCAAGTCGTAGCGGAGACAGAGGTGAGGGTAGAGGTGATCTCGTGCTGGAGAGCATGTTGACCGACTGAGGGGGGGAGAGCCTGTCAGTAGGCCGGCGGGGAAAATAGACAAGTAGACTCACACTTGAGCTCGTCGTAGCATCCACGGGAGTAATAGGTCGTGGTTCCAGCGATGATGGTGGAGAGCACAGAGGCGCCATCTGGACCAGTCCTCTTGTTAATGTTGCTTGGAATAGCCAGGACGGCTGGGACGAGAGTGAGCAGAGCAGCGGTCGAGATCATTGTAGAAAGAATGTGATGTACGGGGCACACGAAGCCGAGCGTACGAGTAGCAAGCAGGCAGAGAGCCGGGAGGGGGGGGAAGGGAGGGAAAAGGCTTGTTGAGCTCAAAGGAGGCGAATAAGAGGGCAGTTATATAGCCATTAGTGAGACAAAAGTGGAAGTAGAAATAAGCGGGGGGCCGTGTGATTGTCAAATGTCGATGCCAAACGCGGAAGAGTGCCTGGAGTGCTTGTTCGAGGCAATGGGATCCGCTAGAGTCGCCAGGTTCCCACCATTCGAAGCCTCGAAGTTGTTGATGGTGATCTGCCGCACATAATGCGATCAGCGTAGACCAGGTCCCGTCTAGTCGACTATCAGTCACAATCTCCGCCAGAAAATGTGCGCGGACACGAGCGGAACATATCGAAAAAGAAAACATGAGACGCAACGCACCAGTCAGGTCTGTCAGTCCCGTGCTTTGCTCCCGACGGACCAAGGTCGACTGGATCACCGGAGGATAGACAGCGTGTGAATGGACCCGCGACGATCACAAATGCCAATTCTCCCTACTTCTCGGATACTCCAAGGATATTTTTGGACTTTCAGGAGATGCTCTTTGTCTGCTTGTCCAACTGGTGGGCGGTACAAGTCACAACCGCCATTTGCCCTTTGAGGCGACAATATGCCCATATTCAGCTCAAATCCTCCACTTCCGACGCCACTCCGTCTAGCCCATTCATTCCGACGTGGCCAACTCTCAAGTTTTTGACTTCCACTCTCTAATTTTTTCACAATAATCCACATTCTTACCCTGTAGATACCTTTAGCCACTCGACAACTCAGACCGCACACGCCAAAAGCTACCGGACATGCGAAACCCTGTCGAATCCTCCTCTACGCAAGCCACCACCCGCGAAAAAACGAAACACGGAACCGCCGACTATTCGCCAGCACTAGGACCCGTCAATACGCTCCCCGAGGGCAGCGATGCCAGCACGTCCCATGTGGTCCTGATCTAGGTCGCGTCGGTCGCCAACTCGCCTCGACAACGACGCCTTGCTTCGCTTCGAAGCCGTCCCTAGAAGCCAAAGAACTAGTAAACTCTTGTCGTCATTCTCTCAAACGAGATCAGAGCACTCGCCCTCTTCGTTCCTTCGTCTAGTGGCTCGCACGCTCGGCCCGCACTTCTAGTAGTTCTCGCAACTTTCAATGCAAGCAGCCCGGGTTTGGGCGTCTTGAACAGCATCGACATGCGGTCACCAAGGATCGACCCTGCAAGATGGCAATGGGTTTACCGAGGAACACATAACCCCCGAGTGCAGCGGGGATCGACTGGCCGGCTCCATAAATGGTGAGACAAAGTGGAAAAGAGTTTTTGGCTCGTTTACGTACTAGCCATGAAACCACCAACGCAGCCTGCCGTAAACTTGGTGTCTGCTAGTCCGTTGCTCCATATATACATACATCCATAAGCCCGTACGTTTCACCACCGAGCCCTATGAAAGTCAATAAACTACAAGAATTCGTACAAGAATACTCACCGAAAGCGAAAATCGTCGATCCCGTTCTCGTGTAGGATTTCTTTGATGAAGTGTGAACCACATTCTGCAACGCACTGACAACCACTCCACCGAAACCGAGCGCAGCCGCACCAGTGGCGACGTCCTTGGACCCTTTTGCGACTTGACCATGCTCGAAGGTTTGAATGTCCTCGTTCTGCTCATTCTTTGTCATTTCTCGTGTTCAGTTGACACCTTGGTGGAGTGGTGGCATTACTTTGAGCGACGGATCCAACTCTGGGTGCTAGATTTGTCCAAACATGCCACCATGAGACTTTTCTGGAAATATAAAAGATTGATTACCATCCAAGAGACACTCTTAGGGAATGGTTGAAATACCGTTCGACGCGTCCGAAGCGTTCAGTCCCATCCATCCCTTACGCCTTGTCACCTTTTCACCAATCCAACGTCTACATCTTCTGTCAACACTTTCCAACACTCGCATTCTCCACATTGACAAACGGCGGCAGTTGAGGCACATCCACAATCCCAAACGTCTTCCGATCAGGCTTAATCCGGTAGACCCGACGAGTATTTCTTTCTGTTCAGGCGAGATGAATAAGTCGCCGGCGTATGCGCGTTTCAGCTTTTGGATGACGTGCGGCGTGCCGATGTGCGCCAGGCGATGAGCAGGTCCAAGACGTCCTGGAGCTGATGTTGCTCAACTTTTCGTTTCAAGTATGAGTGCATTTGATGGGCCCCGCGTCGACGAGCTGTTGCCCATCGTTTGTTCGCTCATTGTCGTTGGGTCAAAGGTTGGTTCTCAGCGAGTTTGACGGCGAGGCTCATATTAACGATCACTTTGCGTATTTATAGATATATTAAAACATCTATGATGGCCCTCTGTCATCCGTAGCTGGCCCCGTGGCTCTGAATCGACAAGTTGTCTCTCATCTATCATACTATCGGCAAGCACAAACCTGCTTCTTCTCAAAGGGATAGTACGACCTAAGCGCGCCGGTGTGCGACAGATGTGTGATATTTTCAAGGAATAAGCCTATAAATAGGTCCTAATTCTGCATTTATTAACTTTAGTCCTAATTAAAAGAGTCAGCCATGCTCATAACCGCAGTGAACTTTGCGCAGCCAGCGCTGTGCGCACCGCTCGCGCAAGGAAACTTACTCCGCCTCCTCCACATCCACCTCCTCCACATGAGGATCCTGCTGCAGATCCAGATTTTGCTCCACATGCGCCCATTGTGCAGCCCGAGCACCCATTTCCCACTCCTCCGCTTCCGCACGCGCCAGGAATGCATTGATTATACCCTCCGTAGAAACTATAAGATATTAATTAATTTTTCAAACATACTAATCGGAAGAGAGCTCACCCATATGGCACCGCAGCGGAAACTCCCCAGTACGGATAATACATCCCGTATCCATAAAGTGGATCAGTAAATGCTTCTTTGTGTCCCTCTCTTTTACGTCTTTCACTTCGCTCGGCTTGAAGTCCTCTCCATGGGTCACGCGCTGCACCCTTGTGGGCACTTGCAAGGCGCTTGTCTACTTTGCGCTCCCGTTCAAACTGTGTAGTGGCCGCAGTTGTATCTCTAGGATTTCCAAAGTTGGCAGTGTGTTCAGACGGATGAGACGATTCCGCCTCATCTTCTTCCGTGCTGACAAGATCGGGCCGTTTGTTGACGAGTGGAAGAGGCATTTGGGGATCCGGACTATCGTCTCGTTTCTTGAACCCGCTAGCGATTTTCGACGCGAATTTGCTGATGCGTGATTCAGAATCGCCGTCCGGTACGCACCCGCACACACTATACGCAACTCCGAACCGGGCCTTCCAGGCTTTTGCCGTGATGTCGTAAGCGGTCGAGAGTGTGCTAGGTTCAATGTTGTCGTCGTGATTTGGGAACCTTCCTACAAATAGCGTCGTCGCCGTTCGATAGTGGACACTCTTGAGCTGATGGGTGTGCCACGCTAAATCCTGATAATAGTGAGCTGCGTTCACCAAGTGTATAATGAATCTCACAATGTCCTGCGGAAACATGAGTATGGTTGGATAGCATCAAGCAATTCGTACCAGGGTAGGCACAAAGAATGTTGAATTGTGCGCGGTCATGAGGTCCAGAAAAGCATGGTAGCGCGCTACAGATCGCACCAGCGGAGCAGATTCGGCAATCAAGTCAAACCGGCCTGGCCGGGTCCATCCAAGTTCGTCCATCTTGGAAATAAACGAGCCTTGGCGTAAAACAGCCCCGACAAGATCGATAGACGCCATACCGGGGTTACTATAGGCGACAGCGAACCGTTGCAACCTAGAAAGAACGTCACACTTCAAAGAATGCAGAAAGGATGAACGTACCGCGGATTGCGGTGCTTTCTATCGGGGGTTATCGTAGGTCGTACACCTTTATGGAGCCGATCACAGAGAATCTCGAAATCCCAGGCTAACGCATCACCAAGTTTGGTTGCTTCCTCTGCCGGGTTCTCGCCCTTGAAAGGCTTGAGAATTTTGTAGTCCTTGTGCAGTGCCTATTTGATGTGAGATGTGTAGATGATTTCGCCTATGGACGAACCTTGAAGACCTTTTCGACAAACGTTTGGGCGGCTTTCTCGTTTACTTTTCCTGTCGGTGGCTCCAGCAGTGTCTCGCTGATATATGGTCAGAAATCTCCCGCGGAGTGACGAAATCACATACGAGAAGAAGATATTTGTGCCAGACCTTCGAAGCGAGACTTCGTCCACGAAACGACGCATGCCCATTGCCCCTTTCGTAAACTCTTTGCAGCAAGACTCGCATCGGTGCTTGAACTTTGCCTGCGCGTAACCAGTTTCGTCGTCTGTCACCCATCTTACGCGAGAGTTGATAACCTGGCACAGTGGGCAGAAGACAGCGAGGCATTCAGAATAGTCCGTGGTCAAGGGCATATACCACGGGAGACCAGTTGTTCGTTCGAAGAAGTGTTGTCTCTCCGCCGACGGAGATAGAGGGTCCAAAGTTTGGCCCTGGATGAGGGACGCGACCAATGTCAACGGCATTTCCCTGTGAGAACCAAGTTTAGAACTTGCATCGATCTACAATGCATACGTACGCTAGAGTGCAAAGATTTGTTGCATAGACTGACTCCATACGTTGACTGTCCTCGAAGTATGTTCGCGGATTCTACAATACCTCGAGTGAAAGTCAAATTGGAAGGGAAAATTTCGTACGAGTAGATACGTATGCCAAACCATCAACACGTCGAGAGGGGGGATCATTGTCTCGTCGAATCCTGGCCTGGATCGCTGCCACGATGCGCTCACCCATGTAAAGAATCGAAATACGGCACGATTGACAAAGACGACCCAGGCCATATCCTTGGTGCCTCTTGCGGCGATACCAGATCTCTGGCTCTGGACATCAAACTTGAGTCTTGATATTGCACCAAGAAGACGCAGGTGAGCTTGAAGTTCGGTCACATTGACCAATGGGGCCGTTTGATGGAATCCAATTGGAAAAGCTGGCGGTAATTCCGTCGGATATGGGGTGTAGACGGGTGTTTGCTCCTGATATTGCATACTTGGGAGTCGAGGATACACAGCGAAGCACAAAGGTCTCTTATAGGACAATCTCGGGGCGATGGAACCGGAACACCATCGGCATTCCCAACACATAGGCGGGTTTCAACATTGAGCACTGCAAAACAAAGGTTTGTCACCCTTCTTCATCACTTTGTAGATCGAAGGTGTCGTACCGTCTCGGGCGGTGCCCAAGCGCTGAGAGTTGAATCCAAATCCCCATCGAGAGCTAAATTTATGTCTACAATGCAGAATAACAAAATCAGCCGAGGAAATGGCAGTGCGTATCCCAACGACGTTCAGAAGCTGGGTCCAAGCTGCTGGCCTTCCCCACATCCAGCTTGTGACTTCCAAGCCCTTCCACCCGTGATAATTTGCAAATCTTATGGAGCATTACGTTGGCTTATGATCCCATTTTAGTCGATTTACCTTTGAAACTTGATGGTATCCAGCTTACCGACAGAGATATGGACCCAAATCCTGACTGCGGCTATACATGTCCCCATCTTCTTCGAGGCGGATCCGTTGAAGATTTGCCTGCCTGATTTCTATCACCAGTATCATTGGCAAAGTGACTATTGGGCCTCGGAACGCACACGCAACACGCTACGCCGGGTCTGCGCCTTTTGGAACTCGATCCTCGCTCCATACGACAACCGCTTCATTCAGTTTAGGATGTATGCTCAGGCAGGATCCCAATCACTGCCCTGCCAAAGGCTTATCGAATCGACATCGGCGCCTCCGATAAACAATGTGATTGCAGACGATGTTCACTCGAATCCTCTCCCTCTGTATCAGCCATTGAGATCCAGCAAGTTGTCGAACAAGCTCGCACACTTCTAGCTAATACATCTCGCTGGAACCTCCAAATTCTCATGGAGAGATTTGGGAGTATTCTATTTTGCGAGTTCGTCTTTCCCCTCGCACCACGTTTAGCCATCTTTATATGGCTCAAAGCAGTCGACCTCCAGTTCGACCTTCCACATTCTCTCCAACTTTTCCGAACCTGGGTACCGTCGCGCGATGCTCCTTATCAAGGTCGCTTCGACCATGTTTCTATGCTCAGTCTCCATACAAACATGTCGTCCTATGGCCTTGACCAATTCGACTTTCCACATCTTCGTCATCTCGCCATCCGCCAGATTACTACTTCATTCGACTGGATATATCCAGTCTTGGAGAGGTGGGGAAAAGAGTTGATCACGTTCAAGCTACGCTCGTTTGAACGAAGGTACCGATTCCTTCAAAACTCTGGAATCTCCTTCCCAAAGTGGGATCCATGCTCCTTCCATATATGTGGGGCATAGAACCTCCCATTCACCCCAGTTTCAAAGTCATCAGGTTATCAGAATCGCCTCCTGTCATGGAGCTTTTGCCTGGAGTGTCAAACCTTTCCTCGGGAGCGAATACCGTCTGATGGTCGCTTGACGGTCACGACTGGTCGGGACCGCGAATTCAGCTCAACAAAACCTGGTCATACATCTTCCTCGTGAGCCCGTGGATCGCAGATTTTGTGCGCATGCACGACGTATACCTCGACTATGGGTATTCGCTCCTTGATGCAGCAGGCATACAACTCTATGACCATCTATTGTTCATCATTCGTACCTACTGGAAGCGAGGGGCAGCAAGATCGCGCAGACAATGCATGAATGGGCGGATTTATACTTGTCTCTGTTAATTTACTATATGACTGTACCAGTTGATAAGTTCACGGATATTAAGAAGTGAAAGCGGCCAGCTCACCATCGAAACACTACGCAAACTCTGTTGTTTAGCATCATGTCACATCTATGGCTGCTCAATTATGCCGGTACCAACAGACTTATTGATTAGTATAATGATTGATTGACTGGCTTGGGGAGTTCTTTGGATTTGTCGTTATCACCCAGGTCTACTGCCTGGAATTGCGCACTCGGGGCGTCGAATACTTAGATCGAGTTTCGGACTCACGAGATAGCACTGCAGCTCGCAGCTCCTGTCTGAGTTTCTCGATGGTCCGGAACCAATGTCAGCGGTTGAATACTTGTAATAGTCGTAACTCTCTGACCTTTTCCTGCTCCTCGTTTTCCTCAAGCAGCTGTTGGATGAATTCGTTGGTCACCTGGCGGTAGCGACGATGCACTTCACGCATGTTTTCAATGACATCCGCGAGCGCCTGGTTGGCTTCCTGGGTGATATTGATCACCTTCCGTGCCTCCGCCATGCACTCATCCACTCCGGCGTCGGCGTTTATGGTCGCGCGACAGTGAATACGAGCCGCAGATGCGATCTAAGTCGTCTCGTGAGGGGCGGAAGTGGAGAACATGATGGATTTTTGCAAGATTTCAAAGTTTCAAGTTGGGCGAACGTCGTGGTCAGGTCTCAACTTGAGAGGACAATAACTCGTTACAAGAACTGTGATCAAAGACACAAAGGGAAAGAATGCCGCGTGATACTTCTCTGAGAAATAGCATCTCGAGATGCACGGTGCCACCAACCTTTGCAGAGCCACTAGGACGTATTCGTTCAGGTCCCTCTGGGTTATATTTTAGGATTGATGCGGAAAGGTAAGGGCAATAGAATATCTATTCATAGTCTCAAGCCACAAGCGAGCTACCCATCTCTTCACCCAACGCTGTGGCGGCTTCTCTTCGCTCGCGGTCACCGATTTGTGTAGACGTAGAGATAGGACAAAGTATATTTTTTCTGTTCCTTCTGCCCAAATACCTCTCCTATTTAGCTCCCGCTTTGTGAAAGCGATCAGAACTTCTCCGGCACAAGATTGGGATCGCGTCAGCCATCATATCAAATTTTATTATTTATGTTGATTTTCCCATCCTAAAATTTGCACGGCCACTCACTTTTGGTCGACATGTTGCTCACAGTGGCTCTCATTCGGTGGATATGATCTAAGACGCCGACTAAGCGATTTACATCGCTGCATTTAGATTCAAAGGTGCCTGGCAAGTACTGTGGAGCGTCAACAGATCTTCGGACAACCAGGTTTCGATTCTACCTACCCGTCTCCGGCAAGCAGCTAGCATCGCAGGTGAAAAGATAAATCAATATCGTTCTGGTGGATTGTCCATGTATTCCACAGACATGAATTCGGGTTCATGGCTACGGCTGGATGCGGAGGAAGAGGAGGAACCTCCTCTGGCCAAGGCAAGGAAACCAAAGCCAAGGATCGCAGCCACACCCACAAAGTTCCGACCACAAAGCCTGCAGCCGCAGATCCGTTCGCTTCTTTCTCTGCTTTTAAGGCTTTCCGAAGAGCTTCAATCTCTCTCCTTTGCTACTCTATTTGTTCTTGAGGATTTCTGTTGGGGTAAGTCAGTCTCGCTGATTTGCACTCGGTACTTGCAAGTATAGAAGGCTGAGAGGAGGGTGAAGAACATACTGGCTTGAAGCTCCTGGGTTAGACATTTCCGTAGTTGCTTGTTGATAGGTAGGGAGGATTGTGCTCTGAGAACGGGTTTATATGTTCAGGTCACCTAGATATACCTGAGCCCTCAGTTGGTATCTCAATTAAATAATTTGGTCACCAGAGTAGTCCTTTGTTGGTTAGAGTACCCAATTCTGTTGTGTTTCCGTATAGAAATGGCGTTCACATCTAACCAATATAGCATGGAGCCACAAAGCTACACAAGATAGTATTCAAATGATCATCAATGGGGCCACTTGGTACAACCAGAGTGCCTGAGGCTGTGACGAGAAGAATAGTGGAGCCTCGCGTCTGCGGCGTTGCAAAAGAGCTGATCACGTCCAGGCAATGTGCGTTCAAAAAGAGGATAGCGATTCTAAATTTCTGGAGACTTTTGCCCCGAGCGGAATCTATGCTTCATCCACACATGTGGGGCATAGAATCTCCTATTCATTGCAATCTCAAAGGCGTCAGGATATCAGATCTATCTTTGATGGATCCTCTATCAAGAATGGTGGGAACCGCGAATCCCACTTGATAAACGCCCTCATCGTGGGCCCGTCGGTCGTCATCGCTCTCCACATACACGACCTATATCTTGACTGCGGATATTCGCCCATTAACGTGTAAGGCAAAAAATTCCATGATTCCCTACTGTTCATGACTACTGGGAGCGAGGGTCCAAAGACAGGTCGAAGTGGCGTCAGCTTCGGATGCTATGCTCGGAAGTTCCCGGGCACATCTTTTATTACAATATCACGTAACTAAGTCTTAAGACAATTGATACCAGGAAGCTGGCGCTGTTTGGTCCAATGAATGGATTTTGTCATTACAGATCAGGCCTGATAATAGAGAGTTTGAGCTATGAGTAACGCTCATCACATCATGTGACAATTGGCAAAGAGGCAACTGAGTATGCATGCGTTTACCCTTGTGGTTTGCTTGGGTTGACACTCCGTCTGAGTATAGTGGACATCTCGCTCAGTCTCCGTAGCCCGTACTTCACTCCCGCTGTACCACTAGTAGTCGAATAGGGATATCCTTCATCTCTTCGAACGCTTCGTATTTTTCTTTCATTTTTCTACCACATGTACATAGTGCTGCGCCACTAATTGGTCGTCAGCCAGGGAATCTACGTCGGTGGCTTTCAGCCCTTCGCCTCAGTTTCGCAAAGTAACTCGTCTTCGCAGCTGTACAGCTCGCTCTTCGCATCGCTGACGCAGTAGGTTGCTCTGTAGATCGCTAATCGTCCAGACTTTAATTCGCTCTCGCTCAGGAATCGCCGAGGAGATCTCGTCCAGTCGGTGAGAACGACGCAAATATCATCGAATTATTACGTTGCATCCAATCTACAACGTTCTATTCTATCCCGTTCCCATTCTGAACCCGCTCGCCATTGTTTCCCCTCCGTGTCATTGTCCCCTTATTCGCTCGAGTTGCACGCCGCGGCCTGTTGTTCACCACCATTCCAAGCGGCTTGGGGTTCCTTGTTGTCGTCTGGGTCTACTGAGCTTGCGCGCTCAGGATTTTGAACACTTGATATACTTGGATTGTCGTGTTTAAGTTCATATCCAAGCGCTCCCGAGATCTCTTAGCAGGTAGAGATCTCTGCTGAGTCTTTCGCTATACGAGGTCTAGAGCTGGATGGCCCAGATCAATTTTAGCGGCGGAGTAATGGTATATATCAGTTCAGTTACCCTCTTGAGCTCTTTGTTTTTAAACCCGGAGCCGTTGGACCGCTGCGACGCTGTTCCTGGCGAAGCTTTGCCATAGCCCTCATGGCGTAGGGAGTTGTATATTGGAAGCCTCTATCAGGATCTCCGTCTTCTCCTCGCGTTGTTCGAAGGTGGCGTCGACGTTTTCAGCCTGACGACGCAGACCCCTGGTGGCATCGAGGATGACATTGGTGTTGGTTGGGAATTGCGACAACATGATTATCGACAACCTTACAAATGAGAAATATGATTGTGGATACTGTTATTAGCACTTGTTGCATCATACGGAGACTAAAATAGATCAGAAACTGTTAAAAACGTCAAAAGAACGTGCCTTTCCCGACAATTCCTTTGCTTCCGGGACATTAGCTGCATAGAGCTGGGTCAAACCGCCATATTCTACTGGCTGGGCTAAATGCCAGTACATCCAGCGATTGAGGGAATCATGATTGCGGTCGAGGTCGGTTCGGATCACGCCTGGGTGAACGGAGATGGCTATGAGACCTTTATCTCCATACCTGCGCACGAGTTCATTGGAGAAGAGGATGCTCCCCTAAGGATCTCAGTCGACCATGGACGTTGAACAGGAGGTGAACTCTACGAGATGCAGAAAGGATGGGTGCATTTGGTATGGGAACACCCACCCTGTCAGCAAGCAGGAGTAGTTGTTGACGATAGGCAATGATCATTACTGTGCGATGGGCGAAAAGGTGGCTCGCCATCTGGGTCACAATATGGCTCGAAGTCGAGCCACCGAGGCGGATTGAGAAGGAAAGAGCGATCTGCACTCGTAAGGGTTGCACAGAGCTCAGAAAGATGAGGGACGGGCATGGGGCTCAGCAGAAAAAGAGTCCATTAGTCCAAAAATTTGTACGGACAAGCACGGGCGCGTTCTTGGCAAACGAAAACAAGGCCCTTCCCTCCACTTCGTTACGGTCAGGGGATCGGTATATATATATTAAAACATCTATGGATGCCTCTATAATCCGTAGCTGGCCCCGAGGTAATATTCGAAGTAGGATATTCCGTCCCTCTCGGTCTAGCTGTCATTGAAATCAAGCTACTTGTCCATTTTAAGATTGAAAAAGTTCCTCTAGGTATGTTCGAGCAGGCTGCACACCTCCTACAGTGCGTTCTAGCACCCTAGCTCTCGACTCACCCATATTCGACATCATCGTATCCGGACGGGGCTTCCACAAGGCCTCAGTCTGGTATCAATGAAGGTCAAATAGTTTCACCTGGCTCTGAAGCGACAAGTCGTCTCTCACCTATCATACTTGGGCCCAAACTTGGCTTCCTGAGGCCGATGCAGCCATACGACTTGTATGGTCATTTTCCAACGAATCACGTGATTGTACTCTATCGGCAAGCACAGACCTTCTTCTCAAAGGGATAATACGACCTAAGCACGCCGGTGTACGACAGATATATGATATTTTGAGGAACAAGCCTATAAATAGGTCCCAATTCTGCATTTTTTAACTTTATCCCTAATTAAAAGAGTCAGCCATGGTCATAATCGCAGTGAACTTCGCGCAAGGAAACTTACTCCACATCCTCCACATCCTCCACATCCCGTACATCCAGATCCTGCTCCAGATCCAGGTCCTTCTCCACATCCGCCCACCGTGCAGCCCGAGCACCCATTTCCCATTCCTCCGCCTCCACACGCGCCAGGAATGCATTGATTATACCCTCCGTAGAAGCTATAAGATATTAATTAATTTTTCAAACATACTAATCGGAAGAGAGCTCACCCATATGGCACCGCAGCGGAAACTCCCCAGTACGGATAATACATCCCGTATCCATAAAGTGGATCAGTAAATGCTTCTTTGTGTCCCTCTCTTTTACGTCTTTCACTTCGCTCGGCTTGAAGTCCTCTCCACGGGTCACGCGCCGCGCCTTTGTGGGCACTAGCAAGGCACTTGGCTACTTTGCGCTCCCGTTCAGACCGTGTAGTGGCCGTAGTTGTATCTCTAGGATTTCCAAAGTTGGCAGTGTGTTCAGACGGATGAGACGAGTCCGCCTCGTCTTCGTCCGTGCTGACAAGATCGGGCCGTTTGTTGACGAGTAGAAAACGCATTTGGGGATCCGGACTATTGTCTCGTTTTTTGAATCCGCTAGCGATTTTCGACGCGAATCTGCTGATGCGTGATGCAGAGTCGCCGTCCGGTACGCACCCGCACACACTATACGCAACTCCAAACCGGGCCTTCCAGGCTTTTGCCGTGATGTCGTACGCGGTCGAGAGCGTGCTAGGTTCAATGTTGTCGTCATGATTTGGGAACCTTCCTACAAATAGTGTCGTCGCCGTTCGATAGTGGACACTCTTGAGTTGATGGGTGTGCCACGCTAAATCCTGATAATAGTGAGCTGCGTTCACCAAGTGTATAATGAATCTCACAATGTCCTGCGGGAACATGAGTTTTGTTGGATGGCATCAAGCAATTCGTACCAGAGTAGGCACAAAGAATGTCGAATTGTGCGCGGCCATGAGATCCAGAAAGGCATGGTAGCGCGCTACAGATCGCACCAGCGGAGCAGATTCGGCAATCAAGTCAAACCGGCCTGGCCGGGTCCATCCAAGTTCGTCCATCTTGGAAATAAACGAGCCTTGGCGTAAAACAGCCCCGACAAGATCGATAGACGCCATACCGGGGTTACTGTAGGCGACAGCGAACCGTTGCAACCTAGAAAGAACGTCACACTTCAAAGAATGCAGAAAGGATGAACATACCGCGGATTGCGGTTCTTTCTATCGGGGACTGTCGTAGGTCGTACACCTTCATGGAGCCGATCACAGAGAATCTCGAAATCCCAGGCTAACGCATCACCGAGTTTAGTCGCCTCCTCTGCCGGGTTCTCGCCCTTGAAAGGCTTGAGGATTTTGTAGTCCTTGTGCAGTGCCTATTTGATGTGAGATGTGTAGATGATTTCGCCTATGGACGAACCTTGAAGACCTTTTCGACAAACGTTTGGGCGGCTTTCTCGTTTACTTTTCCTGTCGGTGGCTCCAGCAGTGTCTCACTGATATATGGTCAGAAATCTCCCGCGGAGTGACGAGACCACATACGAGAAGAAGACCTTTGTGCCAGACCTTTGAAGCGAGACTTCGTCCACGAAGCGACGCATGCCCATCGCCCCTTTCGTAAACTCTTTGCAGCAAGACTCGCATCGGTGCTTGAACTTTGCCTGCGCGTAACCAGTTTCGTCGTCTGTCACCCATCTTACGCGAGAGTTGATAACCTGGCACAGTGGGCAGAAGACAGCGAGGCATTCAGAATAATCCGTGGTCAAGGGCATATACCACGGGAGACCAGTTGTTCGTTCGAAGAAGTGCTGTCTCTCCGCCGACGGAGATAGAGGGTCCAAAGTTTGGCCCTGGATGAGGGACGCGACCAATGTCAACGGCATTTCCCTGTGAGAACCAAGTTAAGCACTTGCATCGATCTATAATGCATACATACGCTAGAGTGCAAAGATTTGTTGCATAGACTGACTCCATGCGTTGACTGTCCTCGAAGTATGTTCGCGGATTCTACAATGCGTCGAGTGAAAGTCAAATTGGAAGGGACAATTACGTACGAGTAGATACGTATGCCAAACCATCAACACGTCGAGAGGGGGGATCATTGTTTCGTCGAATCCTGGCCTGGATCGTTGCCACGATGCGCTCACCCATGTAAAGAATCGAAATACGGCACGATTGACAAAGACGACCCAGGCCATATCCTTGGTGCCTCTTGCGGCGATACCAGATCTCTGGCTCTGGACATCAAACTTGAGTCTTGATATTGCACCAAGAAGACGCAGGTGAGCTTGAAGTTCGGTCACATTGACCAATGGGGCGGTTTGACGGAATCCAATTGGAAAAGCTGGCGGTAATTCCGTCGGATATGGCGTGTAGACTGGTGCTTGCTCCTGATGTTGCATACTTGGGAGTCTAGGGATTCACAGCGAAGCACAAAGGTCTCTTATAGGACAATCTCTCGACGACGGAACCAGAACGCCATTGGCATTCCCGACACGTAGGCGGGTTTCAGCCTTGGGCGCTGCAAAACAAATGTTTATCGTCCGTCTTCATCACCTCGTAGATCGAACTTTCCCTGAGGTGTCGTACCGTCCCGGGCGGTGCCAAAGCGCTGAGAGCTGAATCCAAATTCCCGTTGAGAGCTAAATTTATGTCTACAATGCAGAATAACAAAATTGGCCAAGAAAATGGCAGTGCGTATCCCAACGACGCTCAGAGGCTGGGTCCAAGATGCTGGCCTTCACCACATCCAGCTCGTGACTTCCAAGCCCTTCCACCCGTGGTAATTTGCAAATCTTATGGAGCATTACGTTGGCTAATAACTCCGTTCTAGTCGATTTACCTTTGAAACTCAATGGTATCCAGCTTACCGACAGAGATATGGACCCAAATCCTGACTGCGGCTATACATGTCCCCCTCTTCTTCGAGACGGATCCGTTGAAGATTTACCTGCCTGATTTCTATCACCAGTATCATTGGCAAAGTGACTATTGGGCCTCGGAACGCACACGCAACACGCTACGCCGGGTCTGCGCCTTTTGGAACTCGATCCTCGCTCCATACGACAACCGCTTCATTCAATTTCAGGATGTATGCTCAGGCAGGATCCCAATCACTGCGCTGCCAAAGGCTTATCGAATCGACATCGGCGCCTCCGATAAACAATGTGATTGCAGACGATGTTCACTCAAATCCTCTCCCTCTGTATCAGCCATTGAGATCCAGCAAGTTGTCGAACAAACTCGCACACTTCTAGCTAATACATCTCGCTGGAACCTTCAAATTCTCATGGAGAGATTTGGGAGTATTCCATTTTGCGAGTTCGTCTTTCCCCTCGCACCACGTTTAGCCATCTTTATATGGCTCAAAGCAGTCGACCTCCAGGTCAACCTTCCACATTCTCTCCAACTTTTCCGAACCTGGGTACCGTCGCGCGATGCTCCTTATCAAGGTCGCTTCGACCATGTTTCTATGCTCAGTCTCCATACAAACATGTCGTCCTATGGCCTTGACCAATTCGACTTTCCACATCTTCGTCATCTCGCTATCCGCCAGGCGACTCCTTCACTCGGCTGGATATATCCGGTCTTGGAGAGGTGGGGAAAAGAATTGATCACATTCAAGCTACGCGCGTTTGAACGAAAGGTACCGATTCCTTCAAAAGTCTGGAATCTCCTTCCCAAAGTGGAATCCATGCTCCTTCCATATATGTGGGGCATGGAGCCTCCCATTCACCCCAGTCTCAAAGTCGTCAGGTTATCAGAATCGCCTCCTGTCATGGAGCTTTTGCCTGGAGTGTCAAACCTTTCCTCGGGAGCGAATACCGCCCGATGGTCGCTTGACGGTCACGACTGGTCGGGACCGCGAATCCAGCTCGACAAAACCTGGTCATACATCTTCCTCGTGAGCCCGTGGATCTCCGACTCTGTCCGCATGCACGACGTATACCTTGACTTTGGGTATTCGCTCCTTGATGCAGCAGGCATACAACTCTATGACCATCTATTGTTCATGATTCGTACCTACTGGAAGCGAGGGGCAGCAAGGTCGCGCAGACAGTGCATGAATGGGCGGATTTATACTTGCCTCTGTTGAAGCCCGATATCGACTGTACAAGTTTATTAGCTCACAGGCATTGAGTGGCCAGCTCATCATTGAAACACTAAGCAAGCTCTATTGTTTAATATCCCATCTCCATCAAAGATTGCTCCATTACTTATATCGACAAACTTACAAATGAGAACTATGATTGTGGAGACTGTTATTAGCACTTGTTGCATCATACGGAGACAGAGACATAAAAGTTTCAGGTCGTCTATGTGGTAGCTAGAATTCCTTGAGCTCCTGTTCGCAATACTCCCACATCTTTTTTGCAAGTTCCTGGTTGGTTGCAAGAGAAGAGGGCGTTGTAACTTTTGCTACGGGCTCCAAATACTAAAATAGATCAGGAAATGTTAAAAACGTCGAAAGAACATGCCTTTCCCGACAATTCCTTTGCATCCGGGACATTAGCTGCATAGAGCTGGGTCAAAGCGCCATACTCTACTGGCTGGGCCAAATGCCAGTACACCCAGCGATTGAGGGAATTATGATTGCGGCCGAGGTCGGTTCGGATCACTCCTGGGTGAACGGAGATGGCTATGAGACCTTTGTCTCCATACCTGCGCACGAGTTCATTGGAGAAGAGGATGTTCCCCTAAGGATCTCAGTAAGTGATTATAGGAGCTAAATGGCGCCTACAAGTTTACTTTGGCCGTACAATTGGTACCGTTCAATGAAGTTGAGGCCGGGAATCCACGTCCCTTTTTTGGGACCTTTGAGTTTATCCCAAAAGAATCCGCTGGATGGCGCGAATAGATGTCCGCGAGAGCTGACATTGATGACGCGTGGGTTTGGTGTCGCGAGGAGGGCTGGTAAGAGGAGCATAGTAAAGTGAAAGTGACCAAGGACATTCGTTCCGAATTGAAGGTCGTATCCATCCTTTGTGAGTTGATCAGCAGGTGCAGCCATGACGCCTCTAAAAAAAATTACAAATGTCGTCAGATAGCAGCCAAAGAGAGTTAACTCTTGCCCAAGGACGAGAATGCGCACGCATTATTCATCAAGATGTCCAGCGTAGATTCTTTGCTGTAGACAAGTCTATGAGTTACTGACCCCTGCCACATTCAATATAGGTGCACCTTAGATACTCCTTGGCTGCCTTTCGAACGTCTCGTAGATCCGACAAATCTATGGGCAGAAAGTATAGCGCATGCTTGCCGGTCTCCTCTTTGAGTCGTTTGATAGCGTCATGGCTCTTTGGCGAGTCTCGGGAGGCCATGTAGACTTTTGCGCCACTTTTGAGGAGATTCTGTGGGTCATTGCATTTGTGGTCTATCATTAGATCAGAATATATGCCTACTTTCGTCGCCTGGTATCCAATTCCTCCGTTTCCCCCAGTCACAATCGCTATTTTTCCGTCCATAGGGACCATGTCCTCTAGTGTCCATTGTTTCATCGTTAAATTTGACAAAGAAGAATGGTAGTCGAGTTTCCGAAGCGAACGGCTTCAAATCATGGGGGTCTTATATTATAGAATGAGCCGCGTTCATGCTGAGTAAATTTCCAGAAGGCTGGGTGATAGAGATCCGTTCGAGAGGGAACGGCGAGTCGCGGGCGAGAGCAAGCCTAGTCCGCAGTGAGAGCTGGAGGGCCGGACAGTCCGGGGATACAGGGTTGCGACATTCACTCGTTAGTCATACAAGTTTTCTTTGATTATACTCCACAGAACGCTATTTTTTGGGCACGTGATGCAAAGTCTGGTCCCGAGAGATCCTGAATGAGAGGAGATAATTATGATAAAAAGCCTTGTTGATAATAAAATGTCGGGTTTAATTAAGAGATTCTTGGAGGAGCCTATTCCCTTCACGTAGACTCGTCGGAGACCCAGTAGATATCAACTATTCAATTCCAATTGCTGATAGCCTGACGTATCTAGCATTGGTCCAAGATCAACCCATTGTTCGGTTCGGCTGCGAGGGTGAGTAAGCGGTAACAATGGGATTGAGTATTATGTGCCTCTGGAACGACAAATCCGCCAGAAGTATATTTCTTAGCGTGAAAAAGTGTTAGAGCGATTCGAGGTTTACTATGTCTATATTACTCAATGCAATAGTTTCAATGCATTTGGCTAGGACTCGTCAGAGGATATTGTCAGTCACCCCGCCGTACGAGAACGTCCGGCGCACGGCCTTGTTCTTCTTCTTAGGCGCGGGATTTCCTTCGTCTTCGACTCTCTTCCGCTTGCCAGACTCCAACCCATGCGGAGGCGAATTGGGTTCGCGCGACCTATGTTGGTTCACGGCTGACCCGTGGAAAGTTTGGACCTTCGCTTTGAATTTTGGAGCAAGCACTCACGAGGGGACTGCACGTCGCAGCTCCTGTCTGAGCCGTTCGATGGTCTGGAACCAATGTCAGCGACCGAATACTTGTAGTAGTGGTATCAATCTGACCTCTTCCTGCTCCTATTTTTCCTCAAGCAGCTGCTGGATGGATTCGTTAGACGCCTGGCGGTGGCGACTAATGATGCTCTTCATGCATGTTTTCAATGACATCCTCGAGTGCCTGGTCGGCTTCCTGGGTGATATTGATCATCTTCAAGGCATCTATCGCGCGTTCATCCAGGGCAGCGTCGGCGTCGGCAGCACGACGGTAGTTGCGAACCACAGATGCGACCGAAGTCGCCTTACGAGGGGTGAAAGTGGAGAACATGATGGTTTTTTGCGAGACTTCAAAGCTTCGACTTGGGCGAACGTCGTGGTTGGGTCTCAAGGTGGCACGGGCAATGGAGACAATAGCACCTCGTTACAAGCGCTGTGATCACAAACACAAATGAAAAGAGCACAGCGCAATACTTCTCTGAGAAGCGACATCTCGAGATGCACGGTGCCACCGACCCTTGCCGGACGTATCCTTTCAGGTCCCTCTGGGTCATCTTTTAGGGGGATATGCGGAAGAATAGCAGCTTTAAATATCTATTACAAGTCTCAAGTCACAAGCGAGCGACCTAGCTCCGCACCCAACGTTGTGGCCGCTCCTCCTCGCTCACGGTCATCAATTTATGTGGACGTAGATATTCTGTTTCCATTGCCCAAATACCTCTCCCATTAGTTCCCGCCCTGTAAAAGTCATCAAAACCAATCTTAGCGCCGCCACGCGCGCAAAACATGACTACTCACGCATCCGCCGCCACAGCCACCACCACAACCACCTCCTCCACACCCTGAACCACCTGAACAACCGCCAGAGCACCCGCCTCCTGCCCCACCCGCTCCGCACGCGCCTGCCATGCCATAGCCGTAACCTCCGTAGAATCTGGTATTATAAATGTCACCATAGGAGAGGTTTGGTGCATATAATGGCACTTACCCGATGGGAATCGCAGCGGAGACACCCCAATAGGGGTAGTACGCACCGTAGCCATAATACGGATCGGCAAAGGCTTCCTTGTGGCCATCCTTCTTGCGCTTCTCGTTTCTTTCCGCTTGTAATCCTCTCCACGGATCTCTTGAAGCGCCTTTCTTGGCACTAGCTACACACTTTGCTGTTTTCACCTCTCGGTGTTCCTTTTTCAGTTTCGCGTCGGAATGAGTTGGATCGCCATAGTTGATATTGTGCTCTGAAGGATGAGAGCAGTCTGCCTCGTCATCTTCGGTGGAGACAAGATCGGGACGGTTGTTGACAAGCGTCTTAGACGCGGGGCTTTCATCCCGTTTCTTGAGTCCGCTTGAAATCTTTGATGCGAATCGACTGATACGCGACTCAGAATCGGGATCTGGGACGCAGCCGCAGACGGAGTAGGGCACGCCGTAGCGGGCCTTCCATGCCTTTGCCGTGATATCATACGCAGTCGACAGCGCCATTGGATCGATATTATCGTCGTGGTTTGGGTAGCGTTTTACATACTGAAGCGTATCGCCGCGGTAGGCGTTGCCTTTGAGTTGATGCGTGTGCCAGGCCAAATCCTAGACGAAGCTGAGTCGCAATGTCATCATAGTCAGATTGCTTACAATATCCTATTTTTCGTTAGTCACAGAGTCAATGGGACAGAATGAGACTTACGAGCGTTGGCACGCAAATGATTCCAACCTGGACGGACATCAAGTCCAAGAACGCGTGATACCGTGCGATGGATCGCACAAGAGGTGCAGAATCTGAGGCCAGGTCGAACCTACCGGGCCTAGTCCAGCCAAGCTCGTCCATCTTTACAATGAACGAGCCCTGGCGAAGGACGGCGCCGACGAGGTCGATAGAGGCCAGTCCAGGGAAACTATACGCGACAGAGAGCCGTTGAATCCTGTAAATCAAATTTAAGAATGAGAACTCTGCGAATGAAAGGGGAGCCAAACCTAGGCATGCGGTGCGCTCTATCGACTCGATGCATTGGACGAACGCCAAGATGCATCTGGTCAGAAAGAACTTCGTAGTCAAAGTTCAGGGCGGTGCCAAGTGCGTCTGCTTCTGCTACAGGATCCTTTCCGAAGAGTGGGTGCAAAACGTTCCACTGAATGTCCAGCATCTACGGCAATGTCAATAAATGAACAGTAGTGAAAGAAAGTTCTTACCTTGAACGCTTTCTCGACAAATTGATCCGCTCCCTTTTCGTTCACAGTTCCGGATGGCGGGTCGAGAAGTGTTTCGCTACGCAGAATAAGACTCGTAATAAAATGAAAGGTGATACGCACGGGAAAAAGACGCGCTGTCCAGACCTTCTCATCGATACCTCGTCAACAAAGCGACGCATGCCCATGTTTGGTTTCGTAAACTGTTTATTGCACGACTCGCAGCGATGTTTGAAACTTGCTTGAGCGTACCCAAGTCCACCATCGGCGATCCACCGAACAAGGTGATTTACGGTCCTGCAAAAGGGGCAAGGAACAGAAAGACAATCAGAGCCCTCAGTGATAAGTGGTAAGGGCCAAGAGAGTCCAGTGACCCGCTCGAATATGTCTTGCCGTTCTGTAGAAGGCGGGAGGGGATCCAAGGACTGCCCATCAATGAGCGAGGAAATGAGTGTGAGCGGCATATCGCTAATGAATATGGTTAGATAAAGCCTAATCTTTATCTCTGCGAGAACATACTGAATCTTGGTCAGATTAGAACAGTACGTCGTCGACATTCGACGGCTATCCTCCAGGAACGTGCGAGGATTCTACTCACGACAGATTAGATAAGAGATACAAGTACTATGCTACTCACGAGTAGATAAGTGTGCCACACCATGACCACATCCAGTGGTGGAACGAGCCTCTCATCGAATCCTGGGACATGGTGATCCCAACTTGCGCTCGCCCACTTGAAGAACCTCTCGACGGCACGATTGACAAAGACAACCCACGCTGTGTCTTTGCTCGTTGCTGCCACCCCTTCTTCTTGCTGCTGGACGTCGTACTTGAGCTTGGAGAACGCACCAAGCAGACGGAGATGCGCCTGAAGTTCTGTAACGTTGACCAGGGGCGTAGTATTCTTCCCTCCTATAGGGAAACCGGCCGGTAGCTCGGTGGGATACTCGTTGTAAACAGGTGGTTGGTCTGTTGCTTGCATATTGGCGATAATATGCATCTAGGACTCAAAGACTGCTATATTTATACCTCTACGACTCTGCCTTGTACTGCGGATAGGAGACGGAACTGGTGGAGGTCCAGTGCCCACAGAGGCAGTGCTCTCTCAGCGACATCTGTGATGTCGGTTTACATTGGCTGGTTGAAATTCAGAATTCGATCAATGCAAAGCCTCACATGGGTGCCAGAACTGCCGGATACTCTTTGTAAACACCTAGAATACAAGTATTATGCAGAATACTTTGGCGGTTGATAGCTCGGAGGCAAGTCATCGGGGACATCCTCCATTGGTCTATCAGAAACCGCAAGATGCTCCAACCTCTGCGCAGTATCCGTTGTACCGTCGATACTGCCTGGGCCACGTCCAGGTGGCGGACGTCTCGGTTCCCACCGTGGGAGTGGCGTCTCGTCGTAGATGGCCCCATCTGCCATTGCCCTCTCTCGTTCAGCCTCTTCTCTCTTTGCGCGCGCAGCAGGTGTCTCGTGCGCGTCTTGCACGAGTGAAGTAGAGCTGTGCGGGCGGCTGCTCGAAGAGGGACGCTGCGAATCTTGGGCGCGCAGATTCGCAATAGTTCTCGTGTGAGTCTGGAGCATGATCAGCGGTACTCTACAGGCACCAAAAACTGCGCAAGGCGGCGTACCGGTGGCGATGTCGGATGTACAATGTTTGGGTCCGTCAATGAACGGGACTGCAGGCTTTCCATTGCTAGTTGAAGCATTTTCCGACTTTCTGCAGTCACATTTGGATCTTCGATTGCCTATGGTCGTTATCAGCGTCGTAATGATCCGGAACGGGTAGACAAGCTTACCCCTTTACAGGCCCTCTTCAGACTGGTCACTGCATCCTCTCCGAGCTCCATAATAATCTTCATGTCACTCTCACTCGTCACTATCGAGTCCAATTGCTATGAAGGGTCAGGTGTGCTGTTCCGATAATAGTGTAGAGCCCACCTCAAATGCATCCGACTCGTCTTCGACCTTGGCTTGATAATACTCGCTCTCCCAATCCTCGACATCAGGATGCGGCGTGACGGCAAACGACTTGAGGACCTTGTCCATATTAATGTTAAACTCTTCGAAGAAGGCCGCAATCTCTTCGCGATTGACAAACGCCTTGGGACGGCCATAGATGGCAAAGCGCAGCATATGCTTCTGTAGATACTTCAACGTCCTTGGAATGATGTCAGATTCCTGGGCTCTGTCCGCAAAGGCACGTACTCTTCTACGTTTTGAGCCGCTTCCTTGACTCGTGCAATGTCCATACTCTTCGAGTCTATTCGAAGCGCTTCTACAAGTGAATTACATCGGCCAAATACTTGATCAATCTGCGCCTAGATGTCGCTCATCAGAACGCGTCCCAGATGGTGGAGAGGGCTTACTTGACACGTCGTCACGTTGGATGCGGTCTGTTTAATCTTCTCGACAAGTTCGTCTGCTTGGTGAAGAATTTCTGCGACTTGTTGATCTCCGGTCTGCCTCTGCTTCCCAGCTACGAGACGTGCATCGAAGATATAAGAAAATGAAAGATTCAAACACGCGTTTAAAGTGTACTTTAGCCATATTATCACAAAATAGTCGCGCGAAACGCACCAGCAACTGCGCTGCCACTTGCCGCAGGGGTAGACGAGCTTGTCGATGCCATCGTTGCAATATATCAAGGACGTCCAAGTCACTCTAGGTATAAATCTCAGTCGAGAGAACAAATATCGTCTCAGATCAACGTGGAGCAGTTCAAGTTGTGGTGAATACGAGGTCGGCGCCCAACGACTAAGAAGCGCCCCGAGGCCGCTAATGACGTCTCAGAGTCGACAGTAAACGCTCATTAAAACACTGCCAAGCTTCATACTTTATATTCATCATCAGCGGATAAGAACAGGGATAGGCGGCTATCGACACCCAGTCGAACCCAATTTACTTGAACTAGGAGAAAAGAATCAGTCATAATGTTACGCGCAAATGAGAAATGAACGCACGTTCTTGCCCGCAGCCCACTTCTTTCCGTCAATCTCGAGATCCCAAGCAAGAGCCGACTCGAAAAAGTCCTTGTCGGCACCCTTGTAGTCGAGAGGCTGGAACGAGTAGCTCTCCCAATCTGGTGCAAACTCGACGACGGGCTTATAGTCCTGATCACGGTAGTCAGCAAACCCGCACAGGGGACGACTTCGTTCACGAACCTTGCCCCTGCAGATCAAGACACCAGTGATGATGCTGTTATTGTTCTCTCCTAGGACACCCATTGAGCCAAACAGGTACTTTCTAGCACCCTCCAAGCGGTCTATCCAACTTCAGCATACACGACATAAAAAAGGACAAATCACACGCACTGAAGAAGCCAGAGATTTGGTTGCTGCTCATAAATGTCTGAGTGAGCTCCTCGTTGTACTTGAAATCGACACGCCAGACGGAAAAGCCCTCGGGATCGAATCGCTCGTTGAACCACTCGATGCTTCCACCGGGACCCTTGGTCTCCATGTTGGAATACGCGCGCTTCCAGTCCTCCAGGTTGAACGTGCTCTTAGGGAGCTCGTCGAGTGGGTGTTTGGCCTTTGGCTCTGGGGGAACACCATTATCGTCGTCGTCTTCCTCTTCAGCCTCCTTTTTCGGTGCCTTTTCCGCCTAATTGTCCAGTTAGACCGAGGTTGAATACAAGAAATAACTCTTACCTTGGGAGCAGCAGCCTTGGGTGCCTTGGGCTCCTTTGGTTCCTTTGGTGCCTTTGCTGGCGGGGTGTATTGCTTGGGAGCGTCAATGTACTCGGTCGGGCCCCAAATCGCCTTCAACTGTGGGTGCTCGCGAATGGTCTCGTAGAGACGGTGAAGGTTGGGGTATTGATCGCGCGTCTTCTTGTCAATGATCTGCTCATAGGCGACGACCATGACCATTCCGACGGTGAGATCCGCAAGCGTGATGCGCTCGCCGACGAGGTAGGTTCGGGTTGCGAGATGCTCATCAAGGACTTTAAGTGGGCGAGGGAGGAGATCACGGTGGAGCTGATCCGCTGGCTTGTTGTAGGGCCAGGCACCTCCGAGCATGCGAACGCTAAAGCGGACGGGGGCGGCTATCTCGGTTTCGAGGTAAGAGATCCATTGCTCGACCAGTGCTCGCTCTTGGGGAGTGTTTCCAAGCAGACCTGAGTTGGGAGCAAGAGAAGCAACTAGAAGGGAAAATGTCAGAAATACAAGATACACGGATAGAGAATGATAAAGTCAGAGAGTAATTCTCGACCTAATGCATTAAGACAGGGATAACTGTACTAAAAAGCAATATTCTCATCATAAAAACTAGTCCATGAAGGGAGAAATAGACAGGAGGGATGGAGATCTCACCGTATCTCGCAATAGCGCCACCCTCAAAAAGGGTAAAGCCGTCAGCGCCTTCAAAGGCTGGGACCTTGCCCGAGGCAAACTTGGAGAGAAACTCGGGCTTTTTGTTATCCTCGTAGTGTTTGTACGAAGCTGGTTTGTCGAGCTTGAGGCCACCAAGCGCAGCGGCCGCTTTAATCTGAGGGAATCAAGAACATCGTTAGCAATCAAGTCAAGCGACATAGCTCATCAAGAGGATACAAGAAGTAATTTGACGCATTGAACGTGATCCAAAGGCCCGACGGGCTTGATAGCCACTCGATCCTCGTAGCCACAGAGCATAAACTCACGCGCTTGCCCGAAGTTTGGATGGGAGTAGTCCAGAGAGTACCAATAGAGGCCATTTTCGACGCCTGTACGATTTTTTGGGAGAGGAGAAAGGGAGAGTTGGTGACCAAGGAGGAATTCCACTGGAAGCGAATGGAAAAATCGATCGTGCGTCGGAGTTTGTATACCCCCTAAATTAGTCTGTTGACAACTGAAGCAGATTGTGTTATCCTGTTGGTTGAGAGCCAATGGCAGCGTCGAATTCGACGGCCAGGCCTCAGCGGTTGTAATAAACATTATTCTAAAGGACCAATTAGCATAGAATTACGTACAGTCAAAGAATTCCTTAACGCACCAAGTTTTGTCATGTTCAGAGACCATGAGGCGTCGTTGCAAGTCTAGTGAGTGTTGTATCCTTATTCTGAGGACTATTGAGGTAAATATATATGTAAACTGCGCTGTAGATGGCTTCTTGAGTGCACGGTCCAGTCAGTGGTCTAGTTCGACCTTTTGAATCCACTTTGCGCCAACGTTGACCTTGCATTTTACCAGCATGAGGCCGTCACTACCTGTATCAGGCGAAATGCCTGGCCGTGAGTATCCTCTGTCCTTTCTATCCCTTTTTGAAGACGCTAACGGCGGTCCGTGTAGCCAAAGTTTATGTACGTCGTTGAGCTTGCTCGTTCGGCATCTCTAAAGGCGATAATTTGGCAATGGACTCATCAATCTGTTTCATTACTATCTAGATTGGATGGTGGGGTGCGATGGGTGGCCCAAAACAAAAGGGAATCACGCAGTACTGTAATTATCAGAGGCACTCAGCTTGGAGCAGTATGCTAACTATTCCCTCTTCTTCTAGCAATCTCTCCTTATCGTCAACGTGCGCTCAAGGGCATGTTGAGCGGCTACATTGTCCACGGCATTCGACGAATCGGCGCCCAAGCTCCGTATTTCGTCCCACCGTTTGCAGTCGGTACGTATCTATTTAAATACATTCTTTCTAGTTTTTTGTTCGATTTTCGGAGGATCAACATCTGATGTCGAATCCGGTCTCGTCTTTTTGCAAAGTATGCTAAATCATCTTTTCTGCTTTCAGGATACTTTGTATACACATGGGCAAAGGCAAAGGACCATTACAACAACTCCAAGGCTGGCCATCTCGCCGCCATGCAAGCTGGCGAGCACGGAGATCACTAGAGCACGTAGACGCTTATCCCTTTCCGTGTGTCGTCGGTACTATTCAGGATAATCTTATCGACTTCTCCTCTTTCCATCATTTAAGACTCCATTCACGTACCTATTTTTCGGAAGCCCTTGGAACCTCTCAAATCATGCTAAAACTTTCAAAATTGGGTTAGGTATGTAATCTGTAATCTTTGCAGGGCATGGCAACAATGCCTCTGTCACATCTGCACAAGGACATGCTGATATTCAGGTACACGTCCACTTTTTCGACCATGCTCGTATACAATTTACCTGACTATGAACCTAGGAACATCGACTGGGAGCCCATTCTTCCTGTCCCATTGACGCGCCTTGCAGTCGCTTCCGAGTTCTACGACCACGACCATTCAAAACCCAGAAATGGACGTCAAAAGAGTGTACTGGCCACGCGAGATGCCTATATATGTGGACGTCGGAAAACCACAAAGTTTGAACCCCATCCCATAGCTTGACGCTATGGCTTTAGCTTATTCTCCTCCGATCTCGCCCCCTCTCACCGCTCCTCTGAGGCTCACCCCGAAGACACCTCGTTCTCCTGCGACCGTTCAGTATCATGCGACTAGTTTGAAAACTCCATCGGTCACAAGGGAGGCGCATGCCCCCCGGCCGTCTTCGCCGTTTGCCCGCCCGACCACGCCAGCATATAATTCGACTCCGCCGCTGTCCAAAAAATCAAAACTACGCCCTTCGCCGCTGCGTGTGGAGCCTCTTTGCTTGCGTGCCGGCGAAGTACCCATTGTGGCCACAGCGGGATTGGACGAGCTTTCGGACATCGGCTCGCCTCCGAACGCTACTCTTCTTTGTACCCAACCATTGGTACCTATAACTGGCAAAGACTCGTACCCTGCTGCATGTGCGTGTGGTCAAATTTGCTTCTGCTTCTATATTTTTGTCTCACCTTTTCTCGCCGACGCCTATATCTAGTCTCGCTTGGTCACTCCAAACCCAGTGGTCCATTCTCCCGTCCGACATCCCCCATCATCACGCTCGGTATCGACTACGACACCTCGGACGTTCCCACCTCTGCAGCGTCCAGCACGATCAACTCCCCTGCGATATTTCGTTTTGATCCTCCTCATAATCTTCTCCATCCTACTTCCCACTCTACTTTGCCAAAGGACAAATCCCTTCGTTTATTTGAACGCCGCTCCTCACGTGTTTCCGTAGCCAGCCTAGACCAGCTCTCCATGTCTATTTGCAATTCCGTTCCTCCTCTTTCCGCTCGACGACTCTCCCAACCTCGCCTTTCCATCGCTTCAGCCATCTCTATGGACAGCTCCGTCGATCCCATTTCTATCGAACTGCCTCGTCGGAAGAGCAGTCTCCTATGTGCTCCCCAGCGGACCACTCGCGAGTGGTCTGGAACGCTCTCCGAGCTATTCGAGGGCGTCGAGCAGCTCACAGCTGGCCTCTCCCAGACGGTTCTCGACGACCGCAGCGATACATCCTCCATCGAGGAGCCACATGAATCTACTCCAACCACGCTTCTCCTTCCACGTTCGCGAACGTCGAGCGAAGATTCGTCTCTATATACGCCTTCGGTTTCCTCTGTTATCCTCTCGTCTACGGACACCGAGGGTGACCTTCAACCCAATCTCCGCACGAAACGATCCTCATCTGCACTTCCGGTAAACCAGCCACCTGCCATTTGCCATGAGCCATCCGGCATCAATCTCAAAATTGCAATGGAGCGCATTGACGAAGTCCGCTCAGAAGCTTCTTCTCCGACGCAAATGCCACCAACTCCTGTGAGTTTTTCTCCCCGTGGGATTGGATATCAACTGACTCAGTTTAGGACACTGCTCTGGGCTTTACCAACACGGCACACAACTCGCTCGGTTCGCTAGAGAAGCGCGAGTCTCCCCCGCCATATTCACGTGGCGAAACGCCTTCTACTCGGATTTTACCCCCTGGCCTTGCGGTTACAGGCAAAGTCTCGCCTACACCAACCTCGTCCAAGCCTAAGCCGTACATTCCACCTCACCTTCGACCACCGTCGACGCTCACACCTCCCGCGAGACTCGCTTCCATCAACCTCCCACCGGCGCGTCAGACGCGTAGCGTGTTGATGCGTGATCTTCCGACAGACGAACGAGCGAGTCAACAATGGGACCGTGAAAAAGTCACCTCTGATGTGCGTCAAATCACGCAGAGGATGCAATGGGATAAGGCGCAAAAGACGTGGCAGCTCGTACGCGAGGCTGAACGGGTTCCGTGATCAGGAAACGGGAGATATCGAGCCGTGTAGAGGCTGTTCCTCAACCAACCCTGCAACGCACGCCTGCCCATCATTCTCGTCGCAGTATGCCTATGCTCCCTCCTGGTCGTCTCGAGTGGGCGTTTATCGACTCGAGTATGCCGTCCGTCACGGTTCAATCGGAACCTGCGTACAGAGTGTGCATCGCATGGCGCGTTCTCTCTGGTCGGAATACCTTTCATCATCCATTTGGCGCACAAGACGAGCTCAAGGTGTTTGTCTTGGGCCGGACGAGCAGCGAGTTCTACGACTTGCATCAAGCTTGCTCCACCACTTTCCACTCGAACCGCGTCGACACCAATGGACGAGAGATACAGAGATTGGACCGCTAGCGCAGGCTAGCATTGAGCCGATGAGTCCACCGTGCGATGAGCAGTTTGTGTGGTCGCCCAACGGCACATCGTGGCAACAGCGCCGCGAAGATACAAAGACACGCGCGGCGGCGTTGGAGCAGTGGATGCAGGGTCTCATGCGACTCAAGCAGACACCCATGGCGGGTGTGCTGGAGAGTGATTTATTGCGTCAGTGGATGACGCCAAAGCGAGATGGCGATTGTGAGAGGGTTGTGGATGATTGGAGGAGCGATAGACACGTTGGCGACGAGCGGATTGCACGTACTCTTGAGCGACTCTGGTAGTCCCTTGTCACTACTGTATTTTTAGCGCTGAACCTGTTATTACCCTTAGACTCAAAGCTGTTTGCAAGTCCTTGCATACACGAGGTTTGACTCGGCCCGCGACTGTCGACGATGCTAGGTAGTCATCAATCAAGCTCTCCAGTTCGCATTTGTTTGCCTTTCAAGAATTGCGTGAATAGGCTTAGTTGAAGATTCCAAAAGGATGAAACGAGGCATCGATGATGGACAATCTTGCGAACGGAACCATCACACTGACAGAAGACTGATGCCCGGAAAAGTTGGTGTGCCTTGCTTATTCACGTAAAATATAACCCGAAGTATATGTTAAAGACATTGAACGTACGGGCCCGTGCGACAGCGGGGACAAGGATTCTTACGACTTTCATCCGACATTGGAATGACTACATCAAGGCCGACTAGATGAAGGTCCATGTCCTTCACTTTGTCCCCAACACATCCACTCCTTGAAATGAAGACGTTCATCGCTCTTCTTGGGCTTGCGACGACCAGTTTGGCCACCAGGTCATGCAGTTTGCTCTTCGACGGACGTGTTCCCGTCACAGCAAAACCGGCGGATTTCGACAAAAATACGAGCATTTATAATTATCAATTCGTTCATGGAGCCAGTGAGTGCGAGCCCCCTCTCAACAGCACTCTCACTTTCTTGCGCAGACCAGACTTGGTCGGAGATTATCAAATTCCCGCCTGTTCCTCCGTCAATGGTAAGTTATACTTCTCGTTCTGTTTATTTCTACCTCACCCTTCTTTAGTTCGATACCCCAAGGTCAAAGGCAGTCGAAGTGACTATCAAGTGAGTGTCCATTGCATACAGCTAGCATACAATAACACAACATCTCTAGCGACAAGTCCATCTTTGCACCTGGTGGAGGGGCTCCACAGGTTGGATTCCGCCGCTCAGAGCTGATCCCGGCAACAAACAATGGCTCGGACGCCACAGTCCAAGGCACGACCACTTTCCACTGGTCCATTCGGAATGACCCTGCTCGACCTCTCAATTACAGTCACGAATACCATGTTAGTACTCCTACTTGTATCGAGACGGCGAATTCTGATGACTGTAGGCGGCATGGCATGAGACGGCAGATTATTCAACCTCTCAGTTTACCTTCCTGACTGGAAAACCGTTTGACTCGTCATTTGATCCAAACGTGACCAATGCACGAACTCTGCGCGTTGCTGGTCGTCAATCCAACCGACCGGAGATTACCTTCTTCCAGACACCGTTCACCTTTGATATTTGGCACAACTTTGCCTTGACGATTGGATGGGAAAGCAAGTATGTATTGGCGTCTGGCTCCCTACACAACGGTCTAATAAGATGTAGTCAATTCACTGTGTACTATTCCAAAGGTCACCAGCCCCTTAAAAAGGTCGCAGGTCCGTCCTACAATGATAACTCGGGTGGCGGACAATTCCACGTGGGTATGCTCAAACTTCCCACTGGTCCACTGGGGATCGACGTGCTGCACGAAGGCTACCAACAAAAGCATCTCAATGAAGGCCTTATCTTTGGTGGAGTATTCATCGAGCAAAGTGCAAAGGGCTGCGTCACTTTGCATCCTAGGCCAATCTGACCTTTGCAATGAAATGTGTTTCGCTTGTCCTCGTACCCAATATTCCGCTTCATCTTTTCTTCAGTACGACTCTTTTCATAGTCACGATCAGGTCAAAATCCAAACTTGGGTTACTGAAGCATAATTTTGCTCAGCCGATGGGTTAGGTCGTAGAGCAAGGTTTCTCTGTTAAAGGGGAGCGCGCGCAAACTTGGGCTCCGCAATACTTGGCATACCTCCTCTATGACTTGAGCGTTTGAATATGTCAACTATTTGATCTAATAGATCATGACCGCATGCTGGATTTTTGGCGGGGAGCAAGGTTGCATGCACTTTCAACTTGAACCCTCCCTTTACCATGGCTGACGGGCAGACCCCACAGACTCTGAAATCCAAAAATATGAAGTTTGAATCTACTCCTTACGACATAGGAGGCGCCGCACATGGCCCATTCATTCGCAATCTAACGTATACGCTATCAACGATTCCCTTCTGCGCTGACCACGGGCCATAGACATGGACACATAGCCAATATCATGTTTTCGGATGTTAGAAAGCGCGTCGAAATCGATGTAAAACGTCTCCTTGCCTTTCTCTTGACAAAGATATCGTCAAGCGACCCGGAACTCTCTCTGCAAGCGTTGCTGGAGAGGGTAGGGGATTGGACTGCGCACACGGACGAGGAAAGAGAAGGAGAGGGAGAATCGACGTGGATCGCGTCAGGTCCCCGATTGATGTGGGTGGCGTTCTTCGATACTGCCCTTTATCCAAGGGAAAGCATCGAAGGGTCTGGTAATGGCTTTGTCAAGGACCTTATCGAATGCGTGACCGGAAAGGTGGCACCCTCCTCATTGGCTGGTTACAAACAGCTTTGGATATCCACACCACAGAATTACGTTGCTACACCAAAACAAAGCACCCGTTGGAAGGGATTCAGCAGCATTATAGAAATCTGGAGGCTCTGAGATCTCCAAATTAATCCCCTCCCGGGCATCTCGATCGATCTTCCTTCGTTGAATGAGCCGAAGATACTCTACGATCGTTATATCGAGGTTCGCAAAGAGTATGAACAGGGAGCGTCGATCTTCTAGGTACCGACTTCGCTGCGCAGCATGGGGCTGGCCTATGGGTATTCTTTATTGATTGTAGCAGTTTCTAATTAAGATATAAGGTTTCTATGTTTAACTGATGAATTTTGCTATGTTATCTTGCCCGCAGCCCGACCGTTCTTTAGGAGTCAACTTTTAGGTTTCGACTTGCTCTCGCCCTCGACTCACAGCCTTCTAGACATTTGCATGACGGCGGTTCATTATATTTAGATCCAATATCCGCCGTATTCACACGCGAAACACCTACAGGAATCCTTCCTCCTGGTCTTCCGGTTGCAGGTGCCAAAGCCTCGCCTTCACCTACGCTGACCTCTTCCGAGCCTAAGCCGTACATTCCTCCCCACCTTTGAACACCGCCAACACTCGCCCCTCCAGCAACACTCACTTCCATCAGCATCCTACCAGCACGTCAGACACGTAGCGTGGTGGTGCGTGATCTGCCAGCAGGCGATTAGACAAGCCAGCAATGGAATCATCGACTAAAATGCGTACTGCTTCCTATAGTCTCGATAGAAGATTGGCATAAGTACACTAACGTCGGCGCTGCTATACCCCGTTTCTCTCGGAATGACTTTGAAATTCACGGTAACACTTATAAAAAAAAACGACGGCTATGCAGATCTACTGGCCTCAGAGCAGGGTATTGGTGAGTATGCGGTCATCTTCCTTGAGGCATCGAATTTGAGGGGAGGTAGTCCATGCAACCGGTTCCTTCTTCTCTTCTTTCGTCCCAACCATTCGGTTCCAGATGTTTGCTGCCAGCAGCTCGTGAGATTTGAGAGACGGGTGGAAGCAATCGACATCGCTGAGCGCTGGGGAACCTCAGTACATGGTAAGAATTCAAACCCAGACATACCTTGGATAGGGTAGCCTCCTAGGGAAATGATTTCTGGTTGCCATACGACCGCACTGAAGAGGTTTCAATAACAATCTCCCGAGAGGACTGGGACATACAAGTCAGGGTAGCGTTGTTTCTGATAGTCAGTGGCGATGCGAATCAGGGCGTCGTTGTATTGGTCTTTGAGTTGGTCCATGAGTTTTCGTGTTGTCTCTCCAATATTACCATCAAGTAACGAGCACTGCAAGTCATCAGACGTAGACCGAGTTGCAAGAAAATTACGCACAGCGCATTCGATGTTCTTATGAGGCAGAGAAGTCAGGAGTTTGGAGCAATATGGTTGATTTTTTGTCAGCTACACGCTCCGTTAGCAGATGCACGCACGCAGCCATTATTAACTACCTCGAAAATGTCCGATACCTTGAATACAGCGAGCAAATTGACAAGTGAGTTTGCTAGGGGCGATTATATTTGGATAAACCGTTCTGGTTGTACTCACGTATGGCCTTGCGGATCATCTCTAGCGTCCTCCTAATGTTCCCTCAAAGTCGTCCACCGAACCTGGTCCAATACCAATAGTCGCCTGTGCGCATAGCCAGCACAGGTCATTGGATCCGATCTGAAGGTTGATGTACTTGAACTTTTTATTGGGTAAGTTCCATTTCTTGACTTGTGGAATGAGATAATCCTTGACTTCATGCGGGAGGTTACTGGCGAGTGCGCCAGTCTGCGCAGCGTTCAGCTGGTCGACAGCAGGGTTCCATCCTAATGATCCAGGAAGGCAAATTAATCCTTATACACAGTTAGTGGATCATTGAGTACGCGCAATGGCCGAGACGGACCGAAGCAAACTTCGGGGAAAATGTTGCTTCCTTTACTTCCGCCGGTAGCCTTTGGGTTATAGTGTCGGATAAGCTGGACAAAATAGCATTAGTGGATAGATTTGTGGAAGCGATCATGCCTACATTTGGGATAGTTAAAGCACCATCATCCATGCCGGCTGCATATGATTGACCTCTCCATTCGCTCAAGCTGAGAAATGGGTTGGCCTGTAGACCTCGGCTGAACGCTCCCGCGGTAATAGAGTCTCCAATAGCCAACGTATAGGCAAAATCGTCCGGCCGACTTCAAGGAAGGTCAGGTGGCACAGGGTGGAAAAAAATGTACACACAGATCATGCACACTCGTGGCTGGCGTACTTCTTGGCGGAAGAGTTGGGCATTCGGAAACCGAATGCACAAAGGTTGCATTTCCTCGACGCTCGATGGGCCTGGGAAGAGCCGGAAGAGGATTGGCAAGCACGTGATTCAGTAGAGAGGTGAAAATGAGGGTGCAGAAAGCGAGTGTCATCATTCTAGATAGCGGTCTAGCGACTGGAGAGGGGTGGGTTACTGAAGCCCGACTGGGTCCAGAGTAACGAGTGTGGGGCCCCACTCTCCTTTAAAGGATACGAAGCGGTCATTTGTCTCCAGATCCGGTGAGCAGGAACGCGCTGGTGCCGTGAGATGGTCGCACGAGGACGAGCTTGGACGCGAGGGTGAACGATTGAATCCAGCGCGACATTGCCCGATTCGATGTGGGAATTCAGGAAGGCATCCAGATAGACCATTTAGAGCCAGGACGCTGCATTGGTATGTGGCCCAGATATTTGTCAGGCAGGCGGCTGCTCGACGAGTGCCTGAGCTATTGCTATGTTGGTTGTTTGATTTGCGGGAGTGCTTACCTACAGACAGTCCGTCAATACCTGGATATCAAGGCACACTTGCCGAACTGTCTTACCTGAGAAGGAACCCGAACCGCCTCGCCTGCTGGCTGACGTGCCTTCAAGACGATTGTTGTGGTACATCACACTTGGATTGGTTCCAATGAGAATCAACGCTGCCGGTTACGGTCCCTGCCGGATCCGCCACTCTTGACGATGCCGACCGTGTGGACAGCAGCAGGCGGGGACAAAGGCGCTGTGGTGATCCATGTGGACAAAGAAGTCTCACAATTTGAGCTTTCTGGGACTTTCTGCTTCGGGAACGAGTCACTTGGCCACTTCGATATCAACTAAGTGCAAGGTGTCGGCAGTCGATCAAAGTGAAGTCATTTTGCGTGTATATCGATTGATAGCATCTATTTTCTGACCGAATAAACCGATTTTTGGTTGGATATGGCAGACAACAAGAACTAGCGCGGACTGGTCAAGTTCCAACTTTCGAGCAGGGCTTCAAAGCATCATGGAAGAAGGAGCCTGGTAATACATCAAAACTCGATTCAGGCTCAAAGACATGTACGTGACGGAGCCTGGCATAATCGACCTTGACTCTGAACCCGACCACTTATTACGCCAGATGGAACAAGACCATCCAACGACGTACAGTACACTCTCTATGTCTGCTAATGATGCTGTCACATCGGAAGGTGCAGTACTCATTCGCGAACTAATCGCAGCCGACGAGGCTTCCCTTGCTCGCCTTCAAATCTCGAAGCAGGCCACCGAGCAAGCGCTCCAAGCCGCGTCTACTACACTGAGAGCCAAGGAAATGGAGGCAATGAAGCAAACAGCCGACTACATGAAGCGATTGCTTTCGAGACAGAGATGGAAGGAGTCCTATGTACTCTGAACAAATTGGAGGTGCGCAAGGTGGGTTTTTGAACCGAAAATATTATCTTGGGGCGCATAATGACCCTCTTGTCTATAAAGGAATCGGAGATGTGGTCGGAGAAAGAACAAGTCATCACCGATTTTCAAAATTCTCTATCTCGAGTGAAATCAGTCGTTTTTCGCCAGCAAAGCAACAAAGAGGAAGCGGTATACGCCATCCAGGATGCTCAGGCCAGTTTGGACCACCTGGTCACTTCCCTTCACATGATTACCGGCCTCGTAGCGGAAGTCACCCACTCAGCCTCACAAAAGAAGCGTCGCTTACGGTCTTTCACTCGCATACCGACAGAGATCTGGCGAGAAATATTCCGGCAAGTTACAAGCCAGTTCGGGGAGAGCATTCCAAACCTGATAAATGAGGGTAACCTGCAAAGGGATCGTACCTGGAGTCACCCAGTCATACTTGGGTCCGTGTGTCGCTCCTGGCGTAGCATTGTCTCCCATGACTCCGAGGTTTGGAGGAATTTTGTCCTGCTGATAGACTCCGGGGGTCGATACTCGGAGAAGATATTCTATCATTATCTAAGGCAGGCTGGCAACCGATTCAAGGAGTTTGGTATCGCCTGCACTTTCGCAATCTCAACCGACATTCGCCATCGCGTTGGTATATTGCTCGAATCCATCGAACATATAGCAAAGCTGCATTATTCGGTCAACTCCATTGATAATCATCTTCTATGGCACCTACCACCTCTGACCGCTCTTCATATCCATGGCAATTATAACGGGGCATTGAGTTTGAAAGCCGGTGATACAATCAGCTACCTTGAGGTCGAACGTGTCAAAGCAGCTCTCTGTCAGCAGGTTCTGTCCAGATTGACCCATCTTTCTGTCACATCTCGAGTTGCAAGGCACCTCGATTCTCTGTCTGTTTTGCTCAGAGCGTCAGCGGCGTCGCTTCAAATACTCGAGCTCAACTCACCGCCGATCATTCGAACCCACTCCCGCTCCGTCGTCAGATTGCCGAGGTTGGATTTGATGCAAGCCTCGCTGTACAACTTTGTGGCGTATCTAGGGTCGCGATTTATTCTTTCCAGCATTCAAAGTCTCATAATTGTGCCGTTAGGAACCATCAGCTTCGGGTTCGGCGTCACGGTGGAACAGATACGAAGTAATCAAAATATTCCAACCCACCTGGAACGCCTCGTGCTATTGCATGGATACAGCGAGGGGGAGATCCACCTCATAATGGAGTATATGCGATATTGTACGAGTATCAAGACACTGGCTGTTAGTGGAGGCAGCGTAGAGCGTATACTAACGGCACTTGGAGACACTGCGGATGCTTTATCGATCATTATATCTTTGGAAATAACCTCATACGAAGGGACACTCGAAAACATAGAGCGCATTTTTGCGGCTGCCCCTCATTTATATGAAGAACGCAGACGCGAGGATGGCATGGACATTGAGGAGCCAAGAACCATTTCTCCCTTCTCCCAGCCCGCTCATATATCGTTCAATAACTGCCCTCTGATTACGCCGGAGATGGCGCAGAGGTTAAACAAGACCATGTGCCAAGTTGGAGATCAGGCGTAGTTGGTCCGTTCTTCGGCAGGAGAGAAATTGGAGTAATTCTAGGAGCAACAGGCGAGGGCACATAATAAATGATAGTTCATTGATAGAATCGTCTAATCTAGTTCGTGTACTCTGTCCTATTCGGGTAAGCTCAAGTTTAAGACTTTGAGTTCATAAATGCGTCAGGAATAGGCTTTGTGGAATAAATCATGCTTATAAAGGTGAACATAATACTCCAACGCGTCCGACCATTAGTTTGTGGCGGAACCTGGCGTCAACCCTACCACAACAGTACTGGATGGGAAGAGACAATGCAAATACAAACAACGCCGGTTCTCGAAGCGCTAATATGGCAGTTACGCCAGAAGAAGCACTTCTCATTCGCAAACTAATCGCAAACGATGATGCTTCACTTGCTCACCTTCAGGCATCCAAACCAACCGCCGAAGAGGCCATCCAGGCTGCGCAAATTTCACTGGAAGCTGCAGAAGTATCGGTTGCTGAAGCAAGGCTCGCTGTATAACTTTGTGAATTACTTTGGTTCGCGATTTGTATTTACCAGAATTCAGAGTGTCTCTATTGCACCTCTGGGAGCAGCCACCTTCCTGTCACAGTGGAGCAGGTACGAGATAATTAGTGTCTTCCAACCGACCTAGATCATCTGGAGCTTCACCCTAGCTACAAGGAGGAGGAACTTGACCTGATTTTGGAGTATATGCGATCCTGTACGGATATAAAGACCTTGCCCCTGGGTGGAGACACCGTGGAACGTGTAATGGCGGCACTTGGTGACCGTCCAGGGGCACTATTGAGCATCTCAGAGTTGAATGTCTTCTCATATGGAGTATCAATCGAAACTATCGAGCGTCACTTGACGACTGCGTGTAGAGTGGACCGAGACCGACGATATGAGGGAGATGGCATGGATATAGATACACCAAGTATCGATACAGCGAATATGGTGACTCCATTCTCCCAAATTACGTTAATCTCCTTCACCGATTGCCCTCTCATTACGCCGGAGATGGAGAAGACGCTCAGCGAAGTGCTTTGCTATTACACCGGATACTCAGTCGAGTCGGGTGTGATTCGTGAGTTCTTATTCGTCTATAGCCCGACTGAAGCTGACCTAATCCCAGAGACGACGTGAAGGAACACGTAGTGATGCTTTATTTCACAGAAAAACGCGTAACGAAGATCAACGAGGATCTTTTCTGTAAATAATGGTTCGTCCTCGGGTTGGATAACCGCTTATATGTCTATACCATGTACAAAATGGGGACATCGAGATATCAATTGATTCTCTCTTTGGCCCATTCCAAGAACTCGTCGATTGTCGAAGGCCATGCCGCTTTGAATGAATGAGCACGACAGCTGCCAGAAGGGGATGGAACCTCACCGTTCATATCATACTTTTCAAACTTGTCATCAATAGTGCGAATAAAGTCGAAGAACTGTGAGGGATGAGAGACGACCAACGATTGGAGGAAGTTCTGACCATTTGCCATGTATCCTTGCTCACACCCTTTCCCCCTTTCTCCGTCATAAATTGGAACCAGAGATCATTGTACTCTGGCTTCCATCCGGGTTCCCGACTTGGGGTATATATGACCTGTGCCGTGTCAAAACAGCCGGCAGTACGGTATCAAACACAAACCTCGTCACCATCGTACTTGGCGTCCACATGCTGCAATGCGCGTCCTTTCTGGCCAGCAGGGAGCAGGAGGCTCCAAAACGCAACTGCGTTCTCGATGGCTGCGTTATGTCAGCGAGATCGATATTATTAAGAAGTAAGAAACAAACCAATGCTCCTCTGGCCCGCCTCTGTCTTTGCAAAGTTGAACGTAAAGTCGTAGACTGAACGGAAATAGTCGGTGTCGTTGGAGAGCTTGGTCGAGAGTTGGGCGACAGCCGCCTTCATGCGAGGTATCGAGTCGCACCTATGATTTGAATGAGAAAAGACAGAGATCCAGACCACCGACGTACTCTAGTTTCTTCCAGCCATCGACCCATCCCTTGCGCGTCCACTCGCCCACGCTCGGAGACTGCAGCTCATACGCGACAGCGAGCATCACCACATCCTCGGGATCTACTCCGAGGTCGGCGCAAAACTTGATAGTGCCGTCGATGCTGATAGTATCCGAATCGGGATCTACAGAGTACGCATCAGTATCCAATGAAGTATTCATGACAAAACTGCACCTTTGTACCCATCAAACAAGGCGGCAATCTTCTTCGGATCAGCACTCTTGCTCGAGCTGCCCGCCGGCGGCGTGGGCGGTGGATTGGTGTAATAATTGTCAACAGCATGATCAAGCCGCCATTGATGTTTCTTCAGATACGATTGCGCATCTTTCAATCTAAATTATGTCAAAAGTGCGGAATGCGCAGAAGACTCAGCGTCTAGCGTGCAATTAGTGTGAGATGAAGATTGACGTACGACGCGCCGGTGATGGCGACAAACTCAGAAGATAAAGAATCTTGCTGAGATTTGGTAATCTTCGACTGAACGCGCCGTCAACGAAGAATGGCGGAATTTGTGTGGCGCGATGGGCCAGTATGGCGCGCAGTTTGACAATAATACGGATCCAATAGACACATAGGGACATGGTGGATGTAACAAGAGGAGCGATGTACGAGCAGAAGACTGTCATCAGCACAAGACGCCTCGAGCGAGCAATCAGGCGCCTACCATGGAGTCGGGAACGAGCTTCTTGAAAAGAGACAGCTTGGAAAACTTGTTATTGGTGAAGTTCTAGAGGGTTATTCTTGAATCGATCAAACGGTTCAAGTCAGAGTCTCGTCGGTGGCAGTCACCACTTGGCGCTCTTCAGACAGTATTTCGACTACATTATTTGATTCTCGATAAAATCAATACAAGTATAGCGTCTGTCAGATACCTAGTAAAGACATCCTGCTTGGAACCTCGGCAGTCACCTGAAATGATATCTAGTATACTCTCCCCCGACTCGTGATAACGAGTGGATCCTATACTCGTGGGTTCGAGAGATAGTAATCCGAAGTGATGGAGTGAACGGGGGTGTGCTCATTTGCAGCAGAGTCAACGTGAGCCTCTTGTATTATGAAACATTAATATAACAGTCTACACTAGTCAGCGACGTAGATGGTGAGAGAAATAGAGACTTACGTTGGTACTACAGCCCGCCTCCCAGGATCCTGCCATCGCCTTGCGTCCAATAACAGTCCTCGTGACGAGTCTCGTTTACCTTGATACATATCCATCTTCCAGAAGTCCTTTTATCCGATCCAGACACATCATCGACCGCAGAATCGACAGCGTAATGAAATATTCGCTTCACACCAGCCCACTTGCACCACTCTAGGCAGCGCCAGCAGGGCATCGCATTGCCAAGTGCCCCTGTACGAGTCAAGCGCACGACGTACAGGTCTGCGCCTGTCACTCGCGTGCGAGCGCCGTGTCGCTTGGCGCAGGAGGTACCGACGACCATCGGTGGAGCGGACCAGGCCTTTGTCGACTTTCCACCACGCTTCGATCCGGTCACCCCAGGGGATATCACTGGTGGAGTCAAGCTTGGCTTTTGAGCGTGCTTGCTCTCCTCCTCAGACGTAGATCCCGTTCGCTGATGCGAAACGAGCTTCTGCTTCCCATCGCCATGGTTCGCAACCTTTGCAGCTCGATCCCACTTCTCTTGCTGCCGTGCAATTTGATCCCTGTAGCGATATGTCGCATACCCAGGATAATTTGGACGACGTGGAAGCCGCTCGGGCCGCTCGCCATTGCTGTTCGAGATCTCTGCTGTTGTCTGGGACGGAACCGTAGCATGATGGTTCTGCTCGTGGTGGTGATGATGATGGTGACCTTGGTTTACGTTTGTGTTTGCCCGTTGAAAAGCACGACGCTGGCGGAGCGTTCCCGAGCGAAGAGGAAGCAGTTGCGCACGCCCCACTGGTAGAGCGGGAGTGAGAGGTAGAGGAAGCTGGTTGCGACACCGGCATTGGTTTCGATGGTTGTGCTGGTGTACCTTGTTTTGGTTGGCTCCCTTTCGATTGTTTCGACAAGACTGTTGGTGTAGAGGTCGATATTGGGCCGCGTTCATATTCTTCTTCTTCGTCTTTTTCAAAGAGGGTGGCGGAAGCACCGCCTGCGCCCGATACAAGGGCAGCGTTGCCCGCTTTAACGAATTGCGTCTTGAAGGAAGGAGCCGCACCCTGTGCGTCTCAAGGTGAGATAGATAAACTGGAATAGCGAAAAACTTACGACGGCGTTGTAAATCGCGTGCATCTCGGCGTGCATCGAGAGAGGCTTGCCGCCGCGTGCCTTGCTATCGTCGCCATCGTAATGCGTGCGATAATGATTATAGCCCGAAGATATAATCTTCCCACCCTTGACGAGAACAGCGCCAAGTGTAAAGCACATTGTGCTCTTCGACGCAGCGTCCTCACACTGGAAAATAGCGAATGACGAGACATAGGAACGTGATATTAGCATCCTTAAGTTCCAAAAGAGAGCATTATCGAACCTTCGAGAGATAAAACTGGTGCTTCGACATGTCTGCGACGATTAGCCTAAACTCCTCATGAATCAACGGCACAGGGCCACACTTACTTGGGTAACTGACTGTTACGGCAATTTTTTGAAATTTGAGCGATGTTTGTCGCGTTGTAGCTTGCGATGAGCAGACTTTGGAGCAATGACTTGGATCGTCGGTGACAAAAGCCGGCGTTTGTTTGGTCGCTGCCACCGAGAATACAACTTGATCTATAACTAATGTCTACAAGTCATACTATGATGTCTCCTGTGGGAGTAACGATTCCTGCTCTGGGGTATCCGTCTCCACAGGTATATACCTGTCCTCGTCACGGATGAGGAAGGTGATCAACACGACTACCAGCATTGCCAACTAGATAGATTCGTAAATATACCACGCTGGATCCTTAGGAAAAGGACACACCATCATGCTAAACCACAGCACGTGGGAGACTTGAGCATGATTCTGTCGAGTGTCAGAGGATTCACGGACGAACAAGGAGCTTACTTGGTTTGTATGGGACCAATAATCAAAGGGGATACAAGTCTGCCTATAGTCCCCACCATCTCAATGCCAGCGACGGCCTCGCCTGGACAAATGTGAGCAATCCACCCTGCATAGACACAGTCAGCTTACCTGACTGAATTGGGTTCACACTCGCTGCGGCAATAGACAATAGTGAAGGATGGGCGCCTCCGAACATGGTCAAGGTGACAGCAACTGGCGAGTCGTCAGCGTGGACAAGTACAGTCGACGAACATCCTCGTACCTGCTGCTATCTGGGCATTTGTCCGTGCAAGAGCGATAGTTCCGTAAAAGAGTGCGATGAAGAGGTAGCACCATCGGAGCAGATAAACGTCGAAATGCGCCGAAGAAAGCTCTGATTCGGGGTTAGACAGTACGTCTCCTTCAGGGAGCCTCGGATCTTGTTGCTGGATAGGTTCTCCGTTAATTTGCATGGGACTTCGCTCCTGTCGACGAGCGATAAAGCGTGCATATAGGACTCGACTCCATTTGGACAGCAGTGGGAAGACGATGATCATCCCGGTGAATTGCATTGCAGCAATCCACGTGAAAATGAACCCTTTCTACGATAGACCAGTCAGTAAGAACCAGCGACGGACTGGTAAAGGTTCACCTCTTCAATTGTCTTCTTGAGGACAAACGTAAACCATGCAATCAGCGCAGAGTTTATGTATCCGTTTGTGACGCTGGCCAAGAGGTAGGCAACTCCGAGGACCGTAAGGCGGTAGTTCCGGCTGCCATCCGGTTTACGAATCGGTTTGAGTCGTAAGACAGGATCGATGACGGCCTGAAGTGACTCGTAAGTCTTTCTGACGAGTCGTTTGGGGACCCTTGTTGCGTCTCCGGATTGCTCTTCCCATCGCTCCAAGCTGCGTTCACGGGCTTGCCGATGTCGGTCTCGTCGCTCCTCACGAGCAGCTTCCCGTTTCTCGCTACTAAACGTTTCCGGAACGACCAGAGGCGAAGATGCGTAGAGTAGCTGGGCGACTGCCAATCCAACGGCCGTAAAGCAGACAGCCGCTACTCCTCCTTTGCGATGTATATAACCCCCGATAGAGAAACTAGGTATTTCCCCTGCTACCATGGAGCCCATTATCACGGACACTTGGGACGCTCTGCTCAATTTTGTGAGCTTCTGGCAGATAAACGGAGCGAACTCACCTCGAACTAGGAGAAGCAGTATCAATGACCATCATATTGCTGATTAGTACGATTGCGAGAACATCAGCAAACGATCCCACGATGAGCCATATGGCGACCATCCCCAGGGCAGCGATGCTATTTGGAATGAATATAAATGCAGTAAAGCTTGAGATGGTGACGAGATTGGCGAGTACAAGTAGTAAAACGATGGGCCTTCGTCCCACTAAGGCTCCAAATTGGCCAATAAAGGATGTAACCATGAACGCTACAAAGCTTGTTAGTATTCCTAGTGTTTAGATATTGCGATGGAATTACCAGCTATGGCTACAAGTACGGCCCGAGTGCTCAGGAATGTGGATGAATACGTAAATGGACCAGAAGCCTTGCACATCTCGGTTGGAATCTCTCCAGTGGGTGGAATAGAGGCCGGATCATGTCTTTCGTACCACAAGACACACAGAATTCGGTCGATGACTTCGAGAATGGTCAACAAGGGAACTTCTATCGAAAGGGAGAACAAGGCGACGAGCGGCGCGAGTCGGATGAAGACTGGTATGTCCCTAATCCTTGATGAAATGCTTTTAGATTTCGTTGGGGGGCTTGCGTCGCGCCGTTCGCCTGCCACGCGCTGTCGACCTCGTTCAAGGAGTGGAGAGCGCTCATCTGCGGCAGGAGGAGGCTGAGAGGTCGACATGGTCGAATTCCAAGTATTCTACGATTTGTTGTTGGGTTTATGTACCTTATCCTGACCTCATTTACCGCGCGGTTCGGTCCATGTGCAACGGCGCTGCGGCCCAGTCCGTAGCTGCATGCGATTCGACAAGTTCTCGCAAGAGTGTAATGCAATTCTCCCGAGAATCTAAAGAGGGGACACGCCCACAGAGGAGTTGGACGCCCCTCAATATCCGTCAAAGGCGTAAAGGTGGCATTCGTTTCTTGGATATTTATAGTATACGTATTGTGATTTACTCTGGTATTTTAAAGCCTTGTCCAGGCAAATGGCAGGTGGGAGTCGAATTTTGGACTGATTTCTCGCTGGTCCCGTGAGGTCAGGTGACCCCCGGGCTACGAGACTGATTCTGCTCGTCCATTATCGCTGTGAACTCTCTCTTGTGCTCCTTTCAAGCCTTTTAATCCTCTAATTTTCCCCTTTATCGTCCATCAAGCGACCCATCTGCCCAAAGGGCGTTTACTCCGAGCCATCTCACATCCCTGTGAGTAATATCATGCTAAATCGCCAGATAAGGACGCATAATCTAATACCTAGCTCTCTTAGCTGATAAATCATGTCAGCCTCCGAAGAGAGTGGGGCGGGCTCAGACTTTGAGCCAGAACGGGACCAAGATGACTCTCCAGATACTTCCCCTCAAAGACCGGTGCAACCTCCGAGACTAAATACGCCACCTTCTCGAAATTACCCAAAGCGAGGTCGGCCAAAGAAGGGGGCAATGGCAGAACCGGAAACACCAGAGTCTCCTAGACGTTCTCATGCATCTCAGGACCAAGATGCATCACCAGCAGCTACAAACAAGGACGTACCACCGTCGCCAGCAAACTCGCAACCTATCCACGCCGCGTTGCAACAACCTCCACCTGGGTTCATCTTGCCAGCAGTCGGCCCAGGCGGTATCCCAATCATCTTACCTACAGCACAAAACGGAACGCTGAGTGGCAACGAACGGGCGCACCTGTATACACTCCTGAAGCAGTTGCCTATTGGCTTCCCGGCGAGAGTATGTCCACTTGTTTTCAATTGAAGTGTATTGTTCATGTTCATGATATCAAATTTTAGGCTGATGGACAATCGGGTACCACCCCTGCCGCCCTCCCGTTTCCGTTCCCCATGTGCGTCTCGCTCGACAGCTGTTCATTTGCGCCTCGTCTGATGTGCCTTCAATCCATAGGCACCCTGGTCTCCTCGCAGCCGCTAATATAGCAGATGGCCCTCTTCCATCTGCCCATGATGCAGAGGCCCCTCCTGAAGGCGATTCGCCAGGCCGCGGCAGCACCTTTGGATCCCCACACAAACCACGCCCCGAGCCAGGGTCGTCTGAATGGGCACGGCAACGTAAAGACAATCACAAGGAAGTCGAGCGACGGCGACGCGGAAACATCAACGAAGGGATCAACGAGCTCGCACGCCTCATCCCTGCTGGACACGGAGAAAAGGCCAAAGGCGCAGTTCTTCAACGAGCGGTGGCGTACGTCAAAGATCTGCAGGAGAAGGAGCAGAAGAATATTGAACGCTGGACGATGGAAAAGCTGACGCATGAGCAAGTTGTCGCCGAGTGGGCGTCGCGGTACAAGGCCACTGCGGAAGATTTGGAAAAGGAAAAGAAGAAGACTTCGAGACTCGAAGCGGAAGTCATAAGACTGAAAGCGCATCTTGGCGAACGGGAGGAAGATGAATTGGCCGGTGATGAAGAAGAGGAGGATGACGAGGAGGAAATCGACCTCGAACGACCGGCAAAGAGAATGCGTGTGGCATAAAGGGTGCGCTTCATCTATGCCATTGATTTTTCCGTTTTGTCCTTTGTACTCGAACTTTTTCTTCTAGACACGCTTCTGACCTTCTGTATGTGTTCTTAGCTTGCCATAGCATCCGAGTCTGCCCTCTGCTCGCTACCGTTCCATCGGCAATAACCTCAGGTTGGAACAACCGGATGAATTTCACGTTGATGGGTATACGCAGATGTAAGTGATCTGCGGCTTCCGAGCTGTCGAGTGTGGGGTGGAGTTGATGGCGGAACTTGGTTCCGACGGCATTATCCAATCGCCAACCACCGACGACGGCCTCGTTCATCAGCCAGCATCCGGCCTCAAATCCCAATTTGTATTCCATACGGCATCGGCTCTTGAGCTTACCGAACTTGACCAAGATATCTCAACATGTGTACAACCTGTGGCCGATGCCAGATCATCAGCAGATGACCACTGTTTACTCTATGCGACTTCGAGTCTTCGAATATGACATCTGAGACCAATAGTGGTGCGGCCAAGTCACTGTATCATCTGCTTCGGTAGCGCGTGAGCGCGTATAGACACCTTACCAAGTGTAAAGTAGTAGATATGCTCCGCTTCGCAATCGGGTGCAGAGAACTGGAGGCCTTGGGAATCGTCTGAGCGGTCCGCTGACGGACAAGGTGAGTTCGAGAAGTTGAGCCGTAGCATGCAAGACATGATCAATGAGCAGGAAGACACGCTCAAGTGACCGTTTGCATCCGCCCCGTTCGAGCACTTGGTTCGCATAAAGGTCGTACATGGTGGAAGCTCAGTCGAGCGGAGGACCCAGTTTCCCCTACTCGTTGTTGATTCAGATCAGGATGGTCTCACTCACTACTTCACTCGCTCTCTTCAGCACACTACTCCTTACACCAACCACACTCTCTGCACCCCTCGATCTGGAAAGGCGAGACGGTGCTGTCTACGCTAGCACCATCTCATCTTGCCCAGCTATACCGGCTCGTACAGCTCCACCGAGCAGCGTTCACGATCTGTAGGTCGCTGTGTTGGAGAGCGAGTGCAAGAGTTAACAATCTCTATCCCCAGTCGCCCGGATGACTTTTCGTATACCATGGCACTGGGTGACTCTATCACCGCTGGATGCTTTAGTCGAGGTATCCAGAACAATGTTCTCACTAGCTTTGGCGAGTGGCGCGGCGAGTCGTATGCAAATGGCATGGACCCTGGCGCCATAACCCTTCCAAACGTACTTGCACCACCAACTCCTCGACTCGAAGCTGATAGATCTGGCTTAGATCATGAAGCGGTACAATCCCTCTCTCAGTGGAGGCAGCCTAGGCTCGAATCCGATCCCGGAACTTTGCTACGGTACGTCAACCGTACCTTGTCACTCGAATATGAACCTCGCAAATAGGTGCTCTTTGTCCAATTGGTCCAATTGGATGGAACTCCAAGGTGGATCAGCTTAATGCCGCTCAATCTGGCGCAATGGCGACCAATATTCCACACGAGGTCAACGACTATCTCATCCCTCAAATCCGAGCACGCAAGATTCCCTCGACGGCGTTCAAATACCTGAATCTTCAAATTGGCTCCAACGATCTTTGCGGAATGTGCCACCAGGCCATCGTGGGCTTTGGTCCTTCATCCCCAGATGAGTTTGAGAGCAGCATTCGCAAGGCTCTTGAAGCGGTAAGAAAGAATATACGTGAATTGACTCGCCCTTTGTCCAAGAATAATGCTAATGTTGGATAGCTAACACTGTGGTCAACGTCGTGGGAGTTTTCAAGGTTTCAGATGTCTACTCGGTACGCTTGATCTTTGGACTAGGTATGAATCTCATGTCCGTAGATGACTCTCAACCAGCCATACTGTTCCCAACTACTTCCAGTTCCTCACGTGAATCTCGAGTGCCCAGTATGTCCTACTCTATTACTTACTCTATAGCCTGATCGTATTTCTCAGTGTATGCTTCTGGGTGGAAAAGTCGGCGCTGCTACTCGCGCTCTCATGGACTCGCTGATGAACCAGTACAACGAGCGGCTAATCAAGATTGTCAAAGAATATCAAACAAAGCGCTACTCCGACTTGTCCGTTCCTTCTGCTCGGGTTTAACTTGACGAACCCTCTGACGCTCCTGTAGCGCCGTACTCTGGCAACCTCCCAACATTCCACTAAGCACGTTCCCAGTCCATGGTATGTTATGCTTTCCCCCTTTCTTGTGCGTTAGTTTGAGTCGGTCAATAGCGTTGTCTAGCGTGGACTGCTTTCACCCCTCGATCAAGACGCACCAGCTGATGGCCGCAGAACTCTGGAATCGCCTCGTTGGGAACGCCACAGAGCGTGCTGTTCCTCTCGCTTGGTCGGAAAGCCTGCAGTTTAGATGCTTGCAAGAGGCCGATCGGATCCACACTGATACCCTGATCTGAGGCGGTTTTCTCCGGTCTGAATGGGGGCTTTATTGAAATTTCTTTCGAGCTCAGATCTGATGAGCTCGCGGCTCATTTAGCCACTGTTTGATTGATTGCAAACAATAGCCAAGCTGCTTTGTCTATTGCTATTCTTTGACCTTTCTTCGGTGTATGACGATATTTTGCTATATCTGACGAAATTTGACGCCTTGCGGCAACAACCTGCCTTCCACCACGTTTGCCTTGCGAGCGGGATGAGCAACGAATATCGTCTTCCAGTGGAGCTCTGGCAAACAGTCCTACGATATTCCATTCACGTTCCACTTTTCTTCGAAATCGACCCGGCGGAAAAGTATGGATTAGCCGGCCTCCAACGTTACAGGGATCCCAGAGGATATTGGGATGCAGAGAGGGTCAGGAATAGCCTAATGCGCGTCTGTCAATCGTGGGCTCTATATCTTCGCCAATTTGCGCATCGATACGTCGAGCTCTCGGACGTTTTGCATGAGAGGGTTCCTGTGGATGCCCTCTCCACTGCCTATAGAATATTATGGGAGGTGCATGGTTGCACATGCGGCTTTAGCTCGACAAAGTACGAGGTCACTCGTAATAGGCTTTCGGCTCTGAGTGACGTTGGTGTGTGGAAGGCAGAGATACTGGAGGCCAAAGGAATACCCTGGAGAAAACTTCTCAACGAGGTCACTACAGGCAATCAGTTGAGAGGTGTACGAGTTCTGCTCCCCGAACAGGACCCTGGCAAACCTTTCACACACTTGGACGGGCTTGTCGTCAGCATCGAACATATGGGACCCCTCTCGAACATGCAATATGTCACCACTCTTAATCTCGGAGTTGTATGGAAGCTTGAGCCCCTGAAAATGCCAAATCTGCGGCACCTTGCCCTTGTAACTGGGCTCGGTGTAGCTTTTGATTTGGTCTCGTGGCTAGGTGATATAGGCCACCAACTAGTGACCTTGTGGTGGGATTCATGGCTTAAACATGGTTTCTTGAGCCTCAACCCGACGATCTGGGAGATATGTCCCCGTATCACCTCCCTCTCACTTCCGGCCAAAGTCCCTTGGACTCAGCCTCCTCTACATCACCCTATCACTACACTTGCGATAAAAGTCGGCAGGAATCAAACAGCATCTAGCTACTTTTGCGCTGTTTGCCAACAAGGCCACACTAGTTGGTGCATTCAGCCATGGTTGGCTGAGATCACGAGATCTAGAATCTCAACCATCGTTCATCCTTGGCGGTGGGAGACGCGTTTCCCATGCTGGCTGGAAGGGCGGGAATTAGAGACGCATTGTATGTTAATGACGCTGGTGTTGCTTGGATTCCGGGTCTTGGATTTCAACTGGATGTCACTGGATGAGTATATCGTTCAGAGACTCGAGGTTGCACGGGGCAAGAGGAAGAGCCCCGCCCGAAACTATACTCCAATATTCAGTTGAAATGTTCATGATTTCGTCTTTGTTAATACCAAATTCACGATGGTCCTGTAGCCTCGTATTGTCATCATCTAATTCCTATGCATAAGTACTTCTCATTCCGTCTCTCAACTGACGAACTTGAGAAAAATTGGAGCATAACAGGCTTACGATCCTTTATGTATGGCCTTCTCATGCCGGCTTGATTATCACCACTTGTATTTGGTCGCAATGTCCTTCCTTGCTCCATCTTAACCATTTCACAGAAACCTGGTCGTTGGTCCTCCTAGTTATTAGCATGGCTAGTTTATTTCTTATTCACGCTCACGTTGACGACTCTCGCCGGTGGCAGTGCTGCCCTCATTCGTTGTCCGAATAAGCCAAATCTAGTTAAATGCATTTATGGTTGGGTCTCTTGCCTTCTTAGTTCCTCTATCCACTCTCAAGAGTGGAATCACATGTCCCCCGCACCCGCTCCCATCGGAATGCGGGGTTGATCTACTTCTTGCTTCTGACCACGGCCGCGGGGTCTAGTGAAGACAGCCTCTCGTATCCATATGCCAATCAGCGACTTCTTTCCGATCCTTGAATAGGATTCGGGCTCGGTCCACGAGATTTACCGGATTCATGCACCGTCTGAGCGCTCCTTCCATATTTTGCAACATATGCACCACGGCGGCCCGACGATTGATCATCAGCAGATGACCAGCCTTAATTGTCATCCAATCTCTTCTGAGCTACCTTATCTTGACGGAACACGTACATTGCCATCCCAAAAACTCCCAAGTGGATGGCAAATTGCTCAACAGCGACTATCAGAGCTGACCCAGAGCTCGAGTATGGTGTATTCGTACTCTTAGAGGTCTATATGGCATGATTCTGGCGATGGGAAACCCGCGAGAAGATCCATCAACAAGGCAGCCGCGGCGAATCACCTAGCAGTCCTCTTCAAATCACCCTCCCGCCACTTTAGTTGAGCAGCCAACCACGTCCTCTTACGATGTCTCCGAAACTCTTCATATTCGAGGATGAATGCTCAAGTGACCTATCTCTCAAGGAAAACAGCCGCTTCAGCTCCGGGATCGGTCAACATCTTCCCAGCCGGACGAGCAGTATAAAAACTATGAGATGGAACCGAAGTATCCTCTAGTCTTTTGGAGACACAGCTCTGCCGACTTTCGAGATGGCTCCTCTCTTTCTCCCTCTCACTCTCTTGGTCACATTGCTCCTTACCCGCATCACTTCTTCGGCGCCTCTCGACGTCGTCGAAGATGTATCGAAGCGTGCTGATGCTGTATATGCCAACTCTATCTCGTCCTGTCCTGCAGTAGCTGCACGTTCGTCTCCTCCGACGAGCGTCCATGATCTGTATGTCTTTCTCCACGTGATCTTGATTATCACTGACAGTCTATTCGTAGTCGTCCTGATGACTTTTCCTATACGATGGCTCTTGGCGACTCTATCACCGCGAGTGCCTTTAGTCGTGGAATCCAGAACAATACTCTCCTTAGTTTCAGCGAATGGCGTGGAGAGTCATACGCTGCTGGAATGGACGCTGGAGCTATTACGATCCCCAATGTTTGTCTTCATCGTCTGCTGAGGCTTCCTTCCCGTTGACTCTACTATCTAGCTTATCAAGAACTACAAGCCTTCGCTCACAGGAGGTAGTCTTGGCTCTAACCCTACGATCGAACTGTGCTTTGGTATGTCTCTGGAACAAGTCGGATACCTACTAACCCACCTTCAGGACCTCTCTGCCCCATCGGTCCCTTTGGATGGAACTCTCGGGTTGATCAGCTTAATGCAGCCCAATCTGGCGCTTTGGCAACAAATCTCTACCACGAGGTCAACGACTACCTCATCCCACAAGTCAAGGCGCGCAATATCCCTGCGAGCGCATACAAGTACCTCAACCTCCAGATTGGCTCCAACGACATTTGCTCCATGTGCTTCCAATCCGTCCTAGGATTCGGACCAGCATCGCCGGATGACTTTGAGGCGAGCATTCGCAAGACTCTCGAGGCCGTCCGAAATGGAATTCGTAAGCTTTTGATAGTAAAGATTGATATATTATAGACCAAATTCATCAGCCAACACCGTCGTCAATGTCATTGGGGTGTTTAAAGTCTCCGACGTGTACACGGTACGCCAATCTCTCACTCAAGATCATCCCGTCATCCCTAATCCCTTACCAGATGACGTTAAACCAACCATACTGTTCTCAACTGCTCCTATTCCACATGCAAACATTGAGTGCCCAGTAAGTATCCTCTGTATCGAGAGTGCGATCCAAGTTCTAATGTACCGAAAGTGCATGCTTCTCGGTGGTTCAGTTGGGGACACCACTCGAGCCCTCATGGACAAACTGATGAACCAGTACAATGAACGACTGGTCAAAATCGTCAAAGAGTACCAACAAAAGCGCTACTCCAATTTGTGCGTTTTATTTACTGCCCCGAGGGTTTCTCACAGTCTTCTCTAGCGCCGTTCTCTGGCAACCACCCAACATTCCTCTCGCTTCCTACCCTGTTCAAGGTACGTACGTTTCAACTTTTCGGAGACGTGTGCTTATCATGGCATAGCTCTTTCCAGCGTCGATTGTTTCCACCCGTCCACCAAGACGCATCGATTTATCGCCACGCAAGTCTGGAATCGTCTTGTCGGAACTGCAGACGAGCGCGCGGCGACGTTTACGTGGAGCGAGGCGCTCTCTTTCCGATGCCTGCAAGAGAGTGATCGTATCCGTACAGACACTCTCCTGTAGAAGGCAACCAAAGAGCGAAATACAACGGTGATATAGTGCACCAAATGTAAAATAAAGTTCAAAGCGATCAATTGTTCAATATAGCGCAAGTATCTACATTCGAAGTTATCGAACCTCTCTTTATGCGTCACTTTCTAGGCATTTGTCGTCCCTTGCCACCACATAATGCGGCCATCGTCCTGAATATCTCGAGATTCGAATCCAAAAGACGAATTCCATGATCATAGGCCTGTTTCAAAAGACAATTCGTGTCATCTTTCAGCCACAGCCGAGAGGCAAGGTCGGATATCTGTTTATCGCCATCCTTTGGAGAAAGAATGACGGTGCGAATCCCCGATGCGGCATAGCTCGCAAATGATATGCTTGGTATGGTGATAATATCGTGATGTGAACTACACTGATGACACACCAGCCCAGGGCATTTGGTGAACGAAGGGGTGTCGACAATAGTATGAATTGGGTGTCCTTTTGGTGGGGGTGTCCAGGCTACTCTTGGAGGTATTGAGAGCACCTCCACAAGTGGACACAGATCCCAGATGGTGGAGTTCAGCACGATCTTTGGGCCGCTTGTGAACCTTGTGAGCCAGTAGAGCACATGAAGTTGCTTTCCAAAAGCCTTCAGCCATGCAGGAGCCCTATTCAGGTCGGGGACCACTAGAGCGGTGACATAGAGGTGACGGAGTGCTGGAAAGTCGGGTAGAGCAATGTCAGCGTGGCTTGCAGTAGTAAATGCTAAAGTGATGACATTTCTAAAGTGCTTGTTGGGAATCGCGCCCCATGTGAACAGCTGGCGCTGGGTAGTCCATAGAAGGCCAGGGGCCACTTCAACCCCTTTGGTGATTAAAAACAAGAGAGTATCATACGAACTTCCTGTGATGGACTTGATGTTAATATGTCGATTGCTTGGAAGTATAATTCGAGCGGACATAGCAAAGTCCGAGGTAGTCTCCATTATCTCCAACCTCCACGGGAGTGCTCGACCATTTTCGAAGATGCCTAGGTCGCTCCTTTCCACTAAAAGAGATATTTCGCGTCTCACACGCTTCTCACTTATAGGTACGTCTTCAAATCTGATGCGTATTGCGCGCTGTAAAGCCTGGACTGGGACGATTCCGTGAATAACGTCTGCCATATGGATATATCTATGATCAAAGGCGCTGAGAAATGCGTTCCAGGATGCACAAACGCGCCGCAAAGCATTGCGGACACGTTCAGATTCCCAATAGGCGCGCTCATTGAAAAGTCGGGGGTACTTGGGTGCTGTCTGGATTGTGATTGGATTACTATCGAGGAATACGGGGACATGTATTGCATTCTCTAGGATCTGCTCCCACAGTTCGACGGGTAAATCCACGTGACGCGGCATCATATTCACTATTTTAGGATATCAGCGTCTTTGGTGTTTTTTTAGTGAGAGAAGGCGATGAAATGCGGGTCAAGGTCAGTGCCAGCGTTGGAGTCGGTCTTGTTCCTCGGGTGGTATTCGCTGTTGTCGGTGATAAATGAACTGGAATCGCCCGAATACACCGTAGACCGACGTATTTGGTAAGCTGGGCGATGGCGGGCATGGCGGGTTGAAAAATGACGGCCATGTCGGGCGTGGCGACGACATCAACCTTGGACTCTTCCCCTCCCGCCGCTGTGCTCATACTCGCTGGTAGACCCAGCTATCCACTCTGTATCATCATGAAGTGCGTAGATGCTTGTTGAGAAATGCTCGCTGACCATAGAGTGACAGTAGACTCAGCGCATATGGCACTCCAGGCATCCGTCTCATCATCTCCTTTCTCATCAAAGTTTCTCTACCTTCCCACCTACTTTACAGAGCAGTAGAACACTGTTTTCCACGAATAGACGTCCATTTGGGATGGGGCTGCTACACCGTCCTTGGATCTCTGCTCGTTCTAATGCTACACATCCTCTACACCCACATTCTATCCCTTTACTACATTTACCGTGCCCGACAACTCAACGCCCAGCTCCTCCCTGCCGTCAGTGGACGATGGCCAGGCAACTTCGACCTCTTGCGACAGTGGCTCGGGATATGGAAGAGCGGATACCCAGGTGATATTGCTGGACGGATCATGAACCAACTGGGCGTCGAGTCGTATGGCGTCAAGCTTTTCTGGCATAATACCGCATTCACCGCAGACCCCGCGATCATCCGAGAAATCCTTACGACGGATCACGCAAACTATATCAAAGGTACATCTCATTTTCCACTCCTCTTCCCCATTTCTAACTGGGTCCTTATTATTAGGAGCTCAGGTCACCAGCGCGATGCACTCTGTCCTCGGTTCGGGTGTCTTTAACACAAACGGCGACCTCTGGCGATTCCACAGAAGCATGTCACGTCCATTCTTTACCCGAGACAAGTTGACGCGTATCGTACCAACCTTTGTGCGTCACGCGGACAAGGCCCTCGACCTCTTTGACAAGGCGAGTTTGCACGCGTCGGTCGACATTCAAGACCTCGCCTCGAAATTCACTTTGGATGCCGCAACGGAATTTCTATTCGGTACCTGCGTACACAGCTTGGACGCGGCCCTCCCGTCTCCCATCACGACTCCGTCTCCATCTCCGTCGTCGTCGAATGTGGCCTCTTCAAAGGGCAAGTCGTCGGAAACCATTCTCCCGCTCAGCAACGGTACCAACACACTAGATAATATCTCTCACGATCATCAAACGGGCAAATCATTTCCAACCGCCTTTACGTCGGCACTCTATACCATTGCATCCCGTTTACGCTCTGGTAGTCTTTGGCCGCTGCTTGAGATTACCAAGGATTCGACAAAGCAGGATGTGATTGTCATTCGGCGGTTTGTCAGGGGGATCGTCGAAAAGGCGCTGGCAAGGCGAGATGCCAAGGCTCGAAAGGAGTTTGTATTTGGAACCGGGCCCAGCGACTTTGCTTCGTCGGATGAGAGGACGGGAGAGGATGTCGAGACCCTGTTGGATCACTTGGTTACCGTCTCGGATGGTGCGTATCGCTTTAAGAAAACTTCTCCAGCTAACTTGGTTTCTAGATATTGAACTCATCCAAGACGAGTTGATCAACATTCTGATCGCGGGTCGCGACACCACGGCGTCATCCATCACCTTTGCGACATATTTGCTCTCGCAACACCCAGAAGTGTTAGAAAAGCTGGCCAAGGAAGTATCAGACATACTTGGGTCGACCTCTTGCAACGAGCCCACACTCGACTCGCTCCGCCGTATGCCATACCTCCGCGCAGTTATCAACGAGACACTACGACTCTTCCCAGCCATTCCCCTCAATCTACGTGATTCGATCCACGAACGAGTTTGGACAGATTCAAATGGCCAACGATTCTATGTCCCGCCTGGCACGAGCATCACCTACTCCATCTTCCATCTCCATCGTTCGCCCAACCTGTGGGGTCCAGACGCAAATGTGTTTCGACCCGAGCGGTTCATGGAACAAGTGAGGGGCAAGGATCTCAAGGAGAGTAAGGACGGCGAGAGGAAGCTGTTTGCCTTTTTGCCGTTTAATGCTGGACCCAGGAGCTGCCTTGGACAACAGCTCGCATATGCTGAACTTGGCGTCTTTCTCACTCGATTCGTCCAACGGCTTTCCTCGACATCGGTACGCTCGACGCCTCCGACCTCGTCGTCGTCCGCTTCTTCCATCCCGACTCCGTCCGCACTGTCCATCAATACCAACACCGTTTCCAAGAGGATACTGGTTCTCGATGAGGCGGCTATCCCACCGTCTGCACGACCGCCGGCAATATGGAGACAAGAAACATCGTCGTCTGTCCCGGAAAAGTCCAGCGCGGACGTGCTTCCACTTCATGTAGCGAGAGAGCAAGGATTAGGACGCGTCGATCCGAGAAACGTACCCTCGTCGACACCGACTGGGGTCAGCCCGCGACGGGCTGTTGAACGTATATGGCCCAAGAGCCATTTGAGCATGTTTGTCGAAGGGGGTGTTTGGTTGACCACACGTGTGGTTGGATGAGAAGCGAGTTGAGCTCGTTTTGTACTTATTCTCGTATTTACGCGTACTGTATACTATAAGACCTATAGAGGTGCTCTTGGAGCTGGATCACTATTACATGAGCTCAAAGGCTTAGCTGAATACCAATGGGCGACAACTTGATGGAACACAAATAGAGTTGATACACCAAAACGAGTACAATGAGAGAAGCTAAAAGGCAAAGAATTTCTTGTCATAGCCACGGACACCCCGACGTATTGTCTCCAGTTGAGACACCCAGTAGTCCACTACCGTCAGACGGTTTCTGTCTACGAGTGAGATTCCATGTACACGTAATATTGCTGCGACACATGGTATGTTGGTATATCGAAAAACAATATTCCAGGCATGGAGAAGGGCAACTGTGGGGATACCTGCATCGAGGAGGTCCTGAACGGGGGGATCCATAATGTACGGATGCGCCCTCCCACAATATGCACAAGGTTGTCTTTTGGCGTTAGGATGAAGATGACCAGAGCAAAGATCCTTGATAGGATGGTTTAGTGGGGGAGCTGTCCATTTGGACCTTATGCGCAAATGTAAGGTGGTCAACTCCGGACAGAAAGTCCATATAGAATGATATATGTCGTACAACGCATTAAGGCCACCTGAGATAGAAAGTGTAAGTAACCTGGAACCATGATCTTGAAGCCATTCCACAAATTCTGGTGATGTCCTTGGGCTCAGGTAGATAGAGAGATGGCGTAGCTGAGGCAAAAAATGGGAGAAGAATCGCGTCATGTTAGCAACGTGCAAGGTTGTAATGTTGCTTGAATGTTGTAGCATATCATCGCGAACGCCACAGTAGAACCGCAAGTTACAGAGTTGTTCGAGTTTGGGGAACTGGTACCCGCTACGTACAACGGCACTCAAATTGGCGAGACGATTATCCTGGCAAAGGTAGTCGATGAAGTTTTCGCAATCAATTTCTATCTCTACTATCTCCAGGTTCCAGACTATTTCCTTTCCATCAGATTGGTGAATAGGTATATTCCATTCCTGATTGATGTCAACACGCCAGCATGCCACGCAAGCGCCAGTCTCGCAATCTCCGGCGTAAATACGATATGCACGGCAGAGCGATTCGACTGGAACAAATCCATGGAAGACGTCGGCAAGGCGGACAAATCTATGTTGAAAACGACGTAGGTAAACGTTCCACGCGAAGCAAACGCGCTGTAATGCGTTTTTATCTCGCTCAGTATCCCAGTATTGGCGATCGTCGCAGTACTTTGGGATTGCCTCTGCTCCATGGACCGTCGCAGGGTCGATCTCGAGGAAGATGGGAACGTATATAGCGAAGCGCAGGATTTTCTGCCAGATCTCCGTCGGAATACGGTCGCTTGGTGCAGATGACATTGTGGCGAGCAGTCAAGATGTCAAACCACCCGCGACCGTGCCCAGATCCAAATTCGAGGCTGGCCATACTTCATTTCTGAGGGTAGTGAGTGGGCTTACGCCACATGCTTGCTGCTTCTGATAGGAATACGCTGTCTCATACGTTTCGAGTAAGGAGGTTTGTCTGAGAACATAGACTGACTGAATATTCTCAATCAAAACCAAACTCCACACTCTTCCTGATACATTTCTCAGTAGGAATGCATGCCATCAACTAGGTCTAGTAAGATGAGTCGGTGTACCTTGTCCTGCGATCTGAGGCATATATAAAATAACTACCAAAGAGCTTGTATTGATGTCATTCAAGGAGGCAGAGGAGCTACTAGAGCCTAAAAATCGGGTGAAAGTTTGAATGTTGGGCCACATCGAAGCACTATCTTCAGCTTTGCTGTGTTGATTGCACTAGTGTCTCGGAACTAGGATCCCGCTTACTTATCACTCACCAACATCCTTCGCCCAACTTCAGTGACAAGTTCCGGTTAAACGTACATGCAACACTAGAAATAACCAAGGGGATTTGTATAAGGACGGACGCCACGGCGGACTATCTCTAGTTCGGACACCAAGTAATCTTCCATCGTCAAGTGGTCCCTGTCCACAAGTAGGATGTCATGTCCACGAAGCTCTGCTACGAGGCAAAATATATTAGTTTGAACATAGTAACCCCTGAAGGCCCAAGTCCACGTGTCATGAAAAGCCGGTCGAGATATACCTGCATCGATAATATCTTGAACGGACATTCCCAGGAACTCCAACATTCCTGGGTGGGCTCTTCCACAATAGGAACAAAGGATCTCTCCTTCGATGTTGATACGGAGGGAAAGAACGAGGCGAAGGTATGTGATAGGATGATTGGGAGGTGGTTTTGTCCACTTGAACGATGGTGGCAGTTGTAAGGCGGTCACCTCTGGACAGACGATCCATATCGAGGGATCTATGTCGCACTTGGACATAAAGTTGCGACAGAAAAGTGATCGCAACTTATACTCGTACTATCGAAGCCATTCCACAAAAAGTGGGAAAGACGCTACGTCGATCGAAATTGAGAGATGGCAGAGTTGTGGCAAGGAATGGGAAAGCCATTCGGCGGAACGAGCATGCAACGTCGTCATATTACCCAGACATTGTAGCTTGCTGCTATGTGTGCCGCAATAGAATCGCAAATCGCTGATTGATTCCAGTTTGGTGCTCAATTGATGACCACGGCGTACAATAGCGCCGACGTTGGCGAGACGGTCATCCTGGGAAATATATTCGATAAAAGCTCCCGATTTTTCATCCCACTGGACGTCAATCTCCAAGATCTCTAGGTTCCAGGGCTTCCTACAATCGGGCAGAGGAGCAACCGCAGCCCATGCGTCTCCAAAATCCACCCCTTTACATATTTTACACACCTTCCTATCGCATGAGCCGGCGTAAATACGGTACGCGCGGTGCAGCGACTCCGGTTGAACGAGGCCGTGGAGAATATCTGAGATGCAGACTAATCTGTATTCAAAACTGCGCAGATAGGTATCCCAAGAGAAGCACACATGCTGTAAGGTGTTCCTTTCCTTCTCAGTTTCCCAATACCGGCGGGCATCGCAATAGCTTGGCAATGCCTCAGCTCCGTAGACTGTTGTGGGGTCTTCCTCAAAGAAAATAGGGACATAAAGGGCAAACGTAGAACCTTCTGCCAGATTTCTGTCGGAATCAGGCCACTTGGCGTTGACGACATTGCGGTGAGGATCAAGTTGTAGTATGGGTCAAGCCAGTCTCTCATCAAGGGTCTTCCAAGTTCCCAGTTAGGTGATGGTTAGCGGTGAGCACCTCACTGTCTATCGTGTAAACGAGGTTCTGTTGCGCACTTTATACGCACGTGAGTACAATATGACATAGATAAAGAATGAACCAAAAGATATCGTATGCTATACCATTGGCTTGTATATGCATGCAAGAACTTCACAAGATATGAAGACTAGCTGCTTCGCTTCGAAGTCGATCCAAGATACATTCTATTGACTATCTAGAAACAATAAGTATTAAAAGGTTAGAAACCGAAAAGGACATTAGTATAATCACGAATGCCCCAGCGGGCTACCTCGAGCTCGGCGACCCAGTAATCTTCGATTGTCAGGTGATCCTTGTCAACCAATAGGACTCCGTGCATACGTAGTATCGCTACGAGACACAGTATGTCGGTCGGAACCGAAAACCCTCTGACCATCCAACTCCAACTATCATTAAAGGCAGCTTGGCATATACCTGAGTCGATAAACTCTTCAACAGAGAGAACAGGAAACTCCATTACTCCAGGGTGTGCTGTTCCACAATATGAACACGCTTCCTCTTCGAGATTGAGGCGCAGAGCAAGATCAAGTCGAAGGTGTGTAATGGGATGGCTTGATGGTGGAGGTATCCATTTGAATGTCGGTGGTAATTGTAGAGCCGTCGCCTCTGGACAGAGGAGCCATATTGAAGGTGTCACATCAAATTTGCTAAATATGCCTTGGCAGTACAATGTCAATAGTCTATAGCCGTGGTCTTGAAGCCATGTCACAAACTCTGGTAAAGCTGCTGTATGCAGATATATCGAGAGGTGACGCAGTTGAGGTAATGAATGGGAGCGAAGCCATTCGACCGATTGAAGCTGCAAGGTGGTAATGTTGTTCAAGTGTTGCATTTCGTTGCCGCGTAAGCCATAGTAAAATCGCAAGCTGCATATTGATTCCAATTTGGTATTGTGCTGGTGATTGCGACGTATAAGAGCGCCCAAATTGGCCAGCCGGTTATGCCGAGATAGATACTCAATTAGTATGTCCCACTCGGCATCCATTTCCAGGATCTCCAAATTCCATGTTTCCCTCCGACCAGACCGAGGAGCAGGTACGGTCCATCCTTCATGAGAGTCCGCTTTCCTGCATTTCCTACACTGCCTTTTGCACATAGAGATGTAAATTCGATATGCTCGACGGAGCGACTCTGCCGGAACGACGCCATGGAGGACGTCGGAGATGTAGACAAGCCTATGATCAAAAGCGCGCAGATAGGAGTACCACGAGAAACATACACGCTGAAATGCATTTCTCTCCCGTTCCATGTCCCAATACTGACGGTCGTCGCAGTAAGTTGGGAACGCGCTTGCTCCGTAGACCACTGTAGGATCGGTCTCGAAGAAGACTGGGACATGAATGGCGAAACGCAAGATTCTCTGCCATATTTCTACGGGAATTCTGTCAGTTAGGATAGGCGACATAGTTGGGGGTGATCAAGATACAGAACTATAGCGTGGGTAGAGACTGGCAGACGCCGGCATCATTTCGGATTCCTCCACATTTGTAGTAATACCCGGAATTTGACGATAACTAGAGACTTGTTTGTAGATCCCTGGGATATTTACCTTTGCTGCATAGCTTGTCAGGAGAGAAGCCTCAAAGAAGGCTCGGGAAATGTCCCTAGCAAAAGATGACATGGCGTTCCTATGCTTCTACGGAGGAGATTTTTGTCGTCGATGATTGGCATTGCGTGAGGTTCAAAGGCGAATAGAAGGTGTCGTCCACATTTCCGGTCTTACAGAAGTCTAAGAACCCTTCCCGAGTCTTTGATGCTCATCTTCAAGCTCCCGAAATTCGGGTCTAATTTTACGAGGACGTTGTGTGAACCATATAGGATCTATGTTGATGGTGATTTCAAGAAAATTACACGAGACGTGGGAATCGGGTAGGCTACATGATGTCCAAAGATAAAATGTTCTTATAAACAGAGAGGAGGTGACATTAATATACAGCATTTCGTCGATTTTGCTTGCCTTTCCACTCTTTCAGGCGAGCGACTACAGCGTGCTCGAACGTCTCTCCACTTGAGTCGACTAAAGGCATCGCATGAGACTTGGTGCGTGCCCAGAAGCAGAGTATACTGCTATCCATTGACCAGCTGCCGGCTAAAATCGGACGCCATCTGAAGCCAGCTCCAGTCGTCGAATCCCTCCATGGACAACCTTGGGAATAGCGCTGGAAAATTGTACCCTAAAGAGATGCTTTTGGGTGCAAAAGGGACATTTGTAAGAGCGGTCTGGCTTTCCATAGTGAACTTTTCATTAGCGACTCGGACTGACTGAAGATGAGACAGAGACGATTAAGCTACATGCCTTATTTGGTATATATAACATGCTATCTCCATCTCGTAGTCTGTGTGCTAAAAACTGTTCACAGTATCTCTCCCGGCATGCATATATAGCAATGAGCGTGGAAGGTTTATGCACCTCCTCGTGTAATAACAGGGTGGTCATAGATGCCTCAAGTCCCAGCTCCTCGAATCCTAGGAGATAGTGATCGCAATATGCTCTTTGGCTACCACACACCTTCCTTGCCAAATTAAACACAACAAATTAAAGAGATTATCATTGAAATAGAGTAAGTAATACATTTTCTGTGAGAAAGGGACCAAGCTTGCGGGTTTTGCACTCGTCCTCCCTTTTGCCTTGTCGATTCACCAACACGAGACTTTTCCACACTTTGAAGTAACCGATTATAACCTGATCAAATGCATCTCCATCTGAATCAACGAGGGGTATGCCGTGTTATCTGGCTAGAGTCTCAAAGTAAAATATATTGTGATTTATTGAATGGAGTTTCACAATAATTTGCCATCCATGATGTGAGTAAGGACAAACCAATTACAGGAGATCATTGTATCATCAGAAAAGTCCTACTCGCCTTGGCCTCAATGATCGATGTATGCCACGCCAATGCTTAAGATTATCAATGACCCAATCCTCGAACGTCGGCGACCCTCATCTATCAGTTTTATACCGTATAGACGGGTTGCCGTATGTAAGCAAAGATCACCAGTCCACAGGTATCCGTATATGTCTGGATTTGTTTGACCTATCCTCATCATCCGCGGCGTCCCGAGGGATAGAAACTTGATTCCGGCGCTAGCAAAAACGCTGATAGGAGGTTTGTAAATGTAGACGTGTTCATGCAGTCCTCCACATATAGAACAGATAGGAGGGGTTAGCCCGTCCCCCATATTGTATGGAAAGTGGACGAAATACACTTCGATTGGGTGGCCGGGTGGGGGTGGCATCACTGGCTGAGCACTTCCGGTAATGCGAAGGAACTTGATATTGGGGCATAATCTCCATATATCAACCTCGAAGCCGACTGCCGCCATGTTATCGAACCAAGTGAGAGACTCGAGCTGTGGCCCTATTCTACCTAGCCATTGGATAAATTCATCCATGCTATTTCTGTCAGGCTTTACCCATGCCCATAGATGTCTCAATCGGGGCAGATCAACCGATATCCATCTGCTGACGTATAGGTCCACGCTCAACGCCGATAAGTTCGACGCATCTCGCAGTATTCCGACAGAGAAATCGAGTGTAGACGAACATAGAGTCAATGGTCGACGGAGATTATTCACGACTGTCCACAGATCAGATACCTCGGCATCGCCGAAGAGGATTTGCAAATTTGCAACCCGGTGAGGACGCGCAAACAGACATGAGTATATTCCCATTTCCATGTCGTCATACCTCATATCCGTAGGCAACAAAAGCGTCTGTAGTCTCCACGGTTTGAGCGTCCCATCTTCGCTGATTTGATCAAGGGAATCTCCAATTTGACTCAAGCGCAAAATCCGCTTCTCGCACACACAATACGTGATATGTATTCGTATCGCGCGACAGATTGCATCAAGCGGGACGTCGCCATGTTCAACATCAGCGAGATCCACGAATCGATGGTCGAAGCGTCGAAGGTATGTATCCCACGACTTTTTTACTCTCCTAAGAGCATTCCTCGTGCGTTCGGTCTCCCAGTATATCGAGGTATCCCCAAATTCTTTAATCGTCCAGAGACTATCACGTCCAGGGTCGGTGGAGAAGATGATAGGAGGGTATATAGATAATTCGAGGATCTCCTGCCAAATTTCAAGCGAGGTGCGCGTCCACGGTTTTGGGGTCGACATTGGTAGAGACTAAGAGTGTGGTGCATGCATGGCTTTAATTGCTCGCCAATGCGACGTGACTCTGATGAAATGAAGGAAAATTAAGTAAAGATATAATTAAATTTTTCTTTAAGATATAAGGTTCTACATCGGTCGGCCCTCCATTTCTCATCGTTGATTACACTTTCTCTTCCAATCTTTTAGGTGAGCGACTATGGCGTCCTCAAAGGTCCACCCAATCGCATCTATAAGGGATATTGCATGAGATCTAGTGCGGGACCAGAGGCAATAAAGGTCTTGAGTCGAGAGGAAGTCTGCGTTCAACATCCCATGCCACATGGGAGACGATAGCTCGAGAACTTGGACGCCTGTACGAACAATTTCGGGCAAAATGCTGGTGAATTGAAAAGGCTCGGTATGGCGGCGTCCACAGTATGAACACCCGGGGAAGTGGGGGATGTAATAGCACCCAAGTCGAAGTGACTTTAGACGAGATAGAGACAAAATAGGCACTCCTTCTGTCGGCCCGGGGAGCTGGAGTCACCGCAAACGCGGACAATACGATAGTAACTTGCCGACGTCAGATGCTGTGATTGTGGAACTTGGATCATCCCAGTAGGATGTCTCTAGGGGCTTTCCGTGTCTCTGGAACCAGGCTAAGATAAACTCCAAACTTGGGGCCTGATCCTGTCCTGTCCAAGGACAGCGTAGACAAGATTTGGAAAGTGAATGGCCCTCAGATCTTGCAGAAATGTATAATTGATGTTGATAGTTGTAATCCTAGACACATCTATGCCTCTAAAGGTGGCAGCTGGCCATGAAAGACCTCCGAGAAAGAAAAGTCGAGGGCTGGCGGCGAGGGGATTACGAGGGACGTCCTCATTATACCAGGAATATATCCCACAAAGATTTGCCATGTGCTTTGGCTCAGAGGCGATGATTTCAAGATACATCCACACAGCAGCGTCCATTATCTGCATCTGCCAGGGGGCTTGCCCGTTTGCGTTGTCTACCGGTGGGATAAGGTCGAGGAATCTGGTGGGACATTCTTTCAAGTCTTCTTAGAACCAATAGCACACCTCACAGTTGCAGTACATCAAGTTGATGCGAAGAGCGCGTGCAAGTTGAGCTGCAGGGACAGTCCCGTGGATGATATCGGAGATTTGTACGTAGCGGCCATCGTATGACGCCAGAAAGTCATTCCAGGACGAACACACTCTGCGAAGGGCGCTGCGTGTACGCTCGGATTTCCAGTATCCTATTGCGCTTGAGATTTCGGTTACCGGTGTTAGATCTGTCATAAAGAAATCGGGGACTTCTATAGCGTGGAACAGAATACGTCGCCAAATCTCGACGGACAGATGGATCATGGTTGGCGCCAAATTGTATCGAATAATTTTGGACCCTACCAATGCCAACCTCGACGCCATGGACGCGTACTCCGCTTGAAATCTGGCAGGAGATACTCAAACTTACCATCTCCCTTCCCCTCTTCTTCTCCACCAACCCAGGGCCCAAAGACCTCGGCGTAAGAGGCGAGTTTACGGATACATCTATATACTGGGAAGCCGAGCGGACGAGGAACGCTCTGAGGAGAGTCAACAAGTCGTGGGATACGTACCTCCGACGGTTTGATCATCGATTCGTGGACCTGGTCGACGTGGAGCACGGCGACATTCCGCTCGATGCGATTCGCAGTGCGATACGGATACGTTCCCTATGCTGCAGATGCACGAGGCGTGTCGTGGACTTGGTTCAGCTGGGGGATACCCTCGATCAAGTCCACGAGGACGGGACAGTCGAGCCGTGGAAACTACAGATACTCGTGTTGATCAATGCAGGGGTTGATTCTGTGGGTCGGAATCGTCAACTCCCACGGCCTTATGAGCGTCCTCATCGAGTCGCGAATTTACGAGTGTTTCTTGGTGAAAAAGATGTGCCGGGGTTATGGGATGTCGTGAATGGGGTTGGTTTTCCCTTGACGGTGTCCTCAGGAATCCCGCACAATGGGTCGAATTTGACGGCGTTGAGCTGGAAGGTGTACGATAGTGTGAGCGTACCGGATACGCCCCAGCTGAGGCATTTAAAGATTTGGGTACGGCCATCGAATATGGATGAATTCACTGCGTATCTGGGTAAAATAGGAACCCAGCTCGAGTCACTTTTTTGCGTCTTCGGTTTGCGGATGGCCGGGGATTATATTGACATATGGAGACTGTGTCCCAATCTCAAGTATCTCCGCATCCGCGGACACCCTGAACCAGTGATGCCGCCCACGCCTGGTCACCCTATCGAACTACTTTCCATCTTTCACTTTGGTCGAGCTCATCTGTGGACCGTATACGTGCTCCTTATGCGGAAAAGAACATAGGCTTAGCCACTTGAAAACTCCTATAGAGACTTTGGCCCGTGCTGGGATCAAGGTCCTACTCCTAGAGCGAGGGTGGAACACCTGGGCAAGTATGCAGCGGTCATATCCTCGTGAATATTCGCATTTGTGGGACGTAGATCTATGCCTACATCGGGCAACTCGTCGCCACGGTATGAAGCTGGAGGATCTCTGTGGTCGGACGTTTGAGGACTGGGTGATTGAAAATGTTGAATGTTGGTCTGGCACACGGAAACGAATGAAAGTATCAAGGAGTGGAGCATTTTTCTAACAGTAGAGAGTAGGGGCGCTTCGTATTGGTCATTATGATTTGACCCTCTGCTGGGTGGGTGGGAACCGACGTCTGTGTTGATAGAAAATGAAATGTCAGAATTGGCTCTTGCTTTTGGATAGATGATGTGCAAGTTGTGAGAGGTACAATGCCAGATTATGATTGATTGCTGTCGTCGGTGGTCAATTACCAAAGCTGGCAGCCGGCCTTCCTCGTCCGGAGAGCGGATTGCCATTTTGGGGATCCGGGGGCTAAGGAGACGTATGCACATATAATACCCGCGCGAGAACGTCGCCAACGTCGCTAGCTTAGCTTGTGTCGGTAAGTACGTCGAGCGTGTGGAATCCCGTGTCATGTCTTGTCAATGCCCTCCCTCGCCGACCACACGAGGCCAGAGTTGAACCTTGCTTGCCTCGTCCTCCTTCCACTCGTTTTGGCCCCCCCGGAGACCCTGTCGCATTTCCAGTCTTTTATAGCTTTTCTTTTTTGCTTATCGTGCTTTTACGCCGAGGTTTACTGCGGTCGCTGACGCTCGTTTTCCCCCGCTCGTTGGACGCCATTTCGACCGACGACAAACCTCTACACGCCGCGCCCCCGTTGGCCTTGTAAAAAAACCCAATCGTCTTAGCACTCTTAACATTGGACGAGTCTACGTCGTGGATGGTCATTGCCAGAGCAAAGGCAGTAGAATAGTAGCAGCGACGACGACGACGACGAAGACGACGAACAAGGCCAATTGAAGAAATGGCAGCAGTCTATCTGCATAATGCACTCTTTGGGCCTCCAATTCCCGACGACAATCCAGAACACGACACGGACGAAGAGATTGGGAGTGCAGAAGACGCTCATCAACGACAACAATCTCGTCCAAATCAACAACAACCAGAGGAAATAACATATCCACCACAGCCCCAGCCAACCCAGGTCCACTCCCGACGAGCGTATAGGGTGCAGTCGAGCGGCGACTATTGGAAGACGACGAGCAGCGAATTTCCATTTGAGACTGGTTATTCTACTTCCCCATCTCCCCCTTACGTCACCCCGCCCTCGGAGCCAGAAGACAGTCGAGGGCAACAGCAGTCTGATGGCGGGTGGGCAGAGGCACCTCCTTGGACCCGACCGCAACCGCTTCGACAGACCAACGTGGACAGTCGAGACGACTCTTATCCGCGTACACAGTCGATAAACAACAGATTTATCCCACTAGAGCGCCAGGAAATCCATCTCCAGCAGCGTCTCGATTCGACCCCTCCAGGTCTCACTTCATCTGTTCCCATACACCTCTCGGAAACACAATTATATAACAGAAATCATACTATACACACTGCTGACACGCCTTTGGAACCCACCACGCACAGTCCACCCATCGGGATTGGCGGTGGGCGACTAATGGACGACGACGCAGACTCGTCTTCAGATGCAATGATGCGTAAACGGCCCCGTGGTCGTCGACGGCGTGTCAAATCGTCGGCCTCTACTCTCACCACGACCACGACCACGACCAAACCGCGCTTGTCCATTACATCCCCACTCGGTGCAAACCCAGAAATCACCCAGAGACCACTTGTGTATACCCACGATATCGAGACGCGTGCAGAGACAGAGGACATTCAACGTGCCTCGCGCATTGTCTCTCTCCCTCTTAGACCCGGCCGCATACCCAATACCCGCATGTCGGCTCGGAAAAGGAGATGGATTCTCATTGTCAGAGTACTCTTGACGATCTTTCTGTCTGTTTGGGCTGCATACTCGACAGCACGATATTGGCTTGCATATTCTGGTCAGTTTTACATTCTCCTTTTGGGACATTTCTGCTCACTTTCATCGTCTTCACGCAAAATCAATCAAATTGGGACATGGCGTACGACGTCTGGTGTGCGCCCGCCACACGGATTGCAAATGTCTCACTCGGCGGTTCTTTAACCGACACGTTGCGCAAATTCCTTTTTTTGGTTCTCCTTTCTGTTATAGAATACCGACCTCGTCCAAACGCCGACACGACCAACCCATACCCAAAGGAAGATCCTCCCCGCAGTCTCTACGCCCTCGCCCTCGCGATTACATCCACCGTCGCCGTCACTCTTTTCGCAATCGATAGCGCCTATTTACTCTACTTTGTGAGTACCCGACATCTCTTCAGGCCTTTTAGTATTTCGCATGCATTTTGCTTATGCAACGAGAATGACGCGGTCTCTCACCTTCTCCGAGATTGGAGAACGTCATGTCCGGCTCGCTTTGGTACGCCTAGTGGCCGCGCGTCCCGGTGGCAGCCAGGCCCAAGACTTGTCGGGCAAAAAAGGGGCGGACACGACACGAGGCGCGCTGACATATTGGAGACCTTTTGGGTTGTCCTGCTGTAGAATGGCTCCTCTGACCCTTGGTGGAGGAGCGCGATTGCCTCTTTGGGACGTGCCCGTGCAGCTTCCCCCCAGCTCTTGTAAAGAATGCGGGTTGGCTTCTGTGTGATGTTTAATGTGTTTTCTGAAGGGCCTTGAGCCCCGTTCGCACTCGTGGCCTCTTCCTCGGACTGCCTCACTTTCGAGTCTGTCTTGGTCCATGTGCTGTGTTGGATAGTTCTTTGGCTGTTTCAGGCCCAAGAAATAGTGCTGATACTTTCCTCGTAATAGGCGATTTATCCGCACGAGAAACGGCCGCTTGGTCGGGTCCCGACGATTGGACCCATTGCGCGTAATGGTACGCGAACCGTTGCGGATCCGCAAACCTCGTTCCACCCCAACCACGTACGTCGTATGGTGGCAAACGACCTCTCACGGCGGCGACTGCCACCACAGCGACAGCGGGGGACGACAAGTATACCGCGATACCCCTCCGGAGCAGCGCATTCTCTGCCACGTCTTCTGGCAGACGATCGAGGAGGTTGAGTAAGCCTCCACCAGAGGATTGGTTGGCCACGTATCCGCCGTTTGAGCTACAAGAAGAGCTGGTCAAACCGGCGGATGCCGCGACAATGGAGAGGGCGTATGTGGGTTCAAACGGGAGAACGTTTCCTTCTACAGACGAGCCGAGCCATCCTCTTGCACCAGAGCCCGTGGCCACATCGTCGCCTGATGAGCCCGTTAGGCCGTCGCGGTTTGTCCATCATGAGCGATCGAGCGGTCGTGTTGTCCCTGCGGATGCAGCGTCTACCAGTACCAGTCGTCCGACGAGTCAAAAGCTCGACGAGCCCGCAAAGTCGACCTATGCGCTCAATTTCCCCGTCGTCTGCCACGAACCTTCCATTTCGCCACTTCCGCCGCCTGTTGGATCTGTTCCCTCTGTCCAGCCTGATCCATTGTCAAGAACGGGGACGGTATCTGGATCGAGAATGTACCCCGGTGCTGGTTCGCAATTGAACACTCGGGGTGGATCAAAGTTTTATCCTACACCTGGAGCGAGTCGGTTCAGCACTGCTTCGATGAGACGGAGACGGAAATGGGCCAAGACGCGGATATTATTGCATGTCCTTCACTGGTTTGCGTTTGTCGCGATTAACATTCCTGGCTTTGTCAACGTTGGACTCGTCCCGGTGTGGTATAACCCTGCGCCGACTGCCGATAGCTCTGGAGCGAATACGGGTGTTAATTCACCTCATCGACTCTCTGGATTGTGCAGGTGGTCTCCCGATGTTTTATGGGCCGGCAGCGCGTTTCCGCCCTCGTACCCACCACCGTGTGCGCAGACAGTATCGTACCGGGCGTGGTTGTGGGGTGCGATTGGACGGGTGCTCATCACGTTTTTCGTCGCGGGGCTTTGGATCGTTGTGGATGGCGTATGGTGGGGTGCGTGGGTCGTTGGGACACGGAATATTGGATGGAGAGGCGCAGTCGGTCGTCCGTGGACGCCGTCGTCGATTCGTCGGAGGCAACAACAGCGTCTGGCAGAAGAGAAACTGGCGCACATTGACGAAGGAGACGCGACTGGAGAGAGCGAGAATGACCATGGGACAAAGCGTGAGAGCGCGTTTGTGCGGAGGATTCGATTGCTCTCTGCTGCCAGTCGGGCGTCTGGGAAGAGTGGACGGAGTAGCAAGAGCCATCATACCAAGGAGAAGGCTGGAGAGTTGTCCGAGGGGGAGAGACCACCTCCTCTCCGACGATGACCGCGCATGCTTATGCGTCCCCTCAAGAGAGTGCGACGCCCATTGGCTCCGGGACGGATGTGGAGGATGAAGTCGTGTCGCCCACAACCAAGACGACGACGACGACGACGGGAGCGACCAAGCATCGTGTTCGACGAAAGCCCGTTCGACCGATTAGTTTTCCTGGGCCTGATTCGACACCTTCTTCACCCCCGACGAATGCGATCAAGGATATATACTCGCCAGCCTCTGAGCGCTCGTCGCAGGAAAAGTCTCGCTCGACGTATTATCCGCCTATGCCTGGTGGAGGGATTGGATCCAGACGTCCAAGTGCGCAGGGGAGTATCGGTGGTTCGACGGTCGTTGGATCCCCCTTGGGCACGAAGCATCTCTCTGCATCGTTTGAACCGTTTAATCCCAGTTCGCCACCGTCAGCTGCGCAAAGTCCATTGGAAGAGCGAGGGAGGAGGTCCATTGGACTCGATATTGTCCATGAACATCATTTTGATCGAGAGGTGCTTGAAGGAGAGGACGCGGAGAGGATGCGCGAGTATCCTGAGCGACCACAGTCTCGTCTCGCGCGCTATAATGATGATGATATCCCACCGCTCATACCATATCGTAGTGGAGCCAGAGCGCCTTCACCACCTTCGCCCACTGCACCTTTATACCCGCCGACGACAAACACTCCAGAGCGAGGATGGACGACGGATCCCAATGCATTTTCGCCTGTGGTCAGTCCGAATACTGGTGCACCGCTCCTTGAGCAAGGATACTTTCTCGTGGGCGATGGTGGATTCTCCAGTGGTGAAGTCAACGAGGGCGCGTATGATGACGAGAGTTATTATCGTACCGTCAGCAATGGTACCATTGCCAGTGGAGTCGACCGCTCTACGACGCCATTGTCGGATCGGAGCGCGAGTCCAAGCTCGTACGGCCACGTGCTCAACCCCGAGGATCGACAAGAGACGGAGAGTCCTGTCGAAGAGCGTCGGTATACTTCAAGATCTCAGTATCTCTCGCCGAGCTCGAGTCAGCAACAACGCTCTGCTCCGTACCAGCACCCTCTGGCTCAAGGGATTCAGCTCGCGATGGGCCGACCACCCGAGACGTTTGAGCGCGAAGTTCGCATGTTGGGCGGCGTCGTACGGCGAATGTCGACTATCGAAAGTTTTGGTAGCCACGAGCGCGAGCTTAGTCGTCGCGGGAGTGGTGCTACGGCGCGGACGACGACGCGTGGGAATAGTGGTGGAGTTGGTCGAGAGAATACGAATGGGAGTGGGAACAGTGGTGGTGGACTGGCTAGCTCGTTGCCATCTCCGCACTCGCCTGTGCATGGGAGCGGTAGTGGTGGACAAATGGAGCGTAGTTCAGAAGGCGAAGCTGTCGGAGCTATCGCTCGGTCCAATAGTCCTACCGACATTTCGCCGCCTTTGTAGGCAGCTTGGTCCGTCATTTTTTTTGGTGCGGTTGGGTACTGTGACTGATGAGAGTAGCCTTATCTTTATGTGTCATCAAATTCTCCTATCCTTACAGCAACGACAATCATTGGAATCAAACGGTCTCCTTTATCGGATAGATACCTCGGACTATACATCGTAGGCAGCACCCGCGCGCTCGCTCTATTTGGATAGAGCAAACCGGTTCTGCACTACCAACCCTTTCTTGTCGACGGCACCCAAATTATGTCTTTTGGCTGCGCGTCTTCTCGTGTCACGCCCCCCAACTCTCTCTTTTTGGCGCCTTTTTCAACTCTTCGTTTGTACTCTATTACGGGATTTGTTTTTTGATCCATCAACCAATGCAACATTTTTCACGATTACTCATCCACCTAATGAAGTCATTCCCTTTCATTTGGCGGCGGCTCCTTGACTTAGCCCCTGTCATCGCCGACGAGCTGCGGGCGGAGATCTGGGGCGATTCGGGCGTTTGTTGGTGACGGTTGGTGCGTGTTCAACGTGTCGATGTTCCCATCATGTTTGGAGATGGGATCTCGAGGCCCAAAGCGGTGCAGCTGCGTATTAGATGCCAAGCGCTCTAGCGTCAAGAGGCCCAACGGTCGAGGCTCCATTTCTTACTAGTAGGAGAGAATTTAAATTAATTATCGCTCATCTAACTCTCTTTAGACTATGGTCTGTTGGCCCGTTGGATAGCGAATTGAGACACTCTCCCCAAATGGTTGCCTTGTGAATGAAGCGAGGCAACCCATCACTATCATTAATCTGACCGGGTTTAAACAGGAGAACATCGTCCGCGTCGAACGGTACCCTCCAACAGAGTTCTCGGGTCCAGGGCTCGTCAACATACTGCGTCCGCAGAGATGCGATGACAAAGGAGTCCCCCAACGAGCCAGCCTCTATTTTCTGACAGGCTTACGTGGAATAAGATAAATACCTGCCGACCATCTTACTAAGCGGACCATACTCCGTCTCGACTCCCCTTGAGCCCCATTCTTTTTTTCCTATCATGAGTGCGTCGGTCTGGTGCATTCAGATGATGATGGCTGACAGTTAGATAGGCGACGATGAAAAAATCTTTCCTTACAAGGCCAACTCGGGCGCCGCCATCTTCTTCGTTGTCGCCTTTGCGGTAACGGGCCTGGTGCACATATACCAAGCCTACAAGACTCGTGCCCTCTTCATGCTTGTCCTCATCATTGCAACGGCCTTGCAAGTCCTTGGCTATATCACGAGGTACGTGGTACCTTGTCCTCTGTGCATGTCGCTAAACGTGTTCGCCTGGTTCCAGGAAGCTTGCTATCGACAATGAGTAATTCTCTCCATGTTCAATTAGCCACCATCTCATGTTTCTTCTAGTCCACAGCTCTGGTCGTATGTTGTCTCACAAACCTGCATCGTGGTCTCGCCCGCTTTCCTTGCCGCCCAAGACTATATGATCATCGGGAGAATGTAGGTTTCAGACCCTTGCATTCATGCGCTAGCTAAGCATACCTCACAACTAGGATGTCCTTTGTCGGCCCAGATTCAACATTCATATCGCACACTGTCATCACCAAACTCTTCGTCTTTATCGACATTGCCTGTGTCATCACCCAAGCCAGTGGTGTCACTATGATTTCCGGAGACAATGTCAGCAGGAGCGCCATCAGAGCCGGACGAGCTGTCCTCATTGGAGGCTTGCTCGCTCAAGTAGCAGCCTTTCTCTTCTTCACCATCGTTGCTGTCATGTTTGATCTCAAGAGCCAGCGACTGAAGATTGATCACCACGAGTTGCGCAAGCTCCGACCCCTCTTCACGGCCTTTTACATCTCCGCCGCTCTCATCATCGGTCGCTCCGTCTACCGAACAATCGGCACGTCTCCTAAAACAATCCAGCACTCGTCCACTGACAGTTAGCTTAGAATTCGCCACAATCAACTTCGACTCGACGACGCAAGGGTACCTGTATAATACAGAGTGGCCCTTCTATGTCCTTGACGCAGTACCCGTCTTGGTGAGTTTCCCACTTGGATCCTCCCATTGAGTCTCATGCAAAAGAGTAGATTGCTACCGTTCTCTTCAACATCGTCTACCCAGCCTCATACCTTCCTCGAAAGAAGGGGCTTCGCATTGATGGCAGCATGGAACTACAGCGCAAGCATTGGTGGTCGCGCGAAGTAAAAGTTGCTCCTTCAGAGGAGGCTATGGTTCGCCAGACATAGGCGACTCTACTTTTCAATTATTCTACTTAAATGCATTTGGACACTTCATCCGATAGATCTTTGTGGCTACCACTTGTTAGCCTACCTCATTTAGCAACCGTAGAATGCCATGTCCCTTGCTGCGTGTTCTCTGTACTCATCGATGGGTGAAGGAAAGCAAATATCAAAGGTATAGACACAAAGTTTGTGCAAATCAAGCATACCTTAGTGGACTGCGTATATGAGATCAGGCAGCTTCGCAATGGATGACTGAAAAGGAGAGACTATATTCAGAAGTCTAACCTCATCTTTGGTACAGTATGTGTCCTGAAGCGAAGTTCCAACCATTCGATGACCAGTTGCTGAAAGTCCTAGAGTGTGCGTCGACAAGTTGGATACCGTGAATCCGAGCCTGGTCCCTGAAGCACAATTCTGGGCTAGAATCATAGTCTTTCTGCCAATCTCTCGATGAAATAGGATTATTTTTCCAAACCGTCATCAGCTTTGGTCTACTAATACCCGCAGAAGCAATATTCGCAATGGAAGGAAACTTGCTTTGGTATGAAATGTGACTACATCGACAAACGGTGCAAAGTTGCTTCCTCGCCAAACCAGGATGCATCCCGAGTGTTTTGATAGGATGCCCTGACGGTGGTGGTATGAGTAGATGCAATCCCCTTGGGATGCACAAGGTAGTAATGTTTGGACAGAGTTCCCAGATGTTCAATAGTTGTTTCCAGACACGGCTCTCGAAGCAAGAAAAACTGAGCAATTGTGGGCCAACTATGGGAAGTAAAGATTCCATGACTTGATCGTCCAAAGAGTGGACCCATAGATGCCTGAGATGGGATAAGGACCATTCATTGCCGATCCCTCTCCTCAGATGGAGCCGCCACGTTGTCAGTTTGGTCGTATCGTACGCAATACTTGTAGAACCAAGTACCGATAATACCGTGATGGGCTGGTCGTTCTGGTTAGTGCTGTTGTACGCCTGGCTCGGATACCCAGAATGGCTCCAAGTCCTGTGGAAGACGCGAAGGTGTTTGAGTCGGTGGTGTACAAGAAATAGTTTCGGTGTGCGGTGTTATCTTCCCAGAATCCAAACAGTATCTGAAGTTTCCATGGCTCGGGGGTTCCATCTTTCCTGATGTAGTCCAGGGTAGGCCATGGCTGGTGGAGGTCGACTCTAGGCTTGCGACAATGACAAGCCAATGTTTGAATCCTGATCGCATTTCGGAGGGCGGAGATTGGGACATGGCCATGCTCTACGTCGACGAGACGGACGAGACGACGAGCGAAGCGGTTCAGGAATGCATCCCACGACCTGCATACTCTCCTGAGTGCGTTTCGGGCTCGTTCAGTCTCCCAGTATAATGAGTCGTCTCCATACTTGTGTAGCGCGTCGATGCCATGGCTCGCTGGGTCGATGGAGAAGAAGATTGGGACAAAGATGGAAAATTGGAGAATATAGTGCCAAATCTCTGCCGGTGTACGCTCTGAAGGGCTGATAGTCGGCATTTGGTCGAGTTTTGGACCCATCAATCACCTCCCGTGGTCTCCATCCTGTTGAATCCATGCCAAATTCAAGCGTAATGCAACTTTCTCAGCATCCAGTACCTCTTTCGACGGCGAGGCAGCCTGCTGCGTATCATTGCCTCAGCTAACGGAGGCCCTGGCGACGATTGAGCAGTGTTGATGTATGTTTACTGCGCGGGAATAATGAACTATACAACCCGTGGTCAAGTAAAAATGGCCCTCAGCGCTCCGCAACGCTCTCGGATTTTGAGCGGGCACCTTCGACTTCATCGCATCAGCATTCGCAGCTGCGTCCGCAGACACCTTGCAATGAACACTATCTCGTCCAAAAATTATCATCAATCACACTCGAAGTATAAAACCTCTTCGTTGTCGTCGTCGAGAGGTCATCATTACCTTCCTTCTCCTCATTCGCCATGTGTGAGTAAGGCCCTTGACATACATGAAACGCCACTGATCCAAAGTAGCCAGCGACGAAGAAATCTTCCCGTACAAGCCCAGCTCTGCTGCGGCAATCTTCTTCACTGTCGCCTTTGGCCTCACCGCGCTCGTGCACATTTTCCAAGCCGCCAGAAACAGAGCACTTTTTATGCTAGTCATTATAATTGCGACACTTCTTCAAGTAACAGGCTACGTTATGAGGAAACTCGCCATAGACAACGAGTCAGTTGGTATCTGTTTCCAGGCAACAGCCTTCTAAATTCCTCCCCTAGCCCACAGATGTGGTCCTATGTCATCTCTCAAGTCTGCATTGTTGTCTCTCCAGCGTTTGTCGCCGCGCAAGATTACATGGTCGTCGGACGAATGTACGCCTCAACTTGGAAATACCGTTCTCGACTCACCCAAATTTAGGATGTCCTACGTTGGTCCAGAATCTACATTCATCTCTCACACCGTCATTACCAAGCTCTTTGTGATCCTCGACATCGCCTGCGTTCTCACCCAAGCAAGCGGCGTCAGCGCAGTCTCGGGTGACAATCTCTCCGCAAATCAAATCAAAATTGGTCGAAGTATCTTGATCGGCGGTCTCTTGGCACAAATTGGCGCTTTCCTCATCTTTCTCCTCATCGCCATCCTGTTCGACCTCAAGAGTCGGAAACTGCGTCATATCGACCAGGTCGAGTTAAAGAAGCTGAGACCTCTGTTCACCGTGTTCTACATCTCCGCGGCATTGATCATCGGGCGGTCAATTTTCCGAACAGTCGGTGCGTGAACGGTTGCAAATGCGTAGACATCTTGGGTTGACGATACCTTAGAATTTGCCACCATCGACTTTGACTCGCAGACGCAAGGCTATCTCTTCAACCACGAATGGCCTTTCTACGTCCTCGATGCAGTTCCCGTCCTCGTAAGTTCACCTCTATCTTCTTCTCTCAGGAGATATTGACGTTTCAAAGATTGCCACGTTCATCTTCAACATTGTCAACCCCTCCTCTGTCCTTCCTCGTAAAAAGGGACTTCGTATCGATGGATCCGTCGAGCTGCAGCGAAGGCATTGGTGGTCGCGCGAGGTCAAGACGGCACCCTCGGAGGAATCTATGATTCAAAAAGCATAAATGGACACTAATTTATCCTATCTTTATTCCCAAATGGACACTTGTTGTGCAGGAATACATGTAACTACTCTAGTCAAAGGTTCCATCCACGGATTCATTCCTTGATTCAACACTCTTCGCACTGTGATCTATATACCGCAGTGGTGGGATTGGTTTCAAAAGTAAGAGGCACTACGAAGCTCGTGTCACCAAGGTCGACTATCACAAGGTGGATCACAGAACTAAATGATATACGGAGTTTGGGGCTTCAACCCGAATCGAAGTCTGGAAAACTCTTCATATGTTCTCCACTTTAGGTCCACGAGCGCAATTCCTTGTTTGTCTGCCTGATTTCTCAAGCAGAATATAGCATCTATCAATGTTCGATTGCTTCCCCCCTCTCTTTCTTCTAACCAATGTTCGGTATTGGCAAGTGTCCGAATATTTGCCTTCTCCAGAACGTTCAAGGGAACTCCTGGTCGTAGTGAAGGATGAAAGTGACCGCGTATGTGACAAAATTCTTCTGCCGTATGGTATATGCGCCGCATATCCACCCTGAGTGCTCGAATTGGATGGTTTGCTGGTGGTGGTGGTTGGTAGCGCCAATCGCAAGGCATCTCCAGCACTTCGACCGCGGGACACATCTCCCAAATATTTGGATCCAATGGAACGGGGCACTCTCGTCCCTTCCAGTATAGAGTTCGGAGCTGTCCTCCGATTACCTTAAGCCAGCGGAAAACCTTTTGGTAATTTCGGTCTCCAAGAAATGTGCAAATCTGGAGGTGGCGAAGCTTTGGCATATCCAGGAATGGATGCTCCCAGTCGCCTGATATGGCGATCATCATGGTAGTTGTATGGCGAAGGTTAAAGGATTGCCAGGGGAGTGTTGTGTACCTGGTGTTTCCCAAGAACGTAACCGGGGACTGATTTTTTGCAAGGGCCTCGTATAAGATGGGCACGCCATTGATCTCTGCGCGTATATTTGATATTCTATGGGGCATCGTGAGGAACTGTATGACGTCCATTGAGGCGACGCAGCGTCCATCGAGAATTTCCATTTGCCATGGCTCCGGCTTACTCTCCACAGAGTCTTCGATTGCTGATAGAGTAGGAAAGTGAGATGTATAGCAATTCGCAACAGAGATTCGGATTGCACGAGACAGGGCGATCGCTGGGACGCACAATCGGGCGACATCCGAGAGACGGATATAGCGATTATCGTAAGCTCGAAGGTATAGATTCCATGCCCAAAATACGCGTCGTAGGCTATTCCTCCCTCGTTCCGCCTCCCAGTATGGTCCTTCGTCATGAAAGTAAGGCAGCGCTTCAGTGCCGTACGTCTCTACGGGGTCGCTGTCGAGGAAAACGGGGACGAAGATGGCGTGTCGCAGGATTTTTTGCCATATCTCTACCGTCAACGGGGGGTTTGCCATGTGGTCGGAGGACAACATACGCTCACAAACAAACGGGCCGGCTTCAGGAATCGGGCCGTGGAGTGGTTGCGATTTCCGCGTCTTAGTATCTTCTTCATTGCTGCATTAGTGTTCGTGCTGTCAAAGGAGATACGTAGCCAGGATATTTGTGCAAGGATATGGATCGGTGTGGATCGCAGAAGCGAAAGCGTGATTGCTTCTCCACCTCTCACTTAGTCTTTACCTGTATCACTCGTCTGTATAGCGTGGTGGTGAGCCTTTGCCAGGAGGCGTGACGAAGCAGACTGGTGATAAGATCGAATGATACTGTTCCAAGTCCATCTAGAATCTCCATGTTCCAGGCCCTTGATTCCTCATTTACGAGCTTGTCGAACCTTGAGTCTGAGGTTCGTTTAATCAACCAAATACGTAGAAAAGAAGGTTACAGCGAGGCCCAGCGATCTTCATCTAGCTGCTGGTATCGGGTAGCCGAGATCCGGATTGCACGACGCATAGCGCTCTTTAGGACGCATGAATGGATGACGTCCGAGGCACCGACGAGACGGTGACAATAGAACTGAAGATACATATTCCATCCAGGACACAAGTACCTCTACGTGCTCCTCGCTCTCTCCGTCTTCCAGTATAGTCCTTTGATGCCAAAGGACGGCAACGCTTCAATGCCGTGCATTTCGACTGGATCGGTGTAGAAGAAGACTGGAATGTACAATGCATGTCGCAGGATTTTGGCTATATTTTTGTTATTGTGGTTGGAGGCTAAACTTGCCCTGACAAACTTTGTAAATGAGGCTTCTCTTGGATAAATGTGCAAAGCAATGCTGACTTTAAACTGGTACGGTTAATACATGCATCCAAAAGCGAGATATTCACAAACTCGGAAATTTGCCACTCGCAAGTCGTGGCCCTTGAACTCTGCCTCATTCTCAACCACACAAGACGATTCTCTCGCGATTCACCATTCAGACCACCAATAAGTTTTTAATCCTTTTATTCTTTGTCTACCATAGATATCTGTCCTCGTGACTGAATGTTTCCTTTCTAGTGTCACTTGGTGGCATTGATCCAGTTTTTCTCGAGCTTTGCGTGGACATATCTAGGGAAGACAGCAACCAATTGTCTATATCAAATTCTCATCTTCTCATCTTCCTCAACTCCCTCCAGATCCGACGAGGTTGAGATCGCCTCTGCGCGATCCCGTCCTACCGATCATTACCCAGACGTCTTCACGGACGCGCACGGCACCGTCAGTGGCTCGCCATTTGTTTATAAGACGGGTCCACCTTGGCCTAAACGCGACGGCCACCTTTACGTCCGTGAGACTCGCCCTGTGCATGGTCATCCCATCACACCTCTTTGGCCAGAGATTGCCACGGCCGCTGATGAATATCTCTTGTCTTGCGGAATCAAGTGTACACCGATCACAGGCTTTGAGTTTGCTAACGCCGGAGAGGACAAGGCATTCTGCCCACTTCTAGTCACCATCGGCGTGACGCCGACGACCGTCTCATTTCAAGTGGCCAAAGCCTCTGCCGAAAATGTCCAGAATATCGTCAGCCGAGCAGGGTTTCCCAACGTCGATGTCGCCGTCCGCGAGTAGACGACATGCCTCTCCTGCGCCTGCGGACCCAAGCTTCCGTCCCTTCAGCCCTTGTCCGGTTCCATCGCCGAGTTTCGTCATCCTTTTGCATCTACCCTTGGTCTCTATGTGGCCCCGCTCAAGCATCCTTACTCTGAGGGAACTATCGGCCTTTACCTCCAACGCAACGAAGAGACCCCTCAGATCCTTGCCCTCACAGCTGCCCATGTAATTCGTCCCCCTTTTCTGTACCACAATGCAGGATCAAAGCACACGGATAACGCACAGCGTCGTGAGGAGATAGTCAACCTCGGCGGCACGAGCTACGCGGATGTCACTACTCGCATAATGTCTCGAATTGGCACTCTCCAGGGGGTTATTGCCTCGCTCAAGAGGAAGATTAGAAGGCTAAAAAAGCAACAAGCCCAAGGTAGCCAAAGTATCGAGGTTGATGCATCGCTCCGCCAGGCCGAACAGTATATGGGTACGACGAGGAGGAACATTGAGCAATTGGACAGTCTTCACACGAAAGTTACAAAATTTACAACAAACGCAAAGCAGCGTGTCATTGGCTCCGTCTTCCACGTCGATCCCATCCGTCTCTCTCCCACCCTTGACTCCTCTGATACAGGAAAGAGGTTTATCATTGACTGGAAGATGATTAAAATCAACCAAGACGCGTTTGATTGAAAAGAATTCAAGGGAAATAAAGTCTTCATCGGTACGTCTCTCATCTCGCCTCTTTACATAGTAGTGATCATACAGGAGGGTGGGTCAAGGAGGAAGAATACGCTAGCCTCATGTTTCCTCACCCCTCGGACCGTGGTGAGCCCGAGTCCGAGTACCCGCAAGATGGCCTCCTCCAGATCTCCGGCGTCGTACCAGAGGAGATTTGCCACTCCAGGCAGCGTAAAGCCAATGGCGAAGCGGCTATGCCCGTCATCAAGAATGGCCTGACCACCGGCACCACTGTTGGCTGGGTGAACGGGCTCGACTCACTTGTCCGTCTTTACACAAACTACGGCCTCGAATGTACCTCATTTGAAACCACTGTTCTACCTTATGGCGAGCGTGGCGCCTTCTCCGACGACGGGGATTCTGGCTCGATCATCCTCGATAGAGGTGGCCGTATTGTCCCCCTGCTCACTGGTCGTGGTGGTACAGCCAGAGATACCGATGTCACCTTTGCGACTGCGTGGTATAAACTCGAGCCGCACATCCAGAAGACGTTGCCTGGCTGCTCCCTATACCCGCCCGTCCCCAACAATGAAGACGACTAAACTTTTGGACTACGTGTCATTTTGACTTCTTCAATGCCGTATTCCAGCTGCTTTCCATGCCTAGTGAACCGCCGCTCATTTCACAGCGAGTGACTTCTTACGTCCAATATTGTTAACTTGGTGTCGATAAACAGCCTATACATCTCAGTTTCACCTAATAGAGTTGCTCCCATCCAGATCATACGTATACATACTTTCGGAAACTATGATACTAATGAGCTCCACTGCCAAAACCCAAGTTTTATTGACTGGGGAAACTGTCAAAAAGATTCTATCACGCCATCTAGAACTTGAACTATGTGTCAGCTTTGTACGCTCTTGGATCTTTGGATTCATACAGGACACCGAATTGGTCGTACGTTATCCAGTGCACGTCCACCAACGTAATCCCTCGTGACTCGATCCGCTTCCCAAGGCAGGGAAACGGCACCAGTTCTTTTTGCCTTCTAATCTCTGCCCAACTTGATTCAAAAGCGAGCATCCGAATCTTCGACTTCGTCAATATTTCTAAAGCGACCTTCTGGTGCAGTGAAGCGTGAAAACAACCGACCAAGTTACAGAGCAGTGGCGCATCCATAAGCACGCTCAGCATATTCATTCTGATTGCTCGAATCGGGTGGCTTTCTGGTGGTGCTGGTTGGCAGCCTCACTTATAAGGGATCTGAAGCACCTCGACGTGAGGGCAGAGTTCCCAGATACTCGGCTCCAATGCGTGCGACATCTGGGTTCCGATCCAGAGTAAAGTTTGAAGCTGCCCTCCAAATCACCTGGAGCCTTTGAACAAGTTTGAAGCGGCCACTGCTGCAAGAGTTCCTGAGTACGAGATGTCGAAGGTTTGACATATCTAGATTCAGGGTATTGTTTAGGTCGTTCGCGTCGATGCTCATGGTGGTCACGTAGCGGAGATTGTATGACTGTCTCTGAGGGTCGCATGTTCGGCGCTTCCTAAGAATGTCACTGGAGATTGGTTTCTGGCGAACACTTTGTATAAGCCGGGTCCGCCTCTGACTTCCGCTCGCACGTTAGCAGCTCGGTGAGACACGTGAAGAATTTGAGGACCTCATTAGACACTGCATCGCGTCCATCCAAAATTTACATTCGCCACGGCGTTGGTCCCTCGCACGGAAACTCCTCGAACGCAGACGGTGGCATTCAATCCGACGACCAAAATTTGATACCCTTGACACAGGTAGGAACAGTTTCTCGAGCTGAGCGCCTCTCATGCCTGCAGCGTACGACTGAAATTCGGATTGCTCGACGCATGGTGGTGACTCAGACGAGCGAATGCATGACATCTTGAGTGCGAACAAAGCGATGATCGTAGGCTTGAAGATATATGTTCCATGTAGAACAAACGCGCTTTAGGACGTTCTTCACGCGCTCCGTCTCCCAATACGGCTCTTCGTCACCAAAGTATGGCATCGCTTGAATGCAGTACGTCTCAATCGGATCGATATCGAAGAAGACTGGAATGTGCATCGCATGTCGCAGGATCTTTTGCCATATTTCGACAGGCACACGAGGCCCCATCATGATGGTTGGAGGACAAACTTGCGACTGACTAACAAGGACCGGCTCCAAGCATATTTAGCAATATATTAGAACGGAACAAGGAAACTGTCTACATTCAAGAAGGCCGCTCGTTTGCATCCGCTCCCAGAGCGTGAGGGTCTTGGGCTGGGCTGGACGAACCAACCAGTTGGTCTCTGGAGGTACCAGGATCTCTAGATCGCGCAGGGCTACCTCTCCAAAAACTTCCAATACTCCGCAAGACTTCTTGGTTTTTGCGCTTAACCGCACCAGTCACCCGGTCGGTCGTCGAGAGACTGCCAGATGGAGACGGCGCCTCTGCCGGACTGTCTGGATAACTCTCGTACTCATAGTCCTCTGGTTGACCTCGTGGATTTGTGGTACCAGACGCCACCGTTGCACGTCGGGTAGCTCGTCGAGCATGAAACTTTCGTGAGGCAACGGCATTGGAGAAGAGAGGTAGAAGATATCTCTCGTCGATAGCGTGGAACCACGCTTCACCTGCTTGTCTCAGGCTTGTGCTAGAGTTTCCTGCGTCGTCTGTTTGAGATTGTTGATGGTGGTTGTAATAATTGTTGCGGGACATTGGGAGCACTTCGTTGCCTTCAGAGTCGGAAGAGCCAACATCAAAAGTCGAGCCACTGTTCCCCGAGAATGTTCGCGCGTTGGGAGTATGGCCGTTTGGATTACTACGAGACCATCGACGCACATGTTGAGCATTTCTTGCGCGAGGATCCCTGTGGAAAGTTAGTCAAAACCAATAACATGTAACCTCGTACTGACCATCGAGCGCCCGGGGGTCCGGTCCTTCCACTCCTAAGCCAAGCGCGCTCTTCTTCGTCACTACTACTCTCTTCACCTTCCTCAACACCAGTACGGACTCCCATGACCTCGAGCATTCTAGCTGTCGTCCCACCAAACATGATGACGGTCAAAACGACCACCACCAGGACAGTTGTTCGGAGTGCTTCTTGATTCGGACCCGTAAATCCGGCTGCAAGAGCAACTCCTACCGCACCACGGAGACCTGCCCAGAAGAGCATCATCTGGTAAGAGTGAGGCAGCTCCGGACGGCGCTGTCCTCTCCACCGATGGAAAAGGTTGATCACCTCGGATAGCGGGAACACGGCCAAGTACCGGGTCGCAACGACTGCAATTGTTGAGATCAAGATGAAAAGAGGTTTGAAGACGGCAAACTCTCGCGTGAATAAGTTGAGACCGAGGTAGATGAAGATAAAGTTCTCAGATAGCTGTGCGAGGACAGCAAAGAGATACTTTGTCGTTCGCTGGGTTCGCCGCGACATCGTATGGTATGCATAGTGCTTGAGGGTGATGCCGCAGAAAAGAAGCGAGACGATGCCCGACATGTGGAGCCCATTAGAGAAAAAGTAGGAAGTGTACGCGAGAAGCGCGATGAGACACGATTCGATTGATGGGAAGAGTGAAAGATGCGAGTACTTGAGGACGAGCGACGTAAACAGGCCAAAGGCAACTCCCATGGCCATGGAGGATGAAAAGGACAGGATGAAGATCCCGATTCCGCTAAATAGCGAGGTGGTAGATGCTTCCATGCCTCGTAGTTGAGTAAACGTTCTGAGAAATGCATGAGTGCCAGCATTGTGTGAGAAAGGAAAGCCAACGTACTCGTACATAACGATAGATACCGCATCATTCAATAAACTTTCACCAAATATAATGCTGTAGAGTTTCGGGTCGACTTTGTACTGCGTAAAGACGGAGAGGATGGTGACAGGATCTGTGGCGCTGAGAGTCGAGCCGAATACGAGGCAGTCGAGGATACTCAAGTTGAGCCCTTCGAGACCCAAAAGCGCCCAGACGTAGACGAAGGAGCTGCAGGCTCATTAGCATGATGCGGTGCATTGGGCGAGATGCACTGACCCAAGACCCACAGCGGCAATAAATGTGCCAAGGAATGCAAACGTGAGAATGGATCCAAAATTGCGGAAGAAGTTGTCCTGTGCCGAATTAGGACGCGATTCACAGGACGCGTTCTGGTACATACTTGGCGCATTTCGTATCCAGAGTTGAGGATGATTGGAGGGAGTAGCAGGTTAAAGAATAGTGTATGGTTGAAGGACTATTCACGGGGGTTTTCGTCAGCGGATTGTCCTCTCCTTTGCGCATGCGTGGCCGCAGTAGACGTACCAACATTTCACGAATAAGATGACCAGGCGCCAGTCTGACAACCAAGCCAACGATCATTCCAGCAAAAATAGATACGACAGTTTCGTGAATGGCGCGAATCTTTTTGATTTGGAGATAGTATGACGTCCATAGCGAGAGAATGAGGAGCACGCAGACGATGAAGAGCGACCACGAGCTGTAGAGCTCCTCTACTTCACTAGACTCTCTCTTTTCGAGCATATTGGCTAGCCCCAGCTAGCGGAGTGTTTGTCCGGTAGGCAGCACAGGCGGTCGAGGACAAGGTAAGAGGGTGGCAGGTGCCCCTCCCGTCTTTACCAACCCACTCGGTTCTGCAATCAGATGAGTCTTATAAACTCGAATAAAACAAAGACAAAGACCCCAAGAAACTCGAGTACTTCTGGCAAGGAGGCTGAATCAAGGGGGAACAAGGGCAAGAGGAACAGGATTCCAGACGTCCCACTGGGTCTACAAGCCGCGAATAAGCTTGTTTCGCGAGCAGAAGTTCTTCTTGCATTCGCTCAGAGACTCTACCAGCCGGTCACCGATTACAAGAAGGCGACAGCAGACATTATACAGGCTATAATTAACGCAGATGCAGGTATCTTATTGCGATAACATGATATTCTTCCAGCCTCACGAATTTTTAGGTGAAGATGGGGAAAAGGTAGTCGGCCTCCTCAATGTTGCATTGTCTGCCGTTGAGACGCTCCTTTCGCCATGGAAAACGATTCTAATGGACGCTTTTGAAGCCATGGAGCATGCACAAAAGTCGGCAGAGAGAGTACGACAACTGAACCGTCCAGGAGAGATCTCCCAAAGGAGGTCCTCGCTTTGATCTTTGAGTTCTTTGCCTCAGAAGATGAGGGCCTTCCCAGTGAATACGCAGAAGAGAGGACTTCCCATGGTACTCGGGCCTTGTTGTTGACCCACGTCTGCAGCAAATGGAGGCGCCTGGCACATTCCATGCCCTTGATATGGCATTACCATTTCCTCTCCCTTCACTCGACTGTCCTCCCATTTAATCGACTTCGTCACTATGCGCGGCTCTCGGCAAACAAGGAACCATGCTTGACAATCCTAGCAACCAAGCCAATGGACCTTGACGAAGCGACACTGGATCGACTAAAGTCAGTCTATGAAGGGACCCTTGTCTTCTCTAGACTAGATTGCTTCCTCTCGGTGGATAACGCGTCGCTGATGAGCAGGATACTGGCCCGACTACCAACGTCTCGGAGCCTCCGGTTAATTCGTCGCCGCTTGGACGCAAGCCAGACTGGAATCCCCTCCATACTACTACCAATGCGCTTTTTCCCCGTCGTAAAGGAGATGGAACTTCAAGAAGTGGACGCCCAATGGGAAGGCATCGCTTGGTCGCCAAACTCCCTCAGTCAAATGGCCCTAACCTCGTTCACCTTTATATCATCAGCAACAAACCCACCACTTTGGGTTAGCTATGTGCTTCCAAACCTCACCTACCTGCGTTACAACGCGCCAAAGTTCACGACGCAAAACGTTGCACCAACCAAGCTCATCGCAATGCCATTACTAAAAGATCTTTGCATAACCTGGCGTGAGCTGGTTCTCTGGTTCCCACAATGGATCTCCGCACCGCCCATCACACACCTGTCCATCTCCAACTACTGGCCATTCACTTGCAGTAAACAAAAGATCGACGACTGTCGGCACTCAGGCTTTGGTGACACGGTTCGGCACGTCACCTTGCTCTCGCTACGTGGCGGCGACATCGAGGGCATATCCTACTTTATCAACAGCCTCACCCAGCTGGACCGCCTGACGCTGAAAGGAGATGCTACGGATGGTATACTACTGCACCTTTCGTCACAGTCTAGACGTATACTGCACAAGCTGCAGCACCTCGTCGTGTCGGATTATGACGGGCAGGGCGAATCCATCTTTGGATTTGTTGAGTATCGAGGCAAAATATGGGAGACCAACATGAACGTGTCCGTAGCACCACTCCAAACGGTGGAAATCATCGACAGCCCAAACGTTTCAGAGGAAATGCACCAACGGATCCAACAGCTCGTCTACGAATACTCGGTATGTCCCATTCTCTCAGTCTTTGCCAAAACTAACCAATCGAGATAGGACTAAACCAGTGGTGGACAAGATATTAAGAAAGCTAATGCTACAAATAGAGGCTCGATTCTTCAACCTTAGAAAGTGGATCTATAGTCACGCGACAAGGTATAAAACTCTCGCCTACTCAACGTGGATATGCTCTTGCCCTTGTTCGCATTCTTCGTGGCGGCTTTTCTAGTGTTGGGACTGAGTGGACGAGGGGGAGGCTGACTGGTATATGTATACAAGTTCGCCGAGGTTGAAGCTTTAGGTTGCTCGGTAAAGTCCCTCTTTGCAGATGTGGCCTGGTTGGAGGTAGGGAGTGGTTTGACATTGTTGCTTGTCCGTACCCGCCGACGTTCCATGTCACGAATCGCGGTCTGTGCTTGTTGCTCTGCGCGTTCTTTCAAAGCAGTCATGGCATCCTTGTACGAGTTTCGCCAAGCGCTAATAAACGGTTCAAACTCGTAGGTTTTCGGGTCCTGAACAGGGACCTTTTCCAGTCCTGCCAGCCGTTTCACAACCGGGATTCTCCTGACATAGGAGTGGGCCAGGTGAAGGACAACCCCGATCCAGGTGACCAATAGCTGCGCTGCGGAGAACTGTATGACCAGTCCAAGCACACCAGCAATAGGTGTTATTAGACTGGGCATTCGCTTGAGCCATTTGGTTTCTATCGGCGAATCCAGAGCCGAGCGTCGGGTATTGATCCACGTGGTCGCCGTTAAGAGGACGAGCAGGGTAGGGCTAAAGGTTGTCAAGTCCTCTAGGAATCCCGTCCCAAACAGTCCCCCAGGATAAGTGAGTGGTCCAGTGCCACCCAGCTCAATGACCTCGCGGTGATACTGGGCGAGTTTGCCTGCACCTAGGAAGGCTCCTATTCCCGTGTACATGAAGAGGAACACAGGGGGGAGGCCAGCAAATGGTTTCATGTTTGAAACTCGCCTAATCTCCTGCATCCGTGCGACCCCTTCGTAAAGCTTGATCTGGTCTTCTTCCAGCTTAGCCTGTTGTATCTTTCTCATAAGTTCCGGCCACTCTGCTTGATACGGCGCAAATCGTGCCTGTGCCTTTAGGGATCTCCACTGTAATGGAATGATTGGGATTCGAAAGAGGATGACAGCGAGCGTCAGGCATACGACCGGCGTGCCCAGCTCCAGAGCCTGAAGCCATTCCATGTGCTGAAACCACGAGGTAGCGCGAAGAAAAACTCCAGATGGCCATCCCCATGAGAAGAGATGTGAATAGTCATTGCTCGCCAACTTTGCAGCTTCCGACGCCACGACGGCAAAGCCTTCGCTGGCTCCGAGAGTATCTATAGTGGCATTCGAAACGTTTGCTGTCGCAGAGATTGGCTCGCTGGGGACGGCTGCCAACGTATCCGCGGCAGAGGGTGTGGATGCGGTATGCTGAACGGCAGCAGAGGTGCCAACGTCACTTGATGATGAGGTCATAGACTGTGCTGATAAAGGCTGAGGTGCTGCGCTTTCCGTCCCAGCTGCTGGTTTCGACGACCACCAAAATGTTCGTGCGTCTTGAATCCGCGAGGGTCGAGTGACTGCCTGTCTGCTGCGAGCAGCTGAAATTAGACCAAGTTTCTGAAATAAGGACGTCAGCTTGTTGATATGCGCCTATGAATTTGTCGTACCGGCGTCGTCGAAAATTGTCTAGAGGTCAGAGTAATCGCTACAGAACGCGTCCCATGAGTTGGAAAGACAGACCTCCACTGTTTAAAAAGGATAGTTAGCATATACGCACTTCCTCTGGCCGCCATTGCTTGTGTAAACGAACCTGCTGGTGCTGGAGCAGTTTCTTCATGATTAAACGAGGCCTTGTAACGAATTAAGGGCCTTTAAAGCTTGAAAACGAAGGACGAGGATACACGAAGTCGAGGTCAACGGCAAGCTATAAGAGGGTCCAGGTCCAGATTGAATACAACTACTATTCCTAAAGGCCATTACATAAAGCACAAAGGGGATGTTTACTACAGCAGATAAACATGTAACAGTCCATAAAAAGGAGCGATCAAGGAGCCAAAGTCCGAGAGTGGGATAACGTCCACAGCTAGAGCTGTAAATTGGGAGAATCCTTGTCAAAGTCAACAGTTGCCAGAAAATTGGCGAATTCTGCTGCACTGTCCATTGGACCGGCCGTCTTGGATTCCTTCTGAGACAAAGTCTGAGCTCCTTCCTTGCTCTTCGCGACCGGTGCCTGCGTAGACTTGGGTTCTTCGGGGATGATGCTGTTTGTTGGAGGGGTTGAAACCGGTGAGGGAGTCGATTGACGTGCAGGATCTCTTGTCTTTGATTGACGAGGCTGGCTTTGAGGCGTTGGGGAAACAGACTGCCAGTTTGCCGTGTTCTGAAACATGGATAGTGACGGAAATAGAGCTGAACCAGCCCATGTCACCCCACCACCAACCGTCGCGGTTGTGTGTAGTCGCGACGCTTGGGCCGCTGCAGACTTCCTCTGTGCATTCGAAGAGACACCAGGAGTAGAGGAAGTCGGCACGCTAGTATTCTCTTCTCTGTTTGGGTTCGGTACAGACAGAGGGTGTTGAGGTACGCCAGCACTGGGTGCTGACGGTAAAGCCGTCGCTGGTAGCTCATTGGATTCGTTAGACGCTTCCAATGTCTTGGCTTCTTGAGTCTTCATTAGGTGTTGTACTGGTAATGGGACCGCGGGACCGCCCGGTTCAACAGCACGAGGAGGTTGTCCTGCTGGAGGCGAAGGAATTCTACGAGTTGGAGGAAGCGGAGTAACCTTCTCGCTCTGTTTGATAGGCTGGGGTGTCTGTATGTTTGACCTGTCCTGAGCCGTCTCGGGTGTCTCTTGCCGTGTTGCCTCGACCTGAGACATAGGGTTTCTAGGTAAAGCCACCAAGTTTGATGAGTCCTCCCGAGGTGATGCTGACATCGGTGCGGTGTCATCAGCAACCGGTGATACTAGTTGCGGCTCTTCGACCACAATCAGGTCTGGAGGAGTGACCACGTCTGCATTGGCGCGTATTGTCTCTGGATGTTCTTCAGCCACTAGAGAACTGCCAACTCTGCGAAGCCGCTGGTCTGGTTCTTGCTCCGAAGATGCCGACTGTTTCGTTGAGATGCTCGCGGCCTTTGCGGAGGCTACATGCGAACCGGCACTGCTAACTCTTGAAGAGGCTCTGCGCCTTGTGAGACGCTCCAGTTCCGATATCGGGGGTGGAGGAAGCAGGTCAAGATGGTCGTCATTGGAGGCGACTTCTCGACTCGAGTGACTGGAATCGACAGTCTCAGCCTTGTTTGCGAAGCGAGTCTCTGGCATTTTCGCACGGGCCATCAATTCTTCTGCGTAATGCTGCCAGATGAGAGACAACTCCGCGTCCCTTTCCACTTGGTCACTCCACGAAGCGTTTCTCTCCGCGAATGCGAACAGTCGTAGCGACTCCTCACACCATTGGATAAGCGCTTCGACAGATTCGTTGATTTGATCCTCTGGAGGAACACCCTGAAGCACACATAAGGACGGCATCTTTTCAGAACAGCTTCTAAGCTCACCTGCAACGCTCGCTTGAGCTCTGTGACGCCTACTAGGGCCTCCGAGATCCAGCCTTTCGACGAGCAGACGTCGACCCACCAGAGCAATTTGTGGCTGAAAAAGTCGAGCATATCCTCCCGCAAGGGACTCCATCGCTCCCCGCCCGTAGCGGCAATCGACATAAATATATTTGAGCCCGCATCTGGGTCAATGGAGCGAAGTAGCTGCGCACAATGGCGCGGCCATCTACGGCACGCATAGAGTAGATCGTCGGGCACAGCTTGAGTAGCCTCTATTGCGACTCTCCGGCGTTCAGGCTTATTTGGGGGCAAATTGTCCGCGTTAATATCCAGCTTCTCTCCGTCGCTGCGGATAATGTCGAAACACGCCCGAGCTAGCATCTCGTGTGCGCCTTGCTTAGAGGGCGCGACGACAAATCGAATATCGTCTTCTTCCTCCGTAGACTTTCCTGTCAAACTACTTAATAGCGTTGGCGGATGCGGTAGGCGAATCCAATCGAGAAATGTAGGATGTTTTGTTTTTACAAGTGCACTGGATTGTGCACTCTTAGTATCGCCATCTGGTATATCTGCGTTCAATACCGTCGATGGTGAGTCGCTTGGGAAGACAATCCGTTTTTGGGAGACGATGGAATCAAGAGCGTTGTTTCGACAGTGAGATCTTGTCCACGAACGCGTGTGGCATCAGATCTTCTTCGTGCATTTGAATGCGCTGATTTGCTCCTGGCGGGTGAAAAGGAGGATTCCCGTGCTTTTGACCGAGATCGCTTGCTGGATTTTGGCAGCGACATTGAAGAAGTAGCTCCAGATGTAAGCTGGGTGCGAGATGAAGAACGCATGTCATGAGCCATCAGACCCCGACCTGCTCGCGGTTCCGGCGTGGCAATGTCCATTACGATTTTGAGCAGCTTAATGACCGTCAGAGTATGTTCCAGTTCGAAGCCGGTAAGACGGGCTATGGCTCCAACGGAAAGTATGTCGAAAGAGTAGCCGACTGCAGCAAGGATGCGTGCAATCGCATTCTTAGGATAGTCCCCGCCTCGCTTATTGATGACATCTAGCGACATCTGTGCCCGAAGGACGAGCTCGAGGTACAAGCCGTTGATGTCACCAAGCGCGTCCTCCTCGACAAGATTCAATAGCATTTTTGTCGGATTGTCGGTCAGAAGTACCATCTCAAACGCCAGCTTTGACCACAGAATCAACCCGTCTGCTTTTTTTGTAAGCATGCGGATTGTTGGTTCGATTAGGGCGGATCGAAATCGTTTGCTTGCGTGAAGCTGGGCAGAGTGGAGGTGGAACTGAGCGGTGAGATAGAGAAGAATATCGGCCATGTTGGAAGCAGAATGAATATTGATAGAACCTTGTACGATATTGCCTCCTGCACCAGTTGGTTGTCCCCCGGAAGGATAGGAGGATTGAAGAAGCTCAGAGAGAATGTCATGATCTTCATCACTGGTCGGTAGCGGACTGATAATCAGAATCTTCACCCCAGAGGCTGCGTTGATCGACTTCAAGGCACGGAGCACTTCCCTCCGCTCGCCGTTCCCGGAGGGGATTGCTTCCATGTGGTCGAGAACGAAGACGACCTTCGCTTGAGGAGACAAGTCATACTTGCTCCGTTGCAAGTGTTTCAGAGGAGTGAGGATGAGGGACTGAAATTGGGCGGCAAACGTGCGGGATGGGGAGTTTGGAGCTGTACGATGGAGTGAAGAGATCGCTCGGAGGATGGTGGTCGTGAGCTCGCTATACGAAGCTGCGAGTTGCTCGGCCCATGCCTCGCAGATGGCGTTGGTCATTTCACCACACGGGGCCGCATAGCTGGACTCCTCTTTGTCGGTTCTCTCCGCTGATTCTTGAAACGAGGAGGATTGTTTCGGAGGTTGCCGCTGAGCCGATAGCACAGTAGCGCAATCGAAGTAGCCGCCGAGAAGACCCCGCTCGAGCCATTCATCGGCAAGTTGTAAGGCAATGGTCGACTTCCCCGAGCCCGACACGTCGGCAAGCCAGTAGATCAAACTATTGCTGGATTGCTTGGACGAAGACGCAATACTGGTGGCCCACTGGTCAATTTCATCGAGGATCGGAATCCGTGTACCAGGCCAGCAATGTAGTAGTGGCGTCGCTTGTCCAAGAAAGGGTTGATTGCCAAAGGGTAAGGTGAATTGTGATGGCGAGGGCGATGAGGGTCGAACAGCCAGAGGTGAACCTGTCAATGACGTTAGTTGCCGATATGAGGTGGGTGATGGGGATTGGTTTGCATTGAAACAGGTCCACTCCGAAAATTCGTCACGGGTATGAATCAACCACTCACTTGAAAATCCAGATTCGAAGTGGAGACTGCGCCGCCGCTCTCGCGTCGGTTGGGATTTTCCAATAGCTGCCTATTCAGATTTAGAATTCGAGCGCGTGGGTCGTGGGTAGCGTACCATTAAGTTCTTGAACTCGCCGTCAATCATCAGGGTCAGGTTCTGGAGTTCTCGCCTATCTCTGCTTCGGAGAATGGACTTGACGAAGAGACCTCGGTGTGTCAACTTGGTAAGGCCGTCCTGCGCAAGAGAGATAGCACTAAAGTGACCGGGAACGCCGAAATGAGGTGCTATATGGTAGATTCGGGGGATAAGGCTTACTTGGTGTACCGCGAGATTGCGTCTTGGAAGAGGACTTGCATCTCCTGGTCGTCACTGATCCCTTCTACACCAGTTTGACGCGAGAGTTCATGGTGAATGGTCGATACATGATGTACAATCTTCTCCGCGAGCTCCTCTCCAATGTCTTTGTTTACTTTCAGAGTCTGCGAGTATGTAGCGGACCGACGGGATGAAGAAAAGAATACGCGGTGAGCTCAAAGAAGATGATAGGCAGGATAGCAAGTTGTAAATACCTTGAGCTTCTCGAGCTGGTCGATCGCCACCTCGAGCAACGACAAGCTGGAGACTGGGAGTGTAGAAGCCTGCGTAGCTTCCCGTAGAAGCTTTGTAGAAGTGATAAGGGATTGAAGTACGCCATAATACTCTTGCTCGCGCGACAACGAGCTCGAGGTGACGTGAGGAAGTCCAATGTTCATCGTGAGACCGTTTCCAACGTGCTTTTGGAAGTTAATCTCTTCGTGTATGCGAGATATGTTGGCCAAGACGAGTCTAACGACGGTTAAACAAGCAAAGAGAAGCGCTCGGAGGCCGATAAATGGATTTCCCACAGATGTTACCAAACTTTCCGTCCGTGTTTGTTATATTTCGTGCCGTCTTTGGAGCCTTCGAGGACACGACGCAGATGCGGGGGAATCCAAGAGGTCGGTCTATTGCTTCCGGCTCGTGGACTTAAAGCCGATGGATTACAACACTGAAACTCAAGAAGCTGGTTATTAGACTTCTGACGGCTTTATTCCGTCCTGCAGCATGGGGTTAGAAGACTGTTAATAAAGGAGGTCACCGCTGTCTCGCAATCGAAGCTTTTGACATGGACGGTGGTCACGCGGGTTGGATGACTAGTGCCTAGAAGCTAGAAGCCTGAACAATTTCTATAAATACCCATAAGGATCCTACACCGAACGAGCCGGCAGCCCTTGAAAGCTCCATCAAACGAGGCTGGAGCTAGGGCAAAATGTCAGGAGCTTCCGAGAGATTGGGCACGGGCCTTGCTCATGAATGAAGAAGGCGTCGTCTGTTAGCGACGACGCTTCATGGCAAACGGTCCCTCATATCCGTTGACCTCTTCTGGACTATTCGCATCCCGCCATCGTCCGACGAAATTCTCGCCCCCAACGACATATCCAGTATAAATCCACGTCGCTCGGTTTGGCTGTCATTCTGTCAGCCTTCTTCTCGACTAGCCTCGACGCCCGTGACGTACGTAATTCTTCACCAATGTGATCAACCCATCATGGGCGCGTACACGACCACGTAGTGTTGCTTCTCCCCACGCCGAAAATGACTTTTTGAAATTATTAGTGACCTAAGGGTGGATGAGGGCACGGACCTCTCCGAATATGAGAATATCTCGAACTTGTCTCTGAGCCTTGACGCTAGTTCCAATGGACGGCAGAGAAGCAGCGGTCGAGACACTATTGACCATGCCATCCGTACCAGCGCCCGTGACGGAGGCGCTCTGAGCATACTGCGGCTGGTAACCCCGGATATTGGTGGATGCACTTGAATGGCTCATCGATCCAGTAGCAGACGTTGACGAGCTGCCTATGGCGACAGGAGGATTCGGACCCCATATCGCATATTTGGCCCACGCGACGTTTGGGTCCCACCGCACATACTTGGACACGTTTTGGACCGACCTCACTTCCTGTTGCGGCAAGGCGTTTCCATCATCCAACGTGAGAGGCGCGTCCTCTTGCACGCTCTCGCTCACCCTCACGTTATCGAGGATCGAGTCTGGAGCAGTTTCGAGCGTATCACGACGGAGCTGTTGTCGAGGAGTTTTCTCTTCGACTGGTATCGGCATTGGAACTGACAATTCCCCATTTGTCTGCAAGGGCAATTCGTCGCGACCGTATACAGGTGGTAGAGGTTTCTCCTGTCCATTTACCTTCGGAGGAACAGGGAAAGAGATATCTCCTTCCTCTCCAGATGACGGGGTATCCTTGTCGCGATGCGAGGTAGAAGATGCAAAGCCCAATAACCCACCACTCTGCCGCTTGTCCTTCTTTTTACTCTTGCTCCGCCATCCCCAACTAAAGGGTCTCGACTTGACTCCTGCACCAGATGATGATCGCACATCGGGAGAGCGTGGAGAAGACGTCGGGCTGGTAGCCGTCGAAGGTGGTGATAAAGGCAGTGGGGAAGTTGGTGTCGAAGATGTGGCACCATGTGCTGGCGGTGATGATGACGAGCGAGCAATGTCCACATCTGCCCCAGATGGGGGAGCACGCGCCGCGACCACAAGAGGCAGTGGACTTGTATTCCCTAGAGGACCTTCCGGCTGAAGATTGATATTCCTACCCATTGGTGTAACAGATACGTCCGTTGTCATATCGCTAGCCTCTCTTTCAATCACATAGCTTCCAGGTGTGATCGTTGGAATGGTTCCATTCGTCGCAGTTGACGCATCGGAAAGCGTAGGAAGAAGATTTGGTGGGCGGGTACGCTGATTAACCCGCCCACGCACTTTTCCAGCGAGCCCTGCCTGCTCGCTAGCCCACTCTCCGTCTGCATCCAGCGACTGACTCCTTGAAGACAGAGCCCCATTCGCGACACCAGAATTCGAGGGAATAGTCGCATCATATGTCGTGGACTCCTGTGGAAGACTGGTAGGACCATAAAGCGGTACCGTCTCAATAATCTCCAACTCGTCACCTCCATCGTCTGGGAAGCGCCACTCCAACGTCTCCGCAGGCGGCAACCAACCATCTTTCCACTTGCCCACTGACAGCGGTGGATTCGATTCGAGGAAAGCCGCATGAGACGCGGTGTCTGGGTGACTTGCCGCGAATTTTGCAGCAAAAGAAGGCGAGTTATGCCTCCCACCTGGGCTCATCGAACGCGGCGCATTGCTGCTCGTTGATGGGGAAAGATGCGAGGCAGGCTCTGGATAAGTCTGGAGCTCGTACTCTTTCAACTTCCAAACTTGTCGGTTCCTCCCGTATAGCTTGTCCGACGTGCAATTGTAGAAATTGGTATCCGCTTCTCGTTCCCCAGTAAGGAATTGAGCATACTCTTCGAATTCGACAAACTAGACCCGTTAGAATGTTTGGAGGAACAAAGTCACATCAAACGTACGAGGAATCCACCTTCCCAAGTCCCCTCCAACGACCCAGGAATGAACCCATTCGGCACTCCGACGCCGCTCCCAGGCCCAGGTCCCTGGAACCTCATCTGTCCCTCCAGTCTCCTTGTCCACTCTTGTTCAAGTTGACGGCTCGCGACATTGAACCCTCGCTTCCACAGCGCATTGCGAAACACTTTATTCAACCGCGGCTGAGGAGGTCTCTGCTGCGGAAGAAATGCGGAGGCATCGAGCTGAACCTCTGGTGGGATAGCGAAAAGGAGCGGCGTTGTCCACCCATGGTGATCTCGTAACGCGGGTATGAAGCGCGCGAGGGAAGCAAAGCTGCTGAACGTTGTACTAGTGTTGTTCGTTGTGGTACTTTGTGTGAGCGAAAGAGTCTTGCTTGTCAGGGCTGAGGGGTCGATTTCGTCTACGCCACCTGCCCGGGGTGAAGAGCCGACCGAGTCTGTACGACTCGTCGAACTCTGTGTCTGATTATTACGTGTATTGCTGGCAAAGTGAACTTCTGCAACCGCGTCTTCCTCTTCAGTTGGGCTGTCCATCATTCTGTTCCTTGTCGCCAGCGATGGATCGTGTTCCGTCCCGTCTTCCGCACCACCAAAGTACCACAGTAGCGCACCAACTGCGAGACTGGGTTGGTAGATGTAGATGGTGCGCGCATAGATTGTAATCGCATATAGCGGATCATTGGAGTATTGGTAAACTGGAGCGTCTAGAGGCGGTGTCCATGACGCATAACGCGAAGACGTATAAGGGTTCAACGGGTAGGGTAGAAGTGCGGTTGGTGGGATCTGGTGGGACCATTTTGAGGGGTCGAGAGCGACTGGGTGATGAAGATACGTGGGTGGAAAGATACCAAGCGAGTACTAAAACAGTGAGATTTGACTAATGTGATATAATTTACTTACTCTAAACGATGCAAAGACAAATGCGCGCATCGCAGACTTGGTCTTATGGAAGAGCTCGGGGTCTAAGAACTCGTCCGCTACACAACTTTCAGTATCAGTGTCCAGATAAATGAAGACGTCTTACGCGATGGATCCACAGCCCAAAGCAACCATACCAACAACGCTCGCTCGGGCGTCTCTTTTGGCCAACCCGGTCTTCGAATCATTGCCCGACCAAAGAAGACTGCACACATCATCTCGAGAAACGAAGTGAACCGCACCCCAAGCGTGATCAGGACGGCATTCTTGCCGTCGTTTTCCAGCAGCATGAAATAGAATGTCCAGAGATCCGCGAGCAAATCCGACTCGGAGTAGTAAGCCTGCCATGTCGTGGAGCGGTATCCATCTAGTTCACAATGACTATCAGTACCCCTCCTCTGAAGAATATGAAACAAGACGGGACCAAAGGGACGCACCGCGCAACCAAATCCGAATGGCATTCCTCACGCGTCGAATTGCCGCCCACCTCTTGCGTCCCTCCCACGCAATCCCATGCGGACCAGCCCACAGTACCCCCAATCGTCTCCTTGGCGCGTCGAAATCCATCGAACGCTCAAATACTTGGGCATACAACCACGCATTCCCATCTATATATCGCACTTCTTCGTATATTCGCTTACACGTCCTTGCGAGTCTAGCGAGAATCGTCGGTGGTCGGGTGTCAAAATATTCAGACACATAGCGTGCGTCGTTGGGTCCATATTCCGCCTCTTGCTCACCCACTGTGTCTTCCTGTGTCTTAGAACAGGTAGCATGTGACAGTTGGGACGTGCAGTCATTGGAGGTTTCGGCGGGGATAACGCTATCTTGGCCATTGGAACATGGTTTCTTATGGCGGAGCGTGGGAGGTGGGAAAGGCGTGACGCTGAGTGAGATAAAGGGACACGAGAATAGGATTATTCGGTGTAGAATCTCTGGCGGCAAGCGATCCAACATTGTCGTCTCGTCGGAGTCTTTTGCCTTTCTTCTTCCCTTTTCTCCGCGTATAGAACTATTTCTCCTTTATATTTTTAGATGATTGACCGCTATACGCACCCCGCAGGGCGTAGGGGTCGAAATAGACCGAGGTGGGCCGGGCCAAGTGTGCGTATTCTCACATTGCACAAACACGTAAAAGCTGACAAGTAAACTGATAAGCGCGCGTACTCTTTCCGTTCTCCCAATCAATGATAGAAGCCCCGAGCCCGCTCAGTGTGCGCTTATTACCTGACGGCGGAGAATCGGACAGCCCAGAAAGTGCATTCATCAATAGGTACAGTCTACCAGCTATATATTTACGCCCGCTTGGTCGCCAAGAGCAGACAAGCTCTTTGAATAATCTGATAAGAATGTGAGCATGGGGCATTCATACAAAGAATAATAAGAAGAGATCAGAGATTCGATGAAATATCGACAAGCACGCGCCCGTCTCCTTTTTGTACACCAGAGACATGGTGGACGCGCTCCGTCCGCCCATCGAAAATGGTTCATCACAGTAGTCGAGTGGCCAGAGAAATAGGCAGAGCTATACGCACCTCGAGATACTATTCACGAACACACCTCTTCCATATGGCAACTACAGATACAGAGAAGAGTCAGCACTCGGTCAAGTAATTAGAACACGAAGTGAAGACGAGTCGACGGCTCAGATAAGGCTGAAAACGTAGAGTCGACAGTATAATTCCGCCAGTAAAGGTTTGAGTATGGTATTACGCGTTGTATCGTCACCGCCGTCGACTCGTCCTTCCATCAAGGAAGAAAGTGTGCATAAAAGACGTCAAGCATACCATCGGACACTCTCAAGAGAATAGGACGCTCGAATGTCCGACGAATCCTATACAAAAGTCGGGCCTTTGCCAGAAAGCGCCATCATGGTCAAGTCCAAAGTTTCGACTGTTTGTTCATCACAAAGTCAAAGCAAGCTCAATGTCGCAACGAGTCCAGTTTATCAAATGTTTTTTGTGTTATCCATGAGTGGCGTTACCGTACATCATGAGGGGGGATATCATTAAAACGTTGTCTATCGCCGACCATTATGTCTTGCTTTCAATTGTACATTTCCTCCAATTTGCATCCAAAGATTGGGAATCCGTCTAGGCCACGACGGTAGTCTATACTCTCCAAGTCTTCTTCTCCTTTGCCGTGATCATTCGTGCAGCAATGAGGAGGAAGAAACCGAGGAACATGAAACCCTAAACCATCATGAGCAAACGAAGAAGGAAAGAGGAGGAGACATACCGCCGAGAGACCAATAGGTCTACTCCACTTGAGCTCATTCGTGAGTAACGCACCCATGATAGGTGTACCCGCGAGCCCAGAAAATGCAACGACGGTAAATGCAAATCCGAGACGGATACCAATCTCTGAGATGCTGCGCGAGAGAGTGGCGAATAGGGGGCTGATCAAGGAAATGTCTGTCACTCAGCGTTAGCAAACCGCAAATCAAGATCGTAAGAGAAGGAAGACGCACAGGCACCACTAAAGATGCCATAAAGTACGGCAATAACAATTATTCCCGCCGCAGTCTTTGCGGCGAGTAGACAGATGATGAGGATTGCGCAGGAGATTGTGCATACGATGATTGTGTTGAAAGGGCCCCAGATATCGCCAATAAAGTTTGGTACGATACGACCGATAATCGAGCCAGCGTTGAGGATCGTGAGTGTGTAGAATGCGAGCGTCGGATCAACGTTGTGATTGATGGAGTAGAGCTGCATGTAGAAGACTATTCATCGTCAGAATTGTCCGCATCCTTATGCGGGAGATAACTTACTTGGCGTAAAGATTCCGAGAATGTTGACGAACGCACTAAAGCAGCGTCAGTAGAGACCTTGCGTTGAAAGGAGCACGTACGCAGCAATAGTCAGCATGTACTTTGTATCCTTGAGGAGCTCGATCATCTTGGGCGGCGGCGGAGGGGCTTCTCCTCCGGGGGGTGGAGGAGGCATCTTGCTACGGGGAGGAAGCCTCGTACGCATGCACACGAGTGCAATAGCCATCAATCCAGTGCACAAATACGCCGCGGAGCGAGTGGCCTGTGCAAACCCTTTACGCTCAATCAACTTGTTGAGCATGATCGGGAATACGACACCACCACAACTGCTCCCCGAGACGACGATGCCCATCGCAAAGCTCCTACGACGCCTAAAATGGTGCGCAATGACACCAATGGATGGGAGGAAGAGGAACCCGAGAGCAATTCCTGCGCCAAACCCTTGGGCGAGGAGGACTTGGTAAAAGGCATTGGGGTGCGTAAGGGAGAGCATATAGTACGAAAAGATGTAGAGAAGGCACGAGGCGGTCATCATTGGGTAAAAGTGACCCCCGTCAAAGAGTTTGCCGGCGATTAAGCCCATTGAGAACTGGAAGAAGAGTTGGACGGAGCCGATCCAGCCAATCTCCGAGGGCGTGTAATCCGTCAAGAAATGCCGGACGTAGAAATCTTGATAGACACCGTACTGGTCGAAACGTTAGCAACGAGGCTAGAAGCGGGGGAAAAAAAGAAAAGAGACGTACGGCGTTGGTCATACCAAATGTGCAAAAGAGAATGCACCATCTACAGAAATGGTCAGATGACTTGTAGAGAAGAGGGAGTTGACGTACGCGCCAAAGACGGTCAACCAGGCAGTTGGCCCCTTGTCCCAGGTGAGCTCGATGGGAGCTGGGAGACCATCCCGTTGCTCCTCGATATCCTTTTGCTGCTGCTTCTCAAGATCCGTCTCTGGCTTGGTCTCGAGGCCGTGGGTAGGCGTATGGACAGCCGTACGCTCGTCGATTGTTTCTGCAATCTCGACGTCGACATTGTCCACTGTTTTTGACGTCTTTTTCTCGCTTTCCATCGCCGACATTTGCGCCTCTACTTACGGAAGGGGGGTTTCCTGGCTAAAAATAGGCAGACGAGCGCGACGCGCTGCTAGACCGAGGAAGTGGACGGGGACAAGAGCCGTCGAACGATAGTTGAGACGGCCAAACAACGGCGACGGAGGCAGATATATAACCCAGAAGGCCCGGCCGTGGTTGCGGCAGGCATCGAAGCACAGACCAGGGCGCTTCACATATTTGTATTCCCACCTGACAAATCATCTCCCGATTACTCTGTTACGCCCTCTGAATGAACGCTCGGAGGATGACGAACTCCCATGAACCTCCACGGTGTTGTAATTAGGGGTCAACGCTGGTCCTTGTGCTCTAGCCACTCCGAACCTCGGAGTTAGCCCAACCAAGGCCGCCCTGATGAATAGCGACTATAAATATCTGACAGGTATGACAAACAATCTGACCCTTCGAGCTGTGCGAAATGTATCCAAGGACTAACTCTCTTCCGACGGCCCATTGCCGTCTTCACAGGCAAAGAATTCACAGAAAATTCAATTGGCTGCGGTCACTGGTGGCGATCTCTACTTGCTCCCGACCTCATGTCCTCTCAGACTCCAGCCCAACAATGTTTCCGCGTGCAGCTCCCTACAGAGACATGGCAAACAATTCTACGATACACCATATCTGTCCCACTCTTCTTTGATACAGATCCAGCTGCATCCTACGGCCTTGCCGCTGTTCGCGTCTATCACGATACTTCAGCATACTGGGATTCTGAGCGTACGAGGAACAAGCTCCGACGCGTATGCTCGTCTTGGAACATATATCTTCAATGCTTTGCACACCGTCTGGTCTGTCTTGACGATATAATTCACAATCATGTCCCCATTACGGCCATACCACTCGCATATAGAATACACTTGGCCAGGTGTACCTGCATGTTGCATTATAACGAGACTTTGGACGCTCTCGCATCTGGTATCACAATGTCTGATCTTGAGTCAATTTCCGACCAATCATGGAAGGTAAAGATTGTAAAAGTAGACAGATGGATCCATGAACCCCCTTTACTTACTCTCCTTGCCTCCAAATCCTGTGTTCAGGTGTACATTCGGCCGTGGTCAGAACAGGGGAATCCGATCATCGAAAAGCACTGTTCTTCTGAACTACGTTTCTACTCCGGCGGGCAGCCAACAAATCTTTCTTCTGCACGAAACTTATCCACACTCAATTTCATACTAAAAGGGCCGTTTCCAATGCCCGCTATGCCCAACCTCAGATACCTTTCGATCATTACGAAAGTATCCAGTCATCGCGTCTTCATTTTCGACTGGCTCCGTCACATCGGAGGTCAGCTCCTATCTTTCTTCTGGAAAGATTTAACATATGGAGCCAAGTTTTCTATCCCTATCTGGACCCTTTGTCCTTCTATCACTTCGCTCCAGTTACCCTCCAATAGCTCATTGATAGCTCCACCCGATACACATCCAGTCAACTATCTCCGTTTTGGACTACGTTACGGAAGATCCAGAAATCACTCGCGGTGTATACACTGTCCTCTCTCCCATCCAATCCCCATCCTCGATGACAGTAACTCATTTTATGATATCGTACGCTATGGAAATATCAAAACTGCTTCCTTTGATCGCTCATGGCGCGAGCTTTTGGGCCATCTTGATGTAGGGGGCGCTGTGGAGTGTTGCTATCAATGGTTGAAGCGACATGGGATTCGTTTCGTTGATGTGGATTGGCTGTCATTTGAGGACTATATTGTCCAGGAGTTGGAGATGGCCAGAGGACTGCGGGTGACGACAGGTATCTTGAGATTCTGCTTCTAACTCCTGAAGTCTCAGAGTGTAAAATCTAAAATAATTCATCCCAACGTGAACCTCGAGAAGAAAAAGCTTGTTTGCAATGTATATATTGATTTCTTTCTCATCCACTGCTCACGAGGGATGCTGGTACCATCATTGAAGGCACAGCCAGTTGCGAGACTATCAATAATGTCCTTTTCGATGAACCGTAGGCGATGATGTTCCGCTATTTCGATAGCGCGAGGGACGTGGAGTGTCGCTATCAGTGGTTGAGGTGCTGGGGAATTCAGCGTGTTGACATAAATTGCTTGACGTTTGAGAAGTATGTTATCGCCGAGTTGGAGATTGCAAGAGGGCCGCGGGTGAGTACGGGTTTGGGGTTTGCCTTCCAGACCAAAGGTTTGGTATGTACGAAAATGGAATTGAATACGAACGTCGTGCAGTTACCAATATGGATTCGCAACTAAGGCTTGTACTACGACTATACTGGCGTAAAGGTCGGAACAGGCCAATATTGTAAGTCAGACCACCCCTGTATCTGCCATACCAGGGGTAATTTGAGTCATCCAAGTCATGTGAGGCCTCTCCAAGCGCCAATCATCTACCGACGATCCTATCTTGCTTTTTCACGTGCAACCCACCCCACAAACTCAATTGGATATGGTGTCCAGTGGCGATTTCGACTTGCTCCCGTCCTCATGTCCTCTCAGCCATTACCTGGACGGCCAGAGCGCATTTATCTACCCACAGAAATATGGCAAACGATCCTTCGACACGCCATTTTCGTCCCGCTCTTCTTTGACACTGATCCTCTCTCGTCCTATGGCCTTGCCGCTCTTCGCGGCTATTATGATATGTCCGGATACTGGGACTCTGAGCGTACGAGGAACAAGCTCCGACGCGTATGCTCGTCTTGGAATGCATATCTCCAACACTTTGCGCACCGATTCGTCGCGCTCAAGGACGTTGTCCACAATCATGTTCCTATAGCGGCCCTACCGCTCGCATATAGGATTCACATGACCGCATGCAAGTGCTTCGCGTGCATAAACCATGGATTGCAGAATACGGGTCACCTAGCCTCAAGCGTCTCAAGATCTGACTCCAAGGAACCAGTTGACCGGTCGTGGAGAGTAGAGATTTTGGAGATTGACCACCATTGGCTCCGGGAAGACGCCCTTCTGAAGATTCTCGCGTCAAAATCTCATGTGCGGGTGTATATCAGACCGTTATTGATCAAGGTGAACAAAACCATCGAACACCAGTCCTCTTCAGAGTTGCGTCTATACAGTGGTCTACCCGGGACGGAGATTTGCTCTGTGCAGAACCTATCTACACTCCGACTCGCCCTGGACACCTCCCTTGTTTCAACAATCCCTCCGATGCCCAATCTCAAACATCTCTCTGTCATTTTCACCGACAGGAGAATTCCCGGGGACGCGACTTGCTCATCAACTGGCTTCAGCAGATTGGCCACCAACTCCTCACCTTGTTTTGGGCGACCGGTGAACGAGTCAATTACAAGCTCCCTATCCCTATTTGGTCACTTTGTCCATCTATTACCTCGCTTCAACTCCCAAGCGACACTCTCTGGTCATCCCCACCGCCTACACACCCAATTACGTACCTCCGACTCAACTTGGGTCCGGATAGGAACGAAAATCGTTCAAAATGCGCCTATTGCGATCTATTTCACCCAATATTGACTCGCTACGCCGGTGCTCCTATCGACGATATCGTCCGCTGTGGGAATATAAAAACAATCTCTTTTGATCGATCATGGAGCATGATGCTGTTCTATTTTGATGAAGGAAGCGACGTAGCGTGTCGTTATTGGTGGCTGAGAGCCATGGTATCCGTTACGTTGACGCAGATTTGTTGACGTTTGAAGACTATATTATCTCCGAGCTGGAGATTGGAAGGAGCCTAAGAGAACTCCACCAAGCAGGCTCTTCCTCTTCTAGTCTTAGTCTTCTCGGTAAAACTAGACACAACGTCCAATCTCGAGCCCTTTCGCAAAGCTCAAATACCTCATTCAACATTTAAGAGTGGCAATACACCACGAGAATCTTTCTTCCACATGTAATACAAAGAATTCGTACGATAATTTCATCACAGTGGTTTCCAAATAAATGAGGACAAAATACAGTAAGGTCACTCAAAGTGCGATTACCACCTTCCCAGAGCTGCCATCCGTAAAGGCAGGTCTGTATTCGAAAATACCAGTTCCAATCAACATTGGCTGTCAGGAGAAGACTAAGCAAATAAATAAGTGCACGGAGACAAGTTTTCTTTGAATAGGTATACATAATTAATGTTGGGCTTCGGATTTTGTCTGACCTCTGTACTCTAGCAACGTGCGCCAGTTCGAATCGACAAGCGTCATCCCGTATGCTCGCGCTTGATCGTCGAAACAACGAATGAACTCGTAGCGTCGTTGCATTAGTCTGGAATTTAACCCTTCTTTGGACTTGTGTGGGCGGGTAATCTGGCGCCAACTCTCGTCGACGCGAATGGTCATTACACCAGCCGCTGCATAGTCCTCCATAGTCCCACTCAGCGTGTGTAACGTGACCTTGTGACTCGTACCACAGTATTTGCAGGTATCTCCACCGAGAAACCATTTTAAGAGTGAATAATGTAGGTATAAAGTCCTGATCGAGGACCCTGACTTCGGCTGCGACCATGGGTAAGCGACAGGTAGTGAGAGAGTTTCCACTAGAGGAAGGAGATCCCATATATCGATCTTCATCGAGACAGACGTGGACTCTGACCTCCATAGAAAGTGGACCAGATGCTTTCCGGCGGATTGAAGCCAGTCGATGACTACTCGGTGGACCGGTGATATGGCAGGAGCGATGGATAGGTCCAAGTATCGAAGAGATGGTGTCTCCGGGGGTATCCATGTCATTGATCCCCCGACGCCGAGCTGAAGACTCGTGAGGTGGTTGCAGTTGACTCGGAACAAGTCGAAGTTGCGTCCCGAAACACGAGTGATATGCTTAAGCGCGGGACGGTACTCTGATAATATTTCCAGTAGGTCCTCGGTATTGCCTATCAGCGACTCTAGATTGCAGAGCCGATTAGGCTTTGCAAGAAACCGAGAACCACCTGGTCTATCACGCGATATGTGTAGGATTCGAAGGTTCCACGGTATCGCACTGTTTCCATCCACTTCGTGCAGAGGATCAGAAGAACTAGGCTCGCTGCCCAGCAGATGAGCCATCTGCTCGAGATGATCTCGGTTTGGGACGTTTTTGCACCAGCAGTCCATAAGGAGAAGTCTGCGTGCCAGAGGAAGCGCAGATATTGGGACATTGCCGTGTAGAATGTCCTCCGTATTGATGAATCGGTGTGCAAACGGCTTGAGTGTCTGATTCCATGAGGAACAGACGCGTCTGAGGGCATTTCGAGTGCGTTCAGATCCCCAGTACATCTTTGAGTTGTAGTAACGAGGACATATCGGTAGATCTTGTGCGAGAATTGGGTCAGATTCGAAGAAGAGAGGAACCGAGATGGCAAGTTTAAGAATAATCTCCCATATCTCGACCGGAAGATGTGAAATACGTGGTTTTAAGTCCATGAGGATAATTTTGGGAGGCCACCTTGAGAGTCACGATCGATAGAGTTGGAGGCAAATCTAAAAGAACGCGGGCCCTATGTCCAAATGATCACATAACGAATAAAGAAACACACTGAAGCAGGAATGAGTCTATAGGTAAACGTAGGATAGCATCAGAGTATGATGCCCGTTCGCAGTGAGCACGACGGCGGATATAGCTTATAGTATTTGACTTCTGACTACTTTATATGATAATCTGGGACAGAAGGCACTGTAAAGCCATCCCAACGCTCAAACACTGGAGCGGGTTCGATTGACGACATTCTCCGTGTAGAATTTGGCCATTAGAGCACCCAAGCACGCAATTATCAGCTGGTAATCACATATATAAGTAAGTCAGAGGTTTGATGCCCTGCACAACCTTGTGATATAGCCTTCCAATTAGGCGCTGTCGCCTTTGCTTTACATACTTTGAGGATCAGGAATGTCGGTCAAATAGTGAGTGGATAATCTAGTCGAAGGGCTTGCCAACTCCTAGTGACACAAGGATCTAGGGTGAGCACAGTCACTGTGAGCCTATCTCTCTATCTGCGAATTTTCAAGACGATTATACATACCAAAGGAACTTGTTATTGGTTCTCAACTTACTGACTGCCTTACTGTATGCATGCGAGGAGGGCCTGGCCCACGGACGCCTCCCGTCATAGCACGGGAAAATGCCTATTCGCGGTCACTCTTTTTCATTATTCTCCCTGCGAGTGACCATGAAGAGATGGAGTGGCTCGATGCCATCGCTACATTGGCCGTGGCCACCCATCATTTGTCCTGGCGCCATGTTACAAAGGTCCGCCATCTTCATTTGTCATCTTACAACATGAATCCAATCGGTCCAGTCTGCGGCTGCGGTTTGCGGTGTTCATGGTCGACTTCGGGATGGACGAGGCAGCAGGATGACGGGTCGTGAGAGACCTTGTCAACCAGAAATACGTCTACCATGCATATTCTACATGTGACAACTCGGTCAAGGACTCGGGCTAAGACGCATCTCACAATTGACAGTTGGGGCTACACGTCCACTCCCAGGGTGTTCACGGCAGCACTAAAATTCTCAACAGAGATCGAAGAGTTCACATTTACCGATTTATTACCGTTCCCTTGTGCGAACATGATGGAGAAGCACTGGTCCCGGCATTCAGCCCAGGACAATCGCAATGGGCGTTTGTACTGGCTGTTCATTCTGCAAGAGTTGGTATGAATTATCAAGCTGGTAGACGTTCACTGAAGGGATCTATATATGATTCATCGCCCGGAAATCTGGCGGTGATCAGTTCACATCTTATCTCAGCGTGACATTGTCAACCCGGGATCCTCGTTTAGACCCGGCGTTTCTTCTTGATTCTGACCGATCGGGGATGCTTCCTTCGGGTGCCAAGTGCCATACTGGTCTTTTGATGACGCCAGGGTTGGCCGGCTCTCGGCAAAGATTTTCGTGGGATACGGCCCAAGATGCAACTGGCCGAGCAACTTCTCATCAATACAAAGTCAAATAAGAAAAAGACGCAAAATAGACTGTGTTAGACGGTGTTGACGATTCAGGGCCCGGCACGTTGGGTCGTCGGCATCTCAAGACCCTTTCTCGCCAAAGATTTTCTCCGCCACCCACCATCGTCCATTTCATCGAAGTCGACACTGATGTAATACTTACGTTAAAAGCTGGCTGGGTACAGTCCATTGGCTAGACATCTTCCCGGGGCTGGCCACACCGCAAATTTGACCCACTGCGGGAGAACACTCTCGGCCTGCAACCTCCAAGATCTCTCCGTTATTCCATTATCTCCAACTGCCCGAACGTATGCCCGATACTGCAGCCGTCATCAAACAAGTCCAAACAGAGGCCCAGGAGCGTATAAAAGAGGGTGGGTTTTTGAGCATTTTGAAAACATCGACTCTCACCAGACGATACCAAGCTTCACTCCAAAAACAGTCATGAAGGTACTCATCTTCCACCCTGTATACTTTTCTCGTCTTACAAGCTTTACAGTTCACTACCGTCTTCGTCACCCTCGCCATCTTCGCCTCCTCTGCTTTCGCAGCAGCTGTCGCCGATGACGAAACAGCGGTCATTGCTCGTGCTCGCAGCGAGGATGCTGCTGGAAGTGTCGATGTATGCCAGCCAGATATCCTGACGCGTAGCTAATCTGGTTCCAGCTTCTCAAGCGCGCTTGCAACTATAACACGCCTTGCAAGGGATACTACTGGTCCAAAGGGCTCCACTGTGGCGATGGCAACTATGGATGCGTCTACGGCCACGTCTACCAGGTTGGGTGAGCATTCCCACTGCCATAAATATGTTTTTGGGCTGACTCAAACTTGCAGTTCTGACACCAACGTCTGTGACTATGGTGTTCGGACCTCTTGCCAGAAGTGCGGGAAGCTCTCGTGCTAGTCAATCAAAACTCGCCTCTCTTGTTGCTTGAAATATAGCGATATTTTAAACCTTTATGTTCCATATTCTCTTTATATAATATTTCTAAGAACTAGGTAACTGTCACATGCACTACCGAGCTAGCGGTCGATTTCTTTCCTCGGAATCAACCAAGCTCGGCAAAAGGTAGGAGACAAAGCTGGAGTCCACATAAAAAACACCTCGTCTCTTAACGGACAAGGGGAGAGAGGTCTGTGTCCATATGCATTTCGTGGTATTACAGGACAAAGATGTATTTCATATTAGATGATCTGTCTGGAAGGAAGAGGCTTAATTACGAGTGTAGGAAGACCGTTGTAGAAGAATAGAATGCATAGAGATTAGATATACGCATATGCTCAGAAGAACAACATGTCTTTTGGTCCTATATCAAACCGTTTTCGAATCCCTGACCGTACCTCAAGAAGCCTAATGACCACATCTTCGAATGTGCTACGATCTTGATCCACCAAAGTGATACCATGTATACGCGTTTGAGCATGCAAGCAGAGTTTTTCATTCAACGTGTAACTCGTTCGAGCACTCATCCTGGCCTGGGGAAAGGTTACCCACAGTAGCTCGAGCTGAAGAGTTTTGATTCCAGCACTTGCGAAGCTGCTTATTGGAGGTGCTTCAATGTAACCGTACCCATGGCGTTCCTTGCATGTAGGACACTCTTGATCACCAAACTTGAAATACTGGTATGTAAGAATGAAATGTTCAATAGGATGTCCATTTTTTGGTGGAAATGGTATGCTGCAGTAGACGGGACTGCGAAGTGTCGTCAAATTGGGACAAAGTTGCCATATGTCCAGGTCAAGGATTCTGTCATCGTCGTCGTCATCGTCATCCCAAATCAGCGACTCGAGCTGTGGCCCTATCTTCCTCAGCCATTCGACGAAATTCCCAACGAGGTCAAGTTTGGCTTCCATCCATATCTTGAGGTGCCTTAGGCAGGGCATGCTCAGCGGTAATTCACTTCTGTCATGTTTATACAGACTTAAAGTCGTCAGGTATGACAGATCGCGCGGAAGTGCGCCTCGGAGCTCGCATTGCCGTGTGCAAAAGGTCAACCGACAACGAAGCTCGTCGACGGTGGTCCATAGGTCCTCGGTGACATTGAAGAGGACCACTAAGTTTGCGAGGCGATGTGAATGTGTGAAGAGACGCCAGTGTTTCTTCAGTCTGTCTCCCCAATCAGGCCACGTCGCCAACAGCATCTCCAGCTTCCATGGCTCGGGCGTTCCATCCTCCCGGATTTTGTCGAGAGATTCTCGCATCTCACTAAGATCCACGACCCGCTTGCTGCAGAAACAGCGCGTTAACTGGATGCGAATCGCACAACGAATAGCACTAGGCGGGACGAGGCCGTGCTCAACATCAACGAGGTCTACGAATCGATGACTAAAGCGCCGTAGGTAGACATCCCATGAGCTCTGTACTCGTCTGAGTCTATTTCTCGAGCGTTCAGACTCCCAGTACGCAGAGAGATCCCCGTATTTGTATAGTTGATTAAAACCATAGCTTGCGGGATCGACAGAGAGGAAAAGAGGGAGAGATATGGATAATTTGAGAATTTCCTGCCAGATTTCTGGCGGAGTGCGTGTCCATGGTTTCGAGGTCGGCATGGTTGGTGTCCCAGATTTGCCTGTGCACAGCTTGGATGCCACCATGATCCACCTGCCCGTCGAGATCTGGAGATATATTCTTCGCTATGCAATCGACTGTCCAGAATTCCTCTATATCGATCTCGTGCCAAAGGGAAGACCGACAGATGAAGCCACGTACTGGGCGTCTGAGCGCACTCGTAATGCTCTTCGCGGAGTGTGCTCGTCGTGGAACCGCTTTCTAGCGACCTACTGTCATCGCTATATCCGAATTTCCGACATTTTCCACGATACGGTCCCCCCCGCCTCGCTCCCGAATGCAACGCGCATCAGGATAGATGAGTGTTACTGTTTGCATTGCAACACCTTTATCAACGATCACGTTGGATTGATATCTCGCTTCGAACATTATGTCAACTCAGCACATACCGGAACGGGCGCGACTACTTGGCGAGTGGAGATAGTAGACGCAGAGATGAACGACTATCTCGATGTAATTGCCCTAGAACCAAGCCGAATATCAAACCTTCGTGCACTCTGGCACTGGAGAGGAGACCTTCCAGACAATATCTTCTCCGCGGGTCCACCTCTCTCCATTATGGGAACGTGCGCAGACGACTTGGCGAAGATGAAACGACTGGATATCTCGAAAATCAAGTCTATCCATATACATGATATTAACCAAACCAATCTGGGAGTGGTCCACTTTCCCAATCTCACCCACGCCTGTCTTGAAGTGGACCTGACGTCGCAAACATCCCGAAATCGTGTAAACCAGGTGTTTGACTGGCTAGAGGTGCATGGGAAGCGTCTAGAAACCTTTTACTGGATCGACTATCTCTCAGAAATCACCAACTCGGAGGTGGACAAAATATGGTCGCTTTGTCCGCACATGCGACGACTCCACCTCCCTTTGAACGCAAAATGGACGTCTCCGCCATCATCACATACCTTACAGCTGCTTCGAGTCCTCTCTTTCGAACAGCTTTCGCCCGACGGATACAGCAGGCTGCCAGTGCCATGCTCGCTCTGTAACCATAGTCACGCTGGTGTGGTTCAGTTCTCCCATTATTTGCCCCAAATAGCCGCATCAGGTGTGGGTAGGATTAAAATAATGGCGCTAGCGTGGCATCAAATGTTTGAGGACGATAATGAGCACATCTTCTGCTTTTGGACACAAGCAAAATCCCATGCAATTGACGTCGTTGATATCTCTGGATTGACCTTTGAGCTGGCTCTGGTCGCCTACTTGGAAGAGTACAAGAGAAGGTCGGTTTGCAAATAAGCATAAGGGATAGTGGTAAACCAACGAGATATTTAGAAACTTGAATGTAACATAAAGGCGTACCTCCTTTGAACTGAACGTTCATTCGTTCCGTGAATCCAAACACAGGCTGTAGTTTGTTTCCCTACGCGACGAGACAGGTAGTACTCTAGTACTGTACTCGAAATAGAAATACACGGGTTATTTCAGTTCAGGCTAACCGCAAATTAGTCTATTTGACTCTGATAAGTCTCGTCCCCATTCTGTCACCACTTGAACCTCGCCATGCGGACTCATCTGCCTGTCGAAATCTGGCGGAGTTTTCTTCTGTACGCAATTGATTCTCCGGATGTTTTATCTATCAATCCAATACCGACGGACAATCCGTGCTATGAGGCTGAATACTGGGAGTCTGAGCGCACGCGTAATGCTCTTCGCAGAGTGTGCTCATCCTGGAATGCATTTTTAACACAATACAATAACCGCTTCGTACGGACATCCGATGTCATCCACAGCAGGATCCCGGCGGTTTCACTGGTGTACGCCCTACACATCAAGGTTGATAAATGTACCTGCCCACTCTGCGACCTTCCGCATACTGGTTACATGGAATCTAGATGGTGTTTCCAGGATCGCGTCTCATCGGCAGATGCCATCAGCGGCCATTCCCCTTGGCGAGTTGAGATTATTGATGACCAGAGGGGGTGGTATTTCGATATAATCGCCTGCGAACCAAAGCGGTTCTTAAATCTCCGTGCTCTCTACCACTCGATAGCTCCCGGACATCCTCTTCTCAGCAAAACCACCACTCTCCCTTCTCGCAGCCAACGCAAAAGATTTGATCAAAATTAAACAACTAGAACTTTCGAATATTACGACACTCAGCATCCAAGGTATCGAGCCAGCTCATCTGAGCTTGGTTCACTTGCCCAATCTCACCCATGTTTGGTTCGAAATGCTCTGGAGACCACTGATAGACCAAAACCGTGTACATTCAATTCTAGAATGGCTCAGATTCTATGGCAAACGTTTAGAAACATTCTACTGGCTCGATTTCGACTCAGGAATTACCGACTCGGATGTCGACAAAGTGTGGTCACTCTGTCCAAATCTACAACGATTGCAGCTCCCTGTGGATGCAAGATGGACTCCACCACCCTCTTCACACCAGATACGATTACTTCGCGTCGAGGAGCATGACGAGCCACCGCCTTCAGTATGCTCGCTTTGCAGGTCTCCCCACTATTTTAGTATCCAATTCTCAAACTCTTTGGGCCAGCTTGCGAACTCGGGGGTCCAGAGGATACAAGCATCACCCCTAGTATGGCATGAGAGAATGGCCCACGACAACGATCACAGCATATACTGCTTTATGATGGAAGCCAGATCCCATGGAATAGTCGTTGTTGATATGTGCGGATGGTCGTTTGAGCAAGCTATCCTTGCCCACCTGAAGGCGCGGAAGAAGCTTTATGTTCACAAATGAGGACGAAAGAGCATATAAAAGTGTATACGGGAAGGAATTCGGAAATATTGACATGATGTGAAAACGTACAATCTTCAAATACGGTCTTAGCCAAAGTCTCCGCGTCAGATTATGAAAAATAAGAGATTATTTTTAGGCAACAAGAGGGAATGCCTCTAAGTCAGGTAGAACTGACCTCAAGTCCGGCTCAGGCATTTATCCGCAGCTGATCTCCTGCGTCGGTGGAAGCTAAGTCTGTTGATTGTATTCTTTGAATTAAAGCTACGGAAATGGTCGTAGACTTGATGTGAAATTGGCTGTTCACTGTGAATTCAGGCTTGATCCCGATGCTGGCCGCGTTACATACCCGACGAGATCATTCGTTCGCTTCGCCGTCGAGTTTATTGTCGTACCAGCTACCTGCCCACAAAAGAACTCAGTACGCAGAGAGATCCCCATATTTGTATAGCTGATTAAAACCATAACTTGCGGGATCGACAGAGGGGAACAAAGGAAGAGATACGGATAATTTGAGAATTTCTTGCCAGATTTCTGGTGGAGTGCGCGCCATGGTCTCGAGGTCGGCATTGGTCGTGTCCAAGTTTGATCTTCGCCACCTGAAGCTCGGGATGATCCATCTGCCCGTCGAAATCTGGAGATATATTCTTCTCTATGCTATCGACGCTCCAAAAATCCTCCATATCGATCCGATACCGAAGGAAATTTGATAGAAGAAGCCCCGTACTGGGCATCCGAGCGCACGCGCAATGCGCTTCGCAGAGTGTGCTCGTCATGGAACCGCTTTCTAGCGATACACAGCCATCGCTATATCCGAATTTCCGACTTTTTTCACCATATGGTCCCCGCCGCCTCCCTCCCGAATGCAACGCGCATCAGGATAGATGAGTGTTACTGTTCGAAATGTAGCCCCTTCACCAGCGACCGCTTTGAATTGGCGTCCATCTTCGAAAATTGCGTCAAGTCAGCCCATACCCTGACGGGCCCGATTCCCTGGCGAGTGCGGATAATAGACGTTGAGAAGCACGGCTATCTGGATATCCTTGCCCTAGAACCAAGCCGAATCTCAAATCTCCGTGCACTCTTATACTGGAGAGGGGGAAACCTTCCCGACATTATCTTCTCAGCGAGCCCGCCTCTCTCCATCCTGAGAATGCGGGAATCCGATTTGGCGAAGATGAAACAACTAGATCTCTCAAAAATCAGTACGCTCGATATATTTGGTATTCAACGAACCAATCTGGGCGTGGTCCACTTTCCCAGCCTCACCCATGTCTCTCTCGATATGTCCTATGTGTCACGGACACATAGAAATCGTGTGGAACAAGTATTAGAGTGGCTACAGGTGTATGGGAGACGTCTAGAAACATTCTACTGGATCGACCACGTCTCAGAAATCACCGACTCGGAGGTGGACAAAGTATGGTCGCTTTGCCCACAGTTGCAGCGAATCCATCTCCCGTTGAAAGCAACATGGCCGCCGCCACCATCAGCACATACCTTACAACAGCTTCGAGTCTATTTATTTGAACGACTTCTAAGCGATGAAGACTACAGGTCCCCAGCGCCATGCCCCGCCTGCAACTATACTCACGTTGATGTGGTTCAGTTCTCCCATCATTTGCCCCAAATAGCCGCATCAGGTGTGGGCAGGATTGAAATAATGACGCTAGTGTGGCATAAATGGTTTGACAACACTAATGCGCACATCTTCTGCTTTTGGACGCAAGCAAAATCCTATGCAATTGAAGTTGTCGATGTGTCGGGGATGACGTTTGAGCAGGCTCTGGTCGCGTACTTGGAGGAGTGCAAGAGAAGGTCGGTTTGCAAACGAGTATAGTGGATAGTATTATAGCACAGACAACAGGACATTTAATATTTCGAGGTAGTATCAAAGTGTAACTTCTCTGGATTTGATTTGACCGAGTCCATAAGGGGCTGCTGTTGGATACCTATGCGACAAGAAAATAAATATCCGACCTAGGTCCATACTGTATAGGTATTCGAGTAGCATAGTGCCTCCTATCCATTAGTCTATTTGATTCTCCTGATCATTCTCGTCCCTGTTCGTTCACCACTTGAACCTCGCCATGATCCACCTACCTGTCGAAATCTGGCGACATATCCTTCTCTATGCGATCGATTCTCCAAGTTTCCTCTTTATCGACCCCTTACCGGCCGAAAGTCCAAGCAACGAGGCGGAATACTGGGATTCTGAGCGCACGCGCAATGCTCTGCGGAGAGTATGCTCGTCGTGGAACCTATTTCTAGCCTCATACAAAAGCCGTTTCGTACGGACATCCGACGTTATCCACCGCCACGTTCCTACGGTTTCGCTGGCATACGCCGTCCACATCAAAGTGGATATATGTACCTGCTTGCGATGCATAAGCTTCGGCAACGATCCCGTTCACTCGAATCGCATCTTCCAGAATCGCATCTTATCGGCAGATACCGTCAATGACCGTGCTCCTTGGCGAGTTGAGATTATTGACGCCCAACGGGGTGAGTATCTCGAAGTCATCACTTCTGAACCAAGGCACATCTCAAAACTTCGCGCAATCTATCACTGGAGAGGCTCTCTTCCCGCCACTGTTTTTTCCCAATCTCCGCTCTCCTTCCTGGTGGCCCATGCAGACGACTTGGCCAGGATGAAACGAATTGACGTCTCTAATATGACTACACTCAGCCTCTACGGTATTCAGCCCACTCATCTCAGCCTAGTTCACTTTCCCAACCTGGTTCACGCTTGGGTACAAATGCGCTGGCCACCACTGGACCACCTTCGTGTAACCCCAGTTTTGGAATGGCTCAAGCTTCACGGGAGGCGTTTAGAAACATTCTACTGGTCTGACGACGTCTCCAAAATAACCGACTCGGACGTCGACAAATTGTGGTCGCTCTGTCCAAACTTACAACGGGTACAGCTCCCTTTGGACGCAAGATGGACACCACCTCCCTCTTCACACCAGCTACAACTGGTCCGAGTCGAGGAACACGACGAGATACCAGCTGCCGCATGTTCGGTCTGCAGCACTCTACATGATTATAGTATCCAATTGTCTGACTCTTTGGGTCAAATCGCTGGTTCGAGCGTTCATAGGATACAAGCATCGCCGCTTGTATGGCATGAGAGAATGACATATGACAATGAACCCAGCGTATACTGTTTTATGATAGAGGCCCAGGTCCCATGGAATGGAGGTTGTTGATATGTGTGGATGGTCGTTTGAGCAGGCAATCGTGGCGTACTTGAAGGAGCGGGAGGGAAAGCTGGTTCGCAAATGAGAAAGAGGGATCATATTATAGTGTATACAGCGAGAAATTAGAAATGTTGACATGGTTTGAATGCCCGCTCAAGTTTGTTTGGTACAACCTGTAATCGGACGCCGCCATGATCCATCTACCTGTCGAAATCTGGCAGATGATTCTTCTCTATGCAATTGATTGCCCAAAAATCTTATATATCGACCCATTACAGACCCATACTCCGTCCAATGAGGCCGAATACTGGGCATCTGAGCGCACACGCAACGCTCTTCGCAGAGTGTGCTCTTCTTGGAACACTTTATTAGGACTATACGATAACCGCTTCCTACGAACGTCCGATGTAACTCACGGTAGAGTCCCTGCGGCTTCACTGGCGTGTGCGCAATACATCAAAGTAGACGGATGCGATTGCTCGTTATGCGCCATCCTCAACAGCGGTCATACTCAATCGAGACGCCGCTTCCAAGATCGGGTCTCGTGGGCGGATGCTGTCAATGGCCATGCTTCCTGGCGAGTTAGGATTATGGACGTCGGGATCGTTGACTATTTCGACATCATCGCCTCGGAGCCAGTACGGATCTCAAATCTCCGTGCACTCTACCACTGGAAAGGAGTTCTTCCAGACGTATTCTTCTCAGCAAACCCGCCGCTCTCGCTTCTGTCAGCCCAGACCGGTGCTTTAGTCAAAATGAAGCATATGAACCTCTCCACTATAACAACACTCGGTATCCACAGTGCTCACCCTGCTCATCTGAGCTTGGTTCACTTTCCCAATCTTGTTCATGTTGGCGTCCAAATGTACTGGCGGCCATGGTTGAAACAAAACAGGGTATCTCCTGTTTTAGAATGGCTGAAGCTAAACGGAAAGCGTCTAGAAACGTTTTACTGGATCGATCACATCTCAGTTATCGCCGACTCGGATGTCGATGAAATGTGGTCACTCTGCCCGCATTTGCAGCGGCTACAACTCCCTATGAAATCGAGATGGAAAGCCCCGCCTTCTTCACACCAGCTACAACTACTTCGACTCGGCCGATCAACACAGCTGGCCGTGCCATGTTCTCTCTGCAACTACAGGCATCCGTCCTTTGTCCAGTTCTCCGACTCTTTGGCTCAACTCGTGATCTCGAGTCCCCATAAACTACAAATAGCGTCCCTAGAGTGGGATGACTTGCTCGTCGATGAAAATAATCACACCATATTCTGCTTTTGGGAGCAAGCGAAATCTCATGCGGTGGAAATCGTCGACATGTCAGAACGGACGTTTGAGCAGGCTATGGTCGCCTACTTGGAGGAATGGAATAGGAATTCGGTTCGCGAATGAGGACGAGGGGTGGCATGACTGTGTAAACGACGGAAAGTCTAGAAATAGCAGTCTAGTGCGAGATTGTATAGTATTCCAAAGGATTTGATCATTTTTGGAGCTGAGAAAATTCAAATTAATCGTATATAGGATTTTGATATGTACAGCCGGGGAGGAAGGTTGTTCATCCAACTTGCACAATACACAGATGGCGCAGCCTCCGAGGTCTGAGCGGAATGAACTCGAATCTACGCCATACGACATAGGAGCAGCTACACATGGCCCCTTATTCACAAACTAACGTGGGCAGTTACTAATGGGTTCTCGTTCCGCTGACGACGGTCTATAGAAGCGGACAAGTATCGAGGATCATATCTTCAGACGTCGAAAAGCGCGTTGAAATCGAAGTGAAACCTCTCCTTGCTTTCCTCCTGAAGAAAATTTCCTCGGGCGGTGGCCCAGAGCCCTCCCTGCAAAAACTATTGAGTAAAGCCACAGAATGGACCGCCAGAGAGGAAGAAGAAGAACGAGAAGGAGAAAAGGAAGAAGCAACGTGGATTGCAACAAGTTCTCAGCTAATGGATCACAACCGTGATTTGTAAGCAAACATAAAAAATGGCACAGATCTGACCTTTACCGTAGCACTAAAGCAGAAACCGAGCATGATTCCTATACGCCGTGGATATCCATGACTAACGTCGCCCTTGCGATGTTCAAGGATCTTGAGTTTGATGGTGTCAAGAAGCCCGGTTCCCCAGACATCATCTGCATCAGAGCCGACCCTCATATTCTTAGATACGTGCAGAATGATACAACTGTCGAGAGAAAGCCAGATACTGTGATCGTTGACAAGGCCACCGCTCAGAGTCTATACGTGCCTGTTCAGGCCGAACCAATGAGATGGAGAGAAATTGCTGCAGGTAAGAATTGATATTTCTCCGTATTTTACAGTCTTACCGTCACCCAGCAATCGCTTCGGCGGAAAAGAGTCGTAGAGTGATTCTCGGCGCGACATTAGATTGGATAGACGTTCTGTCCTGCTGCGAGCACAAGCAGTCGAGAAACAAGCGCAATCGTGTGCCGTCATTGCCTAGAAGGTCCAATCCTCCGCGCGCAAATCATGCGCACTCCTCGGGCGGGGGAGATACGAACTCATCATCATCCTTAACTGGGTATCTTCAATATCGTCTCGTGTGAGTCGAATGTCTCATGTGCTCCTAGGCCATTCAAAAGTCAACTGAAAGGTTTCTCCAACGATGGACAGCATATTTACGGTCTTGGAGTCTTGCTTCCAGATCAAAATCGTGGTTGGTTACATCATTTATATGGTAGCTAGATATTAATACCTTTCGCTTAGCTCTGCCCAAGAGGGTGCGAGAGCAAGGCGACTCCGAGGACGAAAACGGTACGTTCCCTCACATTCCCTCACTAATCCCTCATCCTATCGCAGTGAATTACAAATCACTCAAAAAAGAAGCTATTTCGTCGCCCAGACAAACCACATCCTCCCCTTCATATAGCATGTCGAAAGCATCCGACTCTGCACAGCTTCCAGTGCCGAGTAAAGTCCAGAACGATCTGTCTAACCCCTTCAACCAAGCCGCTGAATACGCCATCGCGCGGCTTGGTGCATCCCAAGCAATGACACATGCCATTGGTTCTGTGCGGGCAGGTAAAGATTATGGCACTCGGGAAACACATGTGCTGACAAATTCAGGTGATTCTTTCTCGATCCAATGGTATGATCGCCATGGTATCCTTTCTACTCGCCCAATCAACGTCCACACTACCTCCGGTCTACAACTTTACTTGGCATTTCTTTTTATTCTACAAAGATTCGACCTAGCCGACTGGGGGATGCATCCCGCGTTCCCACCGTTACCGGATATGGACCGCACAGATCCGAACCACGCAGATCTCGTCGAATCTTTGAAAAATCGGATTGTCACTGTTGGTGGTAAGACATTTCGACTCGAAGGTGTTCGCCGTAAACAATGGGGCATCAAGGGTCGTTCCACCTCGGTTGTAGACTGCGTTGAGCTTGTTGAAGATGAGTGGCCTCCACGATCATGCGTGATAAAGGTCAGCTTCCCGGAAGAGACTCGGCGACGAGAGCACGAATTCCTCGACCATGCAAGAAAAATCGCAGAAGCAAAACCCGAAATTCGCGAGAACATTCCTGACTATCTTGCGTACGAAGAATACAAGGAAACTTCTTCTTCTGATATTCGCGCATCGGTTGGCCAAAGTACCGTCGGATCGAGACACATGTACGCCATAGTTCTCCTCAGACTGGATAAACCGATCCGGGAGCTGTCTGGTAAACAATATTGGGATGTATGGTGGGATTGCTTCGATTGTGAGTGTATCACAACGCCGAATCATTCACTGATCATGACGGCTATTCGTAGGTCACTTTGCACTTTGGAAGGGTGGTTTACACCACAGGGACATCAGCGACGGCAATCTCATGTACAGAACAAACATGAACGGAAAGATTGTAGGAGTTCTATCTGACTTTGACCTCTCATCACTAGAGGGCGACAAAGGTCACAATTCTGAGCGCACAGGAACTCTCCCTTTCATGGCGCGCGACTTGTTGCAGCCCGCGGGGCTTGAAGGCCGTCTTCAACACAAGTACGAACACGATGCAGAAGCTTTCTTCTGGGTTGCATTCATTGATACTGCACTTTATCCAGGAAAGAGTATTGAGGACCTAGTGAAAGGTTCCTCGAGCTTCTTATTCAATGTGTAACTGGCAAGATACGACCTGATGTCTTGTTTGGTTTGAAAGACTCCTGGATGGCACGCCCACACCGCCATCCTGCACCAGAGCAAGAAGTCTGTTGGGAGGGATTCAGCAAGATTGCAGCAATTTGGAGACTCCGAGACCTTCAAGCAAATCCAATTTCGGGCTTAAGCCTCCCTCTTGTCCCTTTGGACGATCCCAAATCACTCTATGATCAATATCTTGACGTTCGGAAAGAGCACGAGGCGAAGATGCGGATATTTAGGTTCATACCTCGTCACCAGGACCTACACCACGAACCTATGTACTATTTATTCTATTTCTTGTTAGTTATGAGTAGCCCATGATTGAAATATGATCTCTGCAGTTCACAAGGTTTGTTAAGATGATTATGGCTGACTTTGGTGCGAGCTAAACATTTGGATAAATAGAAATTTCTTCATGGTTATATTCAAGCGAAATCTGTCGTAGGATTGTCAGTCTAGTGTGCGGGTATAGTCTTCAGAAGGATCTCATCTGACATCCTCCCCTTCAGCTGTCAAATAGACCCCAAGATTGAAGGCGCCATGCGACTAGACCGAGAGGGTTTCAGGCAAATTTTAATATTATTTGGACTCAAACCGGCGGGACACTTTGACCAAATTGGAGAATCCTCGAGTCGATGCTTATCCCGACTCAGTGTTACGAATCGCGCGGCGGTTCGTCTGGCAAGAAGGTAGATCGGGTAGAATGTATTATTTACGCGGTTGGAAGGAAGAATTAGATACATTAGCGAGGGTATTGGGACGAGGAAAGAGCAGATTCTGAACTAACAAGATGTACGCATAGACGTCGGCCCATATATACTGTTTTAGATCCCCTAGCGAATCATTGAAAATCAATGCGGATATTAAACGGATATGAGAGTTAGCGAGCAGAGGGCATAGGGATGGAGGGCAATTGGCTGGTGCGAGTACCGGACGGATGACAAGGTATAGACGCTGAATTTCCTGGTAATTTAACCCTAAAAATAATCAAAATTCTCTTCGTTTCAGTTCCGTACGGCAGCGAGGGGTTATCAGCCATGCGCGACGCCGTCAGGTCAACTTCTCGACGTTACAAATGTGAGTCACTATGTCAACTCTTACTCTTTTGAATAGATTTCACTGCGTCCCGTAATAATCAGAGACATTGAGCCCAAATTGATGTCAGCTTGCCACGCCTGTCCTACTTTACCCTCTTCGCAAAATGATCTACTTGAAGTAGCTTTCACTGAACCAAGGTAGACTGGTAACAGGCTCAAATGCTATAACGCACCTCACAGTCTTGAAGCTTTGTTCAACGGATGGGTAATGTCTCTGTCCACCTCGGTAACCAAGCGATACGCCCAAGACAGCACAATGATACCGATATGGAATATAGAGCGCAGTATAAATATCTCTTCTCCCTACCATCGCTCCGATTTCCCTATAGGGGTTATCGCGAAGACAGAGGATGAGCTAATCTTTACTCGACGAGATATTTAGTTCGGAATTAGATGCCTCTGGTTAATTTATATAGATGCTTGCACCTGGCCAGCCCATCCAGAGCGTGAAAGCGAACGAGCAAGTCAAGGGAGGTGCACAGAAGAGCAAAAAAAGCGCAGATTCATGTGTCTTGCACCATTACAGTATCAGGAATCTCTCTCCGAGGATGGTTGGGTCAGTTCGGAATTGAGGAAGGCCATCTACTCTATTGGTCCCTCCAAATACTCGATACGGACCACTGAACCACCAGAGCTCCCCAAACGAGTCGTTTCAGCCCCACATACATCGACTTTACGCGTTTGTGTTGCGGAACCGAGTGGACCGAGTGTTATCAACGAGGCTAAAGCTGACTCGCCTACGTGCTATACTGGTGCGGTGGTGCCCACCCTGACTGAGAAAGTTTGCCCTCTTCCCGACAGGTTTTCATCTATCCACAATGTGTGTGCCTACGTTTCATCTCGAAGTCGCCTGTCCGACGCCTTGACTTACGAATTCTTCGAAGGTCGGGACCCTAAATCAAGAATTCGGACATCTATATAGTTTTGGGAATGTACAGAAGGACGAATAAAAGAACGTTATACAATTTTTGAGATGTGATGTAAAGATTGTCAGCCTCAAAGTCTTGCGTTTTCGACTCGGCGGAGTGAGGGAGCACGCAGACTTCTTTTGATGTCACACCTCACCTTCTGTGAGTCGACCGTAAGCAACGAGGCTTTGTATATTGAAACCTTATCTGATGTCTCGGGTAATGTAGTATCTTACCTTCATCAGTAAAGCCTTGGTGCTCGCGGCCACCTCCTGAGACCGTCGCGCACCATCCTGTGCTAATTCAATGCCCAGGAGAGACGAGTTTAAAATAACTGTTTACGCTACGATTGTAAGGGGGCCATTGAATAGAGGCCGTCACAGCATCTGGTAGTGTGAACAGCCGCACCAAAACAGGGAGGAACCGTTCTACCTCAGCCAGATTTTGATCAAGTCTTCCCAGCCTCATTATTTTTCAAAAAATTGCAAGGAATGAGGAAGGACGCACCTGACGGGAAAGGCCGCGCACACGCCTCGTTGTTCGGGGGGCCCCCTTCACTTATTGAGATTCGCTCAGTTGAGGAAGTCAAGAGAAGAGAAGAATCGAATTGTAAATGGGACGGAAACAACAATGAATGGAATGCAGACTCGACACGAAAATAGAGAAGAAGGAACCAAGGACGAGAACCATGATGCGAAATCGAGTGGCGACCGAGTTGGGCTGAGTGGATGTACACTTTTGGTACATCTCTATGCGGGCGAGACGGATAGCCTATGTGGTTCAGAGCCCTCATTGCGCTCGGTTTCGTCGACGAATCGTACCCGGGCGAGGATTGGAGGGCAGACCGCGACCATGACGAGGTTTGTTGGCAATACCACGTTCTTCTTCTTCTTCGATACTTTCGAGAGAAGAGGAGGAACGAGGGACCGACTCGCCCGCGCGTGCGTTTCAACTGGGGACGAATAGACCTGCGTTGCACCAATTTGAAAAGAATTGCAAGAGGTTCATTAGCGCGTCTTCTTTTCGCCAGTATGGATCGTCCGAGGGTGGGATGCCGCGCTTCTCCTTGCGACGTTCAATAGCCGCTTGGATGACCTGTGCAATATATGAGCTGTGAAGTAGTGCTATACTAGGGAGATGAACTGACGAATTCTGCTCGTGGAATTCTCGACAAGCCCAGTAGACCCTCTTCGGCCTTTCGTGGGTGCGTCAAGCCGTCGAGCTCCTTTTCGCTCCAGACGTGATAGGGATTGTTCTCCTCGACGGTTCCCTTCCATCGGAGCGGGTCGACAGCATAGACGGTGAGACTGATATCGACAAGGTTGTTGAGCTGGATAGCCTCTTCCTCGTCATCCATACGGTCCTGCGCTTCCCGGAGGAGGATACGGTGATGTCGTTCGAGGTTTGCAATAATCCCCCTTGCGAGCTCGAGAATCTCTGCGAGTGGGTAGAGAATGGCACCTGTAAAGGGTGCAACGGGCTCGATGGGCTCTGGTTGGAAGATCATGAGCCCAGTAGGATTTGGTGTCTGGGGTGGTTGAGGAGCGCGTTTGGCCATGGTTGACGAGGAAGAGGGAGTAGAATTAGATTGACCCAATGTTGAAGTAAATAGGCGTCGAGTAGAGGACCAGCCTGGACGCAGGCGACGAGGAAAGTCGTCCTAGAGAATGTGGTAGAGAACAAGTTATGAAGAAAATGGCGCTGTCCTGTGCGCGCTGTGCTCAGCGACGGTGCAGTGTAATGTTCCATCTTCGTGAGAAATTTGGGCAGGCAGTGTCCTTGACTGCTGTGGAATTCTGTGACCAATCATGTATTTTATGTAAAAATAGCGGCAAATGGGCTGCTTCTGGCTCGGAGAAGGAGTCGTGTGCGGTCATGATCTCCGACGAAGAGGCGCCTGAGCAAAGTCTTGGGAAAAGTCTTGGAATTTGTAATTGTATGATCCGCATCAGGCTCGTGACCCTGTTTTGGCTACGATAGGGCGGGTGCCTGGACGCCCAGCGACTTGCCAAACGCATTAGAGCCCGAGCCCCCGCGCCTCATAACTTGGACACGACCACATCCTCTCCAAATGTCTACCATCCAGCGTAAGAAGACTGTCAGAGCGAAGGGCATTGACGGAGTCAAGAAAAAGTCTGTACCCTTCAGTTTGCTCTAATGTTTTGCAACAACTGACGCTGGCCTCCTTATCTCTGCTGGTACTACTACTACTACAATCCTGTAAATGAACACGGCCGCCCCGTTCTCGACGCGACTTGTATGACTTGCGACGCGTACACGCTTTGCCGTGTTTGGTCTGGGAACCGGGGTGATGCTCCCTGTTCTCTCTGTCAACTTAATCATATACTACGTCGCTTGACTGCTCCGGCCCCGGCACATGTCCAAATTCACATTTCGTCGCTTGGTCTAAATCGTTCAACATGCGTTTGGGTTGCCTTACAACGCTTTTCACGCTCCTTTACAACACTTTATAAACTTCTTATTCCTTTACAATCACCCCTCTCTGTATTTCATTCAACTTGGGTGCCCCGGGTTGATCACGCGTCTTGGCCTCGTCCATTGCCGTCCTTCCCTGCCTGTGCCATTGCCGGATATCCGACTCGGTGTCTCGATAACACACCCAACATCAACAACAACTCCAACGACGATCTACTGCTGCTTCTGCGCTCGTCATGGCTTCGTTCTTTGCCGGATCTAGGTTCCCTGCCCCAGACCGTTCCCGCTTCCCGCCTGGACCCGGAAGTGTTTACATCAGCGGTGAGCATTCGTCTTCTCCTTACCCCTTTGATCTGTCTTGGCCTCGACTATTTGCTGACGTTGTCCTTGCTGCGCGACTCTCCATGGCGCTTACCGGGTTGTGAATTCAATCCTTGCTTACATTCTCCAATTATGCAACGATATTATCTCTGCGACGGTCCTCATATTTCACCCTCGCCATTGCCCGTGGTTGATCGCCGTTATTGGCAACCCCACAAAACCACTTGGACCGACCTCCTCCTTGGCGCGCGCTTTCCCCTCGGACAGAACCCGCGAACAAGAATGAAAGTGGCATTAGACGCGCGGCCCACACCAAGGACCGACTCTTGACCGAGCCCTACGAGGGCATCAAGACTGTCGCAGATATTCTCGACTACAATGCTCGCACTCACGGCGAGCGACCAGCCATGGGTTGGCGAGATATCCTCGAGGTTATCGAAGAGGAAAAGGAGATCACCAAGACGATTGACGGCAAGGAAACAAAGCAGAAAAAGGTCTGGAAGTACTTTAAGCTCAGCAGCTACCAGTACATCAGCTACATTGAGCTCCGACAACGCGCCATCGATATTGCAAAGGGTCTCCTCGAGCTTGGCGTCAACAAGGGTGAGGTCTGGAATATCTACGCCTCGACCAGCCCGACTTGGCAAATGATGCAGCATGCGTGTGCGCAAATCTCGGTCCCAATCGCGACTGCATACGACACGCTTGGCGAGGAAGGATTGACGCACTCGCTCAATGAACCAGAGTGCGTTGGTATCTTTACCAATGCGGATCTCCTCGGGACGGTGGCCAAAGTCATTGCCAATACGCACACGGTTCGTTATGTCGTGTACGACGGCGAGCCGGCTGCAGGTGTCTTGGACAAGATTAAGAGTGCTAGCGCGTCGCGCGAGGGTGGAGAGGTCAAGATTATGTCGCAGAACGAGCTCCGCGCACTTGGACAGGGCAAGCCAGACCTCCCAGCCGATCGCCGACCACAGACGGACGACTTGATGTGCATCATGTACACATCTGGCACGACGGGGAATCCGAAGGGTGTCATCATTCCTCACAGCATGATCTGTGGTTCGCTCGCGGGTATCCTCTCGCTCCTCTACCCAGTCTTTGCGCCGGAGGAAGACTCTTTCCTCGCCTTTTTGCCACTTGCGCACATCTTGGAGTATATCGTCGAGATGGTGATGCAGCTTATTGGGTGCAGGATTGGATATGGACGTATCAAGACGTTGACGGACGCGAGCGTTCGTGGATGCTTGGGTGATCTCAGAGAGTTCAAGCCGTCGATCATGATTGGTGTTCCGGCCATTTGGGAGACGATTCGCAAGGGTATCATCAGCAAGGTAACGGTTTCGTTTTGGGCACCATTTTGAGTTTGCTGATGGCGCGATAGGTCAACAAGATGAGCGCACTGAAAAAGTCGGTGTTTGATGTCAGTATGACTGTCAAGCGTGCCCAAGTCCCCGTGCTTGCCAACTTTGTGGATAATGTCATCTTTGGCGCCGTCAAGGACCAGACTGGTGGCCGACTTCGGTATGTTCAACCCCTTTTTGTGAGATTTATCACTGAGTTGGCGTAGCTATGTGCTCAGCGGTGGTGCTGCTATCAGCATCGAGACTCAGGAATTCCTCTCGACGGCACTCGTCACCGTCCTCCAAGGATACGGATTGACCGAGTCGTGCGGTACTGTCTGCATCCTGCCTCCCGAGTTCCTCTCGTATGGTCCTGTCGGTATCCCATCGCCCGGTACGGAGATTAAGCTCCTCAGCGTACCTGAGGCTGGGTATGATGCGCAGGGCAAGATCCCTCAGGGTGAGTCTTATCTCGTACGGAGTCAATAGAGATATTCACTGCTCACAGGCGAGATTTTGATCCGCGGTCCCTCGGTCACCAAGGGATACTTCAAGCGGCCCGACTTGAATGAGGATCGTACCATTTTCACCGAGGATGGATGGTTCCGCACTGGGGACGTTGGACAGTGGAACGAGGACGGCACCATGAGCATTATTGACCGTGTGAAGAATTTGGTCAAACTGTCGGGTGGAGAGGTATGTCTTTGGTGGCGTTTGTATCACGCTTTAATGAAGGCTGACGCACATTGTCCCGATAGTACATTGCGCTCGAGCGCCTGGAGACGACGTACCGTACCTCGTCCCTTGTGGCCAATGCATGCGTGCACGCCACGTCCGAGTCGAAGCAGCCCATCATCGTCGTGTTCCCGCACGAGGTGCACCTGAGAGACGCGATCAAGGCGTCGAATGACCCCAACTTGCCTTCTCATGAAGCCGACATTCACAAGCTTTGCGACACGCCGGCCGTGGTGCAGCTCGTGTTCAAAGACTTGTTGAATGTGGCCAAGAAGAACAACTTCAAGTCAATTGAGATTGTGCAAGGTGTCGTCTTGACGCCCGACGAGTGGACGCCGGATAATGGGCTCGTGACTGCGGCCCAAAAGGTTCAGCGCAAGAACGTGGAGAAGACGTTTAAGAAGGAGATTGACGTGAGTGTTGACCGTTTGGCAGTGGGTCGAAAATACTGACGGGTGTCATCTCCTAGGCTTGTTACAAGGCTGCTGGAAACTAATGTGCCGTACGAAACCGACGAGTTTGCATGTCTGGCTTCCTGCGTTGACTGCGTTGGACTGTCTGAATTGTCATTCTTGATTTGTGTCACGAACCTTGTTCTATGAAATTGATGTGTTTTCTCTTTGAATCTGGAGGTGCGCCTCGTACAAAGTTTGAACTCTTCATCGTTGGTGGCAATACCCACGCGCTAGCTACTATTGCATAGAAACATACAGCATGGACCCGTCGACATTGATCAATAGCTAGAAGTTTGGCGCAACGCGGCGTCTGGCCTTTAGCATGCGTTACCCATCGTAAGCGATCAGCCATCCCTCTGTAACCAACCTTCTAGCAATCTAGAGCAAGTTTTCTTGCGATTAAATGAGATTCCGGTTGTATCCTTCTGTCCCTTCCAAGACTCTGCTTCTTCCCGAGCTCGAATGCCAAAAAGGAGCCAGTGGTTGGAGGAGGAGCTTCATCGCCTTGCGTTTAATGTTTTTCCATCTCCGGTCACTGGATAACTTCTGATCCTATGGTATTACCGGTGGTTACCAGCGACAACGGCACCACGCAGGGACCCTTTTCTCCCAATAACCCATTCATTCACTCCTAGGGCCCCCCTTTTTGGCTTTTGATGAGCACATGGGAGACTGCATGGGCGTCGGTGGCCGGGACAGTCGGCTACGTCTCGCCTCCGAGTGCCCGTATGCTCCCCGGCGGCATTTTCAACAACTATTGGGTTGACATGAGAATTGAAAGAAGCAGATCCTTTTCGTCTGGCTTGTCACGGCGCACCCCTCGCAACCCCCTCCCAGTCCCCGTGCTCAAAACCGGCCTGAATTCAACAGCTGGGCTGGGCTGGGCCGGTTCAAACTAAAACCCAATGCGCGCGCCCCGGACGAGTACATACAAGCTGTACCCATGTGCAAACAATCTTGTCTCCCCCATTTCTTTTCCCTCCCTCTACTATCTCCCTTTTCGTCTCGGGCGCGACTAGAGGCGCCGTTGGATCCCGTCGGGCTTTGTTGTACAAAGGAGAAAGAGGAGGCTTTTCTGGATAACGAGAAAAGTTCACGCTGGCTCTCTGAGACCTGCGGTTGAACCCCTATTGGGCGATATGCTCCATCCACTCGTTTACTTTCTTGTCCTATTCTCCTCGTCGATACGCGCCGCCATCGCGTCGACGTCCATTCCTGGTCAGAATGGAGGTGGGTTCTTTTCTCATACTATACAGGAGCAGAGACTGAAGGTGGGCGATAGATTATTCCTGTGGTCAAGGCGTACAAGGACGTGTAACGCACCTCCAACGAGGTTCTGTTGAACCTTTCCAACCAGACATCTTTGTCACCGATTGTTCTGGGCTCAAAGCCAGCGCACCCTCGCTGCCCGGCACTTCACCCAACGACCTCTCGTCGCAGTCCAATGCGCACTTTCCCGAAAATAGATTAGGAAAGCGACAGTTTATCTCAAAATGTGGATCAACTTGTGCCACCGTGTGTTCGCTCGCGTCAAATGGCCCATCGTACAACGACTGTTCGACGCTTTCCAATTATCTTTTCGGTAGAGGTGAGCGTTTCATTCTCATGGATATGGGAAGATGAACGAAATGGGCTGACCGTGTCACAGGATCCCAATTCAGCGTCGGCGCTCTCCAGAAAGTGTCCGTCACAGCTGGATCGTGCATGTACACGTTCCTCAATATGAATCTATTTTCCGTGTCGTGGTGTGATGAAACTTGGGTGCGCCAACTGCTTGCGAGATGACCTGCCACTGACGGTTCCCAGGCTGCACAGGGCGGGTGTACGTAGTTCTCCACATATCGTGGTAAAAGTCTCATATTTTCTAGCTGTCTCTGGGAGCTGTTCAGCTGGTGGTTCCTGTCTGGGACTTTTGTTCACGGTTGGGTGCGCCCCTCTCTCTCAACCCGGACACAATCCATCTGACACTCCGTTCGCAGCGTCGAAAGCAATCCAAATCCTCCACCCCTCCCCCTCCTCCCCCTGCTTCTACCTCTTCAGCTCAGCCGACAAGCTCTCAAAATGCTCCATCAAGCCCTGCTGGTGGCGGACAAGGCCAGCCAGATTCGCAATCCACCTCGTCTTCTAGAGCAACCTCGATCGCCCCATCTAATAGTAATGGTGCAGCTATTACTTCAACTAGCCGCACCACTGTCCAGAACAATGGGGGGATCACTGAGTTTTCCAGCGTTCTAGCGGCATCTAACCTTGAAGCACTCTCTTCGTCTCTCCAGTCTCTCTCTACCCTCACTGCTACCTCTTCCTACGTGCGGACGACGACGACACTTAGCAATGGAGCCGTAGTCACCGTTATCGCGTCCCCTGATGGAACTGGCACTGAGGAGAATAACAATGTAGGATCAGGTGATCAAGGTGCAACCAATAAAAAGTCCAAAAGTCCTGTCATTGCCGCAGTTCTCCTTGCTGTCCTCTTGGTAATTGGCATCGTCATTGCCCTGATCTTCTGGAGGCGGAAGCGAAAGGAGAAGAAGATTCCACCGCCTATCTATATTGACCCCGCTCGTGCATCGACATATGATGGAGAAAAGCCTTTGAACTCTCCAGTGGTACGCTCACTCTATCAAATGGGACCCAAATTAACGCATTTGCTAGGCTTATACTATTCACTCGAGCGACGAAGACCATGAGCGAGGGTTCGGTCGCGCAATTCGGAATAGTGATAGCGGGCACAATGGAAGCGGTGCTAGTGCTCGCATCAACTCGATGATGTCGGGCGATACCGACTTGACGATATGGACCCCACGTGCAAAGGAGCAACACCAAATCCTCTCATCAACACTCGTCCCAGTCATGACCAGTGATGCTTCCCACTCAGACAGCCCGACGACCAGTACAAGCGGTCATCAGCATCAGTATCATTATACCAAAGTCTCTGGGAACACGAACAATGTAGTTCATCCGAATTTGGCAGGCATGGGCGCACCCACGCTCACCATTGTCTCGCCTACCCCGAGTCCTACACCTCGTTCACCGGAACGGATCACCCAACATCTTGCATTCAGTCGAGATGCTCCCCTTTCGGCCACCGACTCCGATACCAACCGTGGTGGTATAGGTCGAGATGCGAATAGCGAGGACGATCATTCATGCTATTCACGCGAACAGCTCGACGAAGCGCGTGCAGATGCCGCTGGCGTGAATCTGGAACGTATTTCCGCACCGCCCGTTGTCCTTCCATCTGAAATTTCCTCGCCACTTAGTCCGACACGGATACTAGACGAGGGAGCGCGGTTGTCGACGAGTACGGGAGTCGCCAGTCGGAGTAGTCGGAGCATGCATATCCCCTCGTTTTTACCCGCTCCACGCCATCCACAGAGGACGACATTTGGCGTGGAGAATCCTGCTTCCAGTGGGGACATCTTACCCAGACGGAGCGTTGATACAAGTGGTGCGAGAAGGAGTGGAAGGGTTAGTGGCAGTGTGATTGGTGCTCGGATGAGCGAAGGAGGAAGTAGGTGGCGGAGAAGAGTCTCCTGGTTTCGCGCGGTTGACTACGGCCTTTGAGAGCGCGTCCTCGGTCGAAGGTCATTCTCCGTTTGAGCAGTCATCGTCAACAAGCAAATGAGCTCGGGATGGGTGAATCTTTGTATGCTCTGAGCACGGACTCGATTCACTTTTTGTACATTTGGGACATTTATTTACTCATATATGTCTATTATAGTCATGGGGCTACGGTCGCATCCGCACCAATCCACATGCCGTGAATGACCAATGAACTTAAAAGAATATTATTAAAAGGATGAAATTTTCGAGTAAGAGCATAGGAAAGAAATATAATTGCTCGGAGAGGCATCATTATGTACCCGAGTAACGTTTTGTACAATGTTGGATTCCCTTAGGTATGTGGGAGGAAGTTTGACCATTCGAGGTTTCGATATGCTTCCGGCGGTAGATTCCGCAACGTCGTCAACGCGACTGTCATAGATATCCCTCTGCTAATGAGATAGACGATGGGACTAATGGTCGACACTATGATCCTCAATATGGAGGAGGTATTGAAGCAATTCATTAGTGCAAGGAAAATGATCGACAGGGTAGGGGTTAGGAATGGCCCCACCGTCAGCGTAATCGCAGATATGCGCCATAGGAGACGTTCAAGGGGAGTTGGGAAGAATGATGCCCATGCGAGGAGGTGGATACCCCCAAATGCCGTCCCGACGACAAAGAGGATCCATAGACCCCGCATAGATGCAAATTGCTCATCACCATAGCTCGTCGCACCCGTATAGAATGTTGGAGTTCGCTTCAGACGGCGCAGGTCTGTGAACTCGTCCTGTATGCATACAAGGTATAGGAGCATCCTCGTGATGACTGGCAACTTTGGAATCTCTTTCGACATTGGATGCTTGTGATCTCGTTCGGGGAGCTCACCGTAGTAGCGTACCGGCTCTGCGACCTGGTAGGGCTTGTCCCACCAATTGATATAGATCATCAAATTGACAAGCGTATACGCAAGAGTGATGACTTCGAGCTCGGCGAGGGGGAGACGTTGTGCTTTGCGTCCAATGCATTGAGCAATGAACCAAGCCGTCTGTACGACAACGGTCGTCTTGGCAATCCAGTCATTTTTGCTCTTGTCTTGGATTTCACCGGGGCGAGGCATTTCTAGTTTCCCCGCGTATAGGAGGTCCAATACGTCGAACCGGTCCAGTGGGTGGCGAGGTATTTCGGTGTCGTCGGTTGCAAGAAGTCGGGAAGTTGTGAATTCTACCTCGTTTGCCGCCTCTGTGGTAAGGAAAGTTGTCGAGTTGTTGATGATATCCACATTGCGCTCGAATAGGTGGAATCCACCCATTATAATGAAGAAAACCTGACTGCGCGAGAGACCTAGGTGTTTGTGTTAGCCAAGACTAAACACGATGTACAGACTTACCATGCTTTTTTGCTATACGCGTGGCTACTGCGCACTGAACCTGACTGAATAGGAGGATCCATTCTGGGGCTAGTAAAGCGACGATGAATGGCACCAGGCGACTGTTGATAAACCGGCGACTATGGGCCTTGACAGTCTCCCATCGTCCGTACCCTGTCATATTGACCGGTTCAGGCACGTTTGGATGCATGGATATCCAAGTGCATAGAATTATAGTAGTAAGACAGCCCCAGACGATATTTGATCGCGTCCTGTAGAGTTCGGCGCATTCTTGCGGCAGCATCTCCTCATTCGATGGAGTAGCCCTCAGTGACATTGCATAGATAGCAAGTGGAAGAGACATGCTTAGTTTGTCGTCCACACGTCTCTTTTATCGAATAATGGTTGCTAGAGTCGACTGGTTCCTGTGGTTAGCCGTCGACCTCTTTCAATCTCGTAGTGATTCGAACCTAATCTGAGGCAATAGTTGGACCTGTATTTACTCTCGAGAGTGGCCGAGGAAAGATGAGAGGGGAGCCAACTTTGAATTTGTTTTGGGTGATTGTCCCAGATTGAATACGCTGACCTGGCGCTTCGCGCTAAAACCGACGTGTCTTGGCCAATGGACACAGATTGAGATCCCATCTCGCCCGACGTCAACGCTCGAGGCGGCCACTCGCGCGTGACAAACCATCTGGAGGTTGATTACGGTCCAAACTCGTCTCTTGAGATGATGCAGATAGGTTAGGTCCTGATAACCAGTCGGCGCACAGAGTTCGGTGCGAATTCACGAAGTGAAGGATATCGAAATATCGAAATATGCGCTTTATAGACCATGAAGTAGTGAATATATACGCGATTTCAGACCTAAATTTTGAAACCGCACTGATGCGGGAACACCGTCTTCCTCGACGGCTTGCCCTGCGACCATGAAAACTAAAAAGTCGGCTCGCAAGTTTGCGGCTTCTGGAAAACTTAAAAAAGCCATTGAAGCGCGACACAAGCACCAGCAGATCAAGAAAAAGATTGAGAGCCGGCGCGGTCGAAAGGGCAAAGCCACCGCCAGAGGAAACGAAAACTCGAAACGAACAGGAAAGGCGCCGCTACATCCATCAAATGCCAAGTCGGATGAAGAAGATGAGGAAGATTTGGATGAAGACGTTGATATGCAAGAAGGCAAAGCTGGAGGTCACGACTTGAGTGAAAGTGAGGACGAAGTAGACGGGGGAGCCAGTCAGGTCAGATTATGCTTCTCTCAGCCCCACAATACTGACCATTAGGTAGGATGAGAACGAGGATAGTGATGATTCCGCGGGGGAAGAGGACGACGCATCTTTTGCGTCTCTCGATGAACTCGAAGGTCCATATTGTCTCGCTGTGGTAACTTCAAACTAACTCTTGAGATAGACGACGGTGAGGCTCACCTGATGGAGCTCTCCAAACTTGCGGAAAAAGATCCCGAGTTCTACAAATACCTGCAAGAAAACGACCAAGAACTTTTAGACTTCAAACCAGACGCCGTGGATGCCATCTCCGATGAGGAAATGGAAGAAGGGATTCCTGAAGACGACGAGGATGAGGAGACTCCAATCCTCACCCAGGATATTCTGCGCGGATGGCAAAAAGCTCTGCTCGAGGTATGACCTAACACTATATTGTGACTTGATATTTACCCATTACCAGCATAGGTCCCTCAGGGCATTTAGGAAGCTCTTGATAGCCTTCCGAGCGGCCGCATATGCCAACGACGAAAACGCCAACTTGGCATGGACTATCAACAATTCTACAGGTAATTGTACTTCTTTTAACCTACTATCAATACTGACATTATCATAGTATTTGACAAGGTGGTTACGACCGCTCTTAAATACGCACCTGTCGTCTTGGATCACCATATCCCATATCGAACCCTCCCTGATGGCAAATAGTGAGAATTCACTTATTGGCAACGGAAGTAGCTGACAACGAGTGTAGCAAACCGCCGATTCAATCCACCAAGCAACAATCCCTGACTCGACTGACCTGTAGCTTTTTCAACTCCATCCTTCATCTCTTGTCTCAGATTACCGACGCCCAGATGCTCGTTCTGTGCATCACCGAGAGTACCAAACTCGTACCGTACGTCGTCGGAAACCGAAAAGTTATCAAAGCGTATCTCAAGGCTTGCTTGGGATTATGGTCGTCGCCAAACGTGGATGGTGAACGAGATGGGGATGAAGAGGCGGGAGATGGTGCAGACAAAGTTCGCATTGCGGCGTACCTTGGTATGCGACGCATCGCAATGGCCCACGACGAATCTTTATTGGATGCCGTTCTCAAGGTATGTTATCCCGGATCATTGGCATTGCTTGTCTCATGGCCTTATAGGGAACATACCTGACGCTCGTGCGCAACTGCAAGTCTACCAGCGTGCACTCGTTGCCCGCTATCAACCTCATGAAGAATACTGCTGTCGACCTGTATAGTATTGACCCAGCTGCGTCCTACCAGCATGGATTTGGTTACATTCGCCAATTAGCCGTGAACCTACGGAATACGCTCAAAGCCAAGCCGAATACAAAGGTACGTTCTTTGTTCCAGAATCACCCCTTTTAATCTCAATATAGGAGAATGCAAAGGAGGGTAAAGAAAAGAGCAAATCAACCCAAGAGCCGTACAAACAGGTCTACAACTGGCAGTTTGTCCACTGCATCGACTTCTGGAGTATGCTCCTCAGTCGAAATTGTGCGCCAACCGATGGTGGAGAGGAAAGTGAGCTGCAACCGCTCATCTATCCCCTCGTCCAAGTCACCCTTGGTGGTGTCAAGTAAGTCCATTCTGGCTAGTTGAATGCTATGTCCTAACCCAACCTGCAGATTAGTCCAAACAGCACGATACTACCCTCTGCACCTACACCTCCTCCGCGCTTTACAAACGCTCTCGCACAGCACACGAGTCTACATCCCGCTGGCACCATACCTCGTACCAATCATCACCACCGTCAGCACGATCCAAAAACCCAAATCAAGCACACTCAAACCACTCGACTTTGACGTCTTGATCCGCGTACCGAGCGCGTACCTCAAAACCAAGATTCTTGTCGAGGGAATCTGCGACGAAGCGCTGTACCTCTTGGCAGAATGGGCTGCAGACGTCCAAATGAGCGTCGCGTTCCCCGAGACGATGGTCCCCGTCGTCGTAGGACTAAAGAGGTGTTTGAAGATTGTCAAAGAGGGTGGAAAAGGTGACGGGAAAGTGACAAAGGGTATCAAGACGCTCGTGGAGCGCATCGAAGAAGGCCGCGAGTGGAGCATTGCACGAAGGCGGACGATCAATTTTGGCCCAGCAGATCGAAGCCAAGTGGACAAGTGGGAGCGCCAGATAAAAGTTCACGAGACGCCCCTCGGCAAGTACACAACAGTACTCAACAAGGCAAGGGAACGAAATCGTCGATTGCTCGAAAAGGCGCGACAAGGAAAAGGCGAATACTTGGATCAGTAGTTGCTCTTTGCGGAAAGTGATCTGCACTGAAGTATCATTCCTCATTACAGAACTGTACAAGATCATAGTGTCTACATATTCGGTACAGTCATAAAATGAACCGAGCGTGAAGTGAATGAAGGGATTATGAATGGCAAAAAAAGGAGAGCAGATTAGTCCGAGCGTCCAGTCCAGAGAGCTTTGTACTTTGACTACCTAGTGCACCTCCCTGGTAGCGAATGCTGTGCCTCGTGGGTTAAACTTGGTACTTCGTAGCGAAGAGCTACGAGTGGGAAGATCTTGACGAGCTATAGGTGTGCCCGACGCAACGCTGGTCGAATTTACCCGGCGACTGTGGGTAGGGTGAATGCGAGAAGAGCTATCAACGGGTCGCAAAATGGGTGAGCAGCCTTCGGCAATTGGCACGTCAACAGATGGACGACGCCTGCCAAACAGTCAGTTAAGAAACTGCAGAGGATAGCTAAAGAAACATACAGTTCGTCATCTCGACCAGGGAAAAGAGATCCGAGAACACCAATGACCTCTTGACAACCTGCCTCGTCGATGCTCGCGCGTGCAAACGACTTTCCCAAGTCGCCTGAACCGATCAAGGAAGGAATCGTCTCGGTAGGCGTCCCGGGTCCGCCAGAATCTCCAGCAGACGATGCCCCAGACGATGAACGAGAGCGCTCCATGTCGTACGCCCCAGGAAAGGTGTTTGACGGAAACCCGTACTTGCCCGTCTTGACGTCAAAACGAAGATCAACGATTCCCAACCCAACAAGTGATTCCTCTCCATTCTCACCAATGCGCGTAGAAGATGGTGCAGTATTTGCACGATGGTGCCTGGCTTGGACACTCGAGATAGCCCTGCTCGTCTTGTACGCCTTGGAGCCGAGACGGAGGGGAGGATGCTGCTCAGCGTTGCTGGTCAACGAGTTTGTGGTAGAAACACCCAAGTTGGATGTCGCAAGCTTGTTGACGAGCCCCGAGGATGGTGATGAAGGCAGCAAACCGTCGACGATCCCTGAAGTAGAATCCGTACGACGGGCTTTGAAGAAGCGGAATCTGGATGCAAATTCGGAGATTCGATGGGTACTTTTGGAGGATGTGGGCAACGGCGGCACGGGCTCGGGAGTAGGAGGGGTGGACGTGGGTTGACCGAGTTTGGGTGAAGATTTCGACTTTCGTAGTCTGCGACCAGAGTTACTTCCAGGATTTCCAGCGAGGTCAAACGCC